TTCGTTATCTTAGGCCGAGTGGGACTATAGATATTGTTGATCTCGAAGTCAAATATATTCTACGTATAAGTTGTACCGGTCAGTAGCGGTGACTGTCCTAGAGGTACCTCACACGGTCCTAGACGGAAGCCGAACCCAGTAGAAAAAGAATACTGGAAGTATTGTGGTATATAAGCTGAAGCGTGATTTATAGGCACACTTTTTGCACCGGTAGAAGGCGGCGGGCGACTTAGGCTATAGTAGAACTCGATTTGATTAAGATTCACCCCTATTTCCCCGAAAGTGGTAAGACACAGCGGAGGTAGATACCGACAGATAATAAAGTAACCTTAGAGATAAGTGCAGTGGTAACTGGGCTGGTGTATCTATATCCGTTCTGAATCCTATCCAGAGAGTGAAAAGAAGGAGGTCAGTCAGCCTTTTTAATACCCTGGCGGCGGCCGAGGAATCATACAGTATACCGCCTTACCGACCCTATAGTAACCGAAAACGACGATATCACTGCCTCGTTACCACTACTCCCTGCTTATATCTGCTGATCACTTAGGGGTATTCTGGGCGAATTCAGCCGAGCCGCCTCGTCGAAGGACGCCTTAGGTTCGTGGCCCCACTGTACAAGGGTGCCTCTTACTCCAATCTATAACGTTACAGCTGTTAAGACGCAAGACCTCAGCTAACAGATAATGGATTAGGGAGAGATCTACAAGGATAAATCCCTCAATACGAGCGGTAGCCTACAGTCCTCCGATCAGGTAAGCCGACTATACAAGCTATCAATCTTATAGATAACGGCGATATATCAGCTCAGCGCCGGAGCTCCTTACGGTATTTTTGCGGTTAGCTAGTGAGCGAAAGCGGGTCTAGTAAGCGACGCACTGATAATCCTCAGTCGATAGTCGGCTAAAAGAGCAAAGTGACCGTATTAGGGCGCTGCGTGGTATTCGCGAACCGAAGCCTAGGACAAAGAGCGGCCAGTAGTTCCCGTACATTGCTCTTCATATATCCAGTTATCAAGCAGCCCGAGGGTGATATATACACCGGTTCAAACAGCGACCCTCTGTAGCGAGCAGTATAAAACGAAGAATGTATTGAGCCATATAGAACTAGGAAATCAAGGGCGATCCAGGTGACTCGTATAGCCAGACCGACCCCTTCGAATTTCCGCAAGTGGGGAAGTAGGCTGTGCTCAGGGCGCAGAGTTTTCAGCTGGTAGGGGCCACGTCAGCCGACCAGGGGATAGTGCCGGCGAAAACACAATAGAGGGGGAAGGAGGGGGAAGGGGTGTGGGAAAGAAGAGAAGCATAGTCGAGCGACGCACCGCGGATTATATAGATGGCGGACGTCGCGAGACGGGCGGTGCGAGACGGCAGATCCCGATCGGGGCTAGCGTAAGGCGCCAAACCCGTTGCGGACGGGCTAAACCCCAAATAGACAGACGCGATCCCCAATCGGGCGTCGGCCCCACGGGCGCTAAACCCAAAGGAGGGGGCGGCCGAAACAGGCGGCGGGCCAGCAAATCGCAATTCTACTACATTTATATTTCAACAACCATGTTATCATTTTAGCTCCTTATTTGTCGATAGCTATCGATAAGACTTATTAGCACCATATATCAATTTTAAAGATATTGGATAGGTATATTATTATCATTTCAAAAATTACCGAAAATTACGTTGCTAAAAACTAGAAATATATATATCTCAATCATAAAGTTAGAAACTTCCTTAAAATCCCGTAAAGAGACTAGATATCACCTAGAAAGCATGAGGCTATAAGGAGAAATCCTTATAGACCATAGTGGTTGAAATATCAAGTTGTAATTTATCGCATTTACTATGTGTTTTGAACTGCGCCGCTCGCTTGTGTGCGCCACTCGCATGTGAAATACGTTATATATATATTGAAGTGGGGTGCGCTGTCATAGACGCGGGTAATGCCTGTCTACGCACCAGACAAAACCAGTGCAGGTTGTTGAATAGCGGAAGATAGGAAAAGGAAACCCAGGGGTAGTTTGTAGGAGAAAGGATTGGCTATTCTTCTAATCTCTTGCTTCTAGCACTTAAATACCCGTACGTCTTTTGCTTAGTCAGTTCATACCGCCATTTCTCACCCGTGGACATCTCCCTCTACACTATATATATTGAAGAGGGGAACGCTCAAGGCTGGGTGTTCTGAGGCACACGGGTCGATTCAGCAATCGCAATTCAGCACCATACCAAACTAGCATACTGCGAAGGGGTATAACGGCCAATGTCCCAATGGACTTTTTGGCCTAGTTTATGCCTTAAAATGCCTGATTGGTGCCTTATTTCAAACAGGCAGAGGCAGAAATTAAAATACCTGAATTACAATGACAGATGTCTTATTAAGCAAAGTACCCAAAGTGCTCGAGTCCAATAAAATGAAGCTATTCCCACCATACAAAATATCATGCTCCCCCCCCGACCGCTTACCGCTTATTCTACGAAGTTGAAGTCGTCGCAACTGTTTTCATCCGCATTTGTTGGTGCGAGACGCTAAGCGTAGATCCCAATCCAATGATATAGCTCACTATTGTTAAAGGCGCCTAGTTAAGCCCGTCCGGCTGATTTTGATCTAGTATTTGTCCTTGAGAATGGTGCGAATAGCTTCATGGGTGGCTTTTTGTTAGAGGAGATCGAGTATCTCGGCTTTGTGAGGCTCAATATCGATAGACGATGGTTGGAGATAGGAATAGCTCCAGGGCGATGACGATGATGGAAATGATGATGGGAAGGAATAGCTTCATTTACAATACACTGTATAGAGCGGTTAAAAAAGCGGTCTAGAATCAGGCATCATTCAGGCATAAACTAGGCCAAAAAGTCCATTGGGACATTGGCCGTTGTGCCCCTTCGCAAGCATACACAACGAACTGGGGGTGCTCCCTAAGAAGTCAATTTAGAGAGATGTAGGGGTGTGTATTCTTAATCTGTATCTACCTACTACCTATAGTCATCCTCCACCTGGCCAATGATTACATAATAAAAATATTGAAATAGTCAAAGGCGAGGCAGGGACGATTCCCTCATATTTCTCAAATTTGCTAAAACTCCTTGAAAGCGCCATATAATAAAAGGCCTGAGAACACAGAGTAGCAGAGTTCATAATGACAACCGGTGTTGCGATATTTTGTAATCCGTCGCTTTTACTTTCGAAATGTTTCCCACCGTTCAGATTCCACCCTCCCCCGGCCCAAATTTGAAGGTATTTCTTTTTATATATTGTATTTTGACTTATCTTGGATTTTATGAAAAAGAGGTAAAAAAAAGGCTCTTACAGAACCCTGGCTAGCCCGGCCGAGAAGAGACGCTAATGCATGTACGAACTTGCTCTTTTTGCTAGTAATACTAATACTAATAATTATTACTAATCGACTGTTAGTATGCAACTCATCGCCTTTTTTGTATTTCATTCGTTGTATTTGTTTGAAAGAATACCATTTTTATTACTCGTGGCGTGCATGCAGTAGCGTTCCTTCTTGGCTAGGCTAGCATGGTAGTGTACCTATGAAAGCGCGGTGTGGGAGGAAAAAGCAATGGTTATTCTCAACTGTAGGGGGTAAATAGTAGGTAAATAGTGAGCTTTTGACCGTGGTCACCCATTTCAAAATAGAACAAGGGTGGAGAATTTCTAGGGTGGAGATCATAGTTATTGAGTAAAGAGGTTTCGCAATAGTGAGAAAAATTTCGAGGTACAGAGGAAGGCATTGAAGGAAGAAGGCTAGGGCCCACGGGAAATAGTTTTAACCGCCAAGTGCTTTGTTGGAGATCAATCCAAGCAGCCAAGGGTGTAACCAGATCAGGAGATATTTGTATGTAGGGCTGGCGGAAACTTTGAAATCCCCTGCATGTAGACGTAGTACAACATAGCGCACTACGGAGTACTCCGTCCTAAGTATCGGTCAGTTTCCTACTGAGATTTGGGTCTGCTTTAGCGCCTGAGGCACCTCGCAAGTTTTCTTGTTGCCAGATACTTACTTTGCCTTAGCATCTCACCTCTATATGTAAATTCTCATCTAACTGATCTGCCTTGTGCCTTGACAAATAGTTGCTGGGATATCCCATCGCGCCTGTGGCTGTACCTACGTCAAATCGCATAATAGTATCAAATTTCATGCACGTGGATGTGTTCGCACTTGCTTGAGGTATACTCAACCCGTGACAAAGGTGACCAGGATACGTGCAGATTAGAAAATTGGTGAAACAAAGGACTAGTCAAATATAGAAGTGTGATTTAAAATCGCTAGTCACTGAAACAAATGATTAGTCAAATATAGAAGTGGGATTTCTCAAAATAGATATGTACCGGAGGCCTTTTCTGGCTGCTAGTTGGCTCCTAGATAAAATAATATACTCCGTAGATAGTTGGGGGCGAAGAAACTCAAGAACGAACTAGACGCATGCATGCATGGTGTTCGTACTTGCAGCGATATTGCTCTGATGTATTACAGCCTAAAATGCCCACCTCCGGCTCACTATCATTCTCTAACGCTAGGCAAGCCACGACCCCCGAATAAAAACGAAGGGAATCATGCATTTCATGATACAAAATGCCACGAGCAGTCAAGTCTTGTTATGCTGTTGAATTCGGGGCTATGAATTCTACGAGCGAATGTCAGAAAGGCTGAAGGGTTATAATTGGAAAAAGTACATGAACCGTCGGTCTAAATGTATAATGCGCGTGAATATATTTCCATATATCTGAATAGAACCTGTAAATCTCAGCCTATCTGGGCAAATAAGGCCTGGTATCCATATTTTGAGCGAATCTCATACAGTAACTTAACTACTTTGCTAGTGAATAATGCAAGTACATCGGGGGCATTGAGAGGTGTCTAAGGTACCTATGTCTCGGTATTTAATATCCGCTCAGCTCGTGTGATCCCTTTCCATCTGACGCCATTTCAATCCCCAATGGCGAGTCGAACTCCTACATTGATATTTTCTGGCTCTTCAAGACGTGAGAGGCTTGTGACCTCCATGCGAGCTTTAATTGACAACGATAACGTCGATCTGGATATATTGAAACCGGGAAGCCCCTGGCCCAGCGTGGACGAATTGATCGGCAAGCCCTCTCTAGGAGAACAAATTGCTTTGGAATGCACCCAGAACGAGAGTTCAACTGTTGAGGATGCTAGACTTGAGGCAGAGCTCAGCTGCCCAGCAGATCTGGGTTTCGATGCCATGTTAGGCTGGCAGAGCAACCAACATGGCGCGACGCCTTACATTACCGATGCCATCCCGACCGAGCAATATCGAGTGCCAAGCGCAACATTACCTGAAGAGAAAAATATTGATCCCCACCTACATTCTGCTCGTCACTTGGCCTATGCGTCGCCAACATCAAGAGGATTGCAATCCCCCAAGGCGACTCTAGACTTATGGGAACTGTTTTCGGGGGCCGGGAATGAATCTCAAGGCCGTAGCTTGCCTGGCCCTGAGGCCCAAGATCAGAAAGCGACCTCAGATGGCAATGTGTTCCACCCAAAAACCCCGGGATCTTGGAAGAATCAACGTTCCTCAAATCGTCGATCACCAACTACTAGCCATCACCCGCCAAAACGCCAGCGGTCTCACTACGTTATTGAAAAGAAGTATCGAGCTGGCCTCCAGGAGCGTTTCGAGGCCCTCCGCAGCTGCGTAACGGCTTGGAATGAGTTCCAGCGCCCAGAATCCGCTTCAGGCGAGGCGGGAACAACTGGTGATGAGTTAAGTGGGGGTAGCAAGGGGAACAATAATGGTGGGCGAATGAACAAGGCAGAGGTTCTCAGCAATGCGGTCATCTACATCCAGGAGCTTCAGGAGGAGAATGAAGTTGTGATCGATCATTTGAAGCTGCTGATCCGGCGGTTACGGGGGGCGAAACAAGCCCTGCAAACGGATGATCTACTTGGTACCTCGGGGTTGTAAACAGGTGAAGTGAAGTTGACGGGTATGTTTTGAAGCTAGTCTGTCTCGGAGATTTCGGGTTCAAAGTATCTTGAATGTCGACGTTTCATTTTTCCTATTTCTTCATCTCTACCGTTAGAACGAAAACGAATCCAATGGTATCCCACATATGGCTAGAACCATAAAGCCCTTTCCACGCAAGTTTCTCAGCCAAGCCCTTCTTGGCAAGTTTCATAATGTGAGATCATATGTATCTTATATCTGCTTGCAGCTGTTGTGCAACACTAGCACCTGTTAAATTACCCATGGCAGAGGCAGTGGCGAAGTATTTGTGACGAGAAGCGCAATCACCAGTTGCGAAGATGCCGGGTTGGGATGTTTCTTGCCAGTCGTTGATCATGATGTCACCCTCCGAGGTGAGTTTTAGCCCTAGTTGTGCTGGTAGATTACTCGCTTGTTCGGTCCCTGGGTGATAGACAACAAAGGCATGTTGCTGCGGTGCAGCCTCCTCCAGTACCACACGTACGCCTGTGGCCGACGGTCCATCAACCATCGTAGCCATCTCCAGGCGTTCAATAAAATCTGGCTCAATATCACACCCAGGAACTACAGCCATGGCCTCGCGTAGCTCAGCTGCTGCTCGTGTGTTTCCATGCGTATAAATTCGGACACGCGAAGTGAACTGTTTACAAGAGCGTAGCACGCGCATGAGAGTTGATGGCACCGCAAATTCATCCAAAGCGAGGATTCCGACGGACTCAGCACCACGTTCTTCATGGCCATGACAGAGGAGACAGTGGGCGACACCTTTACCCCAACACTCATCGAAGCCATCGATACCTGGGAGCAGATCTCGAGACCCAGTAGCGAGAATAACCTTTCGACCATGCCACACTTTTTCACACGAATCAATAGCTTTGAAAGGGCCACTGTTTTTCGGGATTTTTTCGCTGGGTATGTCGACATTCTCCTGGACCCGACTGAGAGAGAGTACTTCCTGGTCGACAAAGGTACATTGCCCTGAATATCGATTTACCACCTCAGTGCGGGCAGCGGATCGAAACTCATCTGGGTATCGATGATCCCAGGTAGAGACCATGTGCATCTCGCCATATTTGTTGCGGTAATCGCCTGAATCAAAGATGATAACGCTGTGGTTTTGTCTGCAGAGGGCCAATGCGACCCCAAGTCCTGCAGGTCCCCCGCCAATGATCAGGGCATCTGCGATGTGTAGCATTTTTTCTTTGTCTTGGTAGCGAAAATATCTCTGATTAGTATACTTTGGTAAGTGTGATGATATATTGCGAATTGTGTGGCATTGGGAAAGGTGGCACCACCAATGCGTGGGGCGATAAAGTGGCCTCCATATCCTACATATGTAAGATTTGACGTCAAATTATGGTGCTGTATGAAGAGAGGCTTGTATGTAATTTGCTTGTCTAGTGCAGCCTGGGCTAGTAACGAGTATGTCGAGGTGGCACCACCGCTCGCATGGGGAGGAGGCACCTCTGCGTCAGATATGGGGCACATGATTAAGGAGCAAAATACTGAGAAGTCCAAACCAAGCAAAGCATCTTTATCGAAATTGAGCGAGCTGTTGCAAGGGAGAAAAGAAATCAGGTCTCTGGATACCTGACACCGAATCAATACACGACTCTCGTTGTCGCAATCCCATCGTCGTCATTGCCATGGTAGATCCAAAACAGACAACCGATTGCAAGCATGAGCTAGCCTATGACTTGCTTTTGACTTTGCTCGAGTATGTGGTGCAGTTCATGTGTTCGAATGCCGACGTATGCTAACATGCCTTCCACAGGCACCAGTTCTCCTCACCTGTCCAATGGTATGTTCCAAGAGTGAAGAAACACGGAAGACCGTCAACTAATTTTATTGGTGGTAATAGGATTTCCACGCAAGACTCGTTGCTTAAGGAAGATCCTGCTGGAAGGTTCATCGAGATAGGGCCTGCAGACACATTGCGGTCTATGTTAGAGAAGACCTTCCTGCAGAGTGAGGCCATTGGAGAGAAGAATGCCGAATTTTTGACGTTTATGGAAGAAATCACAAGGCTACATAAAGTACCTGACATGGTTTTGGAGGAGCCAACGCCGCCATCACAGGACATTGGGGTATCTGAGGCAGAGCCCCTAGGACTATTAAAGGCCGAGGAGCCCATTATACCGGCCGTCGAAACCAAAACGGAGGTTTCCGTGGTGACGGCTCGCCAGATTTCTGAAATTGATGACGCACCTCCTTTAGCGTCCGATGCCCTGATAGCTATTGTAGCCTCCGCACTCAAAGTGTCGAGGGCAAGTATCGACACCGCCAACTCCGTCAAGTTACTAGCAAGGGGTATGTAATTTGTTGTAATCTTCATCGGAAAGATGCAGCTAACTTAAGAGCAACTTTATAGGACGATCAGCACTCCAAAACGAGATTGTCGGAAACTTGGTCTCAGAGTTCGAGCATCTCCCAGACGCGGTGGAAGAAATCCCTCTGGCCGAGCTTAGCCAGGACTTGCAGAGGTCTTTTAGTGGCAAGCTCGGTCTCTACTTGAATGAATGGCTGAGCAAAAAGATATCAGCCAAGCTTGCTCCAGGCTTTACACTGTCCAAGTTACGGAATCATCTCAGGGATTCTTTCGGCCTAAAAGAGGGTCACCAAAACTCGTTTTTTTTGACTGCTGATTTTGATGAGATCACCACTCGCTTGCCAGACGAAGGAAAATCATGGGAAGCTGTTAGTCGTTGGGCAAATTTGTATATGAAAGAACGGGGTCTGGAACATGCATTGACCCAAGCTGTGACAGATGACCGCAGCCAACCGACTATGCAGCAAAATACCACCAGTCCTCAGTTGGCTAAGTTTGGTCAAGAACTTGCCCACCTTATGGCAAAGCACTTCAAAGCCCCAGTTTCAGGTACGGAGACAGAATTAAAGCTTGAACAGAGACAAGAGGACGAGCGGGCAATAGGTGATAGGATGGATCAGCTTTCGAAGGAGCTTGGATCTGAGTTTATCTCGGGTGTGGAGCCCTACTTCTGCCCTGAATTGGTTTACCGGTATCAGTCTAGCTGGAACTGGGCGGTCCAAGATCTATACGTGACCTTGTCAAAGATTATCACCCGCTCCACTCTAACGGAGGGAGAGGAAGAGTTGCAAGAATGGATTGAGGAGGCATCAGACCGACTTCAAAGTCGATCCACTAACAGATTGCAGCAATGCGCCAAGTACTTGCACGATAAATGGGAGCAACAACCACAGACACCGCAGCGCGATGGATGTCTCCTACTACTGCGTCCACTGGTGAAAAACATTAAAAGTCCCCCATCAGATTCCGGGTCAGTGAGGAGAGATGAAAGTTCTGTGAAGAAGGCGTGTTCAAATAGCAGGCTTTCAAGCGATTCATCGCACTCCTGTTCCAGCCTAGGTGGCAAAGGATCATTCACCCCCTCAGATTCCTTATTGTCCATTATGCACAGCCCCATTCGCGTGTGTATTAAAGATCAAAATGGTGCATGGAAGACTGACATCGATTTGACAAATCACCTTCATGAGGTCGAGATAAGCTCACATTCAAAGCCGATGATCGGGACTGTTCTGATAATTGGCGCGGGAAAACAATCCATTGGCTTTGTTCTCGTGAAACAGCTACTCAGAGCTGGGTCGCGTGTCGCTCTTTGTACCACTCGATTGACACCAATTACCAGGAGGCTTTACTCCAAACTCTATGCGGAGGAGGCACGACCTGGAGCTGAGTTGGTTTTGTTGCCATTTAATCAAGGCAGTGTGCAGGATATCACAAACCTGGTCAACTATATCCATAGTGACATGGGATGGGAAGTGGATCACCTGGTGCCCTTTGCGGCAATATCAGAGATCGGAAAGACTTTGGAGGATCTGGACTCAAAGTCAGAGCTTGCACACCGTATTATGCTCACAAACACACTTCGGTTGATAGGAGCAATTGTGAGCTCTAAGCGAGATCGGCATGTGTTGAACCATTCCACCCAGGTTCTGCTGCCACTATCACCAAACCACGGTCAAATTGGTGGAGACGGCCTGTACGCTGAGTCCAAGTTGGGCCTAGAAGCGCTTTTGAACAAGTGGTCTTCTGAGCAATGGTCGGATGCGGTGTCCCTATGTGGTGTCCAAATTGGTTGGACAAGAGGTACCGGATTGATGGAGGCTAACGATATTCTGGCCGATGACATTGAGAAGCTGGGTGCCCGAACGTTTTCAGCCGATGAAATGGCATCGCTTCTCGCCCTGGTGATGGAGCCTAGTTTATTTGAGGCGTGTAGTGTACAACCCTTCCTCTGTGATTTCAGCGGTGGGTTGCAAACGATGCCAGAATTGAAGGCGCACATGGATTCTGCACGTCTGAAAATTCAGACAAACGCCGCAATCCAACTCCGACTCTTGAAAGAGAATTTATATGACCAAATCGGCTCCGAAACAGACTCGCAACTTAATAAGCCGCCCGCGCCCCAACAACCCAGGGCAAGGCCTCGAAACGAATATCCTGAGCTTTCAGAGCGTTACAACGACCAAGTCTCCCATGATACACACAGGCTGGAGGGACTCGTCGACCTGGACTCCATGGTAGTAATCACTGGATTTGCAGAAATCGGCCCTATGGGCAGTTCCCGGACGCGCTGGGAAATGGAGGCTGAAGGAGTGTTCTCCATGGAAGGGTGCATCGAGCTCGCTTGGATGACGGGACTTATCAAATATGAGCGCCATCGCGTCTACAACGGAAGGGATCTTGGTGCCGGGTGGATTGAGTGCGAATCAGGTGAACCTATCAGTGATCTTGAGGTGAAATCCAAGCTTGAAGACAAAATCCGCCAGCATACGGGAATCCGCATTCTTGAGCCAGATGACCACTCCAACCCCAATCCCAGGTTGCGAGACATCCTGCACGAGGTCGGTACTGAAGAAGACCTGCCACCATTTGAGTGTTCCTCGCAAGCAGCAGAAGGGTTTAAAGCCCGACATGGAGACGCTGTCGAGATTCTACAGGATGACGGGACTACGGCGACCGTGAAGATCCGACGTGGCGCGTCTATCTTCATCCCCAAGGCACTGAACACGGAATATTTTGTGGGGGCTCAAATTCCAACCGGCTGGGACCCCGCAAGATATGGTATTCCTCCCGAGATATTGGCCCAGGCTGACCGACCCTCACTCTTTGCTTTGGTGTGTACTGCAGAAGCTTTCCTCGGTGCTGGAATCACGGATGTATACGAATTGTACAAATACATTCATGTTTCCGAGGTTGGGAACTGCATTTCTTCTGGTTCCGGTGGACTTACGGCATTTCAGGCATTGCACGAGCATCGCCTGCTGGGTAGGGAGGTTCAACAAGATATTCTTTCTGAGATATTTATAGGAACAGCTGGTGCTTGGGTCAATCTCCTTCTTCTATCTGCCTCTGGTCCCTTGAAGACTGCTGCTGGAACCTGTGCATCATCCCTCGAGTCTGTGGATACTGCATGTGAGCTTATCAGCAGTGGCAGATCCAAAGCTTGTATTGCGGGTGGGTACGAGGTCTTTACCCGACCTATTTACTACGAGTTCGGGAACATGTCAGCGATTATCAACTCGTCCCAAGACTCAAAGCGTGGAAGAGAGCCGAGCGAGATGTCACGTCCATTTACTTCCACCCGGAACGGGTTTGTCCTCAGTGAAGGAATTGGCATTCAAGTTTTAACGAGTGCATCATTGGCCTTGGAAATGGGACTGCCCATTTACGGTGTTATCGCTATGACGCACATGGCAGCGGACAAGATAGGGCGATCGATTCCTGCACCGGGCCAGGGTATCCTCACAGCGGCAAAGCAAACTGGAGCACCTAGCCTGCTCATGAATCCTACACTGCGCGCCAAGCGGATCCGCACATCGCTGGGCCATATTGAACGCCAGGCTCAGGCGGACATGGATGCCTTCCAGGAAGAAATTAGCTTTATGGAGTCCAGAGGAGAACCTTTGTCTACCGAAGAGATTGAAGCACGAGTCCAAGGACTCGAGGATGATGTGGCCTTCGAGAAAAAGACCGTCTTGCGGGAACTGGGTAACAACTTCTGGCGAAACAAGCCCAACATTTCACCCATTGCAGGAGGATTGTCGGTTTTCGGTCTCTCTGTGGATGATATTACATTTGTCAGTATGCACGGGACAGCGACGAAACTGAACGACATGAACGAATGTGCAACGCTAGAGGCGCAAATGCGACATCTCGGACGACACCCTGCGAACCCGATGTATACCATTGCTCAAAAGTCCGTTGTGGGCCACGGTCTGGGAGCTTCAGGTGCTTGGGCGCTGAACGGGGCCCTCCAAGCTCTCCATTCGGGTATCATCCCTGGAAATCGGAATGCAGATGATATCGATCCTGGTCTACAGAAATTCGAGAGGCTTCTCTTGGTAAATGAGAACATTAAGCTCCATCAATCTGACATGAAAGCTTTCTGTGTTGAGTCTTTTGGTTTTGGGCAGAAGAGTGCACAGGTACTCGTTGTGCACCCTCGCTACCTATATTCAGCTATCTCGGAGGAGTCGTACCAACAATATCGCAAGAAACAGATGGGGAGGGCAAGGATCGCTGCCAGAGAACTTGATCGGGGACTTCACGGACAAGGGATGTTCAAGGCAAAGGAGGTCGCACCCTTTGTTGGCGATGAGCATGCTTTCTTGCTCAATCCGCTGGCTAGGACTTAGTCGATTTTAGTTAATAGAGTCTTTTTCTGCGGGTATATTTACATGTACGAATGAAAAGTCCACCCAGACTGTACATAAATAGGCTTTTCTTGCATTCCGACTATACGATACAAAACATATCTCAAAATGGACCATTTGAAATCTCTCAATGAGACTGAAAACAAGCTAGAAATATGTGGGCAGGACCTCGTCGGTATATCAGTATATACTATTCGCATCCATGTACTAACTATGGTACAGGTTAATAACAAAGCGACTAAAAGTTTCTACACACGTGCGTAGTGTTCTCCAATTTCCAGATCTTCCACAGAGAAGCTCTTAGTATTTAGATCAAAGGACGATACACCTCATATCAACTAAATGAGTCTATGGAGTACATAACTGAGAAAAGAAAAGGAGGGGAAAAAAGCAAAAAAAAGTGGTGGCTCCACTGTATGTTCTTTGTACAGTGGTGCCACCGTTTACGGGCGACTAAGTATGCCACCCCATAACTCTCTCATTGGTTCATATTGACAGGCAGTAATTCAGTTTGCGGGGAATCTGAAAGAGGAACTACCCAGGTATCCCGCTCCTCTCTGAACACTTCCATCAAGTCATATCGAATAATTTCACCATGACTTATCAGAATGAATGGGAGTTATGTGAAAATCGGGAGGGTGTTATTGAGAGCCCTAACGGAACACGGTTGTTCATGGTCGCCAAAGGGGCTCCTCGGTCACCCAACCACCCTGTCGTAATTTTCGAGTCAGGACTGGGTGTCAGCGGTGCACACTGGACAGCGGTACAACGACTACTGGACCCTCGCATCCGCAGCTACGCCTATGATCGTGCTGGTTACGGAAACAGCCCGGAGTCAAAAAAGCCACGCAGTGCAGCCAATATGGCGGCAGAGTTACTCGATGTTCTCCAAGCCGCGAAGATAAGCCCCCCATACATCGTCGTCGCTCACTCCTACGGCGGAATCATCGCGCGTGAATTTTTAGCTACTGCAGATGTAGACGCGATAGCCGGGATGGTGTTGGTCGATACCAACCAGGAGAATACACACCCTCGGCTCTCCGTGCCCTTCTCTGCCATACAAGCACTCTGCGGCGGGAGAGACTACCCTGATGTCATCGGACTGTTCCGTGACACTTCCTGGACCCAGGAAGAGCTGGACCGCATTGCGATAGATGGAGGCGCCCCGACCACGGCTAGCACCATGGAGCAGGAGGCATCACTATTGCTTCAAAGTTCAATTGATTTGGGGGAGAAGAACCAGTTGGATGCGCGTCCACTGGGTATGCGGCCGGTCACCGTTATTCGAGGTGACTCACGTCGCGACTTTCAACGTCTGCGCACTGCTGCCCAGGAAGGTAACTGCGGGACCAAAGAGCAACTTCAGGAGATGGACGACTTTCTCGAGAATCGATTCGACGTTTTCGACCGTGAGCTACAGATGAACCAGCTACGCTTGTCGGGTAACAGTCGCTTTGTCCAGGCCACCAACAGTGGACATGCAGTTATGGCGACAGAGCCTCAGCTAATTGCTGATGAAATTCTCGCTATCTGGGACTCGAGCATATGATCAACACTCTGTAAGAACTCCATTATATCGTCATTCTAGGAGAGAGCTCGCTGTACAAGCCGCGTGACATGAGCAGCGAAGGGTTAGCAAGAGATATGTCGAAAGTAAACCGTCTCACCACTGCTATTTGCAAAAATGAATCCTCTCTTTCTATAAAAAAATTTGAATTGATGAAAAGGCTTTAAATGTATATGCATCGAACGATAAGCTCACATATCTTTTGATAAATATGCCGTCGTCTGGTAAGCCGCATCTAGTGATATCCGCTTAATGTTAGCTCTCAATCTCGCCGGCCACGCTAATGTGTACTAACTTATGGGAGTGAAGGGCACAGCTGATATTACTTTTGTTAAGAGGGGAGAGCGCCAAACCCCTTGCTGTGGCATATCAGGACTTTCGCTGCCATGGTATCTGTTGACCTTATTGTACGACACCGTTAGTGCCCCGGAATTGGCGTCGTAATCGCTAGGTGAAATAGAAGCAGATATGTCTCCCGTAGAGCACGCTCATGCTCCTTGATCGTGGCGTCAGGATCACATCCTCGCTCTACACACTCAAACCATAACTGGCAGCCAGAGAAACCGGAAGTAGCGGATCTTCCGAGAAGAAGTCAAAGCCGCGACCTCCAAGCGGGCTTCGTTGGGTATTGATCGCCGGACCTAGAAGAACGCGTGTCCCCTTCGCCTTGTATGGAAAATAATGTGTTCGATATCAAGCGAAACGCCTAATGCCATTGCACAGGGTAAGCAGGCTGCAGGAACTCCGTTGAAAAATGGGGTGGTGTCTCGAACACCATTTGGACCATCTGACATGCCAATTGCGGGGATCCCGAATCGTGGGATGGATGTTGTTTGGCAACCATTGACTCCGCCCTCTCTGATTAATTTCAAAAATTTGGAGTGGTTATAGTGAGAAACCTGAGAGTAATGAGACCTCGTTTAAGGAGAGCTCTGGGAGCATGTGGTCAGTGTCAAACGCAGACGAAATGGATGAACAGTGTATGAGACAATAAAAAAGCACTTGCAGCAAACCATATTCTCAAGGTCATTGAGAATCTAAATTTCTCGAGGAATGTAAATTTTGAAGACGTTTGTGTTGGAATATGTCCCGTACAAAGGAAGCCGCATCGCGGAGTATCGGACTTGGGGTGGAAACAAACATCGCGGACTACATACAGTTCTACCGCAAAAGTTTCCGAGCATCCACACCCGCGTTTTCTAATTCTTACATTTTTTTGACCGCGCTTTGAGGCGGTATTGAGGCAAATTGATGGTATACGAAGTAATAAAATATGGAAGTCAAATAATATAGTCAGTTGCCTACTTATATTATATTTTTTATATATTTTTATAAGAAATGGGAGGGTAAAACCTAATGGGAAGATGCGCGTTATACTCACAGGGCAATATATATTTGATGGAGTGTAGGCCGAACGGAAATTTTCGCGGAAGTACAGTATACATCACAGATTATTTGACAAATTTCTACTCTATACTCACGAGATATTTGAAGGTGCGCTTCATATCTGTTACAGCAGGCTTGGATTCAAATTATTTTCAACATTAGCCTGAAATGACGCTGTTGGTGCGGTTGCCTCAGGCCATCAAGTGGTGCCTCAGGCAGAGAGTTTCAGCATATGTTCGATATTACCGTAATGAACGTGAAATTAGGTAATGATAGGTAACGTATTTCACATGCGAGTGGCGCACACAAGCGAGCGGCGCAGTTCAAAACACATAATAAATGCGATATATTCTACATTTATATTTCAACAACCATGTTATCATTTTAGCTCCTTATTTGTCGATAGCTATCGATAAGACTTATTAGCACCATATATCAATTTTAAAGATATTGGATAGGTATATTATTATCATTTCAAAAATTACCGAAAATTACGTTGCTAAAAACTAGAAATATATATATCTCAATCATAAAGTTAGAAACTTCCTTAAAATCCCGTAAAGAGACTAGATATCACCTAGAAAGCATGAGGCTATAAGGAGAAATCCTTATAGACCATAGTGGTTGAAATATCAAGTTGTAATTTATCGCATTTATTATGTGTTTTGAACTGCGCCGCTCGCTTGTGTGCGCCACTCGCTGTGAAATACGTTATTAGATACATACCGATTACAAGAGGTGAGCGGACAGAGGCCATCACGTGACCTTGGTGGATCACCAGAGCGATGACCTCTGGACACAGAGCTCCGCTGACTTGCGTCTTGATGTGTTCGGGAGCTTCGTCTTCTTTCCCAATGTGACTGTCTCCTCCTTTTTATTCAGTCCTACATCCGTAGTCCTAATATTTTAGTACTAATTGGTGAATTCTGAGCAAGTGTCCGAAGATAATAAAATATATTCAACTAATTTACCCTGGATTCTAGCAATGTTTGCACAATAGTGAACAACCCCATTACATCATTCGACTCATCCTTCCAGAATTCCAGCATCCTGGAAACATCATATACCGCTGCCTCCCAACCTCGAGGTAAAAAAGAGACAAGGTTCCCACTGCGCTCAGCAGCGAGGAGCACCAACGCACTCCTTGTACATGATCGGAGCATGAGCCATGTTCCGTGATGCCGATGGTAGAACCCCGTCTGATTCTGCTGGATTCTATCCACACAGACCTTCAGTCCTTTGCGAAGAAGAATATCGCTGTTTCCGTCGACTCTGCCATGTATTGCCTCCACCAAAAAGTGCCAGTACATTGTCTCTTGGCAGTCAAGGAAATGACCACTGAGAATGAATCGGAAGGGCTCATATTGGTCTGTGTTCGGCTTATCTACATCCGGAGCCAATGCTTCTGGGAGAGATCGCAGCCTAGCCTTGATTAGTTGATGTCTTGTTTAATATGAGACATTGCCTACCATGCGTCTGCTTGCTCCTCAAAGTCAAGGATCACCGATTGCATGTTGAAGTTTGAATTTACGCCGTAAGGCTGGTACAGATAGCCCAGAATTCGGTTCTCCAATCTTCGCAATGCAATCTCAGCCAGATAGAAGTACCATGCCGCTTCATCTTTGGACTTGAGCTCTTCTGGGGGCGACGGAAAGAATGTAGGGTATCTGAGATCTGGAACATTCTTTTGGGAAAGATTTAATTCTAGTCGCAGCTCTCTATTAAAGGGATGTCAGAAACAGTCTCTCAGTTCAGCTGCGGTCTACTTACAGTTCAGACTTCAAGCAGGTCCAGTATATTCTCTGCTTCGTGTCCCACCCGTCTTCATAGCGGTTTCCATGTATGCGGAGGATGGAAAAGCTCTGACAACACGCCAGTGCTTGCGTAAACATCCTCCATGCCTCCACGGACCGCAACTTTGTCATTAGATATACGCCCGCAAGGAAGAAGCATTGCGCCTCTACCACGCCGCTCCTGCAGAGCAGCATGCCCATTCGCTTCTGCGCAGCAAGGAAATATGCCTCGGCTTGCAGAAACCCCTTTGACTGATGAAATTGACCAGAAGATACGCCTTGTCCATTCCTTACAAATGGTGTCGCGATTGAACCATTGGCATATATGAGAAGCTGACATCGTATGAGCTAGGCATATGAAAATAGGCTGGGGAAACTCACCAACAGACAAGACTTAGCATCCCACCCGATACCATTCAATCGCACAGTCTTCACATATTCACTGATATCCTCCTCTTTTAGTGTGGGGTTGAAGATATGTACATTATCGAAGAAAGTCCGAACGAGGTGGTCCGCGGCATGGAGGTCAAGGTCGAAGGAGATTGGTAGTTCTGGTTGAATTATGTTCTCCTCGGATGAAGATATTAGATAGAGTCGCGGTTCAAATTCTTGGTCATCGAAAACAGGCCACTTGAGAACCTCCTCAATGTTGATAAAAGAGGGTTTCCATTCCGTCTCCTGGTCAATTACAGGTGACCAAATGTTATGGGAAGTGCTAGACGGGGATGTAGACAGAACATTAGACAGGGCCACTGGAGGTGGATCCTTTACCTTGGTCTGGATCAGTGTTTCTAGATCATCGATGCGTTTCAGGATAGCCAAGCTCGCGGAATCAAATCTGTTGCTTAATTAATTGGTGTTCTTCAATTTTTAGTTGAGGATTCGATTATTCTCCAGGCACTTACGTTGAAGGGCAAAACTGCTGGTAGGAGCATTCCGCCCCGAGCCGCACACACGATGCACATGAAGGCCGGGTATTATCGCACTTCGTCCGTCTAAGGCGACAGGTTTGGCAGGCTTGAGTAGCTCGCTTCCGGGGGTAGGTCGCGGCTGCACGGGCGTGTCTTCGTTTCTGAGGGCTCGGCTTGTCAGCAGGTGGAGTAGGGGACTCCATTTCGGAGGCCGAAGCCTCTAGTCGTATCAGAGACTGGTAGGCCGCTTCTATCGGGATTGAAACGCGGTCTTACTACTGACATGTTTCATGCACCATTCGCAGAGAAGAGGCCCATGAAGTGGAATAAGTATTCCGCGGAGTTTCGGAGAAGCAAAGAGGGGGTTCCCTCATTATTCTCGTGTTTTTCTGCTTTGGTCATAGTATGCATACGGTGGTTTCACCCTTTACCTCAATCGGGTTAGAGTTTGTGTTAGCATGGGAAAATTTTGATTGCTTATGCCACGCCATTCTACAGAGTGCCCCAGATCCCGTCTTTCGTCACTCCCCCAGACTGGGAGCAAATATCCGGGGATGCGGGGAAAAAAAGGTCGGCTCATTTGGCTTAAACCAGCCCTCAACTGGCCACTAAGTCGACGAGGACCCTGGGTCTAATTGCCCGCTCATGATAAACGGCCTGTGCCCATACGCCACACTCCATTTGAATCAGCGGAATTCAGGGAATTCAGGATCCCAAATAAGCTCGCACTAGCTCTTCCCTGTGGACAGGTAGTAATCAAGAGAGAAAAAAACGAAAGGGGAGGGGAAGTCCAAACTAGAAAGTCGAATCAAGCCATTTCAACTTCAATGTGCATGTGACTGCGGAATCACGGATGAACGTTATAGCAAGACGATATAAAATAACGATTGCACCACGGAAATTCCAGTTCCCATCGGCACTCCAGTCATCTTTCTATCGTGCACATTCAATCCACAAAGTGCGATCAAGATGAATGACCAGGAAGATAAACCAACAACCGATATCCAGAGCATTCATGCCAATAACCCTGCTGAATGGAACCTGAACAGTGTTCTCCCAGATACTGGCAAGCCATGGTACAAGCAGCGTCACCTTTTGCTTCTCAATCTTGGGATGATCATTCCCTATCTATCCTCGACGACCAATGGCTATGATGGATCTATGCTCAATGGTCTGCAGTCAATGAGCCAGTGGCAGGAATTTTTCGGCAGTCCAACTGGTACCCGTCTGGGATCACTTTCCAACGGGGTGATCTTCGGTCAGATCCTCGCTTTCCCCGTCGCTCCTTGGCTCTGCGACCACACGGGCCGACGATTCCCGATCTTCATCGGATCGGCACTCCTGGTAATTGGGGCTGTTCTGCAATGTGCCGCGCAGAACTATGCCATGTTTTTGATCGCCCGTATGGTGATCGGATTCGGTGGTCTGATCGCCGTCGAAGCGTCGCCAATGTTGGTTAGTGAATTGGCATATCCGACCCATCGATCTGTTTTGGTCGGCTATTATAACAACCTGTGGTACCTCGGAGCATTACTTGCCGCATGGATTACATACGGAACCTACTTCATGGGTCCAAATATGTCATGGGCCTGGCGCATTCCGTCCCTTCTGCAGGGGTTCTTTCCCCTGTTGCAAGTGCTTTTTGTCTATCTCATCCCAGAGTCACCCCGATACCTCGTGCAGAAAGACCGCTATGACGAAGCCCGAAAGGTGTTGACGAAGTACCACGCTGGTGGAGATGAGAACTCCCCGCTGGTCGACTTCGAGATGAAAGAGATCATATTATCAATCCAGACCGCGAAAGGAGGTTCTCGAACTGGGTATCTTGAGTTCCTAAGCACACGTGGTAACTTGCATCGCCTTTTTATTATCATTGCAGTGCCATGCATGATGCAGCTTTCGGGCAACGGTCTGATTGCCTACTATCTTCACCTCATTCTCAACTCAATTGGCTTCACCTCGGATCCGCAACAGCTGCGGATAAACGGTGGCCTGACAGTGTTCAACTTGGGGGTCTCGATCATTCTAGCCTCGCTTATGGAGGTGGCCGGTCGACGACGTCTCTTCCTTTTCTCGACAGTGGGAATGTTGACCTGCTACGTGATATGGACAATTCTGTCCGCAATCAACGAACAGCGAGATTTCAAAGATGGAACTCTGGGCACTGGGGTGGTTGTGATGATCTTTATGTATCAGCTTTTCTACAACGCTGGTCTCAATGGACCACCCTGGGTCTATGTCACTGAAGTGCTTCCTACTCACCTCCGTGCCAAAGGAACGAATATCATGCAAATTGCGTCGACATGTGTTATTCTCTTCAATGGATATGCTAATCCCGTGGCAATGGACGCGATCAGCTGGAAATACTATATTGTATATTGCTGCGTGATTGCAGTTGAGATCGCGCTTGTCTATTTCGGGTTCCCTGAGACCAAGGGTCACAGTTTGGAAGAGGTTGCATTGATTTTCGATGGAGAAAAGGCTTTCGGTGATGTTCCTGAGAAAGAAACCTCGGCTGGAGCTTGAGTTATTTGCGGGATGGCTGTGTGCTTATGGTGAAGTCTGAACCTTGTTGGGGGGCACTTTCTGAATGTCCGTGTGTGTTTCAGCTATATTTGAATTGGAAATTATATGTATTCGTATCTATCAAAGGATGCCATTGATTGGGGTATATATTACGCGTTCTCTCCATCAAGTTGCGACGAGCGTAAGGTAAATATGACAATACAAAACAAAAACAACAATATCGAACAGTGGGGATTTCCTAGTCAAGTCAGCTATGTATCAACTGGCGTATAGCCCCATTCTTGATGTGTCTACAAAACTAAAGTGGCGAGGAAATCTGTCTTATGTGTGGGTCATACGGGTGAGAATTTCGGACGCCGATGTAACAAGAGATAGGAATCGGGGTGAAAATCGGGGTAGGAACGGGCCAGAATCAAATTTAATATATAAATCAGGGCGGAAAAAGCGGAAATACTACGCTACGGCTGGGCAATATATAATTCGAGTCATATTTGACCTGATTGGTTCATTTTAAGATTGTGTGGTTAAATTCTATACATTAGCGCAACTTGATTAGCTCATATGTCGCACTGGTAACTTACCAAAAATATCGTGCGGGAATATTCTCCTAGGATCTTATACGTTGCTGCATATGTTGTACATAGTCCCGAGGTCTGACCTACACTAGGGAAGTGGGGTCCATAAGAGAGGCCAGATAAAATCGCCTCTTACATATGTGGTCTAATTCTTTTCTTCTCATTTCATTCCTCTGAACTCACTCTAGTAAACTTCACAATGAGTGAACTACCTGACTACGTGCTTGATCCCAATGCTGTGCTTAAAGATGCAAATGCCGCCTGGCGTCATGGCAATCCCCCGGATTACTCTAAGACACGAGCCTTCTATGAACAAAGTACCCCCACCTTGCTCCTAGTCATCTGAATTCAATTACTTATACCCTACAGCTAAGACAAAGACCCACGAACCCGGCAGTCTCCCATTCCTAGTTGAAAATCTCGTGAAAAATTGGGAAATCGAAGCCTCCTTCAAGACAAACCTATCCGACTGGCGTACTGTCGATCACAACGTATACACAGTTTCCGTGAATGGGGGTGAACGACGCACAGGCCACCATATGTTGGAAGTGGGGACTTACAATGCGCTCCTGACCGCGAGTCAGTTCTATGATCCTGCACACAACACCTTCAACGATTCGCACAAGTCATTCAAGCGAATGATGCCAACGTTTGCTTGGGAGGTACTTGAAGTATACTCTGGTCCTCCCGTCGTTGCCTTTCGATGGAGACACTGGGGCGAGATGAAGCAGGATTACGTGGGGTTCAATAGGTATCAGATCACTACTATCCATGATTATCTGATTTCATGCTTACAATCTTAGTTCCGGTGAAAAAGTCAAGGTCGAAGCGCACGGTGGCCCTATTGATATTGAAGGTGTTTTAGTGGCCAAGGTCAATGATAAACTGCAGGTGGAGAGTCTTGATATCTGGTATGACCCTATGGCAATGTTCCGCCAAATTAGCAAAGAGGGTCAGGTTAGCAGTGAGGGTAGTAGCGGTGGGTGCCCATTTGTGCAGGGTTAGCAACATACCCATATGTGACTAGCCATAGAAACTTTACTGTAAATAAGTTATGAAGTGTGGTTGCAAAATACTGATTTATAAGTTATATTCTGGCTGGTGGTTTCCAAATATGCATATATAGTCGTCACGGAAGCGGAACGCCTTCCGAGGTTCGCATGCGCCGATGACCAATAGTGTCTGGTGCATAACTTCTCATACCCAGAACAAGGTCGAAACTACGCTGAACGTGGCTACATCAGCGCCACTAGTTCCACCTTTGTTAGCTCGAAGTTCAATTGGACCTATGAGTTGCATAAGAATATGCATATCTAATAGTTGACGCGCCTGGTAATAGTAAAATTTTGCTAAAGGAGTTTATTCGTGCGAAAATTTCACAACTAAGGCTCAGATAACAAGTGCACAAATAGAATATCACCGGAGCGTGAAAACGAAAAGAGAAAAAAAAAGTGGTCCCAAGGGATTTGTGCCACTCTTGCGAAGCCCATCGCAAAGTAGAGAGCGGAGATCCATAGTTCAAGATGTGAAGCTAGTTGTCCACCACAAGGCAAGATGTCCATCACCGTCTAAATGGCAACAACATCGACCCAAAACCGAGTATCGTCACTCTGGTATTTCTCGTCACTCTCAATCTGCTGTTGAATCCATGATATGGCATCGATGTATGCTAGACACATTTAGCCAAGCCACTCGTTAACTAGAGAATGATAAAGCTCACCGTTGATGTCATCCGTGCCTGGGTTATTGATACCCGACTCTCCATTGCGGTGGCCGCTAAACCAAGTTTCATACCCGTACTGCTCCTCACCCTCATGGCGAGACTGAATGTCCAGTGGCAAATCCGAACTAGCGCTCCAGCATCAGCAAATATATACCTGGGAATATAGATGATACCCAAACTTACTTGAGGATGGCACCATCATCGACCTCGCTTTCGGTCTTGCCCAGGAATTCAGACGCAGAATTTCTCAGGATGTACCAATTCTGCTTGAAAATGCCAAAGTTCGTGGCGTCGCCTGTTTTTCCGTCACCTGGAAGTATGAATGTTAGCACCCTTGGTAGTTTACCGGCCAACGTTTAGGTATACCATATATGTAATCCGTGGTCATGGTTTCGCTAATACTTGTAAGCTGAGTTATTAGGCTGACCGAGGAAGTAAACTCACGTCTCTAGCATCGCAATAGCCATGTCACGAGTGTTGCCACCGGCATTCAAGACCTCCTGCTTGCGAGACCCAAGCCCTGGAACTGTGTAGTTACCCCGATCATCTGCGCGGGTCACAATTGCCTTCAAGCCTGATGTAGGAGACGAGACCACCGCAGATGCGAGAGCCAAGGAAGAAAACAGAGAGAGGAGCTGCATCTCGTAATAAGATGAAAAAAGTAGTTATGTGCTGGTTTATTTAGATTGTGGATTTTTGGTGATTCAAAGATTGTAGACCAGCAGCCTCTTTTTATACCTAGGTAAGGGCGATTTGACACCCGTGGAAATTACGCATAGTTCGACATCCGGGGTAGCATCCATGGATGAATGGGATGAGTGAATTGTTACCCATATTCCCGTGTAAAAATTGGAAATGATTTTCTCCTTCATCCTGTGCGGATCTTCCTTTATTGAGGCAGAGTTAGTTTCAGGTCCTACACTAGTTTCAAAAATTCATGTTGTAACAGACGAGTGCCCCAAAATTGATCAGAGAGGTAGACAACAACGGAAGCCAAAGATGAGCTCGAGGGTGATTATGAGACTGCACCAAGAGATACAGAAAATGATACGGCGTCAAGCCAGACGGTGCTCTTGTTCGGAATCGTTATATTTAGTTGATAATGTGTAAATACGTTCAAGTTGGATAGGATCTACAATTTGGTGGAGGTCTTCGGAATTACCCGTTTTGATCGGACTTCCGCCCACTGTGGGCTCAAATAGGCAATTTTATATAATAAAACTGGGCGCCCAGGTGCAGATGCGCCTATAAACCGGCATGTTTATAGTTTTTACTTCCTCCGACAAGCAGTGCTATGCCTGAAGGGACCAAAGCGTAGTTCCTCAATCCTCTGGCCGCCATCGCAGCAGTGTCGGGACAAAAGTCCAAAACACATGTTTCTCGTCCACTTCGATACTCGCAAGTCATTCTTTCTAATCCCTATTCTTTTTGCATGGGATTAGGAAATTCACATTGACCTATTTGATAATAAGCAAGACACTAAGTAACCCTCCTCGTTGTAAGATGGACCTAACGATGATATTGAATAGTCAAAGAGCCTGTCTCATAGAGCAGTTCCCAGATCTAGTCAGATTGTTAGAATATCTAGTGTAGCAAAATTGATGTGTGATCCTCATCAATGTACCTAGATTCTATGTTTCAACACTATAGTCCTAACTGGCTCTAATGATGGCTTCTGCAGCTCGATATTCATTTGGCTGGATAGAGTGTTTATAAGAGGTCTCGCTTTCGTACACAGAAAGACTCAAACCCGTGATCACTCGCCTTCCTAGGCTATCTACTTCAAAACCAAAGTTATTTCGTGCACGGTATATTGTTGGATCATTAGGGGGGTTCTGAGGCAGTGGATTCTCTATCTTATTGCGAATAACCGTGCCGAGTATGGGGTGGTCCCCAAGAGCCATAAGAATATTATTGACCTTGAGATCTACAAATTCTTAGAATTCTCGACAAAGAAGAGTTCTTTGGTTATTGAACCGATCTGTATGGAAGATATGAGTTTCGGTGCGAAGATGATGAAGGCCCATTATGACCATCCGAATGGTGGGTATAGAGAACGGGTAAGCTTTCATCGACGCCCGACTAGACATCTTGGACGGTGGATGAGGCACGTTCGGTGGCAGGCTCGTTGTCAGCCACAGCGGTGGCCCGGCGTCGTTGGAGCATAGATAAATGCTATAGCTGGACGACTATACCATCAAGACCTGCCGTGATATTAGCTTGAAGGCGCGAAGCGGAGGCGCACGGAGTTTGCAACCCAGTGGTAGCCCAACCACTATAGACTATAGCTTTAGGGACACTGACTGGCTAGATAGGCCTATCCGTACTAGAGGATTGTTGTTATAACCTGCCCCTGGACTGGCGAGTTGCACACTAGGCCAAAAAGACCACTATGTCTGAGCATTACGCTCATGTATTCCAGGCTCCGATATATATAGTGCGACACGACAATTGTGCACATAGTGCCCTTACCGCCGTATATACAATTACTACAGCACTTGAGGAACCCTAGCTCATCCACTACCACACACAAAGTAAAGTCTCCTCGCCGCGCCAAATAGTGCTTCCAGCGTTCGGGCTGAAGAACCATTGTCAGTTAAACAACTGGCTCACGCGGCTTATCTTAACCTATCATCAATTTCAAAAACACAAATCAACCGGGTCTCCTCCCTTCACAACGGATGAAGGTAGACATTCAATGCCATTGTACCATCCGTGCAGGCTACAAGAGGCTCAGGGCTGATCACATCGTGGACCTCGTCATTATTAAACTCCGTCATATTAGGCTAAAACCGGGGTGGTACGTCAATTCAGCCATACCTTCGTTTCTAATATGGCAGAAATATAAAAAAGGGAAGGGAAGAATCGTGAAAACTCACGCTAAGTGAAATCTGAACAAGTATACTTAGCGGGAGGCTTTAATATTAATAGTCTTAGGGAAGGAACGTGGGAGTGGCGAGGAAGGTGCATCCATGTTCAATATATATATTATTCAGTCAACAACCTTGCCCAGGTGCAATATTCTAGGATTTGATATTTAAGGAGGAAAAATAGATAATCCTTAATCCAATTTCATATAGACGTACTACAATACAGGTCCATTTAAATAGCAATTGATTATTATATTAATACAATTAAAATATGTGAGTATGAGGGATGTGTACATATCGGGTGTGGCTTAGTATGGTTGGGTTGAGACCGAAAGCCTGATCGTATACACTAGAAGCCCTGGCTACGATGCCTGCATGTTTGTGACCTGGCGGTATCGTGACCGAGTTACATGCGGGTACGCCTAGTTGTAAGCCCATCCTCGACTGGCATGCGTCTACGAGAGTAGTTGATTAGTGCGTTGGTTGGATATGCAAGGTGAGTAGCATTAAGGGAATTAGGGAAATTGAAGCAAAGCGAGATTAGGACCCTTTTCTTTTTGGGCTTTGAAGTATATAAATTTATACGTCAACTGCAAGTACATATTCTTTATATGATACTCGGATTTAATGAAAATTCCACCGCGTGTCGATTGATTGGTTATAATGCGGGGTAACTGTACATGGTTTCTCTCCTGACTACCTGTCTTGATCGGACTTCCGCCTAATGTAGGCCCAAATAGGCAATTCGGCGGAATCAAAGGGGTCACAGCGTGGCATTTTCGGGTGATCTACATTGCAGGTGGGGTAGCAGGGGTTCGGCGGTAGGCTTGTGACCTCTAAAAGTATCGTATCGGAAGGAGGGGGATTACGTCTGATGCAGTGTGTTTTCTTTCTTTGCATGTCTCGACCTTAATGATTTCATAGGCAGAAATAGACTCAGTTAGTTCCTTTCAAGTATCGACTGCAGCTATAAATTAGGCCACTCCATCCTGTCTGAGATAGTTCTCAATTGAATGTGCCGTGAAACCCAGCAACGAACTTATCTCCGATTTGAACCACAGATATGACTTTTTCTAAGCAAATCCTGTCCACGGAATGGACTTTCAAGGACCGAGATGATGAGACATCGGATGCATGGATGCCCGTGTCGGCAGTACCTTCCACAGTACAGCAAGATCTCATTGCAAATAAGAAGTTGGGGACCAAACTACTCTGCTATGCACATAGACTGACGTTTCATTATTATGTAGGCTCGAAGATCCATACCTGGGCTTTAATGAACTCAAGGCGCGGTGGGTTAATGAGAAGTCATGGGTGTATCGACACGTTTTTCAACAACCGGAAATCCCCGCCGGTGCAACTGTGGCGCTAGTATTCGACGGCCTGGACACCTTTGCCTCAGTCAAGCTCAACGGCAAGGTAATCCTCGAGTCTAACAACATGTTCCTAGGCTATCGCGTGGACATCACAGAGGAACTGAGGTCGTCACCCGAGAGCGGAAACGTGTTGGAGGTCGAATTCGATTGCGCCCAGCACAAAGCAATCGAGCTACGCAAAAAGGATCCGAATCATAAATGGCACGGCTTCAATGGGGAGATGGGGCGTCTGGGTGTGCGTAAGGCTCAATACCATTGGGGTTGGGATTGGGGCCCAATCATCATGACAGCTGGTATCTGGCGTGAGGTACGACTGGAAGTCTACTCTGCACGAGTCGGAGACCTGTGGCCACAGACATACCTGGCTCCTGACCATCAAACAGCGACAATCACAGCGCATGCCAAAATCGATGTGCCGAAGTCGGAAGGCTGTGTCGCTCGCTTCCATTTGACTCTACGTGGAAAAGAAATAGCTCACCAGGATATCCCGGTATCTTCCGGTCAAAACGCCCGAACCACCTTTAGGGTCAACAATCCGGAATTGTGGTGGCCACACGGCTACGGTGCTCAGACCTTGTATGAAGTGTCGGTTTCACTGCTGTGCGATGCAAACGAGCTACATAATGTGTCTAAGAAATTTGGCATTCGGTCCGCCGAGGTCATTCAGCAGCCGGATAAACATGGGAAGTCATTCTTTTTCCGTATCAACGGAATGGACATTTTTTGTGGAGGGTCTTGCTGGATTCCTGCCGATAACCTGCTTCCTAGTATCAGCACAGAGCGATACCGGAAATGGATCGAACTTATGGTGGAAGGAGGCCAAGTGATGACCAGGTAAGCTAGAATACAATTTGTTGTTCGGAGACTGTCTAACAATCATTGAAAATAGAGTATGGGGTGGCGGGATCTACGAAGACGATGCTTTCTACGACGCTTGCGATGAGCTCGGTGTTCTAGTATGGCAGGACTTTATGTTCGCTTGCGGTAACTACCCGGTATGGCCAGAGCTACTAGAGTCTATACGAGAGGAGACAGCCTACAATATACGGCGCTTGCGAAACCATCCTTGTATCGCGATCTACGCCGGTAACAATGAAGATTATCAAGTCCAGGAGCAGACTGGACTCACTTACAACTACGAAGATAAGAACCCCGAAAATTGGCTCAAGTCTGACTTCCCAGCACGTTATATCTACGAAAAGCTACTACCAGAACTGGTATCTGAGCACTCGCCGAGTACTTTCTACCACCCGGGAAGCCCATGGGGCGATGGAAAAATCACGAGCGATCCTACCGTGGGGGATATACATCAATGGAATGGTCAGTCAAACTAATTCCAAACTATGATTTCAATGGGGTTTCCGACTGAATATTTTCGCTCATGACTTTGCAGTGTGGCATGGAACGCAGGAGAAATATCAGATCTTTGACAGTATAGGAGGTCGCTTTAACAGCGAGTTTGGGATGGAAGCTTTCCCACATATGTCGACGATTGAGTATTTCCTAGAAAAGGAGGCAGACAAACACCCTCAGTCACATGTTATGGACTTCCATAATAAGGCTGACGGCCACGAGAGGCGATTGGCGACGTATCTAGTAGAAAATCTACGCCTAGCGACTGATCTGGAGGTATGTCGTTTGTCAAGGTCAACTAAACGAGAAAGAAAAGAAGAAAATACTCACCATATACATAGACATACACCTACCTCACGCAGGTCGTCCAGGCAGAGACAATGATGTTCGGATATGGCGGATGGCGCCGCCAATGGGGCGACGAGCGAAAATGTGGCGGAGCACTGCTATGGCAGATAAATGACTGCTGGCCTACAATCTCGTGGGCAATTGTGGACTACTTCTTGCGGCCAAAGCCTGCGTATTACACAGTTAAGCGCGTGATGCAGCCGATAGTAATCGGTGTACGACGTTCGCATCACGACTGGAGTGTGGTGCATGCAGTACCCCCCAAACAGAGCCAGTACGAGATTTGGGTTGCTAGCAGCCGACAGGAAGTGCTGCATGGAACCGTCGAGCTGCGATTCCTATCGGTGGTGACCGGTAAAGACCTCCGCGCTCCCGCTCTCTTTACGGATGTGACTATTTCACCCAATGGCACCACCGACATCACAAGTGGGATCATAGATCACGTCGCTGAGCCCGAGCCACATGTTTTGGCTGCACGGCTATGGATCGATGGCCAGATTGTGGCCAGGCACGTGGATTGGCCACAGCCGCTCAAGTACCTTGACTTTTCTGATCGCGGGCTGGAAGTGAAGCAGCAGCCAGGAGCTTCCGCTGGAAAGCAACTCCTTCGAATCAACTCACAGAAGCCGGTGAAATGTTTTGTCTTTGAGGAGCGCGAGAATGTGCGGATCAGCGACAGCGCTATAGATATTGTTCCGGGGGATGAACAGCTTGTGGAGATTACGGGGCTAAGCGATAGTGACCTACCGTTGAGGTATCGTTACCTCGGTCAATAGTTCCTTTTCAACCACGTTAGGAGAGGGGTTAGAGTACAATTGAAGTTTCTTGTTATGGTATTATGGCTACATATCCAAGATATACGTAGTGATGTTATTGTTTTGTTGTGTAACCATCTCACTACAATGTATGTATGTACCATGTAGGCAATGAAATGAATTATAATGGTACCCACTCAAGTAGCCTGTGAGAGAATACTGGCCTGTCGGCTCGTATGGCCCCTTTTTTCAGAATAGGTTTACGCCTTCTACGTAGCTACCTGTCATCATAATGCATGGCTGATTTTATTTTGACTTCGTTGCAATTGTCTTCTTCCTCATGTCAGAAAGATGCTCTAGGATTGATTTCGTCTCTATCATAGTTCTGCTCCCTATGCTGGACGTTCCACAGTCAGTGGCTAGGCAACTATTATATTATGAGAAGCAAATGAACGAGTCATATTGAATGTAGGACAGTTCGTTCTGGGGCGTTCATGGCCCGCTCTGCTGTTGAAGTAAAAGAATCTCCACGAGAAAAGCAAATAGAAAGCAGAAATAACCGTTTAATTTTGACATTCTTGTACTAGTTCCCCAATATCGGACGGGGTCGCGGAGAAAATGTAGTAATTGCCGATGTTAAATCCGGGGGAGTACTGGCGGAGCATTTCCCTTTTTGGAAAGGAGTAGGCGGACCTAGCCGAGCCGGTTTCGGTTGGGGCCGAGTTACCCCAGTTTGTTCGGTAGGGATTGGCCTGAGGTGGCCTTTGATTGGTCAGAATCCCGGATTCACGGCAACTTTGCTCTCCACCACCGAGCAGAAAAGTCACTCCTAATTGGACGAAGCACAACGCAAGGAATTCGACAGAAATCTGTTTTGGCCAAGGACTTCCGATAGGATTAACGCGTGATGTCGGCTAAGGAGAGGGGGAGAATATCGCCGTTGCGGGAATAAATATCATGTCACGGCCACCTTTTTTCCGATGGATTGAGTCATTCTTTTGCGGATCACATCCTCAACGCGAAGAATACATTTCCACCATGGCAGCAGAGCCTACAAATCCAGGCGAACTCGCTGAGAAGGAAGGAATCAACGATGCCGTGCACCAGGAGCACAAGGAGGGCGTGAAGGTAGAGACTGTTCATGGCTCAGTGGCTCTGGATTTAGCTAGGCGGACCAGTCCCCCGAATCCGTGGAGTGTTCAGATGAGAAAGCTATATCTATTCTTGACTGTGGCATATCTTTGTTCAGCCCTAAACGGTACGGGAACTATATTTGATAACTGATAGAAAATCCATGACTAACGGGTTTAGGATTCGATGGCTCGCTCATGGGTGCTCTGCTTCCTATCAAGCAGTTTCAAGACACCTTCGGCGCCGGCTTGGTCGGTTCTAAAGCTTCTTTGATCCAGGGAATGTACACAATTGGAGGTGTCTGCGCGCTGCCCTTCGTCGGAGTTGTCCTTGATACTTGGGGTCGCCGGAGCGGCATGTTTGCTGGGTCCTGCTGTGTTGTCGTGGGCACTATTCTTGGTGGAACTGCCAACCACATGAATCAATTACTTGCTAGCCGATTCTTCCTTGGTAAGTGCCTGGACTGCACTCATTCTGAATTCTGCTGTTAACAAAACATCTCAGGTTTTGGATACTCCTTGGCGTCCTCTGCCGCACCCGCCTACGTCGTCGAGATGAGTCATCCTGCATACCGTGACATTCTGACCGGTTTATACAACTGCCAATACTTTGTCGGCGCTATTGCTGCTGCTGGTGCCTGTCGCGGATGCCTAAAATACGAGAGTTCCCTGGCGTGGCGCATCCCCATTTGGTGCCAGATGATTTCGTCCGGCATGGTACTGATGACGGTTTGGTTTATTCCCGAGTCACCTCGTTGGCTCTATAGTCATGGGCGCCGTGAGGAAGCCTGGGGTGTTATCACCAAGTATCACGGTGAGGGAAACCGGGATAATGCCTACGTTCACCTACAGGTTCGAGAATATGAAGAGGGGATCAACCTTGAAGGCTCGGATAAGAAGGCATGGGACTTTAGAGAACTCATTAACACAAAGGCAGCCAGATGGCGCCTGGGATGTGTGGCTATAGCATCATTCCTGAGCCAGTGGGCGCAGGCTGGTGTCACGAGCTACTACATCGGCGGGCTTTTGGAGTCAGCTGGTATGACCGATACAGAGGATGTGCTGAACATCAATCTTGGCAACACAATCCTCTCTGCTGCTGGAGCCTACTTGGGAAGCTATCTGGGCCCAAAATTCCGACGGAGACCTATGATGCTTGGCGTGTCCGTTGCTTGCTGTGTAAGTCTACGTCCCGCGTTGTCCTTATGTTTTTAAGTCAATGTTCTCCGCTAACTTTAGATATAAAGGTCTGCTTTGCGGCTTTTTCAGCCACCACCGGAGTGTACAATAAGACGGAGAACCAAGCAGCGGCCACCGCCTCTATTGCGTTCATCTTCTTGACCGGTCTTGTTTTCAGCATTGGCTGGACTCCATTGCAAGCCATGTACGCCGTCGAATGTCTTTCATACGAGACTCGTGCCAAGGGTATGGCCATGTACTCTGTCTTCACCAACATTGCCTTGCTGGTGAATCAGTTCGGAGTCGGAAATGCAATCAGTGTCATTGGATGGCACATGTATATCATTTTGGCAGGCTGGAACGTTGTCCAGGGAGTGATCATTTACTTCTTCGCCGTTGAGACAAACGGACGGACCCTCGAAGAACTTACGGAGATCTTTGATGCCCCCAATCCCCGCAAGAAGAGTACAGAACGCCAGCAAGTCTTGGTTTCCGAGAATGCGAACGAGGTGGTGGAAGTTAAGACTGCATAGGTTGAATAGCCCAGTGTTTTCTATTTCATGTCGAGTTAATGTATTGTATGCTTTTTCATTGGCATGATGTTCTGCTATGCTCATGTTATGTTTAATCGGGATTTCTTACTGGCTGTGTACATGCCAATGTGATCCATTCAAGATCCGTCGTTTAGCCAGCCCCGCGCAGTTGATCTTTCTTCTTTCCTCTCATCACCAGTCGTTAACTTAGCCAACACATGCTTTCTTTCCCACATTGCCTTGTCCACATCCATGCTAGTCTAACGGAGTGTAAATCTGCCAAAATAAGACAAGATGTACACCACGTAGGCACTCTCGCCTAAACAATCAGACCCTTGATCCATAATTTGGCCGCTCCATAACTAATCACTCTATACAGCGTCGACCCCGATTCATCTATAAATGGGCCACCGTTGTCACTACTACAAATGGAGATACCAGGGATCAGTGTATTCGGCTCAATACACATCATGTTCTTTGGAATGGGATTGTTCTGAGCCCAGTCAGAACTGCATGTCGATCGGTCGATGTCAGCACATTGGATTGGTGCAGGGTGTTTGGCAAGATGGTGTTGGATGAAGCAAGCTTGCCCTAGCCTGCTAATCGTACAGGAACACCACTTGTATCGTCTGGGTTGATCTCATTGCCAGGCAATGCAGTTGCAGTGACACTTCCGTCCACAACAGTATCGGCTAAGTGTATAATAGCGTAGTCATGGTCTATCGTATTCGTGCTATAGCTGGGATATATGGTGATCTTCTGAATATTCAACAGTTTTCCACCAGTTGTATAATCCGCACTTCCAACGCGCACGGTGAAAGATGAGGGAGTGTTGCCGTCGAGGCAGTGGGCGGCAGTAAGGATCGTCCTTGAACCCACGACCGAATCACCGCAGACCATCGAGTTTCCGAACCAATTGTTGCTTATGATAGCGGCGATGAAAGCATATTCGAGGCTGGTGGTTTTAGTACCATTGATGATGGCAGTGGCTATGGGGCTAAAAGCCATCCGATTCGAGCGAGGAAAATGGAGGAGCGCATGCCGAAGGGAGGTAGGGAGGTAGCGGGGTTGAAGGGGAAAAAAACTGAAAAAATAAAATCTAACAGTAGAGTTAAGGATTTCAAGTAGGGTTTGTGGTGGATATAGATTCTGTACGGAATATATAATATATGTTGTTTACTTCATACTCGATCGAATAACATTGTAGAAAGTCCCAAATCCATTTGCGCTATTCTTCACCCTGACGATCAATCGGACTAGTACGCATTAGGTGGCTTCATGGGTGGTGTGTAGTACAATATGCATAAGAAAGTGCCTAACTGCTGTCCTCGAGAGGTGTCACGCAGGTTAATATTGAAATTGGTGGCAGGTTTCACATACGAGTGCATGTATCGAGTAGCAAAGTAGCAGTTCTTTGCTTCGGCACTCGAATACATCTACACTCCACCGATCATCCGCTCAAGACCGAGATCTGCCGAAATATTTGCCTGTTTTGGGCTCTCAACTTGATTGGCTCCAATGATCTGCAGGACTCAATGTGAGACATGTCCATTCATCAGGTGGTCTTAAGTAGGTAACTATCGATCTGCTTACGAGGTAGAGACCATGCGCATACACAGTATACTTCCATTCAAGAATATCTGGACGATGTGGCCCATCTTTATTGACTCAGAAGGTCCGAATAATTAAACAAGGTGAATAGTGAATAGGTCTAAACTGAAAGTGGAGTCCATAGCAATCGCACGTGTGTTTGTATTAATTGTGGAATAAAATTATGTGCATTAGAGTAAAAGAGATGATGATCTCACGTGTTTCCTCCAGGCGAGTTCAAAAAAGACATTTCCACATTTTCGTTCTGAGCATTAAGGTCAAAAACCTCCGGCCAAAGATTGCTATGATCCCAGCTCAAATACTCCCACATGTACTGAGATGAAAGGGTTTCAAAGGAAGTAGCAGTCCAATCGGAGACGCGATCACGGGCGAGCTGTTGGCCTGTATTGAAAGTATTTGGAGGAAGGAAATTTTGGGGGTCGAGGCTCTCTCCAGTTGGATCAAGCGGCTCTGCAGTGGGACGATGAAGGTTAGACTCGAGAATGGCCGAGATAACCTCAAGTGAGCGTCCTGAGGTGTGTCCGTAAGGCTTCATGCGACCAAGAGTCAACATAGCTGTCTCAACCTGCGTCTTACAAGCATCGGAATCGTCATCTGCGACACCAGCGGACAAACAAATCAAGGGAACCATGGTGGCCTGGAATAACATCCAAACAGCGTTCCAGCCGATCATCTGATTGAGTTTGATTGTCGAGGAGATGTCATCGATGGAAATCTTTGCGATTTCCTGGCATTTCTGAATAGCAGTGCGTTCCTCAACCCGAATGGCCATGAAGGGAATTCTTCGCATGGCATAGTTCAGAAGAGTTGGGCGATAAAGTAGCATTCGATGATTGTAGTATCGCCAACGCATCACAGTACGCACTGCATGTAGTGATTCGGGACAAGGTTCGTAATCCTTGAGGACTGGCGGTAGGTCGCTCCACCACCGAACAAGCTGCGAGTCCAGATCGAACATCTCCTTGGGGGATAGGGTTGGCAGCGCAGCTAGTGATTCTTGCATTTTTAGGGCAATCTTCACGAACTGGATATTCTCTGTCAAGGGGAGGACATCGAAATAAGATTCCTGTCAAGAGTCAATTTAGAAATAGTTACTGGATATGTTGCCTAGGAAAAAGGGGTCAGGGGATGTGCACCTTGTCAAGCCGACTAGGCAAGTTAACTGTGATGCTCGGGCCAAAGTAATCCATGCTTGGCCGGCCAAGCGTTTCGTGTCCCCAGGTCTCCAAACAGCAAAGGGACCACCAAACTCGACGTTTAAATTCTTGGTTTGCGGACTTCTTATGGTCGAGTATCGAATGAATATCAGACGGCTCCCGCTGCAAGCCTAAAGTAACTGCCATCCGCAGCGACGCACCCATAAGGGAGTATGCAAGGTTCGGCTGGCTAGTATAATGACAGTACCAGCCACCCATGAGTCCGAAAGCCTGAACAACTTCAAGGCAAGGATCCCCGAGCGAACGTAGATTTAAGTGATCCATTGCGCGGTCAAAATAAACACGGTGGGTATGGTTATCTGGGCCGGCGCCTGCAATATTGCCCAACGCGAGAACTATGTTGAGTAGTGCAAGCCATCGACTATCCTTCCGACGGCCAACTAAGTGAGTCGTGCGAAAAGATTCTTCGTCTATGAGTGGTGCGAATGGTTGGAAGTTAATAAAGTACCCATCTATCATTTCAAGTTCCGTGGGTGGGGCGTTAGACTGAGGTGGATCTTGCGACTGGGGGAACGAGTTGGTTGGCTGGGATGCTTGGTCTTTAGACAAGGAGTGGGCGAAGTATGAATTAACTGCTGGATGGAGCCACGCAATGACCTTCAGTGCAGCCTGAATAGATGAAACACCGAGGTAGGATGTTGGGTGTCGAGTGGATAGGGATAATGCGTTGACATCATCTGAGATATGTCCGACTGACTCCGAGGCACTAGCACTCCGAGCTTCATCGAGTTGCTCTCCTGGTATCGAATGTAGTGACTCCAGACCAGGCATCTCTCCGGACAACCCAGAGTTGTGGGTGTCTAGAGACGCGGCAACAATCGATGGATCTCTGTGCTGGGAATATTGGGATCCGCCTGTGGTCACCAAATCTAACAACTTATCCCTTGAAAAATGGGCGATGTTCTCCGGGGCAGTGTCCGGAAAAAGTCTTTCAAGTGTGCTTTTGTAGTCGGGCGAGGGTATTGCTGCTTTCTCCGACTGGCTAGTTTGATCAGTTTGTGTTCTCAAACCTTGGGCCTAGGTTTGAATTTTTTTTTCATCATATTTTTTTCTTTACCTTTGCGATGATCGAGATTCCGTATAGCCACACAGTTCAGGCTTCTTGTACCATCGACAAGCTTCACATGGCTTCTCACCATCACATTTGATTTTGCGACGACGACATGAAGTACAGGCTCGCGGTGTCGATCCTCGGCGACTGAGCCTTTCACTTCGCCTTTTATGCTTTGGGTTACGCAACCCCTCTTCGCCATCTTGAGCTTTGAATGCGATAAACATGACTGAGAGAGCCTATGTAAGCGATATACATAGGATGAAGATTAAAGGGGTCATACTGTTTTCTGGGGATATGCATAAAAATTGCCAATGCGGGGTTTCGCGCATCAGATGCTTCAGGGGAAACTCTGCAACAAGGTTTGTGGGGAATTCTCCGAGACTTCCGGGGTAGCCCCGAGGTTTTTCCGAGATAATCCGTGTTGGTTGAGGACAGGCGGAGACTAAGCCTGTTTGGGCAGAAAACGGGCGGACCTCATTGCTTCTCTGCGACATTTTATATTGACATATGACAAGCATCTGAAATGAGAGACACATAGAGCTTGAATTTTGAAACTATTCATTATCCCATTGAAAGAAAAAACAAAAAAGTGGTTCTAGTTCCACAAAAGGCTGCAGCACCCATTGCATATTGTAGTGGGGGACGTGGTCCTCCACTACTATGCGCCGGCACCTATCCTCTCACTTGTGCAAGCGGATAATTTATGTAAGCAGTTAGTGCAACTAGTGCTTTAGAGGTTACAAGTAGTAGATAGTTTACAGATTGACAATACACACTCCTACACCTCTCTTGGCTGACTCCTTGGTTTACTGTCCCGGTTCGCTTTGTATGTCATGGGGGGTAGACGGCCTGGTTGCAGCTGCTGAATCGACCCGTATGCCAGAGAGCATACTGCCTTGAGCGTTCCCCTCTTCAATATTTAACTCTCTTTCACACTTCCCGTAAACGATCGCCGCGGTTGTCCTCATAGACGTTGACATGATATTTTTTGAACTTTCTGGTTTTGAGCTTCGCATGAAACATCACGTCAAGCTCTTCATAACTTCGTCTTTTGGTCTCAGGAAGACGGAAGAACGCCCAAACTGCGGTTAGAGCGGCGAAGGCAAACCAAAAGAATCCTGTCTTACCTATTCGTTTGTGAGTAAAATTTACAATCAATAGACCTGCCCAATTAGAACATACCTTTCCAGTTCCATGCAAGAGGATTCATCATGTAAGGTTGCATGACGTTCGCCATGATTTGTGCCAGGTAGTATGAGGATCGGGCCAACACAACGGTCTTAGACCTCAATCGAGTAGATGAAACTTCTGCTGGGATAGTCCAGCCGACGGGCCCAATCGTAAGAGAGTATGTAAGCAACCAGACGATACAAAGAACTGACTGAACCCATTTAATGGTTGGATTTTTGCTGTCGGTGGCGAGACAGCCAATGATCAAAAGCCACATACTCAGAAGACTCATTCCGGTGAGGTAAAGACTCCGCCGATGGAATTGCTTCATCAAGAACCAAGAGACAATAGTACCGCAAAAGGCAATACCGGTACCACCTAGGTTGAGTTTGTACGAGTCATCGGGACTGAGACCGGCTTGCTGGAAGAAATAGGTGGCGGAGTACGCAAATTGGGCACCAGAAGTAATTTGGCCGACGAAGGAAACACATGCAATCTCAGTCCGTCGGAGGTCAGTGCCCTTGTAACAGTCCCAATAGGACGTGCCTTCGGTTACGTCACGCTCAAGGTCGTTTGTATGAATCATCAGAGCCACGAGTGGTCGTGCTTGCGGCTTCTCACTTTCTGACATGAGAGACTTGACGGTCTTTTCTGCCTCCACATACTTTCCCCGGCGGACTAGGTACCAAGGGGATTCGGGCATGAAGATGCATCCGACAAGGAGAAAAGGAATCCATATCCATTGAATGGCAAACGGAATGCGCCACGACCACTGATCAGTGCGATTAATAAAACTCTGCAAAACACCCGCACCAACGAGTTGGCCGGTTGCAAAACACATATTGGTATATGCCGTGAGATATACCCGCAAAGGCAGAGGGCAAACCTCCGAGGCGTATGCAGGGCCAATAGTAGCGAATATACCCCAGGGAACACTGCAAGACTTGTAAGTAAATCGAAATCCAGGAGGGAAATGAGATCTTACCCGCAAAGGATCTGCCCAACTGCCTGCAGCTCGATGGACATACCGAAGAAGGACACAAACGCAAATGCCGCCATCAATACAACACCCAAAGTGAAGGCCGGCCGATAGCCAAAGCGCTGAATAAGGTAGCCATTCAGAAGGGCACCAACAACAGCACCAGCCTGAGGCCCACTACCCATGGCGCTCTGCCACTTCGCCTGAATCTGGTACGTATTTGTCGAAGGGTCTAGCGCGCCAAAGCGCTGAGCGTACCTCGGATAGGCATAGAGCGAGCCAATCAACGCTGTGTCGCAACCCTCCATGATGATAGACATGGAGACCACCAGCGACCAGACCACCGCCATCGGGTATGCTTTTAGGGCAGTAACAATACGGAGAGAATGTTCATGAGCATTGCCAGCCTGGGCATCTTCTAGTGTGGCTTCCCAATAGCCTCGACAGCCGATGAAGTGATCGGATTCTTTCACAGCATCGTGGGAGGTTGACAATGCGGGCAGATCGTCGTGTTCGGTGGTAGATTTCTGTTCTTCCATGGTTGCGTCCTCGGTGTGACACGTTTAGCCTGATGAACAAGTATGGAGGAAGAAGGAAAGATTATCAGGGGGTCACCATGGTTCTTATACTGGAGAGAAGTGATCAGTCCGGAGATTCTTTGAATGGTCCCACCCCCGGATTTCATAGTTTTCGGACAACCGCAAGTTTCCCGGATTCGCCCCATAGTGGGGGCCACAGTATCGATCTCCTTGGAAAGATCAATGGTAATCAGATGATTCGACTTTGAAAGTTGTACTCAACCTTGCGTCTTGGCATGCCCGGAGGTCGGTGAGGGGGCGGAGACCAATCATGGGGTGCCGGCTCGGAGATCTGGGGGGGGGGGGGGGGTAGGAAACGCGGAGATGCCCCACCCCCACGCCATATTCCCAGATCTAGGGCTTTTTCTACGTACCTCCTTACTTGAACTTGAATAGGCAAAAAAGCGAGAAACGAGCAATGATCTGCAGGACAATGTGGGACTTAAAAGCGGGGTCGAATTTGTTGTCATCTGCAGACCCCGTATCTATATCTGATCTCACGATGTAAAGCACAGAGTTTCATTTTCAACAGAGGGTTCAAACCTACATCTAGTTACTCCAACTAATTGCGAGCATGTCCCACACTTCACCTACGATCCGTTGGAAAACCACAGCCTTTACTATAGACCTAGTCCAAAATGAAGCAGGAGCAATTTGCGTGCAGAGCATTCTTCCTGCAATGGTGCAGGCCCGAAAGTCGGCCTCACTCCTTTTTGAGTCATCCGAATTGTCGCTGATTAGCGTCAAACTGGCAGGCGAGGGTAACACACACGATAAAACTGCAAAATGTCTAGTGGGAAGCCGTCTTTCTGCGCGAATGAGATACGAAAGCCACAGGATACAGAACGATGGCGAGGTAGAGAAATTGGAGATTCAGAGCCGAGATGCAGTTACAAAAACCCTGGTCACCGTTTGCCTCTCTATATACGGAGCAATTCCAGCCCTGAGGTCGTCAGCTACGATAACAAATGAATCCGAGGATACCGACATAACCGTCACCCAACTCTCCTCCATTGCAGTTGGTGGCTTGACGACAAATTCACCGCAGTGGTACCATGATTACACACTCTGGACAAGTACAAACACTTGGTTTCGAGAGGCACAGTGGCGTAAGCAGACATTACCCGAAATCGGTATCGACAATGATGGGATCTGTGAGCTTCCCGACGGACACCTGGGCTCACAGGCGGCGTTTACCCTCCAAAATCATGGCTCCTTTTCCACAAACGGCCATTTATCGATGGGTGCCCTAGTTTCAAAGGATAATAACGATACCTGGCTCTGGCAGGTTGAAAATAATGGGTCCTGGCGGTGGGAAATCGGAGACTACAAAGATAGCATCTATCTTGCTGCTGGCGGTCCAACAGGAATGGACCACGACTGGAAACAAGTACTGCGCCCTGGACAGAGCTTTACCACGGTTCCTGTCGCTTTGGCTCACGTGGATGGTGGCCTGGAATCAGCATTCGCCGCACTCACTGATTATCGGCGACAGATCAGAAGGCCGCACAAGGACAATGAGAACCTCCCTATCATCTTCAACGACTACATGAATTGTCTTATGGGTGATCCAGATGAGGACAAGGTAGCAGCTCTTATCGATCCGGTGGCCAAGACGGGGGCTGAGTACTTCGTGATCGATGCGGGATGGTACGCGGATGATGGTATCTGGTGGGATGATGTGGGGCTATGGGAGCCTTCAAAAAAGCGTTTTCCGTCCGGGTTCAAAGTCCTTCTAGACAAGATCAGGGGCAAGGGGCTTATTCCTGGCTTGTGGATCGAACCGGAAGTTGTTGGCGTACGAAGTGTAGTGGCCAATCGTCTCCCCAAAGACGCTTTTTTCCAAGAGTGTGGCCAGCGAGTTGTCGAAAAAGGCAGATTCCAACTTGACTATCGTCACCCGGAGGTCCGAGCTTGGATAGACAAGATTATCTATAACCTCGTCGTGAACTATGGTGTGGGATACCTCAAGTTCGACTACAATATTGAAGTCACACAAGGCACAGACGTTGGGGGGTCGTCATCTGCTGGGTCTGCACATCTCGAACATCAGCGGGCGTACCTCGTATGGGTCAGATCGTTGCTTGACAGGTACCCCACGCTCGTTATTGAGAACTGCTCGAGTGGTGGACAGCGTATGGAATATGCCATGTTATCGGTTCATTCACTCCAATCGACAAGTGATCAGCAGAATCCGGCACTCTATGCGGCTATTGCTGCAGCCTTGCCAACCGCTGTTGCCCCAGAACAAAGCGCAACTTGGGCCTACCCCCAACCCGAATGGAGTGACGAGCTCAATGCATTCACTGTCGTCAATAGTCTACTAGGACGTGTTCACCTTAGTGGCCGCTTAGACAAGCTCAGCCCTGGTCAGCTCAGACTTGTGATAGAAGGTATGGACGTGTATAAGATTATTCGTTCGCACTTGAACTCTGCACATCCCATTTGGCCCCTTGGGCTTCCTCAATGGCACGATGACTGGGTGTCTCTTGCTTTGGTTACAAAGAAGAACGGCATATATCTTGCTGTCTGGCGGAGAGGTGGTGTTACAGAAAAAGACTTGCCAGTGAAGTTGCCTGACGGTCAAACTGCAACCACAGCAAAGGTGCTATACCCAACTTGTTTTAGCACTGACGCAACGTGGAATAAGACATCGGCAATACTACGCTTGAAACTTCCCGACACAGTCTGCGCTCGGCTTTTACACATTTTGTGAATATCGAAGAGTATGGTTATTTTTTTGGATTTTTTTAGGAATATTTGATTTCTCGTCATGTGAAAGCCAAGTATAAGTATACAGTTTTAATATGTTATTATGTTCGTCGTTGTCAGATTCCGAACAATGTGTGAGCGTATTCTTAGTCCGACAGCACCAAATTCAAAGATTTAAAAAAGAACTCGCAATGTCATAAACTCCAGAAATGACTCCAGAAATGCTTTGGCGGTTTGTGGGGGTGGGAGCGATCGGCGATATTAGTGCTGACCGTGCAAATTTCAGATTTAGCTGAAATTAGTCAGGTACGATCCCAGGTATGTCTTGAAGGGTTAGGTCTGAATGATGTCAAAGATACCTATTATGACCCTAATTTTATATATGCTAAATGCTATTGGCTGACAAAATTACAAAAGTTGGGATCAGAACTTCGTATATACATGCCTCGAGATCCAAGTACCGAAGCGGACTGGAAGACAGATTATGGTAGCCCACTTCTTTCGGTCGATTTAGATCTTGGTTCATGAGGGTATGCGGCTAGTTCAACCAAGGCCTTTTGAGGAGACATGCACTAGTGGTTCTAGTATATTTTTCCGTCTTTTAGTGGAATTAGAGGTTATGGCATAGTCCAGCTGGCTATACACATCAGGTTCTCCTGTTTGTTTTATGTATACATATGTAGCTCTCTCGTGATTCTAACCCCCTTCACAAGATGTCGTTGGCCGTCTCTTTGACCATCAGAATCATTTACTTCTTTGTTTCTCAGATTTCCTCTCAATCAACTAGCTACCTATTCGATGATCTGGTAATCCTGTCCTTATTGAGGTCTGATATAATCATATATGCTGAGAATCACTTTGAATTCTGATTGGTCCCAATTAATTCTAACGCTCGTCCCACTTTATATCCTAATATTCTTATTTTCCGATGTTCTATCAATAGTCTATTATCCTCCATATCATGACGTTGGGATATAATTTACTTGTGTAAGAGAATCACAGAATGCAAGGGTTGGCAAGCAGTAGAGGTCGCTCCAGATTGAGAACGTTGGATATCATGGCAATCCCGTTGCGTATATATCCCTCAAGCTCCCCCAAGAATCCATTTATTTTCAGATTTGTCTATCCCTCATCCATACATCCCCCTCCGAATTCCAAATTCCACTACTAGAACTACTCATTGCATTCAAATCCCCTGTTGGTGACCCTTGTTACTCCATATAGCAACTGTCTCACACTCGACAGCCTGAGAAAGCCAATAGAAAATAGCCTTGCCTATCCAACCCTCCTTCCCGCTGACACTTCACGTCGGTATCGCCGCTGTCGCTCAGCATGCAGCAGGCATCGTCCATTGCTCTTGGTACTACTAGAGCCGATCTGGCCGGGTTCGCCATGGAGCAGTACCTGCAGTGGAATCAGATGAAGCGAACACACAATTTCTTTCCGCATGGAACCTCCTTCATCCCCACCTGGTTACTCCGCTACAACATTATCGAGCGAATGGGTGTAGCCCGGCCCCCATTCTCTGCTCTCATAGTTTTGTTAAACCAATATCAGGATATCCCGCTTGTTAATCAATTCATTTTTCCAGAACTCATGGCAATGAAGAACAGGGCTCTTGACCTTGACCGACATGCACTTTACAGTTACTGTGAACAACTGATCTCATGGGAGGAAGAGATCTAGCGTTATACAGCTCAACAACTTCAACGATCTGGAGATGAAGGGTCGTCAACAATGATGAAACCTTGGAAGCTTCGAAATTGGATACGAGTGAAGAAAATATCTTGGTCAATGAAATCTTGTCCCGATATCCCATTCTAGGATACTTAAGCCTCATTAATTTAGTCTGCACTCGCAATTCGGTCTGTAGAACGTTACACTGTTTGATAATAGGAAAGTTGATCGTGCGAAAGGGCAAGTTTTTCTTGGCAGGACATCCACGACAGTGAATAAGAGACGAGATATGAACAAAGTCTCAATGAGACAGAAATGAAAGAGTAACAAAACAGGAGTAAAAGAAAGGATGAGAGAAAATGACACACAATAGATGAGATCGACAGTCGAAAGATAGACATATAGAGATGAATGGTTGTTCTGTTATTTTCCTTCCACGACTGGGGGCACGCATGGATCCGTTAAACCGCACTTACTATACAAATCACCCCGAGATTATCAACTACATGTCCACCATCACAGAACCTTGAGGGATTGACTTGAAGACATGGATATCTTCGACGCCATCCAACACTCAAATATCGACAGACAAGCCTATATCTCTAACCTCATGATGGATAGAGACGCTAGACTGCAGGACACGGAGGGTACGATAGGAGTGCCACCGACTCTTGCCCAGGTTTCGGACGTCAGCAACTCTACCTCAACTTCGGGGGGGCCAGAAACCATCTCAAACACGTCCGTATCCTTGCACAATCTCGTCATTGCCCCAGAAGGAAGGACACTCTGCTCACCACCTTTACAGGATATACTGGACGCAATCTAAGAGTTGAATTCCAGGTTTGACAAGCATTTCTTACGAACATCGTCCTATATCTGGGCTCACACCATTCCTAAACCCCATCTTTACTCAAATCGAAACCAATGGGAACCTCTTCCGAGATGTTCTAGCTACGGTCGCGCATAACCAGCCAGCATTATTATTAAAGATCATGGCAACCCGGCAGCATGCATGAATCATTACCTGTTTCCGTCTCATCATTACTACCTAGCTATCTCAATTCGATGGGTTTGTTTGTATATGCACAACGGAGATTACATTAACGGAGGCTGAAGACGAACTCGCGGAATCCTCTGGAGTAATCAGCGTATCAATTAATCCCACATGCCGCCTCACTTTCGACGTTGGGACAGAGGTCAACAACCATTCCCTTATCCCTCCTACCCGAAATCGGCCCGCAACAGTCTTTAGATGTACCCAGAGGGCGGAATTGGTGAACGGTAAAGGTAACAAGCGCCTCTTGGATCCTCAATTTCCTCACCATCATGCATTGCGCCCCGCATGTCGGAGAGCACGACATCGTCTTGAATGTGGATTGACGTTCATTGGTGCTCGGTGGCGGTAGTCTTCACCCCACGCTAAATTCCCAGGCCAGTGGAGCGCATCAGTTCAGATAAAATGCTGATGTATTGATATTTTAGATAATATACATATGTAACGATCAAAATGTTTCAATATATTCTTATTCTTTTTGAAGACGTGTCCTTTTTAAACAGTCAAAGGCTCTATGGTACCTGATAGTGGTAGAAAAAAAATAGTACAAAAAGTAGATATCGAAAAACATACAACCATACAAAAGCCAAAAGTATGCCGGTGGTTACCTGGAACATGAACATATCAGTATGTTCTGTGAACTGGTGTTTTCCACCGACGTTCATCCGGCCTGGTCAATGCGTCTTCACCCGGACTTGGCAACTTTTCCCTTGACCCACGCCTCGAGGCCACCTTCGGCAATGATCTCCTGTACATTCGCCGGCAGCTCGCCGACCTGCTCGGTCCAGCTTTCTCCGGACTCGCCCTCCTGGACTTCCACGACGCTACGCTTCACGTCCCAAGTCAAAGTCCAGCCTGTCCGGCGGGTCGGCTGGCGGCCATCACCAGAGGATGGCTGAGCGAAGGTGGCACGGAGACGCTCAACAAGACGCGGGACTTCAAGGCCCATGAGGGCATTGTTGATACTGTTTCGGGAGAAAATGTTGCCGAAGCTTCCAGCGACGACCAGGGGAATTTCCTTCGCCAGAATGGCAGTCGCAGCCTGTTCTCTTGAGGATCCGCAGCCGAAGTTGAAGCCGGCGACGAGGATATCACTTGGCTTGGCGATACCCTTGAACTCGGGATCGTAGTTTTGCATGCAAGCGTTGGCCATATCCTCCTTGGAGACGTTGTCTTGGTATGTCAATTTACCGGGGTAGATGCTATCAGTGTCGAGGTTGTCAGCGTCGAGGAAGACGATCTCACCGCTGATGCGTTCGGGAAAGCCGGGCAGAATCTCGGTGGCAGGCTTGGATTCGTCTCCGGCGGACTCAACGCGATCGATCAGAGATTCCATCTGTTGTAGGAGGCTAGTGAGCTCAGACTCAGGGGTGGGCGGGAGACCGGTGCCGAATCCATGTTCCACGCCAGACCAGCCCTCTGGCACCTGGTAGGAGCCAGGGCCAGAGATAACACCGCTGAGAGCGCTAGCAGCCACGACCTCGGGACTTGCTAGGTAGGCCAGCGCGTCTCTTGACCCCATGCGACCCTTGAAGTTACGGTTACTGGCACTAATGCCGACCTCACCTGGCTCTAGAAGGCCTGTTCCGAGACCAATGCAAGGTCCGCATCCAGCAGGAAGGGCCTCGGCACCGGCGTCGAGAAGGGCCTGCCAGTCGCCAGTGGATTCGGCACCCTCTTGTTCGGGAACGGAAGCAGCCGCGATGTAGAGTTTGACGCCATCGGCAATCTTAGGAGTTGTGCCGGGGTTGGCCTTAGCGGCGTCCTTGAAGACCTTAGCGGCCGCCGCGAGATCCGAAGCACGGGAGTTGGTACAGGAGACGATATATGCACGGTTAACTTTGATGTCCTGTTGAGCGAGCTCGTTGAGTGGCGTCGCGACCTTGACTGAATTAGGACCTGAGACATAAGGCGAGAGTGAGGAGAGATTGAGGTAGAGCTGCTTGGCGTAAATAGCATCGGGGTCGGCTGTGAGGGGGTTGGCGAACAGCTCGTCGATTCTTTCGTGAGTGATGCGCTCGCGGGTTGTGCGGTCGTCAGACATCGCAGCCTCAGTAGCCTTGTATCGTAGCCAGCGTTTCAGGGTATTGTCAATTGGGAAGAGACCGGTGAGCGCGCCCCACTCAGTGGTCATATTGGCAATCGTCAGGCGACTATCCACGAGAAGGCTTGCCATGGTCTCTTCAGATCCGGTGAACTCAATTGCGTGATTCAGCACGTCACTATTGAAGAGGCCACACAATGCGACAATCACATCCTTACCGGTCACGCCTACTGGTAGGGTTCCGGTGAAAGTTACCCGCGCAACCGGGGGAATCTGCCACCATGTCCGCGATGTCGCCCAAATACTAGCAGCATCGGTACGCACAACGGCAGTTCCAAGACAACCAACTCCACCATAATGGTTACTGTGGCTGTCTGATGCTACTGCCATGCTGCCTGGCCACGCGTATCCTTCTTCCACCATGATCTGGTGCCCAATACCCCGGCCAGCAGGATAGAAGTCAATACCTTGCTGCTTAGCAAAATTCTCGATCTGCTCGTATTTCTTAAGGTTCGCTGCGCTGGTGTTTTGAACGTCGTGGTCGAGGGTCATGACAATCTGCTTCGGGTTGTTGACCTTCGTAGCTCCCATAGACATGAACTTGAGGGCGACGGGCCACGAATTGTCGTGGGTCATGCAGTATCCGGGTGCCAGACTGATATAATCGCCGCTCCGGACGAGCTTTCCTTCGGGAAGACCGACGGCATAGCGTTGTACAATCTTCTCCGTCAATGTTTGCGGAGTCCGCTTCTCGGTCGGAATCTCGGAGAAAGAAATTGAGGAGGCATTCTCTTGCTGTGAGTGGAAGCCGGCCGTCGTGCTCAGCGAGCGAGAAGAAAGGGGTTTAGAGACCGATCGCAAAGGGTGGTGAATTGTTCTGCTTGGGGCGCCGAACGACGGAGTCCACCGAGGCCGAACCTGGAGAAGTCAGAATTGAATTGAGTGAACATAAACCAAAGCTGTACTCACGGTTCTGCACATCATGGCGGCCTGAGGCCTAGCCACGCGCTTCAACAACATCGCACACGGAGACATTAGTGAGTCACTATACGCAAACTTTTTCTAGTTCCCGATCTCGGGAGTTGGACAATGAGTGGTATCACGTGATTTTATGGTTCCTGGGGCTCAGCCTCTTGTGGCAAGGGAATTTCTAATCAACCCCGGAAATCCAAGGCCACGTGATGTACAAATTAATCTCCACTCGGGGGCACCTGGACAGTTTTGTTACTGATTAGTGTACAACTACTCCGTACATCCATGGAGATATGTCGTTTTCCTGAGGGAAACTCCATACTGGCATGGCAATAGATGAATTGGGTGCTAACCACCTGTTAATTGACATTTGTTCGACTAACAAATTGCTGATGGAATATTTACCTATCTTACCGATGTGGTAGGCCAGAGTAAATCGGGACTTTTGCTCTACAATCTCAACCCATCGATCAGGGTCGTAAATTATAGATATAGATCTTGGCACACAATATACTTTGCATACTATAGTTGCTCGTCCGGGGAGAGTATGTACCAGCGAGCACTGGTATTCTTTTGGGGAAAAAATATATCTAAAAAAAAAGAGCATCGAGAGAAAATAAAGAACAAAGCCTGGAGGTATGCCGAACCAATGACCAACATATTTTCACTGTCTAATATGAAAATCCGTTATCTTCTTTCGTAGATCCGAATAGTTCCCGAACAACGTATTCTCATTTCGAGAATGGCTATGTTTCTCAAAGCTTGAAACAAAAAGGTCCACTGGCATTATATGCCGAGAGAAGATGGCGAGGATGATGACCGAGTGGCAAGGAGAATTGTTATTGAGCCCCCGGTAGAACCCGTAGACCAATCAAACCCGATTAAAGTGCGTCTTGGCATATGCGGGTAGCTAGTGTTACATAGAAATTCAGCCCGATTAGATCTATATTACGTTTTCCGGAGTGTCCATTTTTAATGAGTAGAACGAAAATAAATTCAAAGCTTTCCAGAACTGTGTATTCTTGTGCTTATCAGGAACAACGTTTTAAGGTTATCCGGCAAGGTTACGTAACTTACCAATTCAGACCCATTCGCCCCTGAGGTTTCGAACCTGGCAAGGGCCAGCGAGCACACGAGATAAGGCCATTTATTTAAGGCTGCCAAGACTATGTATAATACAGAGTATGGTATAGTTTAAGGCAACTTTGTAAAATGTGATAAAAGATTAGATGCAACCGGGTGCTGAAAATGTAGTCTTGGCCTAAGGGGAGCGTGCATCCCGAAATGGGCTCGTATGCCGTCAAGGGTGTAACAGCTGAATGAGGACAATTATAGCATTCCATCCAATACTATTTAGGTAGTACTTTAGGTAGCACCTTAGTTATCATCTAACGTGATAAGATGTGCCTGCGAATCCACGCCCGGCTCGCCTCCGGATGCGGGATAGTACAACCCGTGCGGGGATAAAATGTATTACAGGCCAATCAATTCAGTCTGAAGTAACTAACTAACCTGCGTCATTTGTCCCGGTATGGCTTTTGTATGGCTTTTTTTTATTACATTTGTATGGCTTGAATGGCTTACATGGGCTTATTTCCTAACCTTGGTTAATCTTGCTTTCAAGGCAAATCCCTACCCTTTAAGTTCCTTCACTCCCACGTTTTGGTCTGGAATTTCTTTATTAGAGGTCTCTGACATCTTGTTTTTGACTACATCTTTACTTTTACTTCACCAAATATTCTCTTTCTTTTAGGAACATCTCAAAGTCTCTCCGCTATAACTCCGTACTCTGGACGGACATCATACCCTAGAGGCCCCGACATCTCCAAGACTTGCCCTTGCCATTGCACCCTCAACAGCCATAGCAACAACATTACTGCCCACAGCACAAACGAACCCCAGGCCCTCGCAGTATAGCCCGGCATCCCGCTGTTCTGTAGCAGATCCACCCCCAGGATTTCCACCGATCCACTTCAACATATACAGAACCCATATCTCGAAATATAGACGAACGCGACATCATCCCATCCGGTTTCTTTCAACCGCGTCTGGTCTACCCAATACCAGCAACCAAACACAACAGAAAGGAATGATAACAATATGTCTATCCTAACCGACAAGGGAAAACAAACGAGCGGCAGTGTGCTGGAAACACAGGGGCCCAGGAGCGATGGCGGCTCTCGTGATGTACAAGAAGGTGTGATGGCTGAAAATGCCGACAATCTTCAACGCCATCTTGGAAACCGTCAGATCCAGCTCATCGCCATTGGTGGCTCTATCGGAACCGCCCTTTTCGTCAGCATCGGTTCGGGTCTTTACCATGGTGGACCTGCCAGCTTGTTCCTTGCCTTTACCGCTCAGTGTATCTTTTTGGGTATGGTAAATAACTGCATTGCTGAAATGACCGTTGCATTCCCCGTCAGTGGTGGTTTCATTCGGTTGGCTGGAAAATGGGTCGACGACGCTCTTGGTTTTATGGTTGGCTGGAACTTTTTGTCCGTTCTCTTCTTGGCTTTGCCAAAAGAATTCCCCGTACTATCCTTGCTAATACCCCTTTTAGCTTCTATGAGGCCCTTTTGATTCCCTTTGAGGTGTCAGCTTTCACGCTTGTGTTATCATACTGGAGTCCAGTGCTTACTGAACCCGGCCCAATCGCAGGCGTTTGTATTGGCATTGTCTTGATCTATGGGTAAGATCCTCTTTCCGCTCTGATTTGATATTTGGCATCCAAGATTATTCCATGCTTGTTTATGCCTGATTCACTGAAGTTGCATCCAAATACTGATTTTCACATAGCTGCCTTAATGTGTTGGCCGTCAAAGCCTATGGTGAAGCCGAATTCTGGCTTTCTGGTGGAAAGGTCATCCTGATTTTCTCCCTCTTCTTCTTTACCTTCATCACCATGGTTGGTGGAAACCCGAACCATGACGCCTATGGCTTCCGCCACTGGAACAACCCCGGCTCTTTCATGGAGTATCTGGATACCGGTTCCCTTGGTCGTTTTGAAGGCTTCATAGGATCTCTTTCGTCGGCTTGCTTTGCTGTCGTCGGTCCTGAGTACATTTCCATGGTCGCAGCCGAGGCAAAGCGTCCCCGCATCTATATCAACAATGCTTTCAAGACAGTTTACGCTCGATTCGGTATTTTCTATATCGGCGGCGCCTTGGCCGTGGGTATTGTTTGTGCTGCGAAGGACCCGGAACTGATGGCGGTTGTGACGGGCGGTTCTTCTGGTTCCGCTGCGGCATCGCCATATGTTATTGGCATGCGAAACATGGGCGTTTCAATTTTCCCTTCGATCGTCAACGCGTAAGTGCCATCAGAAGGAAAATATAATTGGACAAACCAACGACTAACCATGCTCTTTAGCCTCTTGTTGACTTCTATTTTCTCTGCTGGCAATACCTACACCTACTGCGCTATCCGTACCCTGTACGGCTTGGCACTGGAAGGAAGAGCCCCGAGAGTTCTCACCTACACCACACGCAACGGTGTACCCATCTACTGTTTCGGAGTCGTGATGATCTTCCCTATGCTCTCCTTTTTGCAGTGTTCCAGTAGCTCCTCCATCGTCATCACGTGGTTCGCTAACCTTGTAACTGCTGGAGGTAAGGAACCACGATTGAATTTGTCCCAACAACTCCAATGCTAACATTATAACCTAGGTCTCATCAATTATATCGTCATGTGCATCACATACATCTTCTTCCACCGCGCTTGCAAAGCGCAAGGCGTTGACCGCAAGTCCTTCGCCTATTTCGCGTGGTTCCAACCCTACTGCGCATACATTGCATGCGTTTGGATGATCCTCGTGACACTCGCCTACGGGTTCCCCTCATTCAAGCCGTGGGCCGTGGATAGCTTCTGGTCGAACTACACCATGCAAATCGTCATCCCTCCTCTCTTCATCATCTGGAAAGTCCTCAAGAAGACCAAGCTCGTGAAGCCTCATGAAGCCGACCTTGTCTGGGAACGACCCTTGATCGATGCCTACGAGGATAGCTTCCTTGACCCGCCTACTAGCTTCTGGAGAGAGATCATGCAGATGGTCGGCATTGGACGGACCAAAGGCGGCAATGATAAGAGAGCGCAATCAGTATCTCAGCCCATACAGGAGTCTGCTGAGAAAATTTCGGCCTAAATGTAACTGCGAGCAGTGTTTTTGTTAAAACCAAATGTGCGTTGAAGGATGTAGTTACCGTCAAGATGTCGGGCAATGTCCTTATGATACGACTTGAGCTATTTTGATACAGGAATTTCCTTCCTCTTGCAGATCTGTGAATATGATACCCAGCAATTTTGTTTTTCTGAGATATTTTTCTACGTAATCCGATTAGGACCAACCATTGACAGCCCTTGCCTGAAACCCTGGCAGTATAAATTATGAATTATACTCAAACGAAAGGAACAGATCAAAGGGTAAAGGTTTATGGTACTCGAGGTCCAAGTGTTCCTTAGTACCTGAGTTCTGTCTAAATTTAGACCTCTTTCGGGCATCTCCATACAATGTATTATTATAGAATGAAGCTTCTGATACTAAAATCCAGTCATGGGACGTGCCCGGCCCTTCGCTTTCCCTCCTAACCCCTTGGGGGTTTTGAAGCCGCACCACCCTAAAAGGGTACCTTTTGTATGAGTGTCACATACAAAAGTTACATTGGGAGGGGGGAAATAGAAAATCTTGTATCTCGACCACAATATTGGCTAGGTAGGAAATAAAGTGATTACACGATACCTAGTCCCTGGGTAAATAGTTGAAAGAGACTGGTTTATATATATATTTCGTGCTTTGAGCAACATAGTTTTCTAAACCACGGCAATACAGATTTTCGATTTTCTCAAAGTTGATATAGTTATGGTGTGTAAAGGTCTTATTAATAGCCACAATGATAATCAAATCAAATAATAATGTGGTTGTTGAGACATAGGGTTGTAAATTATCGCATTTAGTATGTATGTGTTTTGGGCTGCGCAGCTCGCCTACCCAATACGGTTAAACCTTGCGTTTTTTAAGTTATTTCCCATCAGGCCAAATTAAGGCATTCAGGCACCAATTTAAACCCTGATAACTACACTTTCGTAAAAGGGGCAAACTTGGGTGGAAATTAGTTGACATTGATCGCAATTGATAATTGTATATACAACTAAGCTAAGCAAATATATTGGACAATCATAACTTTACTCAGTTACAGTAAGATTTGTCCACCTCAATCTCAAACTGTGTGCCGCCATCTTTGGCTTTCGGTCCCTGGTAAACACACCCTTCTTGTTACCATCCACTCGATTGATACCCATATTAGTTTGGAACTCAGAGAATCCCCAAATATGCTCTCCTGCCATGGACTCAACACTGTCAAACACGCGATGATACATGTCCAGCATTTGGGTTTGGAACTCTTCAGACCAAGGCAGACCAAAGGTAGAGTGAAGACCCGCAAGAGTATCTGCGCCGTACTCAGTCATGATAATCGGCCGGTTGAATTTCTTTTCCCAGCCAGCCATCTCCTTTCTAAGCTCCGCCTCTGCTTCTGGGAGGTCACCTGTTTGGGAATACCACCCGTAATAACGGTTGAGGCAGCTAACATCAAACAGGTCCGAAATTTTATCCAACTTGTATGTTGCGTCGCCGACGTTGGCGAATGTAATGGGACGAGTTGGGTCAAGCTCACGAGCCAGCTTGGCCAGCGGTTCGAAATATTCACGTGCTCCATCTTCCTGGGAGGCGGGCTCGTTGGCAATCGACCACATAACAACACTGGGGTGGTTCTTGTCCCGGCTGAAAAGTTCACGGATGGCTTGCTTGTGGGCTTTCTGGGTGTTGTTGTTGACGTTGGTAGTACTGAAAGTCTTTGGATCTGTGCCTTCGGAGATACCCAGCAAGCCGATGTTCAGACCCACGGCGGGGGTTTCGTCGATAACGACGATTCCGTTCCGGTCCGCAAATTCCATGACCTCTTCGGCGTAAGGGTAGTGTGAGGTTCGGAAAGAGTTTGCGCCCATCCACTTCATTAGTTGGAAATCGTGAACCATGTATGCTTGGTCGTGTCATTTGCCGCGGATTGCGGTGTCTTCGTGTCTTCCAAATCCGGTGAAGTAGAACGGCTTGCCGTTGATGAGGAACTTTGACCCTTCAACCTTGACAGTGCGCACACCCATAGCTAGGCTGTAGGTATCGACGACCTTGTTGCGGGAATCCACAATGCTGGCCTCCAATTGGTAAAGGTAGGCGGCACCAGGTTGCCACAACTTGACCGACTTGATCTTGATGGTACCTTCAGCTCCAGAGGTATCTGCGACAACGACTCCTTCCTGGTCAACCACAGAGATCTTGACCTTCCCAGTCGCCTTGTCGGACAGCTTGACCTTGTAGTTGATGAGTCCAGTTTTGCCGTCAACATCCGTGACAACGGTGATGTCCTTGATATGTTGACGAGGCACAGAGTACAACCAAATGGAGCGAGCAAGACCAGCATAATTGTAGAAGTCATGTTGGTAGGTCTGAATTCTCTTGCCGGTGTTCTCACTCACCACAATCTTGCCAGGCGGGATCGTCTCATGGGTGAGCTCATTGTTGACACCGATTGTCAAGCGGAACTTCTCTCCAGCATTTACAAACTCGGTGATATCGGCTTCAAAAGGTGTGTAGCCGCCGACGTGCTCAGCAAGCAGGCGATCATTCACATAGATACGACCGTGATGCGTAGCAGATTCAGCTCGGACAAAGTATTGCTCCTTTGACCAGCCTTTGGGAACGAAAACATCACGTTGGTAGTAGACCCATCCGACATGGTCGTGGATATCCCGATCGGTGAAAATATCGTTGTAAGAGGCTGGGACCGGGCATTCGAGGCCACCCTTGGGGAATGGTGCGGTCCAGGGTTGAGCAGTGTCGTTGGGACCGGAAGCGAGGGTGAACTTCCACAGACCATCGAGGTTCACAAGCTCTCGGGAGGAAGTCCGTTGGGGCTTTAGCTTGATCAAGGGCTGTTCTTCCTGAGCCAATTCATTGCGAGGATGATTGCCGGTTGTAGGGACAGCAAACGAAGAAGAAATAAGGGATAACAACGACACTCCCGCTAGGAACTTCATTGCGATCAGATGTTCTATGTTATTGAACGAGGTGTCCAATAGTTACTGGTGATGCGAATACCGTTCTGAGCTGATTGAGACATGATAGCCAGCAAACTCGATGGATTATATACTACTCCTACAACTTACAGCGGTAATTGAGACCTTAGATACTCTCCGCATCGGTGATTGACTAGCTTGGCATAATAGTCTGGATAGTAGGAGATAGGGTCCAAGTGTCAAGCCAACTACGAGGTAAAATTTTTCCGTATATCATATCGATGCTTTAATTGTGGGTGCTGCCAAGGTGCTAAGTCAGGGTCTTGAGTTATGCACCCCATATTGCGGGGGTGGGTCGGGGGAGTTCGGCATTTATGTGTTATGAAGTAGCCGCATCTTACATTACCTATGATGTCGGGTCCGGTGCTAACCCCGGAATTAAGGAGAAATGCCCTTCAATGACTTAGATGTGCAAAGTCACTACAGAAAGAATACTTGAGGCAATATCTCTTTTGGCCATGATTCAAACCCATCCTGTTGTTCACCATGTCTCATATCTAATTTGTGATGTATTATGCCCTCCAGTTCCATAGCTCCAGTCCTAGATCCCCTTGTAAGTGCATAATTTCCTCATGTGTCGGCAATCAACCAGAAAATCTTCCTCGGGTATTGATTGAATGGTGTCAAGGCCCGATAGTGCGGAGATCGAGGCCCTAAGCCTATTCTGGTGAGGCACCGCAACCAAATAACCTTAAGCTGCGGGTTGGTTTCCCAATCGACTTTAGTGACTTTCCCTTTAAGGTTTACAACTACGTAAAAGCATATCTACGCGGTGTGGCTTGGAGTAAGACACACATCCGGAAACAATTCCGCGATAGTTGTAGTCAGTTGATTAAGGAAAATAACTTGGTTTGCACCGATAGCCGAGGTTAGAGGGTTCCTATAGGTGGAGGGTTCCTATAGGTGTAATTAATCCTAGGAAAATATTTTCCATCCTATCTCTTTGGTTAATCAGATAAAATAAGGAAGATTTTGGTTCTAAGCCTCATAGGGCTTTGTTTGCTTGTTCAAAACTCCGTATACTATCTTCCTCTTATTTCTCCCCTTCTTGTTCTGCTTGTTCTAAGTTTTATATGTCCCATAGGATTACGAGGTCTTCAAAGAACAGAAACAGACCAATAAGAAACAGATCAAAAGGTTAAAGTGGGCATCAAAATCGGTGTCCGATATTCCTAATATGCATCCGTGCCCATCTACCCCGCGTCATGGGTTGGTATGATTTGATTCTTTGATCCACATAGTACATGACGATGAGAGGTAGTTTTTGAATATTGTAGTACAGGCACTACGGTTGATGACGTGAAAATAGGATGAAAACATGGACTCGGTACTTAGTGCCATCTGAAAGGGTCCAAGCTACAATATTTATGTACATATTTATCTAGTTTATGTACTTGGATATTTCCCGAGAGAAAAGGAACAAAGTAATTGGAATTGTATATACAGCTTTCCCCGCATATCTTCTAATCATGGACCTGTGGGAGATTAAACAGGTTCCAGAATTCGTCAAAGTCTAGCGTCTGCGTGGCGCCGATGTCTCCTCCCTTGGTCTCTCTCAGAGTCATTCCATTACCCAGATACGAGAACCGGTTAATCTTGGCTTCCGGCGTTCGATCCATTTTGAAGTCCTCCCAGCGCGGGTTCTTCATAGCCTCCAATAGGTGGAAGATTGACCCACCATAGATAGCAATAACCGGGCCATCGATGGTACCTCGCTTATACCAACTACGGCAATCTCGAGTCCACACTGTACGCTCAAGATACTTTTGAATATGCTGATTGTACTCCTCGTTGACGTCATCGTCGACCTCGAAGCTGCGAATACCTTCTGTTTGCATCTTCTCCATCCATTTGTAGATATAGGCAGCGGTTGCTTGGATTCCGAGAATTAGTGACCCATTTGCCAATGGTGAATTGGGTCCGACGAAGCCTGAACAGGTAAGTAAAGGAAAAAAAAAAAAAAAGCCTCACGGCGGAAGGGGGAAAAGCATACAGAAGTAGTTGGGAAAGTCCGGCACGCACATGCTCATGTATGCCTTCGGGACGTCCTTTTCCCATTTATCCGCCATGTTGACTCCGTTGCGGCCAACCAATGGGAATGAAGGCTTAAATGAAGTGTCAAACCCCGTCGCGCAGACAATAATGTCGTATTCTAACTCAACGCCGCTTCTCGTAAGAATTCCTCGCTCGGTGATTTTTGAGATATCATCCCATCTCAACTCAATGTTGTCCTGGGTAATAGCCTCCAGGAAACCAGGCCCCGGTGTTTGGCGACGGCATCCAACTGGAAAAGAGGGGATTAGAAGTTCAGCTGCGCGCTTTCCCTTTTCACTGTCACCCAAACGGTCGGTCATGGACTTTCGGAACATATCTTGAGCTTGCTGTTGAAGGTCACAATCAGCAATCACACGATTGAAGTTTTCTGCTCTTCTGTTCATAATGGCAGCGCGATAGTCGCGAAGAACTTTGGGATCCTTGAATAACTCCAAAGTACTTTCTGCGAAATTATAATCCTGGTCCATTTCTGGATCATTTGCTGTTGGCTCGTTGATTCCAGGAGCTGGGCTGATCCAAGTTTGGCTTCGGACGTAGCAATCCATATTCCCGACGACTAGGAAAGTCAGTCATCCGATAGAATTGATGGACCAGACGTGAACATACCACTGGCGAGCTTAGGGACGATCTGAATGCCTGATGACCCAATTCCGATGCAGGCAACGCGTTTCCCGGTAAAGTCGTAGCCAGAATCCCATTTTGCTGAGTGCATGAGTCTTCCTTTAAAAGTTTCCAGTCCCTCGATTGTGGGCCACTTCCAATTACTGTGATGTAATCATATCAGCATCCACACGAGAAAAGACAGGAAAGGTAATAAATACTTCAATACACCGCTAGCATTGATAAAGACATCACATTCATCTCGGATCAGGGTAGAACCGTTTTTGATCTGGAGATCCCACTTTCCCTTTTGTTCATTCCAGATAGCAGATTGGACTGAATGTTGAAGGCGAATATATTTCTCAACCTCATATTTTTTGGCCACATCTTTCATGTAAGAATGAATTTGTTCTGATGTTGCGTAATAATTTGGCCACTCTGGGTTTGCAGCAAAGCTGTAGGCATAGTTATGCGCTGGAATATCACACTGACATCCCGGGTATCTATACCGACATATTAGCTAAACCCACGTCGCAGATATAGCCCAGCGCTTATCAAAATTACCTGTTCTCATACCAAGTTCCTCCCAAGTCGGCGTTTCGCTCATAAATAAGAAATTCTGCGTTGGCATCCTTCATACGTTCGTTAAAGACAATACCCATCATAAGACCCGAGTACCCTGCACCGAGGCAGACTACGCGAAGGGGCCGCCGGGTGCCGATGGGGTCTTCAACAATGGTATACTCGGGGTTCAGACGATGCTGATGAGCGCTGTTGGTGGTCTTGTTCCTAAATATATTCTGGAGACCTGGCTCTGAAGCCGCTGGCTCTATGATTGCTGCGGGTGGTGACATGGTTCGAAGCAGGGGCAATTTTGGTAAGAGCCTTAGGTGCTAAATAGATTGAGACGCTTATATCAGACTTGAAGAGGAGAATTTGTTTCCTAAGCATGGCATTATGATTGTCATAAATAAAATTTGCTATGGATATTGGAGGGGTAGCTTGTGCCGCACCTCCGGCTTGGCCACCAAACCCCGAGTCAATGAAACAGAGAAGATGCGATAATCCCGCTATGTGTCCCGAAAGATCGTCACTCGGCTTTCCATGTTAAGATAACCGAAAGACAACCGAAATAGCCGAAAACGTGCTCCGGCATCGGTCCACCTGATGTACCCCGCGTTTATTTGTGGAGAATCTGGGGAAGTCACAAGGGGGAAGAAAATAGGAGTAAAGCCGACCGGACTGCATGTGAATGCCGGATGCAATTGTTAGTGTCATCAAGTCGATGGGTTAGGTGGAATATGACCGTTCCTGGTAACTATGTAGCTAATTTGTGTGGGAAGAGATATGAGCCTGGCCAATATCCCATAGACAAACATCATGTACTGTTACATGCCTTACCACTATAGATAGCTGTTTGATCAGACAGATAGAAAGTTAAAGATTTACTAAGGCGACTATCAAAGGTCCTACAAAATGATATATCTCTAACACGCAGATATGTATCCATCAATATCCTTGTCCATTGGTATATTGGTACTCCAAAACGCGACTTAATGTTCATGTATGACAAACTCTCCTGAGGTAGAAGGCTTTGCCAAAGTCCACCGAATTCCGTCTTCCATGACCTGATCCCATTTCTTGCAAACTGATAGTCTGTCCCCAAATCTTCGGAATCCATGGGGTACACCCCTGAAGATATTGACGTTGGTCGGTACACTTTGAGATTGCGTTAATAGGGAGATAGGGATCGGGCTTGGTTGATGATTTGCTCACCCATTTTCGGCCAATAGTTTGCCATATAGTAACCCTTCATCTCGTAGAGGATCATACCCAGCAACACCAAGAGTTGTTGGTGGCAACTTCTTCGCATCTTCAGAAGGCAGAAGTCCAGGATTGAGCCGTTTGTCATTTGGATTTGGATTCTCCACTTTCAAAAGACCATTGAACAGTTGTTTCCTGCGCATATTCAGGATGGGCGCGTTCTCGTTTTGAGAATATGATGAGAGACTAGGATCCTGTATTTGGGACATTTGAGATTCATAACACTTGGTGTAAACCAGAGCAGGTATCATCAGTAACTGGCCACAAATAGTAAGTGTTGGGGGGACTGGGAGCTCCGATTTCAATGCTGCCTGTGTCAAAGAAGCGGCGAGCCATGCGCCAGCCGATATTCCACCGACAACGATTCTGTCCGGATCACCGTTTAGTGGAGCAACGTTGTCACACACCCAAAGAAAGGCGTCTTCGGCATCATTCCAAGCAGTCGGGTACGTGTATTCGGGAGTATGCCGGTAGTTGACATTGACAACCATCACCTGTGCGTTGATGGCAAGCCGAGAGCATATCGTATCTTCCGAGCTCAAGGTCCCGAACAGAAAACCACCGCCATGAAAGTGCATGTAAATGGGCAGTATCTCAGTGGGAGATGCTGAGACTGGACGATAACTTCTAGCCTGTAATTTGTAATCATCACGGCTAGAAATTGAATGGTCCTGCGTGAAGACTTGATCCGAAAACTCTGCCATCGCCTTTTGCGCAATGACTTCTCTACTCTCGTTGACACTTTGCTTCAACTCGGATAGGCTCTGCTCTTTCGCGGCTGGTAAAGTGGCCTCCACGCGTAGCCACTCCTCGCTGGGAATTCCGTATTTTGAGAAGTCGCACATGTTGTGACAGCGTTTGACGAACAAAATCACTGTACTGTTGCCAAATTGATTGCTTGCGGATACGTCGTTATATCGGGCTTGGTGTCGATTTCGTGCTCAACTATGAATATAGCTTTGTATTGCTAGTTAGTACCAAGTTCCTGGTCAAATGCCGGAATTGCCGATGGCCCCGGCTATCGGAACTGGTATTATATTAATGAGTCGTATCATCACCGAACAGGTCCCGTGATTTTTACATTGAAATGAACACTATGGGCTGTCAATCTGTATTTGTACTAATCGAGATAGCAATGGACCTAAAAAACACTTGTATCTTGGGAATTAAGATCATAGCCGACAGCGGGTTGACGTGGGCTAATTGATTATTTCATTTCATAGACAATTATCTAGGCAGTTGAGCCAAGGCATAGCTTGCGACTTATTGGATATAAGCGCTATCTGGCTGGCTAGTTGAATACTAATCCAAAAAGGCGTAACTGACGGTGTCGTTTTAGCTCAGCATATATTCCAAAGGTAGACTACGTGAAGGCATTGAGATCAGCCCAGCCCTCCAGCCCTTCCATGAATTCCCGACAGTTCGGAATCACGTCGGAGGCTATGTCGCCCAAGCCATCCCAGAAAATGAAGCCCGTGTGTTGCTTTTGTTGAACCAGAAGTTTTTCAGCAACGACACTCGTCTGACTGGAGACAAATGGGAAGTAATCTACCCAGTCTATGTCACTATGCAGGTCTTCATCCTCCGAGCCGAGAGCTCGAGCGAATTTTTCATTTCCTGCATGGCGATTAGGAAGGTCTCCCGACTTCAGGGATTTATCGTTTGATCGTAGACGCTCAAAGGTCTGTTCAAAAATTCCGGCAGTTGCCCACATCTTTTTTAACTCCATGATAGAGAGACCCAGAATGTCGAGATCCGCAGTAGCGCCGTCCTTGAGACCCTCGCTCCTGGATGCCTGCAGGAGAGCCATAAAGCCCATGTTAACGTACCAACAAGTAATTGGCTGCAAAGATCTCATCTCGCTCCTGATCAGAAAATCCTTGAGAATGCGGGCAATGCAGGAGCCTGCGAGTGTGGCGGGTCGCATCGCCTGTGGAAGCGATTGTGACGGTCTTGTCAGATGAAGCACTATGATTACGGCGAGATAAGGCAAATGCAGCTGATGAACATCACGGTCAAAACTCGGTGTATGGCGCGACTCAATGGGCAGCTGCAAATGTACAGGGAGTGACCGAACCCAGTCAATAAGTTCTTTGCCCAAATCCGCAGGGAAGGCTTGGGTAGTTGAGGGTGAGGCTGCCGAGCGTGACAGTCTCTTTGCGATGCGTCCAATAATAGTACATAGCCGAACCCAATACACAAATACTTCAGCTTTGCTCTTGTCTTCAAGTTCCGGAAAATCTTCCACGGATGGTGGTGGTATATTACAGTCTTCGGGGTCTATCAGGCACGGCTTACCCTGAGAGATTGCGGTCAAACGCTCTCGGGCCTGAAAATATTGTTTAGTGTTTATCAAATAGAGCAATATAAACACACTTGACATACTCACAAAGGCAGTCCACCATATTCGGCGCAGAATGTATAGCTCGATTCTATACCTAGACACGTCGGTAACGAACTCGCGATAAAATCCAGCCTGTTGGGCCAGTTTAATCACAATAGAAGTCCACCACCAGGAAGAGTGTCTGTGTACTACCGACGGTGGTCGGGGTGCCCACCAGTAAAAGAGGGAGATCGCTTTCAGGGTGGCGATCAGGTCTTCCTCCTCTTCCTCGTAGAACAGTCGTCGGGCGCGATCGTAATAGACGGCTGGCCCTGCATGTGGTACGAGGGGTGGACGAACATGACTCCCTAAAATCGCAATTGCGTTGTCCAGCAGTGGGGATTCTGCGAGTTCCTTCGACAACGTCGCTCTGTCGAGTATTGGACACCAGGTATAGCAGTATTCGAAGTATGTTTCTGTGAAGCTTTGGCGCAGATCTGGTTGCAAACCGATAGGGCTCCTCGGCTCCTTCTTCTCTGACCCCGCCGATGATTCTACAGCATCATGTGTGATTGTGCTAGTGCTGCTATCCAATGGACCACGAGCTGGACGCAATACAACCTCCGTTTGAACTCCGTTTGACCGCTCATGGGGTGACGGTACCCAACTCGATGACCAAGCATCCAATACCGACGGTGTGTTGTTGATTTGAGTTGTTTCCGACGTGGTCGCCTCAGATTGTTGAGCACCCTGACTTGTGTGGAAGATGGCCAGCTCGTGCTGTGAAAGAAGCCCCGAATCAAAGCCGAGAAAGCTTGGCTGAAGTAGATTATGAGGTGAGATATCTTGACCCACAGGCATGTATACATCGCGGGAATCAATAACAGTATCGGTTTGCGCCACAGTGAAGTCTGAGAATGCAAGGTCGGTCCGACTGTCGCCACGAGAATCGGTGGGCAGGGGAGAAGCGGGTGATTTTCCAATATCAGGAGCTAGTCGACCTCTTTCGCGCTTAGATGGCCGAGGGCTGTAGGCCGTCAGGATTAATGACCCTTGTTGGGTATTTCAAGAAGGGCGACACTAACCTGCAGACTTTCCCAGTTGAAGCGCAGTTGCTGCAACTGTTTTGGCCTTCATGTATCTTAGCTTGGAGATCACATTTAATCTGTGAAAGTGGTTTAGTACAGGTAAATGCTATAGATGGACCTTGGGGATCATCTGACTTTCTTTGAGTGGCACGAGATACACGCGAGTCCGGCGCGTTTGCGCTTTTCCGTGCCGGGGGCGGATTGCACCCACTGCGACTCAGTCATCGTCGCGGCCACGGAATGCGGTGGCAGAGCTTGGATCCATCCGCATCATTTGTCAATATTATTTCAATATCGCCGAGAGATGAGGTTGATGGTGTGCCACGTGGTGATCGGGGGCGGGAATGCAGGCCGTGGGGAGCTTCCCGACGTCGGATATAGGCAAAGGTACCTATACCACTCAGCACTCGAGGGAATGTCCCAATCCCCATCTAGCTTTGAACTGTTTGTGTATCCACGTAGTCGGGCGATGGGTATTCCACTTCCAATCAACTTTGTTCGCAATTGGATGGCCGAAGACTGTCTGTTGTCTGATTAATGCCGCGCAGGCAATTCTAATTTGAGCGAAACCAAGTAGCGAAGGATGCTTGTGATTCGAAGAATCACTCGGAATCGACTTTCGGTTCATGAGATTGACCTCATTATCGCCTACAGCCGAGATAGCGATAAGATGCAAACCATGTCGGTGTTTCCAAAGGGGGATTGCCGAAGGCACGTGCCCCGCTAGCCTCGTTCCACAAGCACGTCTCGGCTACTCTTCACCTGAGTATTGCACATACGACTGAGCACTTCGGCATGCAATTTGCTTCAGTAAAGTCACGGCGCAAGGTGGGGCAGGATGGGTTGATCTCTCGGCACGTCCTCTTGGTGGCCTAGGCAGGCAGGGATGGAGGCGCAGCGGGGGTTTTCTCCCGCATTTCGGTTCTAGTATAAAGTTGGGGACTTTCGACAACGAAATGAATGAAGAAGTCCAATCTGTCGATCGCATTACTTGACCAGAGACTCTTTTGGTTACCACAAGTTCAGCTAGGATCTTCTACTCTCCCCGACCCTCTAAATCACCTTCCACGCGACAATGGCACCATCAATCGTGACCTCAGACCAACCAACATCGCCTGTGGCGGATGGTAAGGTCCCTGCGGCTTTCACCACCAAAGACGCGAAGGACCTTCCGGAGAGCCTGCTTTCGCATTTCGCTGACCGTATCAACGCCAACACCGATAATGGTCCAAAATCCACAACTAGCGACCCGCTCAACGAATACTCAGTTCCATTCTATAACCAATACGCTTTAAACCCCCGCAAACTCCGCATCATCACGATCGGTGCCGGCTTTTCTGGGCTAGTGCTTGCTCACAAATTCCAACATGCCTACCCTGAGCTCCAGGGATTTGTTGATCACACGATCTTCGAAGGCCGAAGCGAGATCGGAGGAACATGGCTAGTCAATACTTACCCCGGAGTGCAATGTGATGTGCCCTCTCATATCTATGTAAGTCCACGACAGCTGCTCCTGATTTGGATGCTCTGCTGACAGATATACCCAGGCCTTCCCATTCGATCCTAACCCAGAATGGCCCCGCTTCTATTCCAGCGGACCTGCCATTCAAGAGTACATCAAGGCCACAGTAAAGAAGTGGAACCTTGACCGTGATATCCAGTTAGAAACCCAGGTTGTTGGTGCCTATTGGCAGGAAAAGTCGGGAAAATGGAAGCTTATTGTGAAGCACAATGGAGTCGAGCGTGAAGAGCACTGCGACATTTTGATCTCAGGCCAAGGTAACTTGGTGTAAGTATTCACTCCGTCTCAACTCGAGAAAAAGCTCAATTAACATTTCCATAGAAGCCCTTCCTGGCCCAAGATTCCCGGGCTTTCCGATTTCAAAGGGCATGTTACGCACTCTGCACGGTGGGACCATGACTTCGATTACTCCAACAAGCGGATAGCTGTTATTGGCAATGGGTCTTCTGGCATCCAGATTGTGCCTCAAATGGTCAAACTGCCAGGTACGACGGTGCGCAACTTTATTCGTGGTCCAGCTTGGGTCTATTATCGTGTTCCACCCTCAAAGCATCTTGGGAGAGAAACCGATGACACAAACCCCGAGTTCCTCGAAGAAGAGAAAGAGCGCTTCCGCGATCCTGTCCAACATCGGGAGTACCGCAAAGGGATTATCCACCGTACTAATAAGGCATTCCGATTGGTAAGATCAAAGCCTTCAGCTCTCCGCCTAACCAAACGCTAATATGCGCCATCATATAGTTCATTAAAGGAGAGTACAATGAACAGACCGTGGCACTAGCATCGGCCCAGATGGCTGAGAAGCTCAACCACGATCCCGTACTATGCGAACAGCTTATTCCCAAGTGGGAGATCGGTTGCCGTCGAGTGACCCCGGGCCCTGGCTACCTAGAGTCATTCTCAAAGCCGAATTGCAGCCTCACCTCGAGCACAATTACCAGGATCACCGAGAAGGGTATTGTCACTGCTGATGGGCAGGAGTTTGAGTGCGATGTTTGTAAGTTCATCCCTTGTTCGAACTTACACTTCGTTTCTAACATACCTTCTTAGTGGTTTGTGCCACTGGCTTCGACGTCTCTAAATGCCCTCAATATCCTCTGGTCGGCCAGAACGGAGTTGACCTAGCTCAGAAATGGAAGAATGAGCCTACCTCTTACCTATCAGTGGGAACCGACGACTTCCCCAACTTTTTCACAATGGCTGGCCCCAACTGCCTCTGTGGTCACGGGTCCCTCGTCGAAGCATTGAACTGGACAGGCGACTACTTCGTGAAGATGATCAAGAAGATCGCCACAGAAGATATCAAATACATGGTTCCAAAGCTCTCATCTGTGAAGGCATTCGGCACATATCAAGACGAAATCCACAAGACATTGGTGTGGTCCGGCTCCTGCAGCAGCTGGTACAAGAGAGGCACCGTGGATGGCCGAGTGACACATCTGTTCGCAGGCAGTGCTATCCTGTTCCGCCGCCTGCTCGGCGAGATCCGCTCGGAACACTATGACATTGCTTACAACTCGGGAAATCCGTTCCGCTTCCTGGGCAATGGATTCACTGAGTGGGAAATGAATGAGGATGCCGATCTGGGATGGTATGTGCAGGTTGCCAAACCGGTGCCCGAAGCTCAATCTCGCGATGATATGAGCTGGGTAGCAAAATAGATGAACACTTGAGTATGCGCTCCTGCTGTCGATATATATCCCTTGTAGCCATCATTTTTTTTTTACATACTTTGCACCTTGAATATACATTTTCCTCCGCTTATTCTGTTCAATCCCGCTCCCCACTAGGATAAGAGTGATCAGTAGATCAAGTGTCCGTTGAGAATTAGACCATATAAAATTGGGTTCCCTCCCCCTTCCCTTATTCGTACAGATCGCGCACGAGCCAGATTGGGCTGATGACATCTACTGAACAACCTTGGAATCATCTTATCTAAATACTACTCCATTCGGCGCTACTTCTCTAGAAATATTGCACGGATGTAGGATTACTACTTCGTTTTGCAGATTGCAGCTCGTGTACGTTTGAAGAGATAATGAATGTGTTTCTGGAATTTTCCAAGAAAAGAGAATTTCAAGTGATTGGAAACAGGTCGTTGAGTGATGACGATTAATTAGAGCGAGATTTCAACAATTATTTCGTAGATCCACCATAGAAAAAGACTTATATTCTCCTGAGCTCGAGACTAAACTACCTATTGTACTTCAAGTTTCCCAAACCACTACCAACATACCCCCGAACCTGCCTATCGTCGCTACTCTCACAGTGAATACCGGAATTGCATATTCTGTGGATCTGTCAATAAATGAAAGCAAATTAGAGCTCGGGTCACTCACCATCTTATCAGTCAAATCGTCTTCATAGGCATGTTCGAAGCCTTCCACAGTTCCCATCTTATCACGGCGACGGTTCTCCATTGAGCAAAGTATGCGGTATACGAACACAAAGAGACCCGCAACGATGGCAGTGATAAGCACCACGATGAATCCCAGATTATAATGAGGGGAATCTTGGGTTCGGAAGACCTGAGGCCCTGCAAAATTGCCTAATGAAGATCAGTTACAGTACTCCCAGATTTGTGATGGGATAACCTACCAAGAGAGTATCCAATGTACAATCCCGAGGAAGCGAGCGATCGCTTGGTATAGCCAGCATTGTTCGCAAGGAAAAGGCCCATTGATACTGCGTACCCAGCGCCGGTCGTCGTCAGGATATAGCAGGCGAAAAGGAGTCCTCCAAGTTCCTCCCGAGGCAGCAGCCAGAGCAGAAGGGAGGCAACCATCGTAACCACCTGGGAGATGATGATGAGATATGAACGCCAACCGGGGAATTTGTAAGCCAGGTATGTCATGATCAACATCATGGTACCAGCGTAAAAGCCGGAAGGCATCATGAGAAGCAATGAGTTGAGTGGGTTGAAGCCAAATCCATCAATGATAATAGCTTGGAAAGTGGAGATCGGGGCATTCGCGAACATGCTGCATACAGCGTAGAAGAAAATGAGCCAAAACTTGATATCGGTCAAGAGCTCAATGGCTTGACTACCCTTGAAATGAGTGTTTCTGACTCCGGAGTTGTTTGTTTTCATGCGCGATACAGCAATGAAGCGCTCTCTGTCGTTGAAACCCTTGGCTCGGATGGGATCAGGTGGGAGGACGAAGTAAACCACGACACCACAGATGATGGTGAGAGCCCCAGCAAAAAAGTACATATAGAACCACGGGGATAACCTTCCTTCGAGGTGCCCAAGTCCGTAGTTAACAAGAGGCGAAAAAATAGACACGTAACCCGTGCATGAGTACCAGGCACTAGAAGCTAGTCAGCTAAAGATCAAACAGGCGCGACGTCAATGAAGAAACGTACCCCATTCTCAGGGATTGTTCATCCTTTTTGTACCATCCACCCTAGATCACGGTGAGCTGAGACTGTCTGACGATAGGAGTAAAGGTTACGTACGACGATCATCATGAAAATCGGACTGATGCCAGCCTCAGTGAAGCCAAGAAAGAATCTTTGCGCGTATAATCCGTGGAAGTTCGTACAAGCGGGCGTAACGATCAGAGTGGTTCCCCAAACTATGATGGCAAGAGAAGCAACGCGTTCGATGGGGAACATCTGGGCTAGGACAGTGACTGGATAAGCCCCTAAGATAAATCCAAGGTAGAAGATGGATGAAGCCATGGAGAAGCGATTTCCAGTGCTCAAGCCCAGATCATCCTTGATTCCAAAAAGAGCCTGTGAAGATTATTAGTTCATGCGGTGGTGTAGGCCAGGAGGTAGTCATACCGCTTGTCCAAGCAAGACCTTGTCAGCATAAAGAAATGCATAGGTGACGCACAGAACAGGGAGTAGCTTGAGGTCGATTTTTCTGCATAGCTTCTTCTCCTCCTCTGGAGTCCAGGTCTGATCGCCATCGTATGCGGCTAGAACCCTGATTGCCTCATCGCCGTGCGCGGTGTCGAGTTTTTTCATGACTCCCTCCTCGCCATGCGAAATATGGGAGACATCTTCCTTAATTGAGCTCATGGTAAATATCTGACCTGAATCAGATTTTGTGTTAAAAGAGCAAAGCAAGCCTCACGGCGATGGCTGGGAGCCCCTTTTTATCCCCGGACATATCGTACTGAGATCGTGGGGAACAGATCCACACCGAGCTGCTGAATGCCAATTTCTGGGCAAAATTAGCTCCATCTTGTGGATAATATTGTGGTTATCATGTAGGCATAATAAGACAGCCGACGGAAAATCCGTAGCAGGATTACCGATAGTATAACCGAAAGGTTTATTATAACTGTGCAGCCGTCCATGAACAGGTGATTTTACCAGCGCCTAGCTTCCGGAGAGTCCGGGGTGGTTGAATGCGGGGAAATGCGTACGTATACGAAGTGAAACCTTGAAAGTTTGTAACTTCGAGAGAGAAGGATTTCAGAGCCGAATTTGTGGGGGAGTGTTTTGGCAAATTCCAAGATTCTCGTGGTTATCCTGATCTGGAAATACCGATAGTGAAAACACCGCCGATGCCGCTCCAGTGCGGGGAGTCCCACAAATTATTTGCAACCTGTTCTCATATAGAAAAGACACCATGTCATATTATATTTATTTCATCTTGCATATTCTAACTTCAAATAAACATGGCAAGTAGTCGTCCAAACATTGAGCTGCCTCCTGGCAAGGAGGTGGTGAGTGTGAAAATGATCAACCCGGTCAATTTTGGGCCTGCTATCATCAAACGGTTCATGGAGCCCCCTATCCCTTGGGTGGAAACAAAGAAACCCGGACCCGTTTTGACGTTCCTTTTGGAGCATTCCTCAGGTGAAAAGCTGGTGTTTGATCTTGGAATCCGCAAGGATTATCAAAACTATGCGCCTACCGTGGCAGACTATATACCCACAACGAATTACGACATACAAGTATCAAAGAACGTGGTCGATATCCTGGAAGAGAATGGAATTCCTGGAGAAAGTATTAATGCGGTTATCTGGAGGTATTTACTTCCAAAGCATTTCCATTACAAATTTTCAACAGACAACTAACAATCAATTCACAGCCACTGGCATTGGGACCACATAGGAGACCCATCAAGTTTCCCTAGCAGCACTGATTTGATTGTGGGGTCCGGGTTTTCGGATGCCATGCTGCCTGGTTATCCTGCTAATCCCAAATCCCCAATCCGAGAAAGCGATTATGCGTAAGTCCTAGTGCCATTACTGGATAAACTTCAAGATCTTTCGAAATTTGAACTAACTTATCATAGTGGTCGAAACCTACGTGAGATTCGATTTGATGGACCCGATGCCCTGCGTATTGGGAAATTCCCTGCAGTCGATTACTTCGGCGATGGATCTTTCTACCTCCTAGACAGCCCAGGACATGCAATCGGGCACCTATGCGGTCTAGCGCGAACAACTGTCGACCCTCCTACCTTTGTCATGATGGGAGGAGACATCTGCCATTACGCAGGCATCTTCCGTCCATCCAAATATCTCCCTGTGCCTGCATCAATTTCCCCACATCCATATAATACACAAAGCGATGTGCCTTTCTGCCCTGGAAGTATTTTCGATGATTTACAGCACACTAGAGGAAGGAAACCAACAGATACGGTATACGAGATGTGTTTCGGTCATGATGTCCCCCTTGCACAAAGGACTCGTGACCAATTGCAAGAATTGGACTGCGACGAAAACATATTTGTTATTATTGCACATGATTCAACCGTCAGAGATGAGGTGGATCACTTTCCATTGAGTCTCAACAATTGGAAGGAGAAGGGTTGGGCCCAGAATGTCAAGTGGACTTGGTTTCGAGATCTGGAACCCTTTTGGAAGTCGAAAGGCTTGTAAGAGGCGCTTATTCAGTTACTTAAATGAGAATTCTAAAGCTATCACTATGCTTGGTGTGATTCCATCATGTAGTGTCGAGATATATTTTGGCCTATTGATCTGTGTACACTGTCTATGTTGTTGTACAAATTGGGTTATTCTACGAGGGACCTTTGGATTTTGTTGATCGAAGAGAAATTTTATAGTATCATCTAAAGATTTAACCGGCGATATCCGGGGCAATTGGGAGTAGAAATTACGAAAACATATTTCAGACTGAGCGTCCAACTGCCCAATAGAAGGAGGACTCGAAAAAAGGATGAAGAGTTTGTACATAGTAGAACCCACTCGAACTAGAATATTGAAATCCATACTTGATTCTATAGCCTGGTATGTATAGCATTATTCGACGTGTTACTGCGATGCTACACTACTCATGCAATAAAGCGACCCGGGCTTTGACCTTTCCATCACAGACACTCTTCAAGATCTGGGGGAATTCCTTCAAGGGAGCAGTCTCAACCTGTGGGCGAATCATTCCCTTCGAGATCAAATCCAGGACTTCCTCCAAATCTCTCCACTGCCCGCCATATGTGAAGATAATGCTCAGTCTCTTCTGAATGCCAATCTTCATGTCGATTGTATTCTCCTCATCAAGAGTACCAACACACAGAAGTTTCCCTCCTCTTCGAACTGGTCAATTATCAGCCCCTGAACTATCTTTTATTGTAGAATGCTTACCAATGTTCTGTGCATCCTGAAAGGTCTGGTGTGTGCCCACAAAATCCAGGGTAGTGTCAATCTTGCCCTGCAACCCATTCTCGAGCACAAAATCTTGCACTGACTTTCCAGCTGGCACTAGATCTTGTCGAGGAACACCGAACCTTGCAGCCTCTTCCAACCGTTCTTGTCTAATATCAGAAACGATGACTCTAGCCCCAATATGCAGGACAATTTGCAACGCGTTAAATCCGAGGCCTCCCAGGCCGAACAAAAATACAGTCTCTTGTGGTTTAACTTCTGCACGTCTCACAATGGCATGATAGCTCGTTTTGACAGCATCCGTTGCTACTGCTGCGACAGATGACGGAATTCCTGCCAAATTTGTGAGCTTAAGTCGCACAAGATCTAAGGATCATAGAAACAAACCTTCTGGGACATGAACAACTGCCCGAAGGTCCAGCGCGGCATATGGCGCATAAAACCCATCCTGACCAATACCAGCATGGTGGGCTTGCTCACACAGCTGAGCAAGATCCCGTGAGCACTCAGGGCAGTCGTCTAATCCACAGCCAGGAACAGCGATCGTTGCGATTCGATCTCCCTGTGCATATTGTTAGGCCTATTGTGTCTCCTGAAATACTCCTTGCGGAGAACTTACCAGCCTGAAACCAGAGTCTTTCACGTCCTCGCCTATTTGTACAATCTCGCCACATCCTTCATGGCCCTTGAAACAAGGAAATTTGGTTAGCCTGTGGAATTCTACGTATCTTGATGTAGGAGAAATAGTTCGGAGGATACCAGTGTATATTTCTCTTGGAACCAAGGACGTTGCTTTTTACTCGTGAGAAGTGAATGATCGCTATGGCACACTATCAAGCGGCTGTTAACGTCGTTTTCTTAAGCTAACATTGGAGATCAACACCAGTTATCAAATACTCACCTCCAGAAGCTAGCAACTTCACTAAGAATCCTCCCTTAGGAGTGGTGGGGACTGGGACCTCTTCCCAGACCAGCGTGGCTATCAGCAATTGTTACTCCTGGTAAATGCGGGGTTACTCACAGGCTCTGGGTTTCCCTTATGCTTCCTCCACGCGTACATGGACGAGGGAATATTGATGCTTGCAGGAAGTGTCATGATGCGAAAGTTTATATTGTATAACTTGATGAATTCCAATATCTTATTCACGGCCTTTCACCTCAGTATATGTATATGAACTAGACTCATCCTAATGAGCACACTTTACTAGGATCTGCAGTTCGGCTGGGCACTGCCGGCATAGCCGGACATACCGAATGGTCGCTTTATTCTTACCGAAGCATTCCCCGGATTATCGAATGGAGATGTGCCGACGTATTGAACATACCGAGAGGGTCGATTTGCAGATATATTCGATTTTGCATGAGAGATATTTTGAGCGCAGCATACTTACTGATCAACTATACAATTTTAAACAAAAATCATTTCCAAGGCGAGACTAGTCTAGTAAAACCTGCTACTCACAACGGCCTTCCTTGACCCTGTCTCTGCGCAGAGTCAGCAATGAAATGTCACTCATCTTTGTAAATTCTCACTTTATAATCATCCAGCCATTTATCCTCGATAATGACCAACTGCGACGCTTGCTTCTTCGCGAAGTACTCGTCTTTGGGGTCGGAATAGTCTTCCTTGTCTACGTCCACGAAACCCTCCTTGGCCACAGTTCTCGGGGTAATCATGAGTGAGCGTCCTGGTAACATTAGCTATGATATCACTATAATATCTTGTCTTAAGACAAGATAGGAACTAAAAGAGAGTAAGCTGACGTACCATTGATAGATTTGTCACAGGCGATCCTGATCATTGCGCCAGCGCAATCCGCCTGTTCGCCAAACTCGACGCCACGCTCAATCAGCCAATTTTCGTACTCCTTGGTACGGATAGCGCTTTTGATCCAGCATGGCGCTACGTAATTGATTCGGATTCCTTGTTCCCAGCTGTTTCGACGCACGGTCTTCATGAAGCCGCGTAGGCCGTATTTGGTCGCTGTGTATTCCCAGTTTCCCTAATGGTGTGGTTAGTTGGGAAATTATTACTTGCATGAGCCACGAGCAATCCAAGGGAGTTTTGGACGATATATTTACCGGTGAATCGATGTATGCGACCATGCTTCCAGTAATAATGAAGCATCGGTCTCGGTCCGCAGTATCTGGTTGTTTCCTGAAATAGTGAACTGCAAGTTTCCAGGTATAGAATGTCCCGTCCATGTTGACACGGACTATGTTGAGTTTGGGCTTGGTTGGTGCGCCATTGGGGTCTGTGGATTGTCAATGTCTTGCGTACCCGTAATTATTCGCAAGTAAAGCTCGAGTGTGTTGAGTGTTCAGTCACCGGATAGAGACTTACCATCAAGGTTCCACAGACTGTCACCTGAGGCACGCGAGATTCCCGCATTAGCAATGACGATATCAACGCTGTTATGCGGACTCTTGGCTTTGGCTGTTTCGAATAGTGTAATCAAGGCGTCCCAGTCCGTAATGTCGCACTTGACAAACGCGGCGGTTTCGCCATTCGCGTTCAATTCTTTAGCGAGATCATCTCCTCTGGGGTGAAGATCACCAAAGGTGACAAAGGCACCGGCCTCACTAAAAGCGCGCACCATGGCTTCGCCCATTCCATTCGCGCCTCCGGTAATAATAACAGATTTACCTTTGGCATTAGCTAGATCGGGCACCACGGCGTGGTTGATTGGCCCGGTGTAGGTATATTTGGGAACAGGCATTGTGAGCTAAATTGTAGGTGTGCAGTGTATGATTGTAGGTATTTGCGGGGTCTCGAAATGTCACATTGAGAACTGCGGATCTCAGCCATGCCACTTATAGCTCTCACTATACCCTCCGAGCTAGTTCTTCGCTTGTATGACAGGCCGACATAGGATACCATACCCCGCGTTTTGCCCGACAAGGATCGTTGCCGAGAGTTTGCCGGGGCGGCGATCCAAAATAGGGTAACCGGCCCATATCCGGGGTAGTGGACTTCTAACGCCATTCAGTGATTTGAGTACTGCTGCCGCAAATTTCGTTTCGAGGGCATGAAAGCTAAAAGGGAGCCTTGGCTACGAATGTGTCACTCGTAGCAACAATCTCCGCCCCTGAAAACTCTTTTTCCTTCCAGTAAAAGGTCACGGGTTGACTGCCAATGTAGTATGTAAAATTCCCTTGGAGTTTATGTCCCGATTTGAGTGCATATAAAACGCTCACAGACATGCAATATGGCTTTGGTGAGTGCCTGCCCCCAATATTGGTTGACTGTGACCTGCTAACTCACCGACGTGCACCCTATGTACCGCTGAACAGGCCGGGATTTCTCACTTCCACTCCCTGGAAAGGTTAGTGACGTATTCACTGACTTCGGTCTTGCAGATGTAGGTGACTATTTGGGTGCTAATTATCAAAAATCTGTAATCGAGAGGTTGTTGCCTGGTAAAAGGTGGGTAAGCTCCGTCTCGGCGTTGCACGACTTGGGGTGAAGTATCCGTATCACCGACCCGATCAAGATTAACAGCAACTGGAAGTTGCGACAAGGCATCGTGGATAGTTCAGCCCCTATATCAGTCCCCACACCGGAGCCCATGAGCCCGGAAGACTTCAAGGCTGTGAACCGACATGCGTGGGTCCACAATTTGCCACGAATTTGATATTCAGTCAAGTCTCGTGATAGCGTTTGGAGCACTGAGATAATGGTATGTGTCAAGGAGGCGAAAAGCTCATGCCAAATGTGGTTGAAACTGGGTTCCCGATGTCGCAGAACTCCGCCCGGGGACCTCATGTGGACTGGGTTTGTTTCCAAGTAGAGACCGTACATACCTACCTTAGAGAAAACTACATAATGAGTTAGCCAACCTCGGGGGACTTCCATGAGAACTGATTACATTATGATTACCTAGGCTCTCCTTATACCAAATTATAACCAGGAGCCTCATACTTTGAGCAGTTTCTAAATGATTACGAAACTAATACGTGCTTTTCGGAGTTGGAGCAAGATTCCAAAAGGTATCGATAACTATGTAGACATGATCAAAAGGTCAGAAACCTGTAAAATTTGAGGTGCATCACCAAACAACAAATCTTTTATTTTGGGGGTGTTGCCTTCGTAGAACAAAGCACACATAACAAATTTTCGAAAGCAGTGCTGAATCGGGACATGAGACACCCCAAGCGACCGAAAAAAGAGAAAGGGATCAGAACTGAATAATGAGATCAAGTGCAAGCGTCGATCCGGGAAAATAATGACAGGTTTGTCAATCTCTCAAGGGGGAGCTCCAGCTGCATTTTGCTACTGATCATCTTGAGATCATATCCTCTCGACAAATCCACGTTCTGGCCTGGGATTCATGAATTCTCCTGGAGTCGCTACCGATTTCCATGCCATTATCCTTTCGCGTGTAACCTCCGCCAGGACATCTCCACGCGATAATTCTCCAGATAGTGACCTTGCAATGAGCGGTTGAAGAACCTCTAGATAGTAAGTACATATGTGCTGCACCCATTCGACATCCAGATCCTCCCCATGTCTTCGCATGACTATAACACTCCCATCGAAGCGCCAGGGTGGCTGACTAGACATACCCCAGCCCTCAGATTCTGGATCTATGTCAGTTGATAGAATTTCAGCATGGAGATTTTGCCAAGGATTCTCTGGTGGTTCATCCAGTAGCGCGATTCCATGCTTGAGCTCATCTTGATTGATCTGGCATATCCATATCGGATCCTCGAGTGCCATTGATAGGCCTGAAACCATATTACTGGTTGGGAAATCACGATCGACAACCACCGATTGAAACTCCTCACAACTGTTGAGCTTCTGCTCAAGGGGACAGTTGATTCGAACAGCTCTCACTGAGCCACCACTAAGTGTCTCGCGGATTGTGTCATCGAAATATGTGCTGAAGTAGTCGAGGATATGTCGAAAGTCGGCGCAGTCTATATCGAGATATTCAGATGGCGGATCCCCATACCTACCACTCATTACAACATAGTCTCCACAGAGATTGTAAGGTATTCGCATACCGTGGCAGGCCTCTACAGCATGTTGAATGGATTGGTTGGTTTTGCCCGGCGGTTCGTCCCAATCTTGATAATATATCGTGATTTGGTGATCCAACGTCAGCCCCCGCCTCTTATTCTGATTAAATGGTAGAGTGAACATGACGGCATGTTCTGGACCCAGAAACGCATCAAAATCGGCATGGTATTCTCCCATTTTCAAAACTATAGGTGCCCATACAAGCACTGGCTCTTTCGTATCTCTCGGAAACCAAATACCGATCCTGTGCGCATCTGATGGTCGATTATGTCGAAGCTCACGATACCGTGCGCATACAAGCTTGTGCGCTGGCTGGTCCAATTCCCGACATCTTTTGGAACAGTACCAGGTGGAGCGGCAGTGGTGGCACAACCCGTCTTTGGGACGGGGCATTTGACACATAACGCATAGAGACTTCAAGTCTCGATAGAATATTTTCTTTGGGCCGACAGATCTGGGATTTAGTCTGGAAGTCTGTTTGTTAGCTATGTTCTCCCTAAAGCGGAGTTTATGTGTCTATACAGTATTTGTGTTGCTTCGCGGTGTTCCTGGCCTCTCCTATCAGTGATTTCTCTACGTGCATGTTGCCGCTTCATCACGAGCATGTCTGTAGAATTCAACTCAGAGACTGCTGACGATTGCTGCACAGCGACCGTTTTAGAAAACGGTTCTGGGTCGATGAGACTTTTTATTTTCTCCTTAATGGCTTCACATAGTTGCCTTGTTCGCGGTTGCGTGGTGTCTAAGCTGAGTAGCGGGATGCCCCATGAAGGGTGGCATTGACCATGGCAGCCACGGACTCGCAGCTTCAAAGATGACAAGGCTAAAAAGCGTTGACAGAGAAAGCAGGCTTTTTTGCTACATCCAAGGTACAGAATTGTCGGTGTGAGCGAAGGTTCCGCCTCGTAGCGTGCTAAAAGCTGTATTTCGCAGTGAACTGAAGGGATATCAAAACAGTCCCTTTTGAACTCGCCGCTCTTTTTAGCAATATTATTGGGTAAGCTTCTATCCATGGCCGGAAGTTGAAGCTTCTTCCAAGCTTGTTGTATCGATTTCTTATGGCGCTTTTGGAGTCGGATAGGATCTGGCGGTGACATTTTAATAAATACGACCGACCGAAAGTTGGGCAATAGCCAGGAAATGCGGGATAAGATATAAAGATCGGTCGCTGGCCTTGCCACAATTCGCCATATCTTCATCACTTTCAATGGATCCGCGCATGGAAGTATATCTTTCAACCTAGCCTGCATTTCTTGCGATGAGCGCAAGGCCAGAGCTGCAAGTTCCACAATCTGACATATTTGATCCTCCCTCTCCAGTGAAGTCAATGATTTAGATTTCAAGAAATCGAAATTGAGAAGCTGCAGTATGAGACTTTCGATTGCGTTGGAGGCTAATGGGTGTCCTTTAGAACAGCAGCCAAGGAGACAGGTCGAATCGTTAGACTGGCTTTCAATAGACGAGCGAGGGACAGGACAGAACGGTGACCCATTCAGAAGCCCCACTGCCTTTGTCACGGCATCGCTCACTCGACTAGCATTGTATACTATCGTTTGGCGCAGAAAATAGTGATCGTCCTCAGCATCTTGATGCGAAACACCTTGAGACATAGTTAGAATCCGCAATAAATCGCACCGGTGGGTAGCATAGTAGTTACTTTCACCTCGCCTGGCAAGGAAGCGGGTCAGCGAAGAAATATAATTATCATCTTTGTGGCTGAATCCGGTGTTTCGAGCGATGTCAATCTCAATTGAACCCTCTTTCTCTCTTAACGCGGCAGCAGTGACGTGTTTCCCGCCCTTTGTGTGGGCGAGTAGCTCACTGATACAATTTAGAAACTTCTCACATAGTGCTTCATCACCACCTGCCAACATAGCAGTGTCTGTACTTGTCCCGTCAATGTCAGAGCTGTTATCATAATCTTCATCGTCATCAGTTGTGTTTCCGTCAGATGGCGACTGTAGCTTATCTGGCATGGGAGTGGTGTAAGGATTCCAATACGATAGAATATGAGATGCCCAAACAACTTTAGCAACTTCATCAATCTCCTTGGTCGATGGTATTCCCATTTTTAGCCTGTGGTGATCTAAGAGGGCCAAAAAGGAGGGAACAGCAAGGGAAATCTCGAGGATATGAAGGATCAGTGGTTGTTGAGACACGTAGAGAATATATATCAGTGGTTAGAGTCGTGCCTACGCGGCGTATGTGCTGGCAGTGCATAAGGCTGGAATTGAGGTGCCTCGTCCAGTTCGGTAGGACGGCGCCAAACCATAGGTCAGCAAGCACCCCCTGAGGCCACAAATCAACATCAGAAAAGTTCCAAGCACGTACCTACATTTTACAGCCATATATAATCGGGGAAGCCTTGATGTCGCCAAAATCGAGGATCTGATTCTTATGGAAAAAAAAATTCTGAATAGTACAATTTTCTTCTTGACCAGATGTGCTGTCAAATACGTATCATTACAGAAACATTACTGTGACGGGCGAGTATTAGGACCCTGGCTACCGCCTTTCTAATCATACATATCACAATTCTAGGTGTTTGATTTGAGATTAGCGTAGCCAGAAAAATAGGGGGCGCGGAATGATGGGACCCTGTAAAGTACGGTCTAGGTACTCCGTAATTTCACAAGCGTTGGGATAAAGAACTCTGGAACGACCCGTGACCTTCGAAAGGGGGCCGATACTCGGTTGACCACGTTAATTCCTTCACTCTGAAGCACCAAGTCTCTTTCTTAAGTTCCCATCTCAATGAAATTGCGAACGTCTAAGCGCTTCCCATGTCTTTCTCAGCACCCTCTCACTTCGGTCTCCATGGCTGGCCGAGTCCGATGCTACCTACTCCGCGAAGACAAACAATATATATAAGTCTCTACTCTTGGGATTTTCAAGGATTGTCGCACTATTAATAGTACCAGAGAAGAGAATGCTCAAGGTTCCGATATACTGCCCCACGACAAATTCAGATAGGTTAGCTAATTGACCTACTGTAAAATGTAGCGTTCCGCAAAGCCCATAAATAGGCCCGAACCCCGGGCCCAAAGCCCAACCAGCAGTGGGTTGTGGGCCTAACCTTCGAAGCCCAGCCCAACCCACAGCCTCTTCGTGGGGGTCTATAAGGCCCCTGTTAAAGCCTATTAAGACAGATTCAACCGGCATCTTGTAGTCGCTATACGATATTGTATTCTAACCCTTCTGCTACTTGTGTAGAATTTGAATTTAGAATTTAGAATTACAAGAGCTATATAGGTATATTTTTCGATTTTGAATAAAATCCGACCTATGGAGGTCGCGATACTAAGAAAATAGGTTAGTATTAATGTCTTGATACTCGATATATATTTTGGATTTGTAGAAGTACTACTACTTTCAAAGTGAACTTCTGTAATTTATAAATTATCCAAAGAATGCGCTTTCTCGCGTTTTCAAACATGATATAGAGAGACAACTAGTAATTAATTCTAAACCATTTAAATTAGTAAAATATTACCTCTAGAAAAAGGCCTAGAAACGGGGGTAAAACGAAGGGTAATTTTAAAACTCCTAAAAGGGGGTTTCAACTTCTGAATTCTCAGTATATTTGTACTGTTTGAGGCCCATTTGGGGGGCCATTAACCCGCAGTGGGCTTCTCCTCAGGCCCATAGCCCACCGGTGGGCCCGAGGGTAGGGCCCAAAGCCCAGCCCATTTGCGGGTTGGGTTGGGCTGGGCTATGGGCTTCATGGGCTTTGCGGAGCTCTAGTAAAATGTATATACCAAAACATCCGAGCTGTCATCGCTGCGCTGTTCCTTAGTCTAAGCGACAAGGCCTAACCTCAAATATTGTGTTTCTTTCTTCGTAATTTCCTCTCTCGAGGAGAGAAAGGCTTGCAAAACTCAAGTTACTTTTTTTCAGCGTGAGTTGCATTATCGCCGGAAACCGTTCCTGCTTCGGAGAATAATTGTGTAAAAGGTGAAGCGACCCTTGCGCTCCTATGCTCTCTGCTTATATGCCACGTCTATCATTGGTATTGCGGGGGCTGATATGTTTTGCGGGGGTTTCGCTTGCATCATATCACGTCATATCAACATTATTAATGCATGCAGGAGCACTCTATATACCAACACCAACCATTGGAAAGCGCATGATGTTATTATCAGATATAGCACGTCAGGTTCAGTCAATTCCCCGTCTTACGATGTATAATCAACTTCATAAAGATATGCACTGCATGCTGTCGCTAGAGCGGCTGACAACGCCGTCTGACCCTGGAAATTCTTGACGAGAACATTATACATTCGCCTATTGCGTGAGTTTCGCGGCACCAAAAATAGATGCTATCGGGTAAACCAAGTGATGATTCGATAGAACGGATATTACGGCTTGTGGAGATCATCAGTCTTGTGTTTTGCGTACCCCATCCTTTCACATGATACTTGTCAATGTCACATACATTGCACACGAAGGAGTTCATACGTGATTCTACAACGGAATTGCGCACAGGAACCAAGAGTGATGTATATTTAAGTCAATGGCCGCTCACAGATTGCAAAGGGATAATTGCTCAAACTTGATCATCAACAATATCTACTGAACTCCCAGCACAGCATGGCGCCATCTATTGCCCAAACTCCTACCGCAGAAGTAGTTTTTCCTGTAAAGGCCGCTCCTGAAACAACCGAGACCAAACCTAGAGTCAGAAGAATCATTGAAGAGGAAGGAGGAAACACCACTGCTAGTGTAAGTCATGGCTAGGCCTCCAACTCCCACCATATATATTCTAACCCAAAAACGATCAGTATCCACACTACCTGCCTGTATACGATTATGGAGAGAAATACCCACCTCTCGAACCATTCACCCACGTCGACCACGGAAAGGACGCCGACCCCTCTTTCAAAGACCTCCTCACGGAAGGCTCCAAGATTCAAAAGTTGACTCCAACAATCGGCTCTGAGGTTACAGGAGTTCAGCTAAGCAAGCTCACCGCTGCCGGAAAGGATCAGCTCGCTCTGCTCGTCGCCCAACGGAAAGTCGTTGCGTTCAGAGACCAGGATCTCGCCGATCTACCAATCCAAGAGGCCCTCGATTTTGGAGGCTACTTTGGCCGCCATCACATCCACCCAACCAGCGGAGCTCCAGAGGGATATCCTGAGATCCATCTCGTCCACCGAAGCAACAATGCCTGGGAATATGATGAATACCTCGCGACAAGAAACAGCAGTGTCTCATGGCATTCCGACGTCACATATGAGCAGCAGCCACCCGGTACTACATTCTTGTACCTCCTTGATGGCCCTGAAGTGGGCGGCGATACTGCCTTTGTCGACCAAGTTGAGGCCTACAACCGGCTTTCACCGGCGCTCAAGGAGCGACTGCATGGTTTGAAAGCTGTGCATTCCGGAGTTGAGCAGGCTGAATTTAGTCTGAAGCGCGGGGGTGTTGACAGACGGGAGCCGGTGCAGACCGAACATCCTATTGTTCGAACCCATCCAGTGACTGGCGAGAAAGCACTTTTCGTTAATGGCGGCTGTAAGTATTCTACCAAGTTCACCGGAGAAAATTGTGCTAATACCATTGCTAGTTACCCGCAGTATTGTCGGACTCAAAAAGGAGGAGAGCGATGCCCTTCTAGGCTTCCTGCTGGCTCACGTGGGTCGCGGTATTGACTTCCAAACTCGTATTCGATGGGCGCCAAAGACTGTCGTTGTCTGGGATGTGAGTTGACTCTTTGACGATTGACTGACTGTTCAAAAAGCTAATGTGTGTACGCAATATAGAACCGTGTCACAGCTCATTCTGTGATTATTGACTGGACGACTGGTGAGCGCCGCCACTTGGCGCGTATTACGCCACAGGCTGAGCGCCCTTATGAGACACCTTATGTTCCAGAGGATGGTGAATCTAAGCATTAAGTTTCTGCTAGATCGATGTTAGAATACATAGGGAATGAAAGGCTCACTCATACAATTATGTGGGCTTCATCTTAACGAGCGTAATGTATACAGAATGTTGATCTGAATAATCATTTCCGAGAATAAGCACGTATCCAAACCTAGTACTCACGACATATCGCAACATCGATGCCAAGATTGCATTGGACGACATCTAACCGATAATGGTGCAATTTCCCAACTAAATATGCCACGACACCCATGAAATTCTGGTCAAATTAATTTTTCCTGGGGTCTAGATTTATTTGGCTGGTAATTGAGAAGTAAACATATTTGTTTCGTAAAGTCATCATATTCTAATCTACTTCCTATGGACGACTATATTCTTCGAGTTCAATGCATCACAACACATATCCATTGTCCCGAGTCTCTCCAACACATTTCTAGCTCTAACGAGCAAACCGAAAGTCAATTCTATATAAGGTGGTTAGGTTATATGCACAGGCCAAAGTATACTCTGCACACTAACATACCTCTTGTTAGTCAACACCGGGTTTTCACGCAAGTAAATCTCTCTTTGTTCGCTTGTCATAGCATCCCATTTCGCAGAATTATTTCTGTGTACAAATTAGCAAGCAAGCTCCATATTCATAATTGCGAGGTCTGAATATGTACTTATTCCAGTAATCATAGTAGAAATTTGCGAAGATGAACAGGAACCCAGCGACAACAGCCAAAGCAATAAGAACTTTGTTCCCGCTTCTGTAGTATGGGGCATCCTTTACTTGGTACACCTGTTAAGGATTGTTAGTTTCTCAGATGATGAAGTTATTCTGTGAAGAAATTAGTAGTAACAAGGACTGCAACTCACATTAACAGCAGCGATTCCGCTCACTTGGATAGACATATTATACAACGCAGAAGCAACGGTGCGAGTCCGCACAGATCCAGCATTCCGTGAAGTCAATGCCACCACAACAGGATGAATGTTCGGAGAACCGACAATGAGCGTAAGTATCGCCCACCGAGGCCAGGGCATGCTTTTCTGAGGAAGTACCTCGAGTGCAATCAGCAGGGCGAGGTTCCAGACTTCCACTCCCACACCCCAGAGCAGGCGCTGGTTCGTACGCTCTGCAATCCAGGTAATAGACATCATGGTGATAATCGCAATCACAGCCGCTGGAATTGTCAGCAAATTGGTCTGGAAGGTTGTGAATCCTTGGGATCGCAGTTGTAGCGTGAGGTAAGCCTGCGCAGGAGTCGTCGGTATCATCCAGATCAGACCAAGAGCATAAATTGGCCACATATGGTAGTCCTTGAGTGACTCCCAAAGTCGTCGTGGGGTTACTGCTTGTCGGTTGTGCATACTGCCCTTGCTGGGATCGTCCCGAATAACACGGTTCACGATGATCTTCTCTTCATGTTCCGTGAACCATCCGTTCTTTCCGCGTAGTCCTCCCTTGGTTTGCACAGGGGAGGCTGGCATCCAGAACGCAGCAACAATTCCGATAACACCAGTTATGAGACCCTCATATGCAAATAGATATCTCCAGGCACCACCACCGTTGGCATCGGTGATATGAAGGAAGCCGAACGCTAAGAATGAACCAATTATTCCGGCAACAGTGTAGGAGATCCAGAACCAGGTGAGTCTGTTCGGCAGCTCGCTGGATTTGTAGAAGAATGACAAGAAAAGAATTGTATCAGGTATACTGCAAATTGCCATTAGTTCCATGTTGATATTGTGTGGAGTATGAATGCTTACAAGCCCCCTTCTAGCAATCCCAACAGAGCGCGACAGGCCAAATATGACTCACGTCCTTTCAAGAAGGCCTGACAAGCCGCAACAAGACTCCAAGAAACCATTTGAATGGGAATCCAACGATCTGGGCCAACTCTCTTGGAAAGTAGCTGGGAGGGCATCTCAGCCAACAGAAAACAGACTAGGAAGACTGTCTGGCCCAAGTTGTAATCGTTGCTGGTCATCTTAAGATCCTGTAGAAACGTACTTGCCAGTGCTTGGCCAATGTTCCCTCGATCAAGCTGCAAAGCGAAGAAGGTTACACAAGCAAAGGTACAGACGCGAGCATCAATCTATCAGCTTCGGTTAGGTGCTAATTAAGATATGCGGGGGAATGGTTGACCAACCTTTCTAACGATCTTCTTCTCCTCCTCTTCCGTCCATTGAAAGTTCGGATCCCAGCGATGGATTCCCTCGTAGCTGTCAATGGGCCGGTAGAAGTGATGGCCCTCCCTGGCCTCAAATGTACTTTCCCCTTTGTGATGTTCAGTTTTCTGCCATTCTTCATCCGAGCCATCTGTACTGCTGGCAGAAATCTGCGCCGTCTTTTTTTCCTCTGTAGACATGTTTCAGGATTTTAGGAAGGCAAATGCAGAACCTCGAAAGTGATTGCAAGGGAAATATTGCAAAGGCTTACTTCTCCCTTTTTATTCCTATAAATTTTTAGCCTAGTTACGAAGTCCGTCACGCGATTTTGCCCCGAGAAGAGTTAAGATGTTGTGCCCGAATGCGTGAATGAGACAATCGCAAAAAGACGACCTGGCTCTAAAAGACGGCGCAATCGGAGAACTAGCATTAGAAATACTTCCATATCTTTCCCGCAATGACCATATATTATTTGTGGAATAATACTCAGATATGTCGGGGGAGCTCTGGAGGCGGGGTCTAAGCGAGTTGCATCATTTGGAAATTTAGATACGCCATTTGAACGAATGCCTTGTCATTGTGCTGCAACGTCGCTAATAATTACCATCGCATTATGCTTATCTTGTTTTGAGAGGGAACTTACACACAACGCAGGATTTCATCTTCTCGCATTCTATTATTCCAGCAAATATTTACCTAAGGGAAGAACCTGCTAAAAATGCAGGAAACAAATCCAGGTATAGGAGCTGTGCGCTCACAGGTTTTACTGGGTCGTGCGGAAGACGAGTTATAGGTCAGAAAAGGGCGGGCAACCGAAAAGCCATTAGGGTATATCATTCACAATAAAATGAAACGCTTTATATTGTCGCTCGTTTTATACATAATTCCATAGCTATACCCCTCGTGATGTCAAGGAGCGAGGTGATAGGGCCATATGGCTCCGCTTTCGCTCCGCCAGACGTTGAACAATTCAACAATAACAAGAAAAATCACGCAATGATAGAGATAAGCAAGAGGGAATGGTGAGCAGCAGCCGGGAGGTTCTTGTGTGGGGTTGATGTGGGAGTGTAACGGTGAGCCCCTGCGCCTGGTGGGAGAGCTGTCGTAGTCTCTCTATCTGAGCCTTTGTCGGGTTGGTGTCCATGGTATCACCTGCCCATTTGTCGATCCAGTTGGTACAGATTTCAACAATTCCCGCAAGATCTTCAAACTTCTTAGAAGATGTGCTAGGGTTGGACTGGATTTTCCAGTCCTCCCATTTCTCAAGCGACCTGGTATTCGCAAGATAATCAAACATCCGCACTAGCTCTTTACTAGCGGAATCAAGCCCTCCACGCGCAAAAAGCAACTCCCACGACATGTTATAGTGAGATTCAAAAACCGGCTTCCATCGGTCCATCCTTGAGCGTGGCTGGTCAAGCTCCCGGAGGATCGCATCATAGTCCGCCAGGATACTACCTCCGTGGGCAGCAGCGTTCTGCTGAGACCTTCTGGTGTTGCTGATAGGCTTGCCAGCCCATTCGTCGAGCACAATTGTCCGCACCTCAATTGTATGTGCATCGAACGTCCGCTCATATTTCCTGGTCGCTTTTTGGGCCTCTTCGAGATCTTTGCTTTAGCCTCCAGATTGTTCTGTGTGTTCTCGAGTGTCTTTTTTTGTATCTCGGATATCCTTCCTTTTGATCTCAGCCCATTTCTGGAGAACTTGGACAGTCTGTGACGGGGTGGCAAGCGTTGCCAGAAGGATCATTCCTCGCTATTCGCTCATGTTTGGCGACTGTCGTCAACGGCTTTAGGTAAGACAGAAAAGTGAAGGAAAGAGGGAAGAGGAGGAGGAAGAGGAAAGAAAAACAAAAACGGACAGAATAGGAGTTCCTGCCTTTGATTTTGGGATGGTGCGATACACTGAAACTCGAGCCCTTTGCGCCTTCCTCCGAAATCCTTCTTTCCACGCGCTTTTGGGGTTTTCTTTGGAATGCATCACATCAGATGGGTCTAATGAGCGTTGATTGAAGGCTATCTGTCATGTTCCAGTACAAATATTGCCTGCGCAATTGGCCTCTAGTTTTGGATATGTCTCTAGGCAATACCCTTTAGAGGAAAATACATGGTAATACTGATATGCTTCTACCCCTATGGGGAACCAAGTATGCTATCGGAACTTGGCTCTCTCATTGGATAATATTGCCAGGCAGTATTTCAGTCATCCAAAGTTCAAATGTCTCAGACAAAATTACCCTCAGAGTAGGAGTACACACCGCGAGAGCGCGGTATACTAGTTGCACGATTAGCAAGTGTATCAGGTCTCTAATCCTGATAGGCCTACAAAACGCGGTCCTTAATAGAGAGGTAAGATTAATTAGTAACGATATGATATAATACAGATATCCTACCTACTAAAATAGAAAAAAGCGTTAACAACGCGACTTTTAGGTGTGTTTTTATAAAATGGTGATGGAAAGTGACGTGTAGATATAAAAAACTACTATAAAAACTACAAAAACTACCTTACTCCTTACTTTTTCTATAGCATTTATATAGTAAATAGTATAAATAAGAAGCAAATCATAAAGTATTAATAGTAATTACTAGTAAGAGATAAGAAATTGAGGTAATAAATTGAGGTAATTCTGACTACACAGCTTTATAGGTATATGTGTATCACTATTTTATCCACTTGAAATAGGAAATTTCTTAGCAAGTTCTTGGTAAGTTATACACCCGTAGTACTATATCGATCCTACTGCGAGGTACTGCAGTACTTATCAAGGTCTATCTGGAATATAGCTTCACGTGTCAATATCAATCTCGGCGAATCAGCACGATCATCTAAATTTTTCAGGACAATTTTGTATTTTTGCGACTATATATTTCAATGTCAGCATTCATTGCAAACCTTGCAACCAAGGTGTTAAAATCTTGGCAGAACGTATTTTTGCACGTAACCAAATGAAAGAGAGAAAAGGAATAGAGAAGAAGCATTGTAGAAAGTCCATGCATACGGATATCTTCCAAAGATTAGGCCATAGGCCAATGGGATCCTTATGATTCGAACACAGTTGCAATGCAGTACTATGTAGTACTAGTGAGAGGGTATTGGCCTTCAATACCGTTGATTAGAACCCCAATACCGGTATTCGAAAGATCGCTCACTCAAAAAAATGATCAATTTATGGCATATTATATTACACAACACCGTATTGTTAGTGTATTGCTGCCGTATTCGGGTTTTAAGGATCCCCTGCATGGTTGCCACCTTCCCAATCTGTATATCCACGTGTACCAACATATCGACTAACAGCTCTGCCTTTCTTTCAACCTCCATACCATTGGACGGTATCCTCTCTTGTGCTTAGGCCTGCTATTATTCTGTACAATACCAGGTAAGTTGCCAATAAGCAACGTCGCGATAAAATTGACGTCTCTACAACATTAAAAAACACACGGTGTCGACGAGAAATCTCCGAGTGAAATCATGGAAGAACTGTATAACACACTTTCTTACCATATTAGGCCTTTCTGCAACCACGTTGTGGCGCATCTAAGCGGGTACATCTCGCTTAAGCCCGCGCCTTCACTTCAAAGCCGTCCATGCCTCGATGCTGAGCGGAAAATTATTTCTTCTACACTCTGGGGTGTGTGTTCTATTAGTGCCGTGGCCAGGTGAATCGGGATCTGATGGTATCTACAAGAATTTTGATCAAAGTAACCCAATTCGTGATGACCGGACCATATCTAATCTCAGATGTGATTGTGGTTCCTAAATAAACGCAGTGGAATTTAGCTCTAACAGGGTACTGCCAGTTCGGTCACGTCTCACTTAATTACCCAAGACTCGGCGACTTGCTGTTTAGATCAATGAATACTTCTGCCTACTGGAGAAAATGCAAGAGAGCTTGGTAATCTTGATTGCGCTCCTTCTGGAAGAACCATCTCATAGCTCTTTCTTTCGGCGACGCCGTATAGCAAAATAGTTGCAATGTGGAAATTCAGAGCATGTCGCTAGACAGATGTACGCCACTCAACAATGGCGATAGGTAACACGTACTTGAGGCGCTCTCACTTGAAAGAGGGGTTGATCACCATGCTCATGTGTACATGATGAACTTAGCCAATAGAGATATAAAGTATTTTTGGATTTACGAAAGTAGCTATATTCTATCGAGGCCCGGAATCATTTTGTTGGAGTCTAAGCTCGATGGAAACTTCGCTTTCTTTGTTCATTAGAAATATAGACGGAACGGGTAGGAACGTTGTTTCTTTGACATCCTTGACTTTTCGGTTATTTAGGCAATCATCGTGATCATCCTTTTGGCCCCACAGTTTCTTTATTGAGCCACCACATTGACAGGGGGTGGGCTGCTAGATTGTACAGTTGCAACCCACTTAATAGAGACCAAATTGGTTGGATCGTGGGATATGCTGCAAGATGAAAACGTGGGCTCAACATCATTTAGAGCATATTCGTACAAGGTTGACTCCCTTTCCAGTGGAACAAAATTCTTGCTAACCAAGTGATCTAAGGGGTTCTTGGTATTCTCTTTTGGAACCACCTCCATATTGAACGATTGTACTTGTTCAGAAAAGGCAATCCCTCTTGGAAAAATGTAATAACTAGTCGCATGGGACGGTGGGTATTTGTTCATGGTTTCAATCTCTGTGGCGTTAAGATTGAAGTCCGAGCTCCTTCGTTTTGAGTTAATTGCATATGCCGCAAGGTATCCCAGTTGATAACCTCAAAGAACTTGGATGAAGGTTTTTTTTTTGACGCGCCAATTGAGCTAAGCTGAGCAAAATATGTGGGGCATAGCCAGAAGCATGACTATAATATCAACAAAGAATAGTATATCTACACTCTAAGCGATATAGTTTTATAGTCCGTATATATCTTATATCTCGTCGTTTAACCATATCCTCCGAAGGTTCAAACGGAAGCTTTAGAAATAATGGCGGAGTTCGATGATCAGCACAGCAGGGTTCCTGAGTCGGTCTTTTTGGTGAGTATCCAACATGACGAAAATATTCTTTCGATAAGTATAATTAACATTGTATTAAAAGGGTGTGCTATGGGCTCTCACAGGAGTATCGTTTATCTTTCTTGTATTTCGCATATACGCTCAAGTTACCTCGTTCCGTCGACTATTCCTAGATGACTTTCTGGTTGTCCTTTCATGGGTCATCATACTCACAGCTGCGATCATTTGGCAAATCGAGGGAAAGGTTCTTTATGAGTTATACGCAATCAGTGCTGGTACAAAGCCATTCAATCTTGAATTTCTGCCGAGGTACAATACATTCATGCGCTTCAATGCCGCATTCGAGATACTGTTCTATTCAGCCCTGTGGTGTGTCAAATTCTCATTCATGGCACTCTTCTACCGAATCAGTGCCAAGGTCAAATCTCTGCGTATTTGGTGGTTTGTGGTTCTTTTCTGCACAGCGAGTGTCTACATTGCATCGATAGGCGATATCGAATACAAATGCAGTTTTGGAGGGCTGGAGTATATCATCAGTGAGAATACCCGCACTAAACTGCGATTGATTTACGTATCCTGACGCAGAGCTTGGCAGCTCAATGCCCCCAACCTAATCATGTTCATTACGAGAATCGCATGTTCTGGGCCAACTGTGCTGGAGATGTTATCACGGACTTGATGAGTGAGTTTACTATAAACACATCGGACTATCAAGGATTCTTTCAACCTGACAATTCTTTGATTTTAGTCCTGTCCATTCCCTTCCTTGTGTTATGGAGAACGCGGATCTCACTCCGCAAAAAGCTTATCCTCCTCAGTATTTTCTCCGCAACCATCTTCATTATGGTCGTCGCCATCATCCGGGTGGCCACCGGGATGACCTATGACCGTCAGATGAATATCGACTGGCTTTGTTTCTGGAGCTTCGTTGAGGTGGAAGTCGGTATGTTGCTTCAAGCTTGTCTCACATTGTTGTCTTAATACTAAAAATTTTTGTTTCTTTTAGCAATTATTGTCTCCTGTGTCGCCTCTCTCCGACAACTCTTCGTCACATCACAGAATCAGAGCTCATCTGGAAGGGCCGCTTATCCTAATGCGACAGATCCCATTTTAAAAAAGTCAAAAGAGGAGTATAACCAAGATCCGTCGCGGTCGCTCGGGTCTCTCGGGGATGTCCAGTCACACACAAATGATGAAGTACTCATGTCGCCTTTGAGCGTTGTGCGTGTTCGTCAGGACTTTGAAGTCACTCACACTGATGCAAGCCAGTCTGCAGATAGTGATAAGGCATGCAGACACCAAACTAGCTTTGACTAGTTTCTAGATTTCTACCGTGGTACTTGCCTCTGAGCGCACATTCCATCCCAATCATCGTTAATTTTATAGATTTACTTAGAATATTTCGGAATACCATTGCGGGAATTTTAGCAAAATCATGGTTACAATATCTCTAAGCTCCCGAGGGCTAGATTTATCAATAATACATTGGGGTCTCTTAAATAGATATCTATGTCCATTGTAGGAGATTAGAATGTATAGAATGTTGTTTAGGGAAAGCTAGCAGAGTCTGCTAGACCTCGTGTAAACCAGTAGGCTGCAAAAACTGTAAATTTCAAATTTATGAATTTGTTATACTTTACATATGCAAACGCTCTTTTGCACGCCCTATCCTTCGCCATCATACATGTAGTTGGCGGTTGAATATTCTGAACAGATATTCATGGGTGGCTAAAAAGACGCCTAAAAATAGTACATTCAAAAGGGCATCTTGAAGGACACCTGAAAGGACATCATAGTGGAACATTAATTGAAACCCCTCTCATATCATATTGAATTTTCTGTATATTCGAATTATCTAACTCTTCTGTCGTGAAGTTTACAGGCCGTATAATCCGGATATTTGGTTCTATACAAATGACTAATCCAGTATAAATGAGTTCTCTAACCCTTCTCGGCGCGAGTTAATATAACAAGGCAGAGATCAGAGGGGTGAATCATAAAAGCAAATAGGACCCAAGTCTCGACTACTCGCTGTGCACTACGCTGGTCCTAGCGTCCAAGCCAAGGCTTTTGAGGATTTTCTGCCTGTAGGTGACTCAGAGACTTCCACACCCCCTCGAAAAGGATAAATATAACAACGGGGAACCATCAAACTATCTCAGGAGACAAAGCAAAATGTACATTCCCATAGAATTGTTAAGTCGGATCCTCGAGGAGACCCTCGAGATCTGTTTACTGCAGGATTTATGGAAATTAAGGCTGGTGAATTGTATGCAACCATACCCATTCGTCAGATCAGCTCTAACATATTATCCCAGTCTTCTTTGCACGCAAGGTTGAGGCCTTCTTGATGGAACGTGTCGAACTCGAGAACTACGGCTCCCCAACAACGCAGGTTGCAACCCGATCCAAAGTCCAGTGGAATGATCTTCCCTATCGCATGAAACGCCTTTATCTCTATTGCAAGCTTCAGATCCATGACTACAGCCAATGTTCGTGGTCCATCCTCGTTCGAGAGATAATCGATCTCCCGAATCAGAGAACTACCAACGAAACCGCAACTCTTATCAACAACCTCATCGATGCATATCTATGTGGTAGATTCGATGACTGTCGCAAACTGCTCGATCCTGTTTCTAATACAGAAGATGGCAAATTAATCTTTGCTCGCCCCAGTGATGGATTTTACACACCATTTGAGTCATTCGAAACAACATTGCAATGCGCACTAGCAACGAGTGCCATTCAAAGAGGAGACTGCGCCCGGCTGCAGGCGATCCTTGGTCAAGGGGGCAAAATTACAATCTGGAGTAATAGACTGGGCATTCTTCCGCTGGATATCGCTGCCAAAAAGGGATCTGGGGCGATTATAGAGCTACTTCTGGCAAATGGTTGTCCAATGCGCTATGAATTTTATCGACGTGGCGAGTGGCACAGGTATGATTACGTCGAAGTCCTGGACACGATGGCGGAGAATGGCAACGACCAGGGATTAGATGTGTTGATTGGCCACATGGCAAAAGAGGGGGAAATGTGTTCAGGAATTTTGAAGCGGATGATGACCAGAGCCGTTGGGGGTGGACATATTTCGGTGATGAAACTCGTCCAGCAGAAATGTGAAACCATGTATGGCAGCCCTGGATGGGATCCTCAAATGCTCGGGCATGCCATCGATTATGGGTCTTTGACTGCCATAAAGTATCTGTTCCATCGGGGCGAGGTGGATGTAAACACACGAGCGTCCCCGATTGATAGGAGTCCGCTTTTGAGATCAGTGTATAGAACTCCAATTTCCAGGAGGCCGGAGATTGTCAGTTTCCTTCTTGAAAATGGGGCAGATTCAAATGGGACAGAACTGCCAAAGAAAAAGACACCCTTGGAAGTGGCAGTGAAAGCAAAGGATTATGAATCTGCTTCAATTCTACTGAAGCATGGAGCAGTCGCCAACTCTAGATGGATGATGTCTTTACTACTTGATAATAGCAAGCCGATATGTGCCGCTTTGGCTCAGCTGTTATGGCCTAGTGGGGGCAGTTACGAGAAATACAAGGCGGGAGGAAAGTCGTACATGCTCTGTCGTGATGCGAAGAAAATAAGCAATATTGAGAACGCTTTCATAGACCTAGGTTGGGACGAGCAGTATGTGAAAGAAGTGGAGTTTACTCATTTTATCGACCTCTATTCGTGATATATTTGTATGTGCCTGAGACAAATGTTACTTACTTGATTTGAAAACTAATACTCGGGCTTCTCGCCTTCACAGCCAAGGGGAATCTTGTGGTCATGTTCATGTGCGTAGAAACTTCTCATTAAGAAAAGGAAGAAGTATTTATTCTACAGCAACGAAACTCTCCGTAATCACAGGGTGCTTCTCAATGGCATCATAGAAGCTCCCATCGGAGCTGGAAGCACTCCCAGGATCCTGAAACTCATTGAAGCCAGAGTTTGATCTAAATAGACACCAAGAAAGGAGTCCAGAGTCAGCAAATATCGGGGAAATTTCCTTCCTCACTTCTGGCACCTGATTAACAACACTTAATAATTCGTCAAATGCCAATGCCAACTTTTCTGTAAAGTCTGGGCGCTGCTTTAGGTGATGTCCAAAGTCACCAAGAGTATATTGCTTGTCGTACCTCCTTCGGAAATGATCCGTCGCTGCTAGAATTTGGAGCGTGGAAGGATCAGCGTATAGTGCCGCGATCTGGAGCAGGTTGGGGACCTTCATACGTGGGCAGATCGAGTACTCATGCCATCGATCAAGGAATAATCGTAGGACATTATGACTGTTGTAAATAATTGCAGTGGTCAAAGGAGTTGATCCATCGGCCGATACTGAGTTGATGTTGGCGCCGTATTCCAATAACAGCATAGCAAACCCAGCATTGTCAAGCCTTGCTGCATAAATAAGCCCAGTCTTCCCATCATTTCCACTTGAATTCACATCTGCACCAAAATCAAGCAGAGATTTCAGAAGTAAAATATCGGTGGCGTTTCAGGCAGCGCAATTGAGTGGACTTCCCTTCTTTTCACCACCAGGATGACGTAAATCAGGCTGTGCTCCCGCTTCTAGAAGTAAACGAACAGCAACAGTTTAATCCTGAGAAGCTGCATTTGATAGAGGACCAGATAGCTGAACATCGACAATATTCGGATCCGCACCGTGGCTAAGGACTGTGACAATAGCCCGCGTATCCCCTCAGGCGGCGGCCCAAGCCAACGCAGTGCGACCCATGGCATCAACGGCATTTATATCTTCCGGACTGTGGGTTATCTGGTCCTCGAGGCTCAATATCGACAAGCCTAGATGAGTCTTCGTAAATCTTGCTTCGTCTATGAAATCTTCAAGATAACTGTTTTTCGCAATGATACGGAGAGCGCCAACGGCAGTATCAGAGAGTCCTCCTTTAAGAAGGAAATGGCAGGCTTTATTTCGTGGGCTATTGTCGCTTGCAGAGATTGGTCTGTAGTCGGTGTCCGCACCCGCATGGATCAAAAATTCGCAGGTCTCGTACTGTTTGCCGTAAAGGGCCCACCGAAGAACCGAATACCCGCGAGTCGTACTGACATCGCGTGGAGAAGCCAGTCCTTTGCTGAAGAGATATTTGAGACCATCGATATTTCCGTTCAATGCGAGGCTGACGCATTATGCGGTGTCAGGTACCCTCCGTAGTGTGTCAAGGTGTAACATTGTTCCAACATTGGGTTGGTATCCAAGTTAGAGTCGTACGATTGCAGATGATAGAGATGCAAAGGGGAACCAGTATTCAAGACTGACTTGCCTTGCCCGTGATTTATTGCATGTGTGTGAATCACATTTTGGACTGAAATAGGGAAGACCAGCATAACCAACAGAAAGCTGACCGAAAACACGGTTGACGAGTGCAGGACTTGTCGCCTTCTGATGCGAATGACAAGAACATGTGCAGCCCGATTGAAAGGTAACGGAAAAAGGAGTAACCCGAATACCTATCCCTTTAGAGCTTGTTCTCGCCAGAGGTGTGTCTTTTTTAACGGTTGGTAGATGCTGCGTTCTATGGGTGGACATGTGGTATGACGATCCGACTTGAGTAAATTGGTTTTCTTGAACTTGATGTGACTGTGTCAATAGCATCTTCTCAACTCTAGCTATACGCTGATCGACGGCAGCAAGTCCACTGAGAAAGTTGTTTCCCAGAGCCATCTGTTGTTGGGAAGATTCAAATGTGACAGCCGAGATAGCCTCGATATCCAAACGGATCTTTGTCATATCGTGCCTATCTGGAAGTCAATAACCTTGACACTCTTACATCAAAATATGAGGAGTTTCACTCGATCGACATACAAGTTTGATGCATCAAGCATAACATTCAAATTGGCCTTCAGTGTCCTAATATCCTCCTGAAGAACCTGCAGTCGGCTTTGTTCTTTGCGCCAGGCATGTGCCCTGGAAATCGACATTCGTGAAGCTCGACAGGCAACGGTGAGCTGACAAACAATGTCTTTTATTTCAAGTAGTCTTTTATTCGCTTGTTGCAAGAGATGTGGAATAACTGAAAACTTGCTTTCAGGTAGGAATGCCCGGCTTTTGATAAGCAAGGAGACCTGGAGAAGTACGAGGTTGAGATCCGCGACTTCTTATTAACCGCGTGAAGCCGTCTTGGCAAGCTTTCACAAAGTGCTCGTAGGTCTGAAAGAGCGGAGCAAGTTTGTGTAGCAAGTGTCGCGATGGCGATCACACTCGCTCCGTATGATCGTGGATCCATATCTGAAATATAAGCTTTCAACCTTGGATCAAAGAGGCTATAGAATACTCTAGATGTGGAATTTCTTTCGAAAATATATGACCAAATGTAAAAATATGAGGGAGAGCTTAGTGGTGGAGGTGTCTGCCGGGGATATTTGCATCGGGGCGCTAATTTCATTATCTGTGTTCAATCACAGCTGCGGCTGCAGTCTTGATTGGATATATATATTATTATGATGTGTATGTACTTTCTAACTAGGTACGCCTAGTATCCTTCTGAGACGATAAATTTGAAGTTGATACAATGTATTCTTCTGAACCTCTAGAAAGTAACCAAACTTGTGCCTAGCATGTTAATATACTATGTCGCTACTCATCGCTCCGCCCTCCGTTATCACCCGCAGAAGGGGCCCCACTCCCCACCTGCATTTCCCCGCCCCGCACGTAACCTTAGGTAGCATCCGAGGGGCTCCGGGGAGCCTAGCCCACGGGTGAGGTTCAAATAACCCGTGGAATCGAAATCCGAGCCTCATCTTGACACATAAGGTTCAGGTACGAGTTTCCAATATAAGATCTTAATCTAGGACTTATAGTCGCTTCTCGGTTTCGACATGCGATTCGGTCGGGATTTTCATCAACACAGGGTCCCAGAATGGACATCACTTTATGTCCCCTACGACTCAGTAAAGAGCGCATTCAACCTAGCGGTCGGGAAGTCAATTGATGCAAATCTCGAACCAGACCTTTCAGGTTCGTGCTTGCTTTTTTTTATTCAAAATAATATCTAACGAAGAAAGTAGAAGTGTATGCGCTCCTCGATGATAGCATCCAGTCCGCTAGCAACTTTCACCATGACAACTGCAACTTTCTCATGGCGAGACAAGCAAAGCTTGAGACAAAATATGAAAAGCTGCTTCAAGCAATTCTCTTCTCAAGGGAGGAGGACGACGATTTTCATGAAGTGAAGACCTTCCTCAACCTCATCACAGATCTACATGATGATTTTGAGAAGCTACAACATTACTCTCACTTGAATAAAGAAGCCATCGAGAGTCTTTTCGCCAAAATCGAGAGGTTAGGTGGCTACAGCCGTCTAATGCATCAGGAACAGAAATCTAAGTGGATAAAATCTCAAATTGAGCGTCGTACGCAATGTGCGAACTTCATCACTCGATCGAAGGTTCTAATAAATAGCGTCGCTGAGGCGTCCTCCGATGGGTACGGCCCCTCCACAATGAAGGCGTTGCTCGATGAAGCCGGTTCAGATGAACTGCCACCCCTTATCACCCAATTTTCAGCTCTGTATAGCGCAATCAGAAACGATGACTCCCGGGCGTTAGTTGATCCACTCAATCATTTTTTGCACGATCCACCTCCCGAACAAGAACCTAGGGCCTTTTTCTACGAACTGGCCGAGCTTGCAGCAACCTGTAGCTCTCGACATTGCTTCCGATATTTGGTATCACAAATTTCAAGCGTGAGTGGTGTTATCCTGGATCACGATTTGCTGAATCATGTTATTATCACGCGAGGGCAACTCGGCCCTTCTGAAGAAAGCGATGACAGCATTCAATCTGACGAGAACCGACGTCTTACATTGTTCGATTTTGCGATTGAAGGTCTTGCTTCTCGTATGAAAGAGACTTTGTATGCCAAGGACACTTTTGGTCGCCTTGGCCTTCATTATGCGGCACTATATGGCATGTCCTTCGTATGTCAGTCAATCGTGGATTATTCAAGACGCTGGGGACCGGGTTTCTTGTCGAAGTTACTTTTGACAACAGACTGTCAGGGATTCACCCCGTTTCACTATGCGGTCATCAAAAATCATGTGAGCGTTGCGAAACTGTTTCTGGAAACATGGGTTTTAGAGATGAAACCGGGACACGAGGTTGAAACCGAAAGTCTGCTCAAACACCTGAACGATATTTTGATCCTCGCTATCAGATATAAGCATGATGAGATTGTGTTGTGTTTCGCAAAAAGCTCCATTGAGTTTGATGAATGCTCTTCATATGGAGAGTCTGCTCTGTATGTTGCCGCTCAGATGGGGCGTAGCGACTATGTCAACGCCTTACTAGAACACCCCAAGAATGTCTGCATTGACACTGCTGAAAGGCTGAATGGCTGGACTCCATTATTTATCGCTTGTGTGGAAGGCCACAGTACCATTGTCAAGCTTCTTCTACAAGCAGGAGCGAATCAGGACTTGTATGATAATCATAGTTGGACCGCAAAGGAACATGCTGCTTTGAGAGGCCATCTTCATGTGGCTGAAATGCTGAAGCCATGGGATAGTCACCACCTTATTGGCGGACCTGCCAACATGCCGCTGAAGTCTAAGTCCGCAGCCGGCCCCCGTCTTGCAGTGGGCGAAACCCATGTCATTGTCAATCTTGGTGTTTTGTGTAACGGCAAGCACGTCAAAGCAGTGAAAATTAAAGACGCCTCGTCGGACAATTCACCTTACGCGAAATACCTCTCCTCGATGGATATGTTAGTTTCGGTGGAGAGTACCTCACAGCGTGTGAAACTGCCTATACTCAGCGAAAAGGTTAACGAACCGTTCGTTTTTCCTGTTACTAATCCCAGTGAAGCCCACCTGTCTTTCAAGTTTTACCCTGCAGACTCATCTTGTAACGCGTGCCAGCTAATAGGTAGTGCTGGTTATGTGCTAGAGAGTGACAAATACTGCTTCGGAGAGAATCGTGAGAGTCTCGTCAGAGAGCGAACTGTCCCAATTCTGGAGAAGGGTACAATGGAAATAATCGGAACGGTCACTTTCACTTTCGTCATTTCTAAGCCATTGATGGGTTCAAATCCTCCCTTATTGGCGAAGCAGCAACTCTTGGAAGAAGGGTTGCAACTTGTCGGTCATAGAGGTATCTACCCCGTTCAATCAGCACTTTTTGCCTCGGCATTTAGCATTGCTGACAGAGAACAGGGCTTGGTCAAAATACTGCCAACCCTAGCCAGCTTCAACTGGGAGAGAATACCATCGAGGTAGGTATATATAATCGCACCTTCAAACTCTATCGAACTAACACTGGAATAGTCATTTCTTTCTGCTGCAAAGCTAGGCGCTTCATATGTTGAGGTAAGATGCTTTCGGGTTCTGGGTGTGATAAGCTTGCATTTTCTGACCTTTAATAGTTTGGTAATAACTCATTCAAGTGGAACTTTTCTTTTCGCCCTTACTAACATATAAATAGATGTTCAACTTACTAGAGACCTGGTGCCTATCATTTATCACGACTTTTCGTTGAGTGAGTCCGGAACCGACATTCCCATTCATGATATCAGTTTCGAACAGGTCTGTCTGTCCCTCAAAATACCAACATTTTCTAATTCTGACTTTTGAAGTTTATGTACGCCAGTGAACTTCAGTCACCCAGAGGTGAAGCAGTCTTGGTGCTTGAAAGGCCGAGTTTACAGGCCTTGTCACATAGACCTGGTGGGGACAGAGTTCGCTCACTCTCGTGGACAAAAGATCAAGAGCAGAAGACTGTGCAAATTCGTGATCGAATGAAGCACACTGTGGACTTCAAGAACAAAGGATTCAAGCCTAATACAAGGGGACATTTTGTGCGGGATTCTTTCACAACGCTGGAAGAGTTGCTTACGAGTCTGCCCCATTCAATCAGCTTCAATATTGAGATAAGTAAGTTTCTGATGTTTGATGAATCACTCGGCTCCTCTTATGAACTAGTCTAGACTAACATGGTTGAAGAGTATCCCAGGCTTCATGAAGCTGTCGAGGCGGGCGTAGGACCACTCGCTATCGAGATCAACACATTCATTGATCGGATACTTGCCCAGATATTTCGTGTCAGCAGTGATAGGTCCATTATACTCTCCTCCTTTTCACCAGAGATTTGTATTCTTCTAGCGACCAAGCAAGATACATATCCTGTCTTGTTTATCACCAATGCCGGAAAACTACCATTGTCAGACATGGATATGAGAGCTAGTAGTCTACAAGCCGCGGTCCATTTCTCAAAGCGATGGAACTTGGCTGGCGTTGTGATCGCTTCCGAGACATTGATTCTGTGTCCAAGACTTGTGAGGTATGTTAAGAGATCAGGTCTGATATGCGGGTCATATGGCTCTTTGAACAACATGCCAGAGAACGCTCAAGTAAGTCCAAAGATAAATTGCCACCTCTTTCGATGAATATTGAAGCTCACTTGCGATAGGTACAACAAAAAGCTGGTCTTCAGATTCTCATGGTCGATAATGTTCGACTGATCGCATCGACGTTAGGGGGTCTTCCATGTAATCAACAATGACATAAATGCAACACCTAGAGATTATTGAAGAGTCCCAGACGATTTAACATAAGTCGACACCAGTTTACACAGGCTGATGGGCAAAGGAAAAAATCCAAGTCGCTTATCACTTTTCTTCAACATATCGAGCTACCCAACGCCAACTCCCAGTGCGTACAAAATACGCAACAGCTGCAAAATAGGCGGGGTTCAGAACAAAAACCAAGCTATATACTACAAATAACAAAAGATATTTTCAATAAAACCAAGAAAACATAACAGCTTGTCTAAGGTCATGGTCACTTGTTTCTCACAGTTCAGGCGTCAGTGGCTTGCTGCTCTGTTCCACTTTTCCCAGGGCACTCAGGGTAGATATTCACCCACATAAACTTCTACACGGTCGCAACAGCTTTAAATCGCCCAGAAGTAGCTGAATATGGAGGTTTATATAGTGAAAACAGCTTTAAGGCCGTAAACCACTCCCAAACCCGGCACTCCACTTGACTCCGTATAGATTTATAGGCAGGTCAAGTATGGGTTGGCTTCATCGTCCTGATATTCAAAAGGTCTGACGTATTTCTCAGATTTCACTGTAACAAGATCTCGGTCGTTTTTGAATCTATCCTGCATATTGGAGTATTCGGTCTCGCAGGCTAGGCAGGCGAGGTTTGGATCCACGTCGTGATTCGCGCCAGTCTGGCTCGGTGTCTTTGAATGTCAGATATGAAGTTCATATTGAAAATAAATTGGTAGAAGGAACAAAAAGCGCCTGAATATCAAATTCCTTCAAGAGAACCCCCAAGCATTCCACGGACTATGGAGGCCCATACAGCGCCCTTCGAGATTGTCTCCATCGCCAAGCCTCAGGACAGCCCTTAGATCGTCCGTGTGTCGTGATTATCGGCCAAAACACGAGCCCTTTCTTCAATTCTTCCCGATTGAAGCTCCTCGTGTGCGTAAGCCTTCCTTGAAAATACAAGAAGGATGTCCAACGCGCCGGTCGATCTGAGTCCCAAATTGGTTTCAGATTTACCATGCGATCAACTTCTTGCTCGTCCTCCTCTTCATCCTGCCCTTCGGTATTTGAATTGGAAGCAGCATCCATTCGTAAATATCTCAGACACTGAGTATGTTTTCCACTCAAATTTGAGAGGCTGAGATTGTCTAGCTTTGGCATCGACCTTTCTAGATGAGAAAAGATCGGATTCCATGACCCGGTGGTCAAATTGCACTCATGCAACGTGAAAGAGCGGAGATTGGGATGCTTCCGGAGAAATAGCAGAATAGACTCCTCTTTCGCCATGAACCCAGAAAGTGCACATCTTTCTAGCTCCGGGAACTGGGTTTCATCGGCGATGCTTTCAATGATCCGGTCATAGCTGTCTAACGCCCCATCTTGCAGCGCATTGCGGAAAAATAAATCCAACTCTCGGAGAGCTGGCGCAGACTTAAGCAGGGATGTAATTCCTGGTGTTGTATCAGCTAGCACTGCACGAGGATCCTTCCATGATAAGTGTCCTTCCCTCGATGCACCGTAGTCACTTTCCGTTTCCGAGCCTTCATCCGTTTCTAGTGCATCTTCATCCACTTCGGCAATGTCGAGATCATTCTGTATCTCCGCTGACATACTCAGCTCGAGTGATTCCAGGTTCTCGCATAGCGTTCCTAATTGTTTTAGGTCAAGGTCCGATGCATAGGTGGTGATATGGCTGGATGGAATGCAGCATCTAGGAGTACTGCGATATACGTCGAGTTTCTTCACCGAGGACCCGCTCTGCACAATCGCTGTGACAATCCAAGAAAATACCTGCGAGGCTCGCATCCAGAACGGATGCCACGCCCCTTTCTCGGTCGATGCTCTTTGCGTACGTCCAAGTATTAGAGCACCATCTAAGCGGATGGAATGTATCGGGTTAAATCCTCTCAGTGAAAGTTGAAGAAGTTCAATCATCTCGCTTGAGGACTCATTGACTCTTGCTCTTTGTTGTTCCTTTAACCAATTTAGATCAGATTTGGCTTCCGAGAGACCCTCAGCTGAATAGGGAATGGTCGTCCGCTCAAACATACGCCCGTGGACTTTGACCTCATCGTATTTTCCAGATTCCACGTTCTTCTCTAGTTTGGAAGCATCCAGGTTTGTGGCAAGGAAAGTCAGAGAATGAATCATTTTGCTGAGGGCAGGATTGCAAGACAAGGCACGAAGGGAACGAAGAGTCTGCGACGACACATCGCAAATGGGTTGTTGAATGGAGCCTAAAAACCGGGGCCCGATGCACTTCTTTGCGAGCTTCCGGTCTGTTAGACGGAGAGCCTTGACGGTGTTGAGGTCCAGATATGTAAGAACTATCTCAAAAATGTCTGGAGGCAGAGTATTCAAGTCCATGATAAATGGCTCTTGCTCTGGATTGAAAATTTTAATAAGATGAGATTACTTCTAGGGGGAGGAGTGAGGGGGTTAGCTTTGGGACTAACAACCGAGAAATCTCTCAAATGGTTGCCTCAGGTTTTGCGAATTAATCGAGAGTCTGGAAGGAAATCTGATTTCAAATCAAGGATGCAGAGATTGGAGATAAGTGTTCGAACTTTTAACCATACAACATGTGCTTTGCAAGTGTGCATGTATTGACCCTGTGGTCAAACCGATTTCGAGAATGACTGCCATCATTAACAGACTTCAACGTTACATGTTTTGAACCGCCCTGCGAACTTAAACATCGTATCGAAAGGGAAAATAAAATGAAAAGGATATTTATTTTTCATTATCGGAATTCTTCAATCTTTGCCGCCTCTAAAATGGCCGAGTGATCCAGGGTATGCGTGGTGCCCGCCTTCAGGATCGCCTCACGCACCCACTGGCCCCTCGGACGCATCACAGACCTAAAAGGCTTGGGTAGGGTGACAAAGCCTTCTGTGCAGTCCATATCATGGACCTTGTGTCTCCCGCCCGTAGCCTTGTCCACAACCCCAGCCTCGACATCAAACGACCACAGCATGCGCGCCATCTGGATGAACAGCTGGTTGCGCGCAATGAGACGGCCTGTACATAATCTACGCCCAAACCCAAAGCCCGTATGCGGCAGCTGGTTAAGGGCGGATGTGTTGAGCCCGCAAATATCGATCTGCTCCTGGTCGGATTCCTTGGCAAGCCACCGCTCGGGGATGAAGTTATCGACATCCTCGCCGAAGACGGCCTCATCGCGAGTGATGGCAAATGCATTGGGAAGGACAGTTGAGTTGGCGGGGATGCGGTACCCCATGTACTCGTCCTCGGTCTTAGTGAAGTGTGGTACGCCCTGGACGACGACGGGGCGCCAGCGAAGGGTCTCGCTTGCTGTGTCGTGTCATATTACGTCAGACCTTGCCAATTTTTCAAACTAGAACATGAGGAACTCACCAATAGCGTCGATATAAGCCAGCTTGGGGCGGTCTTCAAAGCTCGGTAGGCGGTCCTTGCCGACGACCTCGTCCAGTAGCTGCTGCGCCTTCTTCACCCAGCCACGCGAGCCCGACGTGATCCAAGCAACGATAAACCAGTCCAGCGCAACAGTCGAAGTGTCCAAACCAGCATCAGCAAGGATCCCCAGATCAAAGGCGAGCTCAACCTCTGGCATTCCCGCAGCCTCCGGCGAGTCCTTCATATGCTTCGCAAAGTTCCATTTGCGGTTACTCAGCCCCTTCTTCAAGTTCCCGACATGCAGCTGGCGCTCCAGCTCAAACAGCTTCTCACCCTCTGTCTTCCAAGGCGCCAGGGACTTGGGCAGATAGTTCAACCACGGGAATGAGTCGACAATGTACGCGCCCACCTGTCCGGTGCGCGCAAACTCTGCCTGCACGCGCTTCCCGTCCATTAGCTCCTTCTCGTATCCCGTTTGTAACCGGTAGCCGTAATTCAGACAATAGATGGTGCTGGCCATTGCGCGCTCGAAGTGGTGGTGGAAGTCCACGCCCTTCTCGCCAAACCGGTCCCACTCGCCTAGCACGTCCCATAGCAGCTGCTGCGACTCGAGATCCTGTAGCGGGCGGTATTTGCTCGCAGCGCGCAGGGTCAGGAGCGGTGCCTCCATCCTCTGGTGTAGTCTGTACTGATCGTTGCATGGTCGAAGGAGCATGTGCATGCCCTTAGTGACCAGCTCACCGGCCATGACCATGCGCGGGCGGTCCGAATATTGCGAGCTGCGGCAGTTGAGAAGATTGTGTGCGGCCTGGTGGGTGGAGAGGATGATAAGCGGCTGCCCACCCATGCTGAGGTGCATGACTGGGCCATACTTCTTGCTCCAGTGGTAGAGCTCCAGCCACTGGAGGCTCTTGGGTAGCTGGTGAATATTTCCAATTAGAGGCGCAGGCTTAGGTCCTGGTGGTAGGGGCAGCGAGGGGTGTTTGAATAGTGAGAACACTAGGCAAGCGATTACGATCGCAGTAAGGCCACCAAGTAGATACGTCGCAAAGCCGGGCATTTTTCTAAAGCTGCAAGCAGAGACGCGACAGAGGAGTGCGGCTGTGACTTTGACTGGGACAGTATGCAGGGACAGCAGCGAGCAGACCAAGCAGTCCAATTTAAGTACGGTGTCACTCCCTCTCTGCCGAGTTTACATTGAACGGTGAGCGGAGTTGTACCATTATGCAAGGGCCAATAAGTGCGCGAAGCTATTCAATCCAGATGCTCATTGCACTTATTAGGATCGCCTGGTCTAGGAAGAAGAAGCCACATCTGGTCATGATCGCTTGGTGTTGGCTGTCAATCTCTGCCACGCTAATGTATACTAACGTGTCGGAGTGCGGGGCACAACGGAGATTATGTACTTTTGGAGGAGACAGCACTCAACCCCTTGATCTAAAAATCCATTTCTCATTTCTTGGGGGTGGTTGCTGGAAAGTTGGAGGAACGGTCCGTGTGGGGTGCCGTTAGACGTCCACGGGTCATATGCGAGAGCCTGGGTTCCGATTTGACACATATGCATCAGGCAGCCAGAAGAGGGGCCCCCGAAGCAAAAAATAACGAGAATAATAATAACAACGAATTGCAACGATCTTCAGTAGCTGGCCGTCCGAGTTTGAGGCGACGCCGTCGTTTTTTTCAAAGACCAAGTTCTGATGTAAAGCTTCCATCGAGTTAACCCCCTCCTCCTGTGTCTCCAGGAAAAAAAGATAGACGTACATATATAGCCGAGGTGCTAGTTCCCATGAATCAATTCGAGTACTTTTAATTAACTAACGGAGAAGTCGTTGTGCGGTTTGCATATGCTGATGAGAACTTGATGGCCAATGTCGAGATTTGCTCACTAGAAGCCTACACCGTCATTGAAGGACTTTGTACGTCCTATAACTCTACTCATAATATGTACTAACTAGGCTAAGCTCTTATCCTCAGAGTGCTAGAATGCCACGGCTACGCTCTGCCACTAGCCTGTCTGGGACAAGAGCCTGGTCGCTCCCATCAGGACAGCTGTTATGGGTGCCTTAGCTTTCACGTTTATCAGCATCGGAGTGGGTGAGTGTATTGCTAAGAAGGAGTTCAAGTGGCCTGATCTGTGCGCGGTTCTTGCATTTATGAGTCCGCCGCCATGTGAGCATGGAAGTTGAGAAGTTGAGAGTCTGCCGGCTAGGTAGACCTCTGCAAAGCCCATCAAGGAGGTCTTGGCGCTTATAAACCGACTACTTGTAATCGTTGTATTCTGGCCTTCTTCTGATTCTCCGGAGCTTAAGATTCAGAAGATATATTTAAAATAGTGATATAGATCTATTACTGAATTGAAGATAAAATTTAACTAGTAGAGGCCGAGATATCGCGAAAAATACTCAATATTGATATTTTGATGGTGGATATATATTTTAGAATTCCTATGTAGGAGTACTGCCACTTTCTAGCAGACCTCTGTATTTGAAAAATTATCTACATAACGCGTTTTCTTGAAAATTTAAACGTAATATCAAGATTTAATCTAGTATTTATTATTTATAACTCAGAATAATAAAATATTACTTGAATATAAGCGCTAATTACAGGGCTTAAACATAGAGTAATTAATTTTTCAGAATGTTTGTATTGTTTGGTGCTAATTGGGCTTAATGGGCCCCGATTATAGGCTTAGTGGGCCCGGATTCAGGCCCAAAGCCCAGCCTATTTCCGGGTTGGCTTCGTGGGCTTTGCAGAGGTCTACTGCCGGCTAACCAGTAGATTAGATATTTTTGTTGCTTATGGACATGATCAAATTCTTCGTTTTATTTCTCTCAACTGACTTGGGCATTGGGTCTGTACTAACAGAAGAGCAGTGATGGGTTCAGGGATGGGATGAGACATTTGGACCTTGACAGGAAAACAAATCACAAACACAGCGAAGGCAAGTATCATTCAGAGACAAAGTGGTTTCAGAGTGGAGAACCAACACTATGGGCAGTATACCTGGGTAATCCAAATAAGGTATGCCATCATCTGCCTTTTCATGCATGTCTTGCCCAGCCCAAGATGTGACTGTTATGCCAGAGGACTATCGGCCACTACGTCCCGTTCATGATCTCGACTTTCGTCACTGAAATTTTTGCCTGTGTTCTAGTAGAAAAGGCACGGTGGGGTTGGACGAAGATGGAGCTAAGTTTTTACTGAGTGGCCCTGGAGTGATTACCCGGAGACATGCGATGAAACCGAAGAAGAAACAGGGTGGAAATTAATTGTATTAGAACCCATTGCTCGACACACTGTTTGAGAACGCGTGCATTGAAGTGGGGAATGCTCTTTCCAATTATCTTATAATCGAAGAGCTAAAGACGCGAACTATTCTTAGCCTTGGCCTCCAACAGTTGACCAATACGGGGATCGACCTTGCTGAACATGGCAGTGACAGCATCCCTTAGCTGATCGGGCACTTCTTCCAAAGTCTCTGACACATTTGACACCCACTGCCGTCTCTCAGTCTCATCAAAGACCCTGTTCCACAGCTCTCGGGGCTGAACAAAATCCTCATCATCAACTACAATCTCATTCTGCCCGAGAACAGCGTTACGCAAGATGCGCTCCGTGTGTCGTACGTTGGAAACAACCTGGCTAGGAACACCAGTGCCCAGTGAGCTCCGTACATAGTTCGGGTCACCACCATAGTTTCTGGTCATAGTTCCCATGCCATCGCGCTCGAATGGCGCATATACGGGGCAGATTGCCCGGTTTGAAGGAAGCTGAGCGTAGTTCACTCCTAGGCGGTATCGCTGAGCGTCAGGGTAAGCGAACATGCGTGCCTGCAACACTGTACGGCAAGAATAATTAGTATCATGTCCTACTCTGCCGACAATAGTGTGAACTTACTAGGATCAGGCGTCATTGCAATCCCTGGAACCATGTTAGAAGGCGAAAATGCCGCTTGTTCAATCTCAGCAAAATAGTTCTCGGGCTGGTTGGGGCTGTTGTCAGCATCTGCTTCGTGTATAAGACAATGAACCACCCACATTCTTGTTGAGAGTCATCTGTCCAAATTCGATCAAGGGGAAGTCCTTGTGCGGCCAAACTTTGGTGATGTCAAACAAAGCACGGCCGTAAGTCTCAGCTTGCTCGGGCTCCATGACCTGCACATAAAGTTTCCAGACAGGGAAGTCTCCCCGAGCAATAGCATCCCACAAATCCTGATTGTGGAAGTCAGCGTTTGCGCCAGCCATGCGAGTAGCTTCTTGGCCAGTGAAGTGTGTGATACTCTGGGTCGGCCGGAAGTGGAACTTGCAGTAACGGAAGCCACCATCAGCCGACACCATCTTGAAGGTATGCACACCGAAACCTGTCACTCGACGGATGGAATCAGGAATACCGCGAGTTCCAAAAAGGTGCATCAAAGCATGAACACTTTCCTGTTGATTCGTGTGGAAATCCCAGAACTACGAGGTTAGCTTGATTGGCAATTCGAAACCTTGAATTAGCACTTACCATGGTCCAATCAGGCCGATTAGTGGCAGGATTTCTTTTATGGCTTCTGTTAAGAGAAGGAAACCTGATAGGATCACGAACAAAAAACACTGGCTTCAGGGAGATTAGAATACGGAATGTGAGATTCGGGGATGACAACTTACAATGTGGTTCCCGACAATATCATGATTACCTTCCTCGGTGAAGAACTTTACAGAAAAGCCTCGCACATCGCGGACAGTGTCTGCACTGCCCTTTTCACCGCCAGTAGTGCTCAGACGGAATAAAATAGGAGTTTTCTTTCCAACACCATTGAGGAACTTGGCCGACGTGAGGAAAGAAATGTCATTTGTGACCTCAAATTCTCCCCAAGCACCTGCAGCTTTCGCGTGGACAACTCTGTTTCGCGTTAGCGCATCCTTTCCTTCCAAAAATATTATCGAACTGCCTCAAACCTTTCAGGGATTCGTTCGCGATTGAAGTGGGAAAGCGTCTCGATGAGAAGCGTATCGCCCAGCGTCGTGAGACCGCCGCCGCCAAAAGTAGGCAACGTGGTGCTCATGGATGGGTCTGCAATTGGCTGGCCTATTTTATGTCAGGATGAGAACGGTTGTTTTGAGTTCTACTATAGTATACCTTCGGCCAATGTAAAAGTATTGTTCGGCATCTTGGATAGCTTGTCAAGGGGTTCCAATGGATTGGTTTACCAGGAGTTCAATTGCTATGTCGTGAATAGTTCTTCTTCTGAGGAATAGCTGGGCTTTTATTCTATTGTATCTCAACAGTAAGTGAAGGTCTTGCCACTATCTCACTGCCTCCATGAGGAGAACTCCAAATAATTCCCCGAGACATCCGTTGCATCTTGACGTGAGGGGCTTGTGGACAAAAGCAAATGAATTGAAAAAATCAAGTGTTCTGAGACAAAAATAATTTATCTGACAAGCCTCATAGATATCGGGCGTTAGAGAAAGGCGGTCACGGCAGCCATTGCCGAGCTATTTCCGTCCTCGGTGATGGCCCGGCAAAATTATCCACCGCTTTGATTGGCTATTGAATTTCGCAGCCTTGTGCGGGGGAAAGATCGTCCTAACGGAGAGGGCATTTCCCCTCACGAGGAGTCGAAAATCGGAGAGCCACCGTCGTCACTTTTAGAGTTTACCTTCATTCTAGAACATCAACTCCAACACCCCGGCACACTAGTGCAGTCTTAGGTATGCTTCTATCAGCCCTACCAGTTCAAGTGGCTTGCTTGTTGCTCGTAGCCCGGAAAGAACGGCAAGAACGGCAAGTCTGTGAGACAGCGCGATAAACAGTGGAATACAATGAAGAGATGGAATATAAAATCCAGTTGATGCCTCGTCAATTTTGGCTCTACACACACACATAATCCGACAGTCTCACAGTCTCACAGACATTGAACCAATCTTACTCTCAACTGTTTTCTCATCAAAAACATACGTCAAACAATGGCTTTCGTTTCCAACGGCTCTGAGTACGACTTCATCATCGTCGGCGGTGGTACCGCTGGCAATGCAGTTGCTGGCCGCCTTGCTGAGAACCCCGACGTCCGCATTCTGGTTGTTGAAGCCGGCATCCCCAACCCTGATCAGATCGAGCAAATCACTACCCCGTCCAAGGCCTTTACCCTTCGTGGAAGCAAGTATGACTGGTCTTACAAGACCACCATGATCAAGCGCGATGATTACGAGCGTGTTGAAAAGCCCAACACCCGCGGAAAAGCTCTTGGTGGCAGCTCCTGTGCAAACTACTTCACCTGGATTCCTGGCTCCAAGCCTACCTTTGACGACTGGGAGGCCTTCGGTGGCCGTGACTGGAATTGGGACTCTTGTGTAGATTACCTCCGCAAATGCGCCACCTACCATGACGACGAGAAGCTGTACCCGGCCGAATTGAGCAAGATTGGAACCGGAGGCCCTGTGCAGATTTCTCACGCCGACTTGGTCCCAGAGATGAAGCCTTTCCGTGATGCGCTTACTGAGGCCTGGGTTTCCAAGGGCGAACCACTAAGCGAGGATATCTACTCCGGCGAGATGAAGGGTCTCACCCACTGTGTTGACACCATCTACCAGGGCGAGCGCCAGGGTAGCTTCCTTTACCTGAAGAACAAGCCCAACGTGACAATCCTCTATGGCGTTCGCTCGAAGAAGCTGCTCATCGACCCTGCCACCCGCATCTGTTCCGGTGTCACTGTGATAAGCGATGCTTTCGATCAGGAGATCAGCGTTTACGCCAGCCGCGAGGTTATCCTGTCCCAGGGTGTCTTTGAGACTCCCAAGCTTCTCATGCTCAGTGGAGTCGGCCCAAAAGAGGAACTGGCCAAACACGGAATCACCCCCATCGTGGAATCCCCTCACGTCGGTCAGCATCTCCTTGACCACCCAATCGTGCCATTCGTTCTTGAGGTCAAGGATGGGTACAGTTTGGATGATCATGTCCTCCGTCCTGGTCCTCTGAATAACAAAGCACTATCCACCTACCAGAAGGACAAGACTGGCCCTGCAAGCTCCGGATTCCTGGAACTTGTGGGTTTCCCCCGAATTGACCAACGCCTGGAAAAATACCCTGCCTATCGCGAGGCTAAGGCTGCCAACGGGGGACTGGACCCGTTCGGCCCAGCAGGACAACCTCACTTCGAGCTGGACTTCGTCGGCTTGTTCAGCACTGCATTCCAGTGGCACTACCCTATGCCCGAGAAGGGCAGCTATATGACTGTCATCGTTGATCTGCTGCGGCCCCTTTCCGAGGGTGAAGTTACCCTGAACAGCGCCAATCCACAGGTTCAGCCGAATATCAACCTCAACTTCTTTGGCAATGACTTGGACATTCTGGCTATGCGGGAAGGTGTGCGCTGGACATATGATCTTTTGACCAAGGGTGCTGGATTCAAGGATATTGTTGTTGCCGAGTATCCCTGGAAGATGCCCCTTCATTCCGATGACGATATGAACCGTGCAGTCCTGGATCGCAGCCAGACTGGATTCCGTAAGATGACCCTTTCAAATGTCTCGAGATATGCAGGACTAATAATTTCCTTCACAGATCCATGTGGTACGGCACGTCTCTCAAAGAGCATCCACCAAGGTGTGGTCGACTCCAAGCTGCGAGTTCATGGAGTGCGCAATCTCAGAATTGCAGATGCTTCTGTCATCCCTGTGATCCCTGATTGCCGTATTCAAAACTCGGTCTATATGATTGGCGAAAAGGTTAGTAACAAATCCACGGACTCCTAGAATAAAACTAAAACGTAATATAGGGTGCGGATATCATCAAATCTCAGCACAAAGATCTATATGAGGCCAAGAATATCCCCTACCTTGTCTCCAGCAAACTTTGATCTGCCATGTATTTAATGTCTTGGGCTGTCTGTAGCGCTTTTACTATATACGTTTATATAAATTGTTTTAGTCTACCACCTCTCTTCTTTCTCCTCAATCTAGATTACACTTTCGTTTTCTATATACTCCAATTACGATGACCCCACCGGGGCGAATATAGTCACTCCCAAGAATGAACTTCCCCTGCTTTCATTTCTGAATTTTATCTCAGAATCGTGCCTGGATCACGTGTGCGCTCCTTAGGAGTGATTTCACATTTTCAGTTGTTTAGCGTGCATCCATCATAATAGCTCAGAATCTGCGCACAGTTATACGATTTGGTTACCGGATCGTAGGATGCATCACGGCCGCAAGATGGTGTGTTGACAAAACACCCTCCATTTATAAACACCCTTTCTTCGCAGACGGGGCGCACGACGCATTGACCGAGGGTATCCAGCGAACCAGTTTTGCAAATCGGGGCAACATTTTTCACACATTTTCCATCAACGAAACTTGTATCGTAATGCTTGTTGCACGTCGGGCCTCTTGAGACAATACAAGCTTTGCCATCGAAAGTGTTGTCACGGCCACAGCATGGTACTCTGTCTGAGACACATTGTTTAGAGTTGAAAATGAACCCGTAGCCGCAGCGCGGATGAACATTCAACAAGACACAGAAATTATCTTGGAGCATCAATCCACTGTCACATTTGACTGGCGCGTTGAACAAGCAGCTACCCTCTGAAGAATCGGAATGAAAGTCCTCTGGGCATTTAGGATTGTCCCGACGAACACAAATTTCGTTTCGAGGGTCGCAGCCTAACTCGTATCGACACTGATGCAGGAATTGCCTTTTAGCTTGGTTTTTTCGTGACACTGTGACTCCCTTGTACTGATAAAGAGGCACTTGCCCCTTCTTAGGGTAAGGTGAGCAGTACATCCATCTGCTGGAACACTCATGATGCAAAGCCCGCCGTCCCAGTACATACCCTGTAGGCAACAGTGGCCTGTGCCAGTGATTGCATCAAATGAGACAGTAATATATGAACCATCACAAGTGGGCTCTTGCTTGTGACGGCATTGAGAATTCACGTCTAATATAATGCTATCCTCGGGGTCACAGAAAAGATCCCTTGAAACACATTTCCTCAACATCTTGTCATATTCGTCACCTTCATGGCAACTAGGAGAGTTATTTGACATGCAAGTTTTGCCCTGGAGAAGAGTGTCAGTGGAGCATGTTGGATTTCCGCCCGTGCAAGTAAACAGCTCAGTATTATATTCACCTTTGTCACATGAGAGTTTTTTGTCACTGATAAAATTACTGAATTTGAATCATATACCAAGAGGGCACTTGGGGCTATTATCAGTGACGCGTTTGCCCTTGTAGAAATTGTAAGGACAAAAGCACTGCAGCAATTCTATGGGTATGCATTTCCCAATGGTGGTGTTGAATTCAAAGTCATCCCCACATCCTAGCTTGTCTAAAGCACAGATGCTGCCTTCCAAGATTGCAGGTGAGGGACACTTGGAAGGTCTATTGGAAACACAACCATTACCCTAGAGGTAGCTTCCTTCAGGGCAAAATAGCTGCGTTTCAGCAACACATTTGCAACTTTTGTAGGTACAGCCAGCATCGCATGTGGATTTTATAACACATTTGTACATACTGATTGATGGGACAAACGTTCTAGTGGTCACTCAGGGCTTATATCATATGATTATCTGTCCGCAGGTTGAAAGCTCAAGATTTGTTAAGAAAGTCGATTCCGGCAGTAGCACCCAGACTATGATCCTGTTAAATGATTCCAATAGTTGATAAAACTAGCGTGAATCCGCTAAAAAGAATGACCCCCGAATTGTTAAAACCAGAGTATGAAAGCAAATCGAGGACTGAAGAAAATCAAATGTAACATTCGAGCCTATAACCTTAAAAGCACGTTGTACTTCTGTACACATGTGTGTTATAGGGCGTAAGGTAGATACATGTAGCTACCAGTCGAAACTTATATAGTCACATAATGTATCGATACAATCACAGGTTTAATTATACTTACCCCAGCAGCCCATGCTGGACATCTCCAGGTGCCGGCGCTGGAAGTTTGGATAGCTCTAGATGACGTGTCAAATTTTGAGCACCTGCAAGATCAACGTCGAGACTTCTGAATAACATTTCGAGCTCAGGATATCGTTTCATTGCCAGCCCGATGTATTGAAGACTCAATTCCGTCTTTCGTGCCTGAATTGCAGTACTGTGTCGACCTTCCAACCAGCGAAGATCTGCCGAGTCATGGAATTTAGCGCGAGTTGCGGCGGCACGAAGCTTCCCCTTGAACAGATAGAATGGATCAAGAAAACATGAAAGGCCGCTTCCAAGCCTCTGCCCATTCACAGTTCGAACAGTAGCTTGTATACCTCGCATGGTGTGCCGAGAGCCTAAAACGTAATTAACATCATATGTCGAATGATAGCGAGAAAAACAATTACCGGAAAATTGTTCGCAGAATATTTCTACGAGCACAGGATTACTGTGATCAGGCTTGTCGGACCAGAGAAAAGCAACGTAGTCCTGGCGGGTTTGTGGAATAACAGTAAAACCATCTTTTCCGTTGAGCAGAGCAACAACCTGCGGTTTGGATATGGATGCGAGGCAATCAATATCCTTGCTTTCACGGGCACCGCCTAGTACTCCAATGGCATAGCCACCAAAAATACCAAAATGTACATTATTCTGGGTCAGAACTCGGTGAAGGTTGATGGCGGCGTCGTTTAGTCGGTCTTGAAGCATGGTAGAGATAAGCAGTCTTTCTATTCAGCAAATTGAGATAATGATAATCTAAACTGCCCAGAGAGACCTTTAATAGATTGTTAGAGGCTCTTTGTCGATTTGCTTTGTCGCTTAACTCGTGCGGTTGCATCAGCCACATGCCCGCAGGTGGATATTATCTGCATGGCTATCACAACCTTGGCGGCTATAGCCTAGGAATCCTTATATAATGCATATGTCATACTGTGCGCAGTACTGAATGAAACCCAAAAAAACTAATAATAGAAAGCTCGATAAGAATCACACAATAAGCTATGCTAGAATAGGATGGGAGAGCGCGAGCCCGCTCACATTGACCCCTATTGAAATCCCGACCCAGGAATGCATTGGAGCTCCTCTTCCCGGTCACTTTCTGCGAAAGATGACATCTGTAGATCCCATAACTCGTCCACAGACGAAAATCGTTCGTCTACTAGCACACTCGCTAAATACTGCACTTTAGGCGGGGCCTTACTCAGGTTAAGCTGGATCCATGCTTCATCCAATTTCATACCGCCTACCAATTGCTCTGCAGCAATTCTTGCCATGTCGTCGCCAGATTCAAAAAACCTCCGACATAGACCGATGAAATAGGGTGATAGATGGGGAAAAGGAAGGATTTCGAGTGATTTTTCAGGGACTAGATCCAAAATTTGACGGCTGTAAATCGAGATGTCGGATTTTTGGGAGCGGAGAACAATCATCTGCCCCACCGGCGAAAGATGAAAAAAGTTATCCGGAAATAGCACAATCGCAAGGTTGGGGTGAGACTGTACGCGAAATGCAGGGAACCCGTCTTTGTATTGCGTGAAGATGTCGTACTCCATCTTTGGACGAGGCCGATACTGGCCGGTGGAGCAAAGAGTAGACGCGGCTGTTAACAGAGAGGCCTCTGGAACACAGAATTCGAGATCCTGATGATGATGATGAGAAGAGAATAAATTGCTGGGACTAAGGGGTATCTTACATGCACCACTCGTGGCACATTGTAGTAATTCAGAGCTAGCTCTCCAATTACACATACTGGGATTTTTTCATCCTGGAGGATAGAGAGTACCGAGACCAGGATTTGGTTGACTGCCATGGTTACCACCCAAATGGCTGTCGCATCGTAGCATTGTAGATAGATGTTTGTCAAAGCAGGGCCCAGCGCTCAAGGGATCAGCTGACCCACCCAATAGTCACATGACCGTATTCCCCAGACCCACTGGAACGAGTCCATGGCTACCCTTTTCTCAACCTTGAGAGCACCCTTAGGGCCACAATGGCCCAATTCATCCGAAACTTGTTCAGCCAGCCATCTGTCTCTATTCAAATTCTCTCTGATCTCCACTTGGAAGTAAATCGCCAATACACATTGTTTGACGTGCCAGTCGTCTCTAAATATCTGCTGCTAGCCGGGGATATTGGGCGTTTAGCAGACTACGATGAATACCTTGCTTTCCTCCACAAGCAAACGGAGAAATTTGAGTTAGTTTTTCTTATCCTCGGCAACCATGAGTTCTATGGCGGATCCTTTGCATCGGCATTCGAAACAGTCAGGCGGCTTGAACAGGAGCCGTCTCTAAATGGACGACTGGTTTTGCTCCATCAGCGACGATATGATATTCCAGACTCCAACGTCACTATACTGGGGTGTACCCTTTGGTCTGATATTCCGGAAAATTCTAAAGATATTGTCCATTACAAAATCAAAGATTTTCAGAAAATCAAAGATTGGACGATAGACGAGCATAATGCAGCGCACAAGTCCGACTTGAGTTGGCTACACAAGGAGGTCCAGTCCATTTATAATACCCACAAAATAAATCCCACGAAATTATCGAAACGGTCGGTTCTGGTCGCGACACATCATGCACCCGCTATGCACCGTACGTCGAGTCCACAACATGCGCAGAATCCTTGGAGTGCTGCATTTGCCACAGATTTATTGTCACAGCCGTGGAATGGCGTGAACACTTGGGTGTTTGGGCATACACATTATTCAACTGAGTTCAAGGAGAAGGGGATTAGGGTTGTGAGTAACCAACGGGGTTATGTACTTCCATGGAGCAATGAGGCCAAAGGGTTTGATGCAAAGAAGGTTATTTGGGTATAAAACGAGCATAGATGATCTAAATCGCACATCACCCTCCACCCCTAGAAAACCTATATACAACTCAAAAAGAAATAAAAATACAAAAACATACAACAGTGAGGATTCGCTGGTGGTCACCCACCCAACTACTAACTCACCGGCGTGTGGCTTAAGTACGGCTGAGCGGACGGGAAGCCCTGTTTTCCACACCCTATGGTCGTATGTGTCAGGATATGGACGGAAAGGAAATGAGACTAAAGCAAGTTCGAAATCAAGTTCATTCATGGAGTTTTATAGTACTATTTTAGTACCCGCAAAATATTTGTGACTTCTTCATATAGCTTAAAGATAACTCGAGAACCTGTCTAGCTCCTCACTGAACAATCTAAAAGCTAATAGTTGAATGGCTTTCGGACTGAAGCCTCCGCTGAATTTATATACCTGGTCATGTTGATAAATGTCGGAAATATAACATGCAATACTGGATGAAAACAGGGTAGTATTGTACCCGAAAATGTCATGTGACAACCAGTACCCGGCATACGATACAAAACTCAAGGGCTGGAGTGTATTCAGAATTAGTCAGCGATGTCCACATGGGCAGATTGTTCAAAAGGCGGACTTGGTCATATTTTACTAGTCAGAGTTATGCATATTCATTGACCATAGAGATCGCAGAAAAGATCCTAACCAAATAGGAATTCAAAATTGTGGGGCCCTATGGAGCAGGAGGATTGGCAGAAATCGACGAGGAATCGATCGTGATATCTGCCTCTGCTGCCGCCCCAGTCAAGCAAATTATCGCCGATATTGCTCGGCCTATGCTTATTATTTCTAACGGCTTTGATGTCTTCAATCGCAATGAGTAAGTTCGCTTTTATCGATCTTCGAATCTAGCTAACTAGCGCACTCCACCACTCCACAGAAAACCATTGGATGATGCTGAATCTCCGAGGACAAGGCAAATAAGGCTTGATTATGATGTCTATAGCTTTCCAAGCCTTTCTTATGATGGTAAAATATGCTGTGCGTTCAAAGGATTGCATTTGTATCATAGACGCCAGCAACCTCTAGATTGGCAAGGAGCCTAAGTTCACAGAACCTTATATCTAGGGATTATGGATCAAAAAACATCGCAAATCAAATTTCGACTAAAAGCTCAGCTTTATTGTATAGTATAAATCGTTTTACAATATACATTACCAGGTCTGGTAGCCCACAAGGATTAAAATTAGGGTTGGAGATCCAGTGGAGATCGGCCTTAAATTGAGTGGATCATATAGTATCCACAGTTAGTATACATCTACCTTGATTGGTCCAACGGTGTTAAGCTGACCCGCTTTTATCAGCGATAATTAGAGATGTACATACGAAAGTGGTGATACCAAAACATTACGATAGCCGTCATATATGTGGCATAAGACAGATGACTTTAGATTATTTATATCTAACCACGTTCGACGCTTAAGACCAAAATACTATTTCATAACCAATCTTCATTGAAACCAATTCTAGACATCTTCCTGCGGTCCGAGACCAGTTGTTTGGTCCTGGTATGGCTCTAGAGACTGAAAGGATTTGAAACCCGGTATGCGATGATGAGTAACCTAGATCACTTTTGCTATACCTACCTATTACTGTTCAGACGACGTGCTCAAGCTGAATAAGTCGGCGCTGCTGATTTATGTCGACAATTACATGAATGCGGCTGCTACTAAGTGTCACTACGAGTTAATTCCCATGGGAATCAATGAGGTTCCCCATTTCCAGCACTATGGCAAGCCAGATTGTGTTGATGGTGTCAGATTTCATAGCGTAGAACCTAGCTTCTACAACTCTCTACTCAATCAAGCTACTCACATTCCACCATGCACTTCGACGAAGCCCTCTCCTGACAGGTTATGAGCCCGGGAAGCTCTTTATTCAACCTTCCTCATTATCGCATTTTTCATCTTTTATCGGCCTCTCCATCGACGCCGCATTTCTCGTCACTATCGACAAACCGGCCAGGCCACACTCCACCAACAAACACCTACAAACGGTGTCACATACAAACAATTCATCAGCATAGGGTTTTTCTCGCGCAGAGTTTTCATCCCACAAACAAACAAAAACGCTAAGTGCCTCTCCTACGACGCACCCCACTATCCGCTAACCACGCGGTCGAGTACCTCTCCTACGACGTACAGCTTTATCGAGTACCTCTCCTACGACGTACCCTTTCAAAATAGCCTCAGCTACCACTAGCTTCGCAGAGCCAAAGCTCTCAGAGCTCGTTCCTACCCTTATAGGTGAATCCAACTTCGCTTCGTGGTCCACCGCACTCAAGTGCGCACTCGATACTAAAGACCCTCGTCTTTTCGATATCCTTACCAGCAAGATCGCTCAGCCAGCTTCCGACGATCCAGCCTTTACAGAGTAGCTCCGCTACTCTCGTCACCTTCTTTCGTACCTTCACGCTACTGTCTACGCTTCGCTTAAGCCTTATATCAATACTGCTCTTAACGCTCCCGCTGCGTATCAGAGTCTTTTCAAAACCTTCGCTGTCTACACCTACAATACAGGTTTCGACAAGTTCCACAAGTGGACTACCCTCAAATATAACAATACTGTTACTCCACAGCAGTTCGTTATTACGTAGCGTACCGCCTACGCCGAGTTCGCAGAGGCTTACGGTCACTCTTATATTTCGAATACAGCTCAGTATTTTCTTTTTCTTTCCGCTGTCAGCGTGAATCCCGCTACTTATCAGTGGCTTAACAGCCTTCGGCCTTCAGTCGATGATCCTTCCGAACAAGTTCTGATCAGTACATTCTCTGACTTCGTTATCTCCGAGAATCGACGTCTCGCGAGTTATCCCAATTTCAACTCCGATCCCGTCTTTTACGACGTAAACGCGGTTCACAAGCCTACTTCCAAAGACGCTAAACCAAAGCATTTTTGTACTTTCCACCAGCGAAAGACCGCTCACACATTAGAGGAATACTTCCGGAACCCCGCTAACGCTAACAACGCTAACAACGCTAAGTTAGCTAACGCGGTTAGCACTCCGGCTTCCAGCACCACCAAGACCACCGCCAATCAACCCACTACAGCTAATACCGTCACCGGCAACCCTACATTTCGCTACAACAACCTTTTCGCCACCTAGGTAACGGTTTGCGTTTTATAGGGGGACCTAGCTCCATGGTTTCATGTTCGTGGGGGGTGTCAGATTTCATAGCGTAGAACCTAGCTTCTACAACTCTCTACTCAATCAAGCTACTCACATTCCACCATGCACTTCGACGTAGCCCTCTCCTGACAGATGGCAATGTAGAAGATGTTGCGGCCTGATTTGCGGAGATCAAAACGCCATGGCTATAGTTATATTTCAATAATTAGCCAGGTTCATCGAATTCCAAAAGCTAGTATCTGAGAAGGTGCCTTCAAAATCTCAAGTTTCCGTAGCGCTCACAGTAAGTGGGTCAAAGGGAAAATTACCCGATGTTTCCACGAAGGGGTTTTGTGGACTCGAAATATTATCATCGAACAGATCATGGGTTGGACGCGGAGGTAGAGTGCCAGCGGTGCCCCATAATAGAGATCTGTATTGCCGCCGGACGATATCCATTCTGGGTTGCTGAATCTAGCATCCTCAGCAGTTTTCGATATGCCGAGGAAATGGCTTAGGCGACGGTATAAGTTATAGATAATGCCACGTGCTAACTTTGCCATGGAATTAGATTGACTAATGATTCCTAGTCTTCGCATTCCGTTTTCCAAATCGCTAATACACTCTTCCTGTCGTTTAGCACCCATATTCAGAAAAGCAAGAGAATGTGATGTAAAGTACTCGCATTAATAGAAGGGAATACTAGATTAAAAAATATTGTGCTAGTATAGCTGTGGTTGTTCGAATAGTCGTTCTTGTACAAGAAGAATGCATTTCCAAGTTCGATCGCTTCTGTGCAACTGTTGGCAACTGACAATATGGCCGGTGAAGGGCAAGAAGAAAGAGATGGATAAGTGGTAAAAATCCTAGCTAAAAGCTAGGAATATATATCGCATAACGAGGTCATAAAATTTCTAAAACCTCGGTAAGAGGCTAGATATCACCTTTAGAATATTAAGCTATAAGCAAAGCCTTTTATAACTGACCTTTGTTGAGTATCAAGTTGTAATTTGTCATATTTATTACATGTATATATTTAGGGGTGGAAGCTTGTGAAATGTTATGGCGGTCAGATACGTGGTCCTTCAGGGTCGAGGCAAAGAATTACCTAGCACAACGGAGAATTAACCACGTGATGATATGATAATGCACGTGATCCGGCACCCCGGCTTCGGGAATCACGGAGAATCATATTACCGAAAAAAAGTGTCGAGACTAGGCCGCCCTTCGCGATCTCATTCTTCATCAAGATACAACGCGAATATGGAGGGAAATACAAGGGCTCAGTATGATCCTTTAGAAGGAGGAAAACAGAGTGCCTCTGTTCCTCTCGCGACAAAGAAGACTGTTAGTTCTTGGGTGCACCTTCTTGCAGGCGCGTATGTCTTTTCTAGCTGGTATCATCTTGATTCTTCTGACATCTATCTAGGAGCGGAGGAATGGCAACGGCGATAGTGACTTCCCCTCTTGATGTCTTGCGAACACGCCTCCAGTCCGACTTTTATCAACCCCAAAATAGGGGCTCCGACGCCTCTCCCCAATCAAACCAACCTCAAACATCACGGTCTCTTCAACGATCAAATCATAAAACGCTGCGGATTATCAACTCCATCTATCGTGCCGAGGGCTGGCGAGCCTTTTTCCGGGGCCTCGGCCCTAGCATGGCGGGTGTAGTCCCGGCGACAGCCATCAAGTTTTACGTATACGGAAATTGCAAGCGTATTGGAGCTCAGCTCATGGGATACAAAGAAGACTCTGCTTTTGTCCATGCCCAAGCTGCAATCTGCGCCGGACTCGCAACTTCCACAGCAACGAATCCTATATGGCTTGTCAAAACACGGCTGCAACTCGACAAAACACAAACACACGCCGCTGGTCCTTCGACTCGACGATATCGGAATAGCATTGATTGCATCAGGCAAGTCATGCGAAATGAGGGACTGGGTGGCTTTTATAGAGGATTGAGCGCAAGCTATCTCGGCTCCATTGAAACGGCTCTACACTTGGTGCTCTACGAACAGTTGAAGACTAGGCTCAACCGGTCATTAGAAGCTACCGAGGGACAGCCTAGGACTCCCTTCTGGGACGAAGTGTTCCATTGGGTTAGTACTAGCGGTGCCGCGTCTTCTGCTAAGCTAGTGGCAGGTCTAATCACATATCCTCATGAGGTACGTCATTTCGAGGCAATTGTATTGGTCTCACTTGCTCACGTTTTTAGGTCATCCGAACACGATTGCGCCAGGCACCTATGGAGCATGGTCAGGCCAAATACACAGGTCTGTTGCAATGCTTCCGTACCATCGCCAAAGAAGAAGGTATGGCAGGGTTGTATGGAGGCCTAGCTCCTCACATGCTCCGCTCTTTGCCTTCAGCTATCATTACGCTTGGCGTATATGAATTTGTGCTGAGGGTCACTGGCGCTTAGGTTAAGGCACGACTTTTGTACACTATTAGATCTGGTTCTTTTTTATTTTCAGGCGGGGAGCTCATTAGACATTCTTGTATTATATTTGGCGTGGCTCATCTCAATTACATAATCTCATCTTTCATTGGCTAGTTATGTAGTTACTTCAAAATATTCCATTTTGTATGTGTGACTGTAGAAAATCTTCAGGCGTTCCTAACATAATAAAATGCGCTATTCTCGTTAAAAGAACACCACTCGTAGGGACCTTTTAGGGACCATAATAATCGCAGCATTAGTTCAAATAATGGCACGTTTTTGAGACAAGATTTGTGTGCTCTTGACGCACAGGGGAGGATTTATATCAAATTGTGGAACCCACACACTGGAAATCCTCGCTATTGATTCTCTTGATGATCATCGCGGTAGATCCCCCACCACCGTTACAGATGGCAGCGACTCCATATTGACCAGGTTGTAATTGGTAAAAGAGGCTGATGAGAATGCGGCATCCGGAGCTCCCGAGCGGATGACCGAATGAAATAGCGCCTCCGTTGATATTGACCAGTTTGGGATCCAGACGAAGTTCCTAACATAGTGGCAAAATGTCAGTAAGTTGCACTATGGGTTCATGATACACACAAACTTGCAAGCTGAACCAATGTGACAACAACTGCAAAGGCTTCATTGATTTCCCAGAGCGAGATATCGTGCACGGAAAGATTTGCTCTCTCAAGTGCAATTCGTATAGCTTTAGCCGGTGCCAAGGCAAATTCAGCTGGCGTGGCAGATACGTCTGCATATGCCATGATTTCCGCCATTATTTTGGGGCCGTTGCCTTCATCACCGCGTGTATATTTTCTTGCCAGATCATCGTTGACCAAAACCACAGCAGAAGCACCATCACCAAGAAACGACGCATTCCCCGCAGTGACAGTCCCCTTTTCAGAGAAGGCTGGTGATAATTGTGCAAGGGCTTCTGGGGTGAACTTGTCAGCTTCTTGGATGAAGTCTTCGGTCACGAGCTGTGTCTTTCTCGGGTTTAGAGGAACGCGTATGATTTCATCTTTGTAAATACCCGCCGCGTGGGCTCTGATTGCGCGATGGTATGATTCAAGTGCGTATTTGTCTTGATCTTCTCTCGAGATCCCGAAGCGCTGGGCAATTTGATCGGCGTAGTATCCCATTAGATGACCATTAAAGGGGCATCTTAACCCGTCCAAAAGACCGTCCGACGGTAACTGCTGCTGCTGTTGAGTCCCGGGAATGCGACTACTGGTGCTACTGGTGGGGTCAGGCTTCCTATAATACGCAGGCACCTGAGACATACTTTCCATCCCACCAGCCACTTGAGCAGTTGCGTGGCCCAATTGGATATTCTGAGTCGCCATAGTGATGGCTTTGAGACCAGATGCACATACTTTGTTGATCGTTGTTGCTTCAATGGTCAGAGGTAATCCGGCTTTTATTGCGGCCTGTTTAGCCGGTGTTTGGCCTGCGCCTGCTTGGAGTACTTGGCCCATGTATACATCGGAGATGGAATCGGCGGAGACACCGGAGCGACTTAAGGCTTCTTTGATGGCAACTGCGCCAAGGTTTGTAGCCTTGATCGAGGACAAAGAAGTATGGATCTATTTTCAGAATGAATCAAAATACTCTAGCATTGTTTTTCTTCTCCGGTATGGATTTTTGCTTACTCGTGCAGTTGGCGTGCGGGCGGCTCCTATTATATAAACAGAGTGACTTGATTGAGACATGTTGTTTCTAGTTGAGAGTGGAATAGGAAGTGAAAATAAAACTTCTTGTCAGGAGCTTATGCGCAGTCTACAGGCTCATGTATTTAAAAGCCAAGTTCAAACATAGTAGATGCGGATGTGATACAGAGCGCACAACACGTGAGAGATGCGAGGGTACCTAATAGCCTTAAGGAACATGTCTGGCGCCCTTTGCGGAAGAAAAGATAAAACGAGATGGCAGAAAAATCAGGATAAGATCCTCTTCATAACCTACGTAATCACCTGTCAGTGCGCTGTCAGTCCGCACTGGATTTAGTATCTGTTTATACTCAGATCCTTGTCAGAATTTATTGTAGGCTATATATCTACAGGACTCGAACAAAAGGCCATTACATCCTCTAGAAGCTATTTATACTTTCCATTTGGCTCCCGTTTGAAATTCAACAACACTGCAATCAGTTTCAATGGCGAATGCCAGTTCAAAGTATAGACATAGAGTGTTATCTAGTAACTCTCATTCAAGATATCAAAAAATCAAGCGTTAGTTGCTTTTCTAAAAATCACTGAAGCGTGATTCTCCGTTCGAAGGCTAAAGTTGCTGTGCCCCTTCAACGGCGGGCTGCCACTTAGGGCGTCGATATGTATGGAGCTCCTGGCTGGGACACGACATGGTCTCGAATAATCCTCCATTTATAATAGTTTTTCCTGGCATCCATGGAGACTTTGATATGATTGAACTGAATAGCAGATAGTGTTAGCATTGGTTAAGAAATATAGCCGAGAGACATACCTGCCACATTTCCCACAAAATGAACGCTACTTGCAAGAATAATTAGTTCAACCCTCTTTGACAACACTAGCAAATAGGGAAGGGAGTTATACCTCAACGCAGTTCCCACTCAAAGTGTTTTTATCTTCAAACCATTTCAGCGCGGAATGAGGATCATGGACAGTGAGATCAGGAGGCAAGACGAGGTATCCAGTAGCGCAACCTGATTATGGTCAATGGTGCTTTTAGATCTCATTTATTCAGAAGGTCCTTACCACTACCTATCCGGCCACAATTACGACTTTCATAAGTAACGATATAAGCATTTAACTACCGAACTCACGTAGTGGATTCCTTACCAGTGACAACGAAATGTACTGCGCGGCTGCCCTTGCACAGTCACTCGAATGGTTCCGCAAAGACAGTGGCCTTGATACGACATGGTGATGTGAAATGAATGAAAGTGTAATGGGAGATTTGAGCTTCAAATTCGGTGTCAACTGCACAGATGTTGAAAGTGGGGTTAAGCTGAGTACGAGACATAAATTATGAATACGGTGCAAGAGCAAAAAAGAGAAATGGGGGAGGAGAATGGTGTGCATGAAGATATCTCCACCACCATGTGATAAGTGACAATTTTGATTGACATGGATACCTTGCATCTCGTATCTTGAGACTTGAAAGTGCATGATCACAAGACATGGCAAGCCGCTAGCTTGGATACCTGCAGGTATGCACTTAATAAACCTTCCTTATTCTGTCTACAGGTGTTGTTCTAAAATGATACAATGACACATTACCCTATATCTACATATATTTTAAGGAAAGTTGAATATCCCAATACCAGGATACGTAATGGAGGGCATTTTCGGCCTCCCTGTCTCTCGGATCAAACCCTCCGCGACCTTCATCTACAAGATAATTCAAAACGTTTCCATTGGCGCGGATGTTTTTATTAGCTCCACCAAACCTCTCCCAAAATCACCACGTCCGATCATAGTCTACATTCATGGTGGCGGCTGGACTGGTGGAAGTCGTGCTAATTTCAGCCCGGCCATGTTCACAGACTTCTTGAAACACAAATTCACAGTTGTCTCAATTGATTACCGTCTACTGCCAGAAAGCGCATTTGTCACTGGTCAGTTAGAAGATATTCAAGACGCAGAGATCTGGCTACGGGATGTGCTACCAGACGAAATGAGGAAGCTGGGTTGGGAGGTTGACCCAGAGACGATCATCGTCTCTGGAACATCAGCTGGTGGTCATCTCGCACTCCTGACGGTCTGGAAGCCATTAAAAATGTCTCTTGACCGATACACCATGAGCTAACTGGGAATGCACTTGCAGCCAAAAATATGGAAAAAGCCGCCAACGGCGATCTTGGCAATTTCGGGAGCAACTGATATGCATCGTATTGCTCGACATGTCAATTTTGATATCCCACCCTTGACATCTGATGTCATAAAAGTTGCCACGTTCGAAACTCCGCCAACATTCACCTTACTGCAGAAGCCTAAGGATGACACTTTTACCCCCCGCACTCTGTTTGTGTTGCATGTTCTCAAGAATGATATCATAGCAGAGTATCTGCTTCGAGGGACGATGAATGGAAAGTTGCCTGCCAAGGGTTGCGTTAGTAGACATGAGATTGACGATATTAGTGAGTCGTATCGGAATAGTCTTTGTGAATGGAGCTGGGCTAATTTCACATCTCTAGGTCCCATACACCTCTGCAAAACGGTGAAGTGGGTGCCAACCTATCAGCTCATGGCGGGAGAGGATCCACCTTCTGTTTTGGAATCTAGCAAGTCTTTTCAAGATGAGATGGACAGCCAGAGCATTCCCTGCAAGACTATCATCGTACCCGGACTCCATCATGGCTTTGACGGGGACGCCAAGGTTGGTGGCGATACTCACATGAATATCATTCGCCCTGCTGTCGAGTGGGTGGTGGGGATTGCATGCGCCTAGTGAAGCTTCTTGGTCAATTGAAAGGACAGAGAGATCGTGGAAACATGGATAGATGTGCCTATCCATATTACACGATCGTGCCTTCTATTGGCCATCTGTTTTTCTAGTTGAAACCTTAAAATGCAATGATTATTGGAAATAAGGCTGGCACGTGCGGCAGTTTATCTTAGTTGGTACGGAGTTAATCTCGGACCAGTGTAGCTGCATAGATAGATGGCACAGGAGTAGAGTAGTACTTGTTCTAACACGAGGAAGGCCAGGAACTATCCCAGGGCACTAGGATACTCTGCTCTAGAGAATGCTGAAGTGACTTTCACTTTCATCTCATTTCGCGTTTGTCTGTTGCGTCGAAGGATTGAGGATGAAATATCATTGGAATGTACAATCTGGAGTGGCACAAAAGCAATTGGTTGTAGGTTGTAAATTTGCTTTTTATCGACAGCTGTATTGTTGGTCAGGTATTTTATATCACACAGCATTTTATATATAGGAACCAATGATATAATATAGCTACAAATAAAAGATTGAGCCGTCTACCTGATCAGCATGCTACTCTCTCACGATGAGTTTGTGGTTGAGCTCCGTTATGAAAACCCGGACAACTTTCTTCATGCTAGCTGATGGTCCCACTGAAAATTTAGGATAGGTGGCGCTACAATATCAGCTGACAGAATGCAGACCGCTCAATGTGCAACTTCAAGACCCAGTCAGCATTTTTATGTGTGCCGTTCGGGCGCAGATGCATTGTGAGGTTTATGATGAATCACTTCCCTGCAGGTGTATCAGGCCTACTCACAAAAGATGCAAAGACTAGTAGTAGGAGAGCACAGTAAAACGGAGCAATGTTACACCAATGAGACATAAAATATTTCCGCAACAAGATCGGCGATATGAACACCGAGCTCGACTGGATCATTTCTACTAAGATGGAGCCATAGACTTATCCCGGTGCTTTCCCGCTTGTTGTTTCTTTCTCTGGCCGGATGGGCACCGTAATCATATACGCCCCCAAATAATACCCCGAAATAATAAAACAACACTAAGGGTGATCGTCCTTTTGGACAGTAGCTTGTGCTTGTGCAGAAGGCAATGCCGCTACAATTTCTGTTCTAAATGGCATATATTGAGAAGATCGCTTACTATCATTTGAATTGTAAGAAATAAATGTAGGAAATTATAAATACCTAAAAAATGCCTCCAGGGATGTAGTTCAATCCACAAAATCGCCAATCAGACTTATCCTTATCTCCTCCAGGGCTGTATCCAAAATCATGTCATCCGAACCCATTGCCATTATCGGAACAGGATGCAGACTTCCCGGAGAGTCAACCAGTCCAGCAAAGCTATGGTCCCTCCTAAAGGAGCCTCGAGATGTCCTTACCAAGATTTCAGAAACTCGTTTTAATCCGGATGGGTTTTATCATCCCACTGGCAAAAATCCCTCGACAAGTAGGGTGACAGAGTCTTATCTACTGTCAGAAGACATCCGCTGCTTTGACGCGCAGTTCTTCAACATCAATCCGGTCGAGGCCGAGGCAATTGATCCTCAGCAACGTGTGTTGTTGGAGACTGTTTATGAGGCCATTGACTCAGCAGGTCTACCTTTGGCAGACCTAAATGGATCAGACACGGCTGTTTATGTTGGCGTGATGCGTGAAGAGTATAGCCTTCACCTCCGCCAAGACCCGAATGTCATACCAACATACACTGCCACTGGTACCGAACGCAGTATCCTCGTCAATCGCATCTCATACTTCTTCAACTGGCATGGCCCTTCCATGGCAATCGATACCGCCTGCTCTTCCAGCCTAGTTGCCCTGCACGAGGCAGTAAAATCCTTGAGGTCAGGCGAGTGTCGAATCGCCGTAGCAGCGGGAACAAATCTTATCTTGAGACCAGAAACATATGCCGCATTGAATGGATTAAATATGGTCTCACCAAGCGGTCGTTCGCGTATGTGGGATGTCGATGCGGACGGATATGGTCGAGGTGAGGGTGTTGGGGCAGTCATCCTTAAGACACTGTCGGCAGCTATTGCTGATGGTGACCATATTGAATGCATTGTGCGGGAAACGGGTGTGAACCAAGATGGACGAACAAGTGGAATTACTGTACCGAGTCAGAAATCTCAAACTGCTCTTATCCAAGAGACGTACCGGAAGGCTGGCCTAAACCCATTCAAAGTAGCCGATCGCTGCCAATTCTTTGAGGCGCATGGCACGGGCACTCCGGCTGGTGACCCCATTGAAGCAGAGGCCATCCACCGGGCGTTCTTTTCTTCCGCTTCTGCCAAAAATGACACCCTCTACGTCGGCTCCGTCAAGACTGTTTGCGGTCACACTGAAGGGACTGCTGGGATTGCTGCTGTCATCAAAGCCTCCCTGGCCCTTCAACATGGAATCATACCTCCAAATATGTTGTTGAATGAATTGCATCCCAAGGTGAAGCCATTCTCAGACCACCTTCAGGTACCCATGCAGGCTATTTCTTGGCCTGCAGTTGAGAAGGGCCAGCCTCGCAGGGCCAGTGTCAACAATTTCGGTTTTGGAGGGACCAACGCCCATGCGATCCTAGAAAGCTATGAAGCAGCGTCGACAACAACAGCAATCACGACCAGCCACAATCCCGTTTTTAATCCATTCGTTTTCTCTGCGGCCTCTGAAAAGTCTTTGGATACTATGTTGTCTGCCTACTCAACTTGGCTACACAACTTAGACGAGTCATCGATCAATCTCCGCGATTTGAGTTACACACTTTCTTCACGCAAGTCCGAGCTAGCTTTCAAGGCAGCCATATCCGCCTCATCGGTTGAGACGCTTTGCCATAAACTGGCTTCAAAGCAGACAGACATAACCAGAGGTTCCCAGATCCCAGCTCGCATTCTGGGCATATTTACGGGTCAAGGAGCTCAATGGGCGGGGATGGGTAAATCCTTAATTATTTCCTGTGCCTTTGTGCGGGAGCGCATAGCACACTTGCAGAACACGTTATACTCTCTCCCGAATGGAGATCGCCCTTCATGGTCGATCATGGAGGAACTTCTCGCAGCACCTGAAGACAGCAAACTGCACGAGGCTTCAATCTCTCAACCATTATGTACTGCAATCCAGATCGTCCTGGTTGATCTACTTCGCGGCGCAGGGATATCTTTTCACTCTGTCGTGGGTCATTCCTCTGGTCAGTTTGCTTAATATTTTTTATATTCTACGCGGAGTAATTGCTAACAACAGACCACAGGCGAAATTGCAGCGGCATATGCAGCGGGTTTCCTTTCTGCCGAAGATGCAATGAAAGTTGCCTACTACCGCGGCTTCCACGCCAAGCTGGCCAGGAGCTCAAATGGAAAGCCAGGCGCCATGATGGCGGTTGCTACAACTTGGGAGGATGCAAACGAAATATGCAATTTAGAGCAGTTTGAGGGCCGCATATGCATGGCGGCAAGCAACTCCATGACAAGCGTAACCCTTTCTGGTGATGCCGATGCAATTGAGGAGGCTTTGGAGATTCTTCAGGAAGAGAATAAGTTCTCAAAGATACTCGAAGTCGACACGGCATACCACTCACATCACATGCTTCCATGTGCTGAACCCTACCGTATCTCAATCCAAAATTCCAATATTCAACTATCTCCTGGCAACCTATGTCGGTGGTTTTCTTCAGTCCGAAATGGGGACCGGATTGAAACCGCCGATGGGCCCGATGCCGCTTATTGGACAGAAAATATGATCAGCACTGTTCAATTCTCAAGGGCCATTCAACAGGCATTGGATGAGGAGGACCCATTCAATCATGTGCTCGAGATTGGACCACATCCAGCTTTGCGAGGTCCAGCCCAACAAATTATTCAAGCTAGCCAAGGTGAGCAGTTACCTTATTCGGGGCTTTTACACCGCGACCTTGATGGTTTAGAGAGTGTGTCAAAGGCCCTAGGGAACTTATGGAAACACCATGGCTCAAAAGCTGTCGACTTTGCTAGCTATGATAGTATTATGTCCGGGCCTGATTTGGAGAGACCTAGGCAACTGAATAATCTGCCACCATACCCTTGGGATCATGATCGCTCTTTCTGGTTTGAGTCTCGAGCATCAAGAGTAAATCGCCTCCGCAGCGATCCCTTCCATGACATCTTGGGCACAAGGGAGGTCAATACCATGGATGAGTTGCGTTGGCGCAACACACTCAAGGTCTCAGATATTCCTTGGGTGAAAGGGCACCAGGTTCAACGCCAGATCCTGTTCCCTGGAGCAGGATATGCGGTTGCTGCGATTGAGGCTGCTCAGATTCTCGCCAAAGGCGAGGATATTATCGTGATTGAGCTGTTAGACCTTGCTATTCATCGTGCAACCTCTTTTGATGATGAAAACGCTGCTGTTGAAACTTTGGTCACACTTTCGAGAATTTCGAGACGCCTCGGAGCTATTTCAGCAGACTTTCAGTTCCATGCGGCCCCCAACGCAGGGTCCGATACTTTGGCTCTTACTTCGAGCTGCCAAATTCATATCTCTTTGGGCACACCGTCTCTGGACTCTCTTCCCATACGCTCTGTGAGGGCACCCAATCTTGTCGATGTTCCCACCGACCTGTTTTATAAGTCTCTTGGCAAGCTCGGGTATGGCTACAGTGGGCCATTCCGAGCCCTATCAAGCCTTCAGCGTTCATATAAGGCCGGCACGGGTCTTGTAGGTAACCCTCAACGGGACATTGGTGGGGACACGAGTCCATTGCTCATCCATCCGGCTATCCTTGATTCCAGCTTTCAAGCGGCATGTCTCGCCTTTTGCCATCCGAGCGACGGAGGCCTTCACCGTTTACACGTTCCCGTTCACATCCGCTGCATCCGCATCAACCATTCCGCTTGTCAGAAGGAGCTAGCTGACGAATGCAACCTTGCATTTGACTCACTCATACCGGACAGCACCCCACCAAGCTTTGAGGCGGATGTTGGTTTGTTTAGCGTCGAAGGTACAAAAGGGAACGCACTAGTCCATATTGAAGGGTTGGAACTGGCTCCTGTATCTGATGCAGCGGAGGAGAATTACCGTGCCATTTTTTCAACAATGCAATGGGGTCTAGCTGCACCTGATGGCAATGCTGCAGCGTCTGCTGCTGGTGTCTCCTTCGACGCTCATCGTGTTGAGCTGGCTACAGTGGCAGCACAAGGGGTTTTATATTACCTTCAACATCTCACAGAGACGATTACAGAAACTGAAAGGGCCAAGGCAACTTGGTTTCATCAGCGAATTTTCCCCTTTGCGGAGGATGTCATTTCCAGGGCTATGGATGGCACTCATCCGTGTGTCAAGAAAAAATGGATTCAAAATGATCGCGAGCATGTCTATCGACTCATGGATAAGTTCAGCGACGACGTTCTGATAAAGATGATCAAGGTAGTTGGAGAGAACCTCCCGGCTGCCGTTCGTGGTGATATCAACATACTGGAGCACATGATGCATGGTGGGCTTCTGGACAAATTCTACACTGATTCATTGGGCGTAAAAGAGTCAACAAGTACCTTGGCGCAGATGGTAAACCAGATTGTTCATCGCCACCCAAATCTTGATATTATTGAGATTGGAGCTGGTACTGGCGGCGCCACCAAGGCTATCTTTGATACATTGGATGCTTTTGACTCTTACACCTTCACTGATGTTAGCTCTGGCTTCTTTGAAAAAGCACAGCAGATACTTGGAAAGTGGGAGAATCACGCGAAGAAAATGAAATTCAGCACTTTGGACATCGAGAAGGACGTGACGAGTCAAGGATATACTCCCGGTTCATACGATCTGGTTGTGGCTTCCTCTGTACTCCATGTGACAGCGTCTCTAGAAGAGACTATGAAGAATATCCGCCAGCTCCTTAAACCTGGAGGCTATTTGGTCATACTGGAATTGACAAGTGTTGAAAAGGGGACACCCGCTTTCGGATTCATCTTCTCTGGACTTCCAGGATGGTGGCTTGGTGTCAATGACAATCGATTGTTATCTCCTCTTATCAGTCCTCAGGAATGGGACCCTATCCTGAGATCAGCTTGTTTTTCTGGGGTTGATACAGTCACTCCAATAGTAAGCCCTTTAGCCTGTCCCATTTACGTGATGGCCACTCAAGCGGTCGATGATCATGTACTTGCTGTGCGCCAACCACTTGAATCTCCCCCTACGGTGCTGAATGGTACTCTTGCTATTCTGTGTGGATCTACTGAAGTATCGAGATCGCGAGCCGAAGCCATTGCAGCTTTGCTTCAGCCATGGTATCATCACGTGTTGCTCCTGCTTTCAGTCGAGGAGCTGGCTCAGAAAGATCTAAAATCCTGCCAGCACTTCCTCAGCATCTCTGACCTAGATGAACCATTGTTTCAGAATCTGTCAGACGGGAAGATCAACTACCTCAAGGCAGTGTTTGATAAATTTATACTCGGCCTTTGGGTCACTCAAGGGTGTCAGACGGATCCATACGCCAATATGACAATTGGGGTCGGTCGATCTGTGGTCAATGAACTGTCACATCTTCGGCTTCAATTTCTTAACATTGAACCTGGTCAACCTTTCAATGTCGCCCTCCTAGCTAACACATTTCTTAGACTTCGAATGATGGATGAATGGGACCATGACCATAACACCGCTATGCTCTACTCAATCGAACCGGAAATATCTCACCAGAATGGTTTCGCCATCATTCCGCGACTTCGCAACCTCCAAGCAGCCAATGATCGATACAACTCTTCTCGCCATCCAATCACGGTCGATAGATTGTCTGATGAGGCAACGATCACACTCGTGCAATCTCATGAGGGCTGCACGTTGATGGAAGACCTAGGTTTCCTATCTGGTCATACCGATTCAGAGGAATTAATCACCATTCGGGTAGAGAAGTCTACCATGATATCTATCGGTCCCCTTAATGCACGTCAGTTTGTTGTAATTGGCAATATTTTGAGCGGCGATCGAAGTAACAGGGCTATTGCCTTCGCGAACAAACAATCTTCAACCGTTCAAACATATCCCCCAATCTGCCGCTCTTGCCATATTGCCCCAGGTAGCGAAGCAAGACTTTTGCTGTTCATGATCAGTGAATACCTCCTTCAGTATTTGTCGGCGATTGGAGATGGACCGGTTGTTCTACACAACCCTGACTCGAACCTCGCTTGGGCTTTATCTCAATCCGCTTCACAGCGAGGGCTTAGCCTTGTTTTTACTTCATCAATCCATGCAACAGACAAAATTTGGTCTCATATCAACCCATATATCTCCGATCAAAGCCTTCGGCGCATCATTCCCTTCGCGGCATCTTGCTTCATTGATTTCACCCGTTCAGAGGATCAATGCAATCTGGCCCCGCGGATCCGCAATGCCATCTCTAGGACATGTAAATGCCTAACAATGGAGGATATTTTTGGCACTGATGCAGTGCTACCGACAAAAGTCCCTGTAGAACTAGGGAAACTGTTTGAGACAATCACTCTCCGGGCCATCTCGGTAGCCTCAAATGTGGAAGATTCTCCTGAGATTGACACCATACTATTACGCGATCTAATTGAACCCCGCCCTGTTGAGAAAGGCTGCATGACGATGGTTGACTGGACATTGGAATCCAAAATCTCCGTCAGGCTTCAGCCCATTGATAGTCGCGTGTTGTTTGCTGCGGACAAGACCTACGTCCTCTTTGGATTAACCAGCGACTTAGGTCAAGCGCTGGCACAGTGGATGGTTGAGTACGGGGCTCGGTACATTGTGCTAGCCTCTCGCCGTCCTAAGATTGAACCAGCGTGGCTGGAGAAGATGAGAGAGATGGGGGCAACCGTCCAAGTCTACTTCGGTGATGTCGGAAACCGTACTGAATTGGAGGAAGTTTGCCTGAATATAAGGAGCAGCATGCCAGAGATCAAGGGCATCTTCAACGGAGCCATGGTGCTCATGGATGCCATCGTAGCCAACCTTTCCATCGAGATTGTGGAGCAGCAGATGAAGCCGAAGGTTGATGGCAGCAGGTTCCTGGACGAGATATTCAGTGGTGACGATCTTGACTTTTTTGTGTGCGTCTCATCTATTGGAGCCATTTGGGGAAATGGTGGCCAGACAATTTACTCGGCAAGCAACATGTACATGACAGCTCTGGCCTATCAGCGACGCGCTCGCGGTTTGCCTGCTTCTATCCTCCACTTGGGAAGCATTCTCGCTGCAGGGTATCTTGCCAGACAGGATGTGTGGGCATCACTAAACTGGAGTGAGAACAGTGGTCACCAGTGGCTTTCGGAGCGGGATGTGCATACCGCCTTTGCTGAAGCAATTCTGGCAAGCCGACCGGACTCTGGAGTGATTGTTGAAATTGTTGTAGGTGAACGTGTGGAAGTCCCGGAGCCTGGATTGAGGACACAATGGTTTGAGAATCCCAAGTTCCTACACCATGCGAAACAACAACAGAAGGTGAAGGAACAAAAGAGCCAGGCAAAGGATGTCATATCAACCAGGGCTAAATTGCAAGATGCCACTTCTAGCGAGGAGGCCTACGAAATCCTGAAAGGTACGTCCGTCCCATACAATGCTCAAAATGACATTCAAAGTCAGTACTAATCTGCAGCCATAATAACATAGATGGGTTTACTAGCCGAGTAGCTCTATTACTTCACTGTGACTACAGCGAGTCTGAGCGACAGAAGATGACCGAAATGACTTCCTTTGATCTTGGGATTGATTCTTTAATTGCCGTTGCAATCCGAAGCTGGTTCTTCCTTGAATTTGGCATCGACGTACCGACGTTCAAAATTCTTGGTGGTGCCACTTTTGCTACCCTTCTTTCTGGTGTTCTCAAGGATTTACCGGCTGATATCACGCCCAACATGACTACATAACCTGGTACAAGCAATTGGATAAATCCAAGCATATCCGAGCCATATTTAGGTGATATGCACTCATCGAGCAACGTCCTGAAGCTATATGGGCAATCACTTCTGTCTTGAGTCTAGTTAATACCAGTTAAAACCAAGTGTGTCCAAGGTACAGTGACTGACTGGACATATGCAATTGCTCCTCTCTGGCACCTAGTTCACCGTTATACCGTCTTCCTAAAACGCGTATCCATAAATACAACCACCGTAGAATAGTACACGAAGCCGCTGTTTTCGCGAGTAGAGGGCTATATTTTCTCCTGGACTCCAAACTCCAGGGCTAGTTGTTTTACTTATGCCAGAGTAGTCGAAGGTTACACATAGAGAAGTCATTTCCACAATGCAGCCTCCCCCGTACTCCCACTGTCTTTTCCTGAACTGAGAAGTGAAAGGAAATATCTAAAAAGAATATTCAAAAGCAACATCAAAAAGACTACCAAAAAGACATCATATGGCCGCACAAGGGACCGATGATTCTTGTGGAGATGACCTATGTTTTTTTTTGTCCGGAAGAATATGATATATTGTGACAGAAGTCAAGGTGTAAGCAAGGTATGGTACTAACTCAGGTCAATGAATATGTATAACTCTAACTAATAAAGTATGATAAAATCCGCCTTTTGGACAATCTGCCCAGGTGCCCTGCGGACAGGATGACTAATTGTAATATACACTTTTGTATGGTATGCCGGGTACTGGTGTTACATGACATTCTCGGGTACAATACCCTCAAGGCTGTTTTCAACCAGTATTCATTATTACTAGTACATGTTATATTCCGACATAATGTACTCCGTAATCGGTGCAGGTAGAGCTCCGCAAGCCCAACACACAGCCCATTAGCAGGGGCCCATAAGGCCCCCCATTACCCCCCATTAACAGCCCACTCAGGGGGTTCAACTAGTATCTTGTAATCGCTATATTCTAACCCTTCTACTAATTATCTAGAGCTCAGGTGTATAATTTATAATTTCAATAGGTATATAGTCAAGTGTATATTCCAATTTGAAACAAAATCCAACTAGTAGAGGTCGAAAAGAGGTTAATATACTATATTTAGGATTCAAAGGGGAGTACCATCACTTTCTAAGTGAACCTTCATAATTTAAAACCTATCTAAATAACGCGTTTTTTCACGTTGTTAGACGTGATATAGAGAGATAAGTAGTAATTAATTCTAAATCATTTAAAATAATAAATTATTACCTTTAGGTGAAGGCTTACAAACGGGGGTAAAACGAAGGATAATTTTAAACCCCCTAAAAGGGGGCTCAACTTTACTTGGCATCTAAATTCTCGGTACTGTTTGGAGCCCATTTAGGGGCCTATTGGCCCACAGTTGGCGTCTACCTTAGGCCTAAACCCCAACCCATTTGCGGGTTGGGTCCGGGTTGGGCTTTGGGCTTTGTGGGCTTTGCGGGCTTTGCGGAGGCGTAGGTTCAGGCGAGGGCAGTGGAATTGTCTACTCCGTACCCGTAGATTGACTGTAGAATTATGTTCGCCAGGACTAATATGCGGATATATAGACGATTCCAAGGGCTCCGAAATATAAGGATGGTATGTAAAATAAATTTTTTGCTGTCTTCATTGACACCGAGTTTCTTCGCACTAGCCCATTCAATCCCGAAAGATCGGTTATCGAGTTGAACTACCCACCTACATGTAACCTTGGAAGTATGTAGAAATTTGGAGTAAGGTAGATTCGCAAGTTTTTCGTAATAAGCCGCCTTTGAGCTAGTCACAATATGAGATGAAAAGAACTGAACCACTTTGCAAGATTTGCCACTTAACAGGTACCTTGTAAGTGTACAGAGAGGGACTAGCGATATTTACGATGGGGATATCCACCCTGAATTGCTCGTTAGCCCTGTTGGTGAATAAATGGAGCGGGTGCCCTAATAGTCAACATAATCTATTATCGATTAACAAGCTATCAATAGACAGCGAGCCAGTACTAAACCAAATATTCGGCGGACAGTAAAGAAAACAAGCTCATTAGCCCATAAACGGAAAACCCGACTAGTTTGAAGTAAAAATGCCGAGCTATTTGATCCAGCGAGGGAGACATAGGTTACCCACTACATTCTTTTGACTAGATATTGATAGCGAGACACAAATTACTGCCTATAGGGGCCTTTTGTTGTAGTGCATATTGAATTTTTACACTTTTTTCAGCATCTACTCTTCTTTGTCACCATTTAAAACGGATGATTCCTTCATAAACATGAAATTCTCTATTTTGCTTGCTACTCTGCAATATCATTTCAATGGAGGAACCGCTCTGCTCCCCAATATTGTTCGCCAAAACGAGCAGTTGTGATTCTCACTGGGGTCCCTGCGTCATATGCCTCCACCATTTCTCCTTCCCCAATATACATCGCAACGTGGTAAATTGTGTTAGGATCGCTGAGATTACTCGCGTAAAACATAAGATCAGCTGGTTGCAAATCTGCCTTGGTGACTTGAATGCCATGACCAGTGAAGTCAGCTTGCGCATCAGCATCACGACCAATGGAAATGCCATGCGAATGATAAATTGTGTGCGTGAGACCCGAGCAGTCGAAGGCAAATCCAGACATGCCTCCCCAGAGATAAGGAAGGCCAATGAACAACTTTGCTGTGTTGATCAGATCAAGGCTCGTCGGGTAAGGGATTTCCGACACAGATTTATAGATGGTAGTATCGTGGGCAAACAAATAAGCCGAGCCACCATCGGGTACTGCGACTTCGATGACTGATCCTCTCTTCTTTAGGACTGGGAGTCTTGTGTCGTAGACGATTTCCATGAGCTTCGACGTCAAGCTAGGATCACGGTAGAGCGGAACGGTGGCGGCCTTGTTGATCGTTGCAAATGGTTTGCTCGATTGCAGTTTGCCGTAGCCCTGGTCAAGCGACACCTGTGAAGCAGGAACCCAGCCAGGATATCCCAAATTGTTCTTTGGCGTCGCCTCGCCGGGGACGGCTATCTCGTACCATCCGCTTTCATAGTTGAGAATATCCACACGAGCGCCATACAGTGCTTGCGTCTGAGTCCGGCTATTACTGGTAAGATCTCGGTACTCCGTCACGTTCATATCGTTGAGCCATTTCTCAATTTGCACCGGGTTTGCCAGGGCCGGTTCGTCTATCGCGCGTGGCTTGCTTGAGTCGGTCCACAATGTTGCGACAGCCACATTTATGTAGCCAGGCTGCACAGATATGCGAGCGTCAAATTTTGTGCTTTTATTGGAGCTTGGAAAGGCATTGGCAGCACCTAGAATAAGTGCCAAGGTGACTTGTGTTGCAAAAGTCGAAAACATGATGTTCTGAAAACCGATAGGGCATACTTTTCAATTTTGGGCGTCCCATTCTGTCAGTCTTATGTACCAGACTTGGTAGATTTAGTGCTTGCTCGTATACTGTTGCAGCGCCAGATATTCCCATATCTATCTCTAGTGGCGGCTGTAACCGCTCGGAGAACGTTGTTGCTCTCTCCGCGCTCTCTCCGAAAGCCCCTCACGCAGTATTTCCCCCGCAATAATGAAAGAGAGAATTTGGTTTGATTGATAGGTCAAATACTATTATCTGGACGCATTGCCCTCGTGCCGATCATCCGTTTCTTCGTGATAGCAAGATATGTGTCGCCGAGTGAGTACATCGCTCCGGACTTTGTCCGAGAGAGTGTGCAAGCTTTCGGACATTTGACAATCATATCGCTTCCAAGAAGGACATCAAATTAAAGGTTTAATTATTTCTCCCCTATCAGAGAATCCGGGTGATATCTGAAACTCCCTTGGCGCGGTTGCCATCTGTTTCACTTTCCCATCTCTATGAATCGCTTGGATGCAATTGAGCCACAGCGGCCACCCAGATCATCATTGTATGAGTGTGACACAAATGAGAATCACAACCGGGTAATCATTTTCAAGGCACAAAAAGCGAAATCATGGAATCCTCTCAAGTTTGTTGCTATCGGCTCTATCTCTATAGCACTCTGGATTGCGATAAGAGCAAGAGACCTAATGCAGCGTCAAGACATCGACCCATTGGACTTTGCGGCCCGAACGACCAAAATATTATCTGAGATACCTCTCATAGATGGACATAATGATCTTCCATTTCTTGTTAGACTACAGCTCAACAATCAGATTTATGGAGATAATCTGCCATTTGGTCAGGGTATATTTTCCAATTCATCAATCGTGTGATCAAAGACTAATATTGGTGATGTTCAAGGACTTGCATCTCATACAGATCTCAAGCGGATGAAGCAAGGCAAAGTGGGTGGGCAGTTTTGGTCGGTCTTTGTAGAGGTAAGGTCCCTAGGTATTGCCCATGCAGCACTCTATGGGACTAACATCGAGACCAGTGCCCCCGAATACTTCATCTTGACGATCCAAATGTAATGAATCTTGGACCTCTCTCATGAAGAGCACTATTAACGATCAAATTTCTAGCATAGCGTTCGTGATACCCTTGAGCAGATTGATGTGGCAAAGCGCTTGGTAGCGGAATACAACGAGCTGCAGTACTGCGAGACAGCAGCATGCGCTCGAAAAGCCTTTAAGTCAAAGAGGATATCGTCCATGCTTGGTGCTGAAGGGCTTCACCAGATCGGTTCATCCATTGCTGTGATCCGGCAAATGTACGAGCTCGGAGTGCGCTATATCACTCTAACTCACAACTGCGACAATGCATTCGCTACCGCAGCCACGACGGTAACAGAGACAGGCAAGGACAGTGGACTGAGTGAATTTGGACGTGATGCGATACGGGAAATGAACAGGCTAGGCATGATGATAGACCTCTCCCACACGTCTCACCGAACAATGCGAGATGCCATATCTATGACTCGAGCACCAGTGATATTTTCCCATTCGGCATGTTTTGCGCTTGCAAAAAGTCTGAGAAATACCCCTGATGATGTCCTTCAAATGCTCCGACAAAATGGTGGCCTGATCATGATCTTTTTTGCGAACAAGTTCATTAGACCTGACAACCCGGAAAAGGCCAGTTTAGAAGACGTGGTAGATCACATATTTCATGCTGCCTCCATTGCCGGCTGGGATCATGTTGGAATTGGTGAGTGGTTATCAGTGATTTTCGGAATAGCACGTACTAAATTGTCGCAGGCAGTGATTTTGATGGAACACCTACCGTTGCTAGTGGGATCGATGATGTCTCGGCATACCCGAGGCTCATTGAAGCTGTCATGCGGCGCGGTGCAACGGATGAGCAGGTGCGAAAACTAGTGGGATTAAATATTCTGCGTGTTTGGGGCCAAAATGAGATTGTTTCGGCTCAAATAAAGCGTGAGATAGATTCACGACCTGTGGAGAGTCATTGGGAGGGAAGGACACAGCCAACTTGGGATGGCCCATTGCCTTCATTGAAGAAAAAATGATTACTTAGAATATCTTGGCCTTTTACAAACAAATAAATGCTGCATCTTTCGTTTCATTAAAAGCCATCGAGAACATTGACTGTCAACTGATAAGAGAGCCCCCGCTTCTCATCCCGCCCCAATCTTCCAGTCTCCCAACGTGTACGTGGTGAATATGTCTGGTCGTTCAAGAAATGCCCGGGCACAGCGACCACCAAGAGTCGCATCCTGTGAGCCCTGTCGATTGTCGAAACTAGCCTGCGACCATCGACAACCATGCGCTCGCTGTGTTGGCCGAGAAATCCCCCATGAGTGTGTCTACAGGAAGAATGCGTTCAAGCGGAGTCGACCCTCCTTTACAGCGCAATCTTCGGAGACGCAGTGAGTGTCTCCAATTTGACCCGTCTCGATGTTATCGATTGTTTTCTGACGGTCATTCTAGACATTCGCTGGCTTTTAATTCCGCATCTATTCTGGAAGCCATCCGTCCAACTCTCCCACCAAATAGACACCCAAATACGGGATACCAGGGTTCGTCTTCTCTGGACTCATTATTGGGCAACGTTCGCGAGCAAACTATGCTCTTTGGGGATCTAGAGGCTGGCTCGACCTTTCTTCCGGTCGGACGGGATGACGAGGGGCCGACTTACTCTACAACAAACTTTATGAACAACGCTTCGACAATTGAGGGAGCACAATTGTTGGAAACACTTAGCAGCTCTAGGTTCAATACCACCATCATGCGCTTTTTCTCTGACTGGAAGGGGAACGGACTGGAGTCGCATGTTGGCGCATTTCTCATTCAGCCATTTGCTGATGCAGTCATTGAAGAAATCTTCACCCTACAGCGTTCTGAAAATTTTCGATCTGATCTACTAGCCTTATCCCAGCGGTTGTTTGAAAATACCAGCCGCGCTGTGGATATAACTCGTTTGATGACCCTGCAGGGCTTCATTGACCAGTATACGGGTCCAAACCTGCGTTGGGAGACAATGGGAGTAATCCTCACACTTGTTGGGTATGGCTACAGAGGAAATTTAAGAAGATATAGAGGCTAACAGCAAACTCAGCATCGCCGCAACCGAGTTTCGTGCACCATATGCTCTGTATAAAACAGAACAAGAGCGACAAACCCTCAGGATGAACCTGATTCAATTTGGAAACAAATGTGCAATCTTTTGCGAGACACTGGACGTCCTGAACGACGTTCATATTCTGTTTCTTTATCAAACATTCCAGGTCCAGTCTGTTTTCTATGGAGATCAAAGTATGTATGCTATAACTCGATTGATTTTGCGTGTGCATCGAAGTGATATTTGACAGGTCTTAAAACGTGGCGTCGACTTAACGACGCAGCCTGTGCCCTACTTGCCGCTGGACTTCACGAAAGCATCCAAGAAGCGCGCGATGTTCCCTTCTTTCTGGTTGAAATACGAAAACGTATTTTTTCCCGCTTATACAGTATCGATATCAGCTTAGCGACATTTCTCGGACGACCGCCGCGCATGAGCAAGAAATTTTGCTGTATCAACTTACCTCTTGATATTGACGAAAGATGTTATTCCCTGTCGGAAACTGCTCTTAGTAGTGAGCTGGAAAACCTTGACCATGCCGGGTGGAATTTGCAGGGTCATATCCGAATGAGCTCCATTATTCGATGGTCAACTATCACGGCAATGATTCGAGAAGAGACGTTGGAGTTGCTCCTGGGCAGGAACATATCTAATATACAACAGCGAATAATGTGCGTGGTTTTTGCTGGTTTCTGCAATCTGTTCGCTCATCATTCATAGTGACTTGCACCACGAAATCAACGAGGCATGGGAGAACCTTCCGTCCTTTGTCAGGGTGTCATCTCACGAACTCTGGGATAGCCAAAGGCCCCGCACAGAGATGGAGTGCTTACATATGATTCGGATTTTGTATCTACAATCTGCATTCCTGATCGAGTGGGCGGCATGGCGGCATGGAGTTCAACAGTCAAGCTTATTTCAGTCCGCGATGGAACTGATTTGCTCGGTCAACGATGCTTTGATCCGAAGGGAACAACTACCAAACCTAGGTTTTATATCCCTAGCGTGGAGAGTATGTACCATGAGCAATTGTTGTGGGATTTTATTGAGCTAACCATATAGGTGGCATCGTGCGCTCTCCCAGCGGCCGGGGCGCTTGCACTGTATCTTCTACAACCATCGTCTGGATGTCGATTCAAGGAACTAGACCTAGCATCTCGGCGACGGGTAATCGAGAATCTCTCTGTTCTGATTGCGCACATGGATATTTTGCATAGCCCCAATGACGGAAATTTCAAATTGTTTTCTCAGGCCAAGCGCTCTCTTCAGTCTGTTGTGGACATGTTATTACAGCCGCTGAATCCACTTATAATTGAGGCATCACCTACACACCTCAATACCGAGCTGCCTTCCGCTGACTGGATGGTGCCTGAGTATTGCGGCTTTGATAGTGATTTCTGGTAAGTCAGTAGGCTCTACCAATCATTGGTTCACGTGCTAAATTTGCTCAAGGGCGAGTTTCCCCAATTGCCTTTTTACAGAAGAGAATGGCGACCGTGCGATTGTATGAAAACTGCGAAGCTCTCTTACCACATGTCGGTCAGTTTGTTTCTTGGTTAATAGCCACCACCAGTGCGTTTGTTTGATTGCCAATGTTATGTATGTTGTTTCGAGTCCGTCTACATCAGGCCCACCCGACCGACATCTCGATTTCGCCCTCATACTATATACCGTTCTTGGCCCTCCGACATCCCTCAAGCCTTCAATTTTACGTCAGTTTTCTCCCCTATACATAATCTGGTACATACAACCATACGGTGTGGAAAACAGGGCTTCCTGTCCACTCACCAGTACTTAAGCCACAAGTGCTTACTGTGCTTGGGTTGAAATTGATCTTGGTGATTTGAGCAGCAATGATTATTCACTAGATCAAGTGCGCACGACTTGGGTGGTTTAGGTAGGAATCCGTGGGATTTGAGAAGTCTTAGGAAAGGCGGTGGTGAAGGCGGTAGCCCGATTAGGCCTATTGTCGTGATGGTCCCTAAAAACACCGGGTGCTGTCCCAATAATTTTGGCTGGAACTTCACCACGAATCTTCTACAAGCACGATGCCATCTCAGATCACAATCGAACAGCCAGAATTCCTGCGCCAACCCCCTATTCAACCAAGAACGGCCTTGCCTTGGGGATGTGCGATCTGCGATAAGAAAGAGGACCTGAAAACCTGCACTGCCTGTGGGGTGTTATCTTACTGTAGTAGAGATCACCAGATCGAACATCGAAATGAACACAAGAAGCTCTGTAATTTTGTGAAACAGACTCAAGCGACAGTAGAAGCCATCTATTAAGAACCCCGATATTCTTGAGGATGTTGATTTCTTTCTGGGTACACAGGCCAGGTTTATGGATGGAACAGACACCGTCACCTTCCTTCTCTCTTTGACTTTGTCGAAAATCAAAATTCTGCTCGATCTCAAGGATCTACACCAAGCACGACAAGCCGTTGGACCGAAGGTCCCCCAAGAGGTACTGGACGAGATCCTGGCAAAAATCCCTCGAAGCTCATCAATCAAGGCCAATCGCCGTATCATAAGCAGCCCCGATCTGTCCGCCGAAATTGCAAAACTAGATACCCAAGTTGACGCCCTCTACAAGAAAATTCGCCAGACAAACTTCTTCTGGTGGCGAACTCTAGTAGATCAACCACTCGATGCTATTCAGACTGTCGTTGCCAGGTCGCATGGTGTCGCTCCAGCGGAATGCGGGAGTCCACTCGAAGCAGCCATCTGGATCACACAGAGATCCCAATGTTTTTGCTGGATTCAAACGCCAGGGGCTCTGGATTTCCTAAGGGGGAAGAACTCGAACTTTACACTCCCTATGTTGAGCCAGACTCATCGGATCTACGGGAGACGTGCAGATGAGTTAGTTTCGGCTTTGTACAACTCCTAGTGATTGAATATCTCTTTGATTCCTTCAACTTAGAATAATGTAGCAAATCCAGTAATACTACTACTATAGTAATAGCGGTGATACTACAACAATATTTACTGGAGACCACTGGGGATTGCGACGGGATCCCCGGAATCCTGGGCAGCCTAACGCTAGATACAGTCAAATTTGTCAAAAGTGTTATGGCAAAGCAGCCAACCGCAACCGCAGAGAAAGTGTAACATTCTCGTGTCAAGATCCTGAATTACCAAGATGCCTCATCAAACTAGATGTTAGATTCTTTGCATCTCACACTTTCAGGCCCTAATAGTTTATAATTCCTTTCCACAGTCAACCTTATACATACGACCATAGGGTGTGGAAAACAGGGCTTCCCGTCCGCTCAGCCGTACTTAAGCCACACGCCGGTGAGTTAGTAGTTGGGTGGGTGACCACCAGCGAATCCTCACTGTTGTATGTTTTTGTATTTTTCCTCTCTGTTCAGAAGGGGGTGTGTAGAGCTGCTTATGCTTGGACTTATAAGCCCTCCTATTCCGGAACCTCCCTCTTATGTTTACTCACTACATGGCAATCTTCCACGGCAAGGAAATCCCCAAACCTCCTATAGGATTGACTACATTCAATTACTCTCGTTCTATAACTGAACTTGGTAGCTTAAGTATTTCTGATTTCGCAAAAGCTTTTCAACCACCACAAGGTCAAACCCGCATTGTACATTCAGAAGGATCACATCGCTATCCAAGATACTCGACAATATCGAGGCAAATACATACGTAAATATATGACTGGTCATATGAAGGTAGGTATTGATAATACTAAATAACAGCTATACTTGTGTTTCTATCTCTGGGCGTGCATTGATTGGGTGCAATGTCGAGGGAACAAGCTTGTCAAGACTAAATTCGGTATCGGAGGGTACTTAACTCTTGAGATCATATTTTATGAATACCTATGGTATTTCAATAATCCCAGTGTCCTACAAAATGAAGAGAATAATCTGTAAACTTGAGTAAGACTTTAAAGAAGCCATCAACAAAGGAGCTGGGAGGTTTTTTTATGTTGCATGTCAAGAAGAGTATACGAAAGCTGGTTACTTTTATGTCTTTTGTAGTGTCTTTTTAGTAGTATTATTTCAGAATGCTAAAATCAATTCCGTATTTCTATGGAATTTTTCCTGGACATGAATTTAGGGTATAGACTTCCCATATCGAGATAGTACTACCTAGGGCTGGGATACTTTTAGGCATCAATCAGGCACTAATATTTGGGCCTGAGGTTTCAAAAAGGCCGATCTTGTTAATTCTCGCTCAACGGCCGATTTTAGTGACATTTGGTCACAAGATCATCAGAAACTCTTATCAGTGGACTGTCAATCGTTATCATGTACATGATATCGGTAGATTAACCCGTCCAACTGGTAGCAAGTCGCAGTCCGCGATAGGAGAATTGGGGACTCTCTCCGAAAACACTCCGAAGGAATGCTTGTTCTATACAGAATTAATTAATTTTTAGGACCGATGCTTATTCCCCGCGCTTGATTTGCATGACGTTAAAAGAGTCAATTTCACCCAGTTTTACATTGATATTCTCTATTTCACATTATACATTCTCATTTGAGGTCTACTCATACTCACTATAAATATGGAACTCTCTTTGGACGAAAAAAAGGGTCCTTTAATCCCTGAATCACCCCAAGAGTTAGCGATAAGCACCCTCATCAAACCACAGGCTCGCGAGACTTACGATGTGAATGTCACATTTGAGGAGTATCATTACTATTCCAAGAAGACAAGGGAAGAGGAAGAGTATCTAGAGCCTCCAGTGCTCAATGTGCGACAGTTGTTCAAAGGGAAAAAAAGTGAAGAACCGATTACAACACTGACACAGAAAGACTTTTCAACTCGAGAGCGAAGACTTGCGATAACAGACGAGGAATGGGCAAATGCAACCCGTTCGCTTAGGTCTGCCTCATGGGGTGCCTGTGAGTTAGCAATTATATTCTATCTGATATTCAAACTCGAGGCTCATAAAATTGCTAGGTTTCTATTTGATTACAACTGATATTCTAGGCCCCTATGGCTCGGGCTTTGCGATGGGCACATTGGGTTGGGGACCAGGTTAGCTCCATTTATTCCTGTACGTCTTGAAAGACTGTACTGACTGATTTGGATGAAGGTATTGCATTTTATACTGTCTTTGGATTCATGGCTGGATACTCTGGATATCTCATCTGGCGCGTCTTTCTTGGCGTGGACAGCTACGAGTTCCCAGCCAAGAACTATGGCGATCTCGGATTCAGGACGCTTGGTCGGTGGGGTCGCCATTTTACAAATGTCTGTCAGGCGATTTCGCTACTCTTACTCGTGGGCCAGGTCACAATCGAATTTGGCCAAAATATCTCTCAGATGTCGAAGTTCCGGCTGTGCTATGTTGTTTGTCCAGTTATATTTGCTTGCGCTGGCTTCTTGATTTCACAGATCAGGACTCTCAAAGCGTATGGCTGGGTTGCAAATCTCGCAGTGTGGATGAACCTCTTTGTCATCTTCATGACTATGGGTGTTATGTCTGTGTCTCCACCCAACTACAAAATATCCACACTTGGGTCTGCTGGCAGTGCGGTTGACAGAAAAACGATCACACCGGACAGTGATGGTAACTACCCGCCGATCATCCATTACAGCAATGTCCCTCAAAATGGGCTTATTGGTTCCGTTAATGGTATGCTTTCGGGTGTGTTGGCATATGCAGGTGCACAGCTGTTTGTTGAATTCATGGCCGAGATGCGGCGACCTCGAGACTTCATCAAGGCTATGTGGGGAGCCCAATTTTTTATCTACAGCGTCTATCTCACCCACGGCTGCGTCGTGTATTATCTTCAAGGACAGTACAGCTATAGCCCGAGTTATCAAGGCATTAGCATATACGCATGGCAGACTGTCGGGAACATCCTTTCTTTGCTCTCCGCTCTCATCTGCGCAGGCCTTTACGGAAACATTGGAGTCAAGATTGTCTACAACAATATATTGATGGATATCTTCAGTCTACCTCCTCTGACTACTCGAGTCGGAAAAATCGTCTATGCTTCTCTCGTCCCTGTTTGGTGGACGATTGCATTTATTATCGCCGCGGCCATTCCAGATTATTTCGGCTTCGTGAGCATAATTTCTGCCTCCATGCTTTTGAACCTGACATTTACCATGCCTCCGTTGTTTGCCCTTGCATTTGACATCCAGAAGAATGCCATTCGAACAGAAGTTGGTGAAGCGTTCAACCCAATAACAGGAGAGGTGCTTCGGACCGAAACAACGACAGCAAGATGGATCCGCGGTTTCTGCTCTGGGGGCCCCTTTCAAGTCGCAATCAATATTTGGCATGTTGTTTTATGCTTAGCGACACTCTCGATGTGTGGGCTAGGTATGTGGGCAGCCATTGTTGGTGAGTAGTATTACTATCCTGCTGTTCACTCCATACTAAAATCTCTCCCAGGAATGATTGATGCATTCAAAATCCCGCAACTTACCTCATTCTCCTGTGTCTCGCCCCTCAATCTGAATGCTTAAACCGAAATTGAAATCTAGGCAAACCGGTGGATCCGATTTAGTTGCAACATTTACACAAGATTTGGATGACTGCCATTCAACCTTTATTTCCTTGATCGTAGCTCAGGGAGCATCGCTATTAATACAAGAAATACCATGATAAGATATAGGCTCATTTTTCCTGACACCAATAGAGAAGCGATTCTGTACAGCCAAATTTCCTCTGCAGCCTATTTAGTGAAAACTACGTGGAGTTTAGTCTGGTTGAACTACATCTAGAATATATTCATGGATATTTCCCAGGACTACGGACGATGTGACGCCACTGCACGACTAAGCCAATCACCCCCCGGTTCTAGAGGAAACAATGTCATAGTATCAATCAAGGCGAAATGAATTTCGATTTGCTTCCAATGTATTTACCACAAAGAAAGATAACACATCCATCGATATCATATCCAGTGCTTGCCAAAATCTCTGTTTCCTTTGCAACCTCCCAACCCTTCTTCACCCACCAGTGCAGTATGCATTTCCAATCTTCCAATATTGCGAGAGGGTTTGATTGGATTATTCTATCTGGCCTTAGACATAGCTCACAGTAACACCAGTGCTAGTGAGAGAAGATGAGGTCAAAACGGCGTTGCTCTGCTTGATATCCATGAGAGTAGCTCCGGATGGTCCAACAACCTTGCCGCCAGTTGTGGCCTGCGCGTTTGAGAAGGTGACAGTTCCGAAGTTGACAAAGGGAACCAGGGCTCCGCCGCTCTCGAAGTCCTCGACGATCCATTCAGCATTGTACTCGCAGAGGTCTCCATCAACTCCACCGGTGAAAGTGTGGGTGACAGATTTGCCCTTGGTGACGTTCTCAACGACGGCAGTGCCGGCAGTAAGGGAGCTGGCGGTCACAGTGACCTCAATCACATCTCCAGCGGCGATTGTGAGGCCGGTGAAGTCGTAGGCATAATCCGGATACCACTCGTACCAGGCATCGTATGTAACCTTGCCTGCTTGGATGCAGAAATCAACTCCAGTTTGGAGGATGGCGGTGCTGCAGGTATCACCGTCGATACCGACCCAGGCGGAGGCGCAGTACTGCTTGCTAGACGAGCCACCAGTGGGAAGCTTGGGGGTAGGGACGGTGAACCGTCCAGTGACAGAGGTATATCCAGTGCCAATAAGCACGGCACCGGCCCAGTTGGAGCTGTACTCCTCGTGGACTGTTCCATTCTGAATGAGGAGCTCCTTGGTGTCTGGCTTATAAGCCGGACGACTGATACGGTCAGCCCGGCCGGCAGCTCGGGCAACATTGCGAGCTGCACGGCTCTCGGTCAGAGGAGCTGCAATGGCAGACGTTGTGAGCAACGCTGCGCTGAGAATGGTAGCCGCGAACTTCATTTTGCAAATTGGATGCTTGAACTGTTTGAAAGGAGGAAGTGGAGGTAGCTTGGCTGTGTGAATAACGAGATAATCTTAGGGAAGATGCCGTTTATATATCTGTCGTGTCTAGCTGTAGCTTCATTGAAGAATACCATACGACAATCCTGAAGTACTCGAGCTAATGCACACTCGATGCCTCTCTCATTCAATGTAACATCACCTTCCTTGAACAAGAAGAAGAAATACTCATATCTTCTGGTGCCGTCGGAGACCGATGCACCTTGGGCTGCAGAATTTAACTTTATCCGCGCGACGCTCGCAAGTTCAGGTAACCAGTAGCCAGGTGCCTCTCTTTCACGGGACTATTTCATGCATCAAATCTATGCACATTTAGCAAAGACTAGGCTAGTAGCCCAATAGCGTTGTCTGTTTTCCATGTACACTCATAAGGTACAATTGCGATCCCTCCGGATTTCCGACGGGGCGTGGAGGCCAACTCAGCTCAAATTCGTAAGGTGAGGAGAAGTGGTATAGATTAGCAGGCAACTTGGACATGCGAAATAATAAATCCGAACTAATAGGGCAGTGATCGCTCTGGTCAGAGTGCACCGGCGATAATCATCGGTAAGTGATAACAACTTGATGTGACTGTGGCTTGGACGCTAATATAGGCTTGTTGTCCAGCCACTAGCCTCACAGTGATAAGAGTGCCAAGCTTTTAACAAGCAACAATGCCCAGGAGAAATAACGGGAGAGGTGGATAAATGTGGACTGTGAATAATGTGGATACAACTATGTATGTAGTATTTACATAGCTAAATAGTATCTATATTTATAATCATGTAGTTATACATCATATGCCCGATCGTGTGGTAGCCTTATATAGAAGACTGGCTTCGGGGACAAACATCGTAGCCATATCTCCCCCACCAAGTCACCTCTGGTTGAAAAGAAACAGTCTCCCCGCATCGGAGCTCCCGGGTGCAGATCCGTGCTGACTTTCATGCAGACAGGTTAGTCCACGCTAACTTCATTCGATAATAATCTCCGAATCTAACAGTCAGGCCATTGGATATCGATCCCGCAATTCCTTCATCCTGGCAACCAATGATAAGACTTTCGGTAAGTTATGTCTCCTATGCAGAGTCTGGCACAATTTCATCAAGCCAGATCTTCAAGCCACAGCGCTTGACATTTTAATTATCATTTCAACCAGCTTCCAGGACTTGATACAAAGGTTTTCCGAGTCTTATCGAATGAATACAATTTGCTGCAACTTCCCCCATGAGACTTCGTGGCCCACTTTGATCTATTGCTAGAATATTCGCATATCTTAGCCATCCTCTAGTCAGCCTTGTTACGGTACCTGTTTTGGCAGCTGCCGTTAGTATTCTATTTTGACTTCATCGTTGTGGACTACTTTGCTTTCGACTTGTGTCAGCTTTATACTATCCTTGAGAACTATTTGCAATATTTAAATGCTCCCGTCGGCTGTTTGTTAGTTGCCTACTTATCTCATGGTGTGTTCCAAATGTTTTTTTCGTGGGTATGGATTTTGCCCTCGGGCAAGCTTGGTATCCCGGATAGGAGGTAGCAAGTGAGATCATGCAACAATTTATCTTGCTCTTCTATCCCCGGCAGATTTCGGGTGAGAGACATCCGTAATTTGTGGCTGAATCGAATTACTTGTTTCTATAGATCCTTCACTGAGCTTAGAGAGACAATGTCCTAACATCACTGTATTGTAGCTCATATGATATCAGCCAAATTTTGGTCAACAACAGCACTTGTTGCTACTCACCAATTGAATCACAAGTGTACAGGTGATTGCCCAGGCCATTTAGAGCAATTTCCATGCTATGCATGTCCTTGACAGTCTGCTAGCACTTATCATTATTCAGTGCTTTCGGGCGGTTTCATAGTTGTCTGTTTGTTCTTGAGGGCATGCCGGTGGCCATATCTGTCTTGCTAATTTCTATCGTTCTGATTATTTTTAAACATTCCTTATTCATTTTGATATTTCATTCCTAGGGCAGGCTATCTTTTGTTTTTTTGCCACCCCGGTTTCCATAGTAGATCTCGATCTTGGCTTGCTCTAATTACTATCAATTATGTATGTAACTATAGGTTGTTGGACACCTGTATCCCCGATGTTAATGTGTCACCGGGATGAATATAGCAAAGAAAGTCTCTCCGTGCGCTCTCGCATGACTCTGTTGAAAGAGGTCTTTTGCCTCTGGTGTTTGGATCAAAAGTATGTGACTCCAAAGGCACTATTGGGGACTGTTTTGGGATATAGTCTCAATAGTGCCGCCAGACACGCGGGCGCCAATAAGGCTATTCATTACCGATCTCTCTTTGTTGTCAAATTTCTCCTGGATTTTTTCTTGGTTTTCTTTCAGCTCTCTCTAGGATGTAGGGTTTTCACTCGTCTTTTTTTAAAAATCTGCATCCACACATTCCCTAGCCAAGCCTTGCGTTAATTTTCTCCTAATTTTGCCCTTGGTAGATTTTGATTTTGATGAACTCGAGCTTAGTTTCCAGTATTGATTCTAGTTCTTGTCGGGTAGGAGAACAAAGGTTCAACCGAAGGTTTTGATACGTGGGGTGTGATATCGTTCTTTGTTAGAAATTAATTGTTTACGCTCGCCCATAGAACCTTGTAGGGTTCCTAGGGTCTGCAGTTGAACAATGAACTGAACTCGATAGTTAGTGTTTCATATGCATTTTCCGACGGTGCTCGTCCTGGGCAAGCTAGATAGTCTCGAAAATTTTATTTTTTCTGTATGTCCGACTATTTATAAGGGATAGACTGGTAGCCTCAATGGAGTTTTGTGCTCAAGGGTCAATGCAATGAATTCCATTTACATCGTTCTCTCCCTGTTGTTTGCCCACATAGTGGCAGCTCAATCCGGGCATGCCTCTGGTGATTCTCATGGCCATTCACTCAACAAGCGAGCTGCACCTGTCCCGGGTGCCAATGGTGTCTGCTATACCTATACCATTCAGAGGGGTGATACCTGCGCAATACTCGCTCAGCGCTACCTGATCACTACCAGCAATATCGAGGCTTGGAACACTGGAGCCTGGGACTGGGCGGGTTGTGGAAAAGTGAAGCAAGGCGATTTTGTTTGTCTCAGCTCCGGTTCCTTGCCCATGCCGGTTGCTCTCCCACGTGCCACCTGCGGTCCTCAGGTTCCCGGTACAAGACGTCCTTCCAACTATGCTGATCTCGCCTCCCTAAACCTGTGCTCTTCGAATCAATGCGTGAGTGTTATATTTGTACAAATTATGCATCTCGTTAATCTCTGCTGACTATGCCTATAGTGTTCTAAGTTTGGTGAATGTGGTACTACCTCGTCATTTTGCGAGGCGGGCAAGGGGTGTATCTCCAATTGCGGAGTGAAGAGTACACAAAAGGGAGCGACCAGTTCGAAGACGACTGTTTCAAAGTCCACTGCCTCAAATCTCACCACTTCAAAATCTACTGCCTCAAAGTCTACTACTTCGAAAGCGACGACTACTAAAGTCTCCACCAAGAAGGTAGCCTCAACTACTACAACGACCAAGACAGTCTCAATCGCAAGTTCAACCACGACTAGTCTCAATCCGACAGAAACTTGGCAGGTTACAATCTATGAGAAGGGTAAATGCACAGGCAATTACTTCAGTGCTCAAGGACATGAATCAGATAAGCAGGGGATGTGCATGGTGTTCGCGGAAAACACGCAGACCAAAATCTCGGATACAACCACGTCATGTCGATGGTGGACTGACGGCGGTCTCAAATGGGACACGTGTGCCTCCAGTAAACTCAAAAGGCCTCAGTCATTGTTTCTCAAAGATGGCGAGTGTTATTTCTTCAAGGGCACGAAATGCGCGGATGAAGACTGGTTAGGACAGACCTATGGGTCTTTCAAGGGCTGTCAGTCTGACGAAACTGGAAACTTGGCTCCTCAGCAAGAGCAATACATGAGTACTAATTTCGGAGACTGGGGTTCAATGCAGTGTTGGTACACCACGAAATGGAAGAAATAAGAAATGATGAACCCCGTTGGCAAAATTATTTTTGCTCTTGTTTACGTGATTACCTGGAGGACTAGAGAGTTGAAAATATATATAATTAAGTGTGTCCGAGTCAATTCACTTCCTCTTATCATCTGGGCATCTAGGTCAGAATCCTTTGTAATAATTAGGAAAGGGGAAGTATAGAAATCTTGAAAATCTCTTGAAATTTAAAACAATGAAAAAAATGGCTTCATGTCCTCAAAATAACAAATTTGACCAAAGATTTAGTTATAAAATCGGTTATAACATCGAATTGGCATGACCTTCCATCAAACCATTCCAATGGCCGAGCAGTAACTTGGTCACCTTCTTCCTTGGTCTAGTGGTGATGATTTCCGCTTGTCATTAAAACCGATAAGCGCGGGAGACCGGGGTTCGATTCCCCGAGGGAGAGATTTCTTTTTTTTGATTTCTTTTTTTTATTATGGCAATAGTGATTATTATTAAGGGGTCATCTTTTTTTCAATGGTTCTTTATGCCTGCTTTTTATAGCAATTCATACCTCTGATCACCGAACATCTTATATTTTACATATGGAGAATGAAGGGCAGATGATATCGTATACTCGAGTGCTTGTATAGCAGAAGAGGCCATGCAAACGAAAAACAAAACAATATAACTGCAAGGGGAATAGAAGTAGACAATAAAAACAATCACGTAGAGATCAGAGTCTGGATATACACGGACATGCTTAAGGTGTTCCTGCCACCACTGCCAAATTTGGGCTCTTTCCCAGTTCCCCCAAACCCAAGACAGATCAACTTTCCTCTCATCTCTGAAACCAACCCTTTCCATTCCAGTGTCTTTTTTATCCGTGATTATCTTACATGCTCAAAAATAAGCTCTGACTCTTATTCGGATGTCCCTCCCGCAGGTAAAGCCTGAGTACATCTCAAAGTAACCAGCCACTATGGCGTTCTGGGTGGACTGGGAGCTATGGGAGAAGCTGAGCGTGGTAAGTATACAACTTATAATCACCGGGAACCATTGCTAACCGTTGTGATTGACAGGTACTGGCTATGCTGATCGTATGTGACTACATGGTAACGCCAAAAACACACCGACTGACAAGCCTCGCAGGGCCTGGTGCTCCTTTATGCCTTTTGCGTCCTCGGCTGGAACCGCTGGATGATGAGTAAATATGCCGCGGCAGAGGCTAAACAACGAGAACATGAAGCAGAGGTGTACCCGATGCTGCATAAGGATGACATCCCTTTCGGTGCCAGAGCCTTGGAAAGAGGAGTAGAAGTTGAAGGAATCTGGGTTTCAGATCCCAACACACCCATGCAAAGTCCATGTCAGCCTGCAACTCCAGCCGGAAGTCGACCAGTCAGTCCAGCCCTAAGGTCGCTGCATAAAACTATTGATACCCCCAGGTCCTCGGTGGGATCTCAGAGTTCCATGATCAGTCCAAAGCCCATACCGCCGGCTGCTCGACGGGCAGTTGTTTCCGAGCTCGACCTAGCTTCCGCAGGCTTCACCTATGAGACACAAAGACCCAGTGCACTTTATAGTCGAGCCAGTCTGCCCATCGCCCAAAATGCCATGCGCATGTCACCTGCACAGGAGGAGGCACTGGTCGGCATGAAGGACACGACAGTTAGCGAAAAGCGTGCTAGCTTCCCTACGCGACTATTCGGCACAACATCTAATCTCGACACGAAGCACTACCGAGTAGGATTGGATGGCACCAATGATGACATGGATAATGTCCCGGCCATGAGCTCGTCGTCTTCTGGTATTTCATCGGAGACCAAGCGGTCCTCACAATCCACGAGTAAGTCAAACTTGCCATGATTTGGGGATGGAATAGAGACACTAATACGACTTATTCATAGAGCGTCCTCGCCGGCGATCATCCGAAGAATTCCGACGCAGAATGAGTCAGATATTCAACGATAATATCCAAATGGGGGTGCCAGCCGAACAACTGGAGTTCAATCCGGCTCTGCGTCAGTACCAGAGACGGTTCCGGAAGTCGATGCTTCGTCCTTTTCGTCCGTGGGCTAACTCTCCTGTAAATGAATCGTAGGGAGACACGGTTCACAAGAGGTCATTGTCTCGCAAGGAAACCGAATTTATCAGAATAAACCTCGGAGGACCTTCAACACCTGCTTTTGCTCAGACATCTAGCACTGATTTTGACTTGGCGTTGCGGCAGCTCATGGGCAGTTTTCCAGCACTTGGTTTTCCATGGCTCAAAAGAAACTTGAGAGGATATGTTTTAATGGACGGATGGACAGATGGGGCCTCAGCATGCAGTTCATTGCAGGATTTGTATTCTTACCTCTTTTATTATTGCATATTGAACCATTGCCATCCGATTCACCAGGTGTACAGTAACTGATCCACTCCATGAACATACTTCCTGACCACTTAAGCATAAGATAGCATAAGAAAAACCAAGTAAATGCATATATGACAAGTTTGATCTTCCAGAACCGGAAAGGCTCAAGACAGCACCGCCCCACGTGATCTCGCGATCCATTTGACGCGTCCAATTTGTTGACTCCGAGTCATCCTGAGATTTTTGCCACAAACAGACAATCCAGACTTTTCAAAATTTGCATGACCGGAGACTGCCTGCTTGTTTACTGATTACTTGAAATTCGTGGCTTTTTTTAGCATTTAAATAGAGGAAATCGAGTACTCATCTCACCCCGATCGCGTCTTTTCGAGTGGATACATCATCCGTGCTTTCGAGTCGAGACACCCTGCCAAAAGAGGCATCAAGATCCTGATAACGCCAAGAAACGAGGGATATCGCTGCTATTATGGAGGGAGAAGAGCAATTCGATGACAGTGGGCTTCCGGGTCCTGGTGCCCCCACCCCGCTTGCTGCGCTCGATGTGAGTGAATGGCACCGCAATACGCTTTCGCTGCAGAATGTTGGACTTGAATACTAAATTTGGTTTGATAGGGTGTTTCGGGCTTGACTGCTAGGGATATCAAGTTGTTCGTTGATGCAGGGTATCACACTGTCGAGTCCATCGCCTACACGTATGTATCCATGATCTTCACGTCATCTCAATGTGGCTAATCCCCACTGTTGTTTTTAGGCCCAAGCGGCTGTTGGAACAGATCAAGGGTATTTCGGAACAAAAGGCCACCAAGATCCTAGTAGAAGGTAAGTTCTCTTCTGCGACTGATACAGCTCTGCATTGGAGATTGTTTCGCTAATGTAAACTTGCTGATTAGCTTCAAAACTGGTGCCTATGGGATTCACCACGGCAACCGAAATGCATGCCCGGAGAAGCGAGCTCATCTCAATCACAACGGGATCCAAGCGACTTGACACATTGCTTGGAGGTGGTATTGAAACGGGGTCGATCACGGAGATTTTCGGAGAGTTCAGAACAGGAAAGAGTCAGATTTGTCACACTCTTGCGGTGACCTGTCAGCTACCTTTTGATATGGGCGGCGGCGAGGGCAAGTGTCTGTACATCGATACAGAGGGGACTTTCCGTCCAGTGCGGCTGCTTGCGGTCGCGCAGCGATACGGTCTCGTTGGCGAGGAGGTCCTTGATAATGTGGCATACGCACGAGCATATAACTCGGATCATCAGCTCCAGTTGCTTAACCAGGCCTCTCAGATGATGTGTGAGACGCGGTTCTCTCTCCTGGTGGTTGACTCAGCGACATCTTTGTACCGAACAGATTTCAACGGTCGTGGTGAGCTTGCCTCACGGCAGAGCCATTTGGCTAAGTTCATGCGTACCTTGCAACGTCTTGCAGATGAATTTGGCATTGCAGTCGTGATCACGAATCAGGTTGTTGCTCAAGTCGATGGTGGCCCCAGTGCCATGTTTAACCCAGATCCCAAGAAGCCTATTGGTGGTAATATCATTGCTCATGCCAGTACCACTCGACTCAGTTTGAAGAAGGGCCGTGGTGAGACTCGAATTTGCAAGATTTATGACAGCCCTTGCCTTCCGGAGAGTGATTGCCTTTTCGCTATCAATGATAATGGTATCGGTGATCCCAGTGAGAAAGATTTAGAAGATAAGTGATTCGACCTTTCTCAAGGTTGTGCTCTGTTCTGCGACACGATGTTATTGACTTGATGAGCATTACATTCAAGCTGTTGATGTGGTTAGACGCCCCGTGGCATCTCAGCGTTGAGGATCTTTTTTTTTGACAATAGCGAATTTAGAAAGCAAATTTTCTCTTTATTCTTATGTTTCGAAAAGAGAGCAGTTGAACATTGATATTAATAGAGTAAAACATGCCCAAACGTAAGTCTAAGAGTAAACGTCGAGGCAGCCATCAATCTCAGGCCTTTTATCGCGCCAAGACTTCTGTTTTTTGAGAGCTCCAGCTTCCCGCCGCCCTTCGATCTTCCTACCTTTTTACTTCCCCGGCCATGGAGTATTAAGTTGACACACGTCAATCGATCATGGCGAAAATTTACAAAGACTCAAGGGTCGACCTTCGGCCTTACTCGCCGACTACGGTCGCCAACATCCAGATTCCGACCCAAGACACCGCGGTCCGTCGTCCACGCTTTTCGATCTCATCCACATCCGACCAGGAACTCCCAATCGCCATAGATGAAGATGAATTCGCCAGGCGTCACCTTGCGACGCAGGGCGAAGTCTATTTCCGGAAGCGCAGAGTCTACCCGAGGACGTTCTTGTGGAGGGTCATCAATGACAACAAAGTGCTGGAGATCCAGTGCGCGGACCTGACGAAGGGTGGGACGGAAGTTTACGAATACAATGTGACCCTGCGACTGGATTTCCAGGAGCGAATTCTACCCTTTGGGGTTGAATTGTCAGACTCCGAGGATCACGAAATTATCAATGTCTTTGTGATCACCGAGTCTAAGCACCTTCACACCCTGTCTCTACGCCCTGAATTCTTCCGCCGGACCTCCTCAATCGATGAAAATGTGAGGGACTGGTGCAAGACTTGCCTCCCCGCCCCCCTGGCCTTTTCAAACCCTCACCGACTACACGCGAGCAGTCCCCTGGAGTTGTTTATTTCTCTCGATAGTGGCGCGCTGCTGCGGCTGACCCGGAGAGCTGGCGACGATGGTGAGTAGCTTTTCTCGGTCTTCCTACCTTTGCGACACTCGTTTTATTAATTGTTTCTGAATTAGGTTCCCACTGGTCTCCTCTCACCTTCGACGAACGAACATGGGGCTCTTCGATTCGAGGCCTTGTCAAATGGAACGCGCCCTCTTCGATCAAACACGACGGACGCAACCTCGATTTGAATGTCGCAAATGCTATTGCCACAACCTCCGACGAGACGTACGTTTTCGCGATTTGTTTGAACCACACTCTTAAGATTTGGAATCTCGCAACCAACAAGCTAGCGGCCACAAAGGATCTTTTGGGACGCTCGCTTCAAGATCCGGATCTCGTACCGTACACGCTGAACCCTGCCGAAACATCATTCATGCGCGTCTTCAACGCCGAACGAGCTATGGATGGTGGACATCGCTTCTATGTCGTCACATATTCGCCCTTTGAGGACGGCAAATTCAAGTTCTGGGCTGTCAAGGGTGGCCTGACATCCGAACTCATTATTGAGGAACTTTTCGCAGATGATGTCTTCCGACCTGTGGACCCAGATGCTACGGGTAACATGTTCTGGAGCATCGCTGATTTCCAGGTGAAATCCCGGGAAGAAGGCAAGGGAATGGAGTTGTGGGTGCTCTGGAGAAACCACGGTCTTTACCAACTCTACACCCTCCATTTCAACCTCCAAACTCTAGTTACGGATTGGGCCTCTAACTGGGTTTCGACAACATTTGAAACCCATCGACAAGAGCCGCCCCCACCTCTGGTCGTAGGTGATGTGGTGGACCCTACTGAAAAGTGGCTACAGTACCTCCTGCAGCCGAACCGATATCTGCCGGAAGTCCTTGAGACTGCTCTGGCCGTTTATCAGGAAGCCATCAAGCCGCTCTCGTCGACTTCATCCGGAGGGCTGAAAAAGAATTTGCCTTTGGCGGAAAGACTCTGCTCTACTATAGCAGCGGCAGTCTCTCTTCGGAAATTTGCTGATGATGAGATGGACTACTCCCGGTATACTTCAGATACAGACTCAAAGTGGCGTCAGTTCTGGCAAGTGGCAGAAGACCTTAACAAACGCCGGTTCGAACCAATTTCTCTCGCTTACGACTCATACACTGATATGCCGTGGCTTCTGCTATCAGACTCCTGCGCGGTGGTGCGGGAATGCAGCATTACTGAATTGTTCTTGCACAATTCCAGCTCCGAACTCAGGGATGGAGTGCCGAAGATGGTGGACCGCTGGAGGCATCGCAATGTTTCAAGAGAGCTGGGCCCTGATTTCGAAACAATCTCTGGATTGTTGAAAGTGGCATCTGATTTCCGGAAAAGATTCTCTCCAGAGCTTGATGCGGCGTGCCGAGCTGCTCTCCAGGCTGAAATCTTTTCTGAGCCTTCTTCGTCCATCATGGACCGCATGGAGAACTTCCGAGAGCGCTCTGACTTTGCCAATCAAATTTCCAACAAAGCCTTTGACACTCTAGACGCAGCCCTGAGTGAACACATGAGAACCGATTGCTTGTCCATGGACGCGTTCCTTGCCATTATCCATACCGCCTCCCTTCACTTCTGTGGAGAAGACTCAGAACTTGCTTCAACCTGTTTTGGCGCCCGAGTTCTTGTCAGCGGTGCGCAGGAGACTATTTCTATCTCTCGTCAAATCTTTTTCGACCTTCTAATCCTAGTCACATTCGTGGATGGCGAATGGGAACAAACAAACAAGTCCAACTTCGATGCGTCCGACCTTTTCTCAATGCTTGTTGATCTCCTACGTGAATATGAAATGATGGCCTGGCTCAGCTCGAATGTCCGCAAATGCCCCGGCAGCGCAAGCAAGTCCCGTGTCGACTCAATGCAGAGATATCCACTGAAGGATAGCTCGAAGGCCAGCGGCCAACGAACTGCAAGCATTCTCGAGGATTTGTTTGTTACCGACATCAAGCCCCAGCAAGCGATCGACTCACCACAAAGCTACACATTGACTTTGGGCATCAGAGATGTCGTAGCCTGGATTACTCGCGAAGGCGAGGTGAACTACCAGAACGCAGTGGCTCACATCCAGTGCGACCTGATCGCCAAGAACAACATTGACCTTGCATGGGACTTCCTTCGTTTCCAGGCAAGTACTTCTTGGTCAACGTATGTCAAGGGTCGCTTGCATGTGGCTATGTCGGAATTCGATACCGCAGCAATCTACTTCCGGAAGGCAGCTTATCTGCTCTGTACGTATCTCCTAGTGGTTTCTCGTGGTACAACCCAGCTAACCTAAATACAGCTTGCGGCAAGCCAATGGGCAACCTTTCCGACATGTCGGCTGAGCTTTTAGACCTCCTGGATGTTGACTGCTTCCACAACGGTCTTGCGAAATACTACCAGCACATTCTTTCAATCTTTGAAAAAGTGCGCTCATACTCCCATGTTGCGGACTTTGCCAGCCTGGCGCTGCAGGCCCTTGACTCTGAAGTTTGGGCTGAGCAAGACTCCGAATACCCGACCGTACGCGACGATCTGCTGTCTCGTCTGTTTACTGGAGCCCTCAAGACTTGCCAGTTTGACAAGGCATACTCCGCTCTGGCTAGGTTGCAGGATCTCAAACTACAAAGAACTGAACTTAGCGAACTCGTCTCCACCATTCTGGCAGTCTCCGGACCCGGTACTGCTGGTCTTAAGCAAATTCTCCGTTTCCCCACCTCACTCGTGCCCAATATCGCATCTTTCATTGATGAGATCCTCGTTCATCTGACCCGCAAACAGACGACAAGTGTAAGCTGGTTGGATGCAGAAAACAAAAATTTCCCTTCCACTCCCGACTACACCCGCATTCTTCAGGCCTATCGCATTGCCCGCAGTGACTACCGTGGAGCTGCCGAAATCGCCTACCGCAACGTCCAGCGCCTCCGCAAAGCACGAGATGCCCCGTCATCAGCTCTCATCCACAAGGCGGACGATGCAGCCCGGTCACCAGTTGAGGAAGACGATGCCGAAAGCAAGGAAATCCGCCACGAGTTGCTATCCTTAATCAACCTCCTCGCCTGTGTCGACAAGAGCGAAGCATACATCCTCGTCGAGAACGGACCTCCAATCAACGCCGCCCCAGCTCCTCAACACGAAAGACGCCCAAGCACACAAGCCGACGAAGATGGAAACGTCTCCATGGAGGACGCCGACCCCGACTCCCCCACACCACTCGGAGGAAAGCGCCGATCATCCAATGCCGTGGCTTTCGCACCCACACACCGCAGAGGAAGCAGCAAATCTTCCCCCATCGAACGGCGTAACAGCATTGTGTCCTTCGAAGTCCCTGCGACCAATAACTTGCTTAAGCGTCGTATCATTGTGACACTCGAGCACCTGCGTCGTGAGTTCCAGTCTGAGCTCGACCGCGTCAGCCGGATTGAGCGTGGAGACTGGGAATTCGGTCTTGATGAAGTGAAGGATGTGGATAATGATGAAACGATGGTTCTTTAGTTGGGCTCTCTGCGACTTATCTATTATTTTGCATTTCAGCCCTGGGGGTTCTCACGGCCCGAGTCGAATTTGATCTTTTGTTCCAATGTATGGTTGACATGGGTGTTTTCATTTCTTTTTGTTAGGGTAGTCCATAATCGGATGGGGTGCAACATAGGTTTTCGATTTTTTTTTTTTTTTCCTTTCTAGTATCGGTGGATAAGATGGTTAGAAATACTATTATTTGACTTGACTTGTTTTTCCATTCTAAAGACAGCATGGTGTCCTCAAATCAGAGTATTGTTATTTACGCCTTCCGCACCGGCCCATAAAGCCCAGAGCCTAACCCAACCCAACCCGCAAATGGGTTGGGTTTTGGGCCCGGGGTGAAAGCCTACTGGGCTTTAATGGGGGTCCAATGGGCCCTAAACAATACAAATATACCGAGCAATCTAAAGTTGAACCCCCCTTGTATTTTTTATAATTACCCTTTGTTTTGCCCCCGTTTCTAAACATTATCCCTAATGTAATATTATATTAGTTTGAATAATCTAGAATTGATTACTAGTTATTTCTCCAACTCACGTTTAAAAATATAAAAAAGCGCGTTATTTAGATATTTTATAGATTACAGAAGTTTATATAGTGGAAAGTAGTAGTACTCCCACACAAACCCAAAATATATATCTTACCAAAACATTAAGATTAATGGTATCTCGACTTCTACCAGTTAGATTTTGTTCAAAACTACAATATATGCTTATATAGCTGCTATCATTCTAGATTCTAGATTTGAACTTTATATACCCAGTGGAAGGTCGTAATACAGCGATTACAGAGGCCGCCTAGGATAGGCTTTAATGGGAGCCTTATGGGCCCCCACTGATGGGCTGTGGGTTGGGTCGGGTTTCGAAGGTAGGGCCCATAGCCCATTTATGGGCTTTGCGGAAGTCTAGAACTTACTACTCCGTAGTTATCTAGAACTACTGAGATACGCTGGAGTCTTTATTCTACTACGACGATAGTAATAGATATCCCGAGCGGTATTAAAGAGTCGTTTAACTCCTATGCTAGTTACTAGGAATAAGAGTATATCCCTCGCAAGGGCAGCAATAGCCGGAAAGCAAGCTCAATACTCTTTCTAGAAAGTGAGCGGTCTAATAGAAATAGTATCTATCTATATATTAGTATTGTTATAGTATATAGTCTATAGATTTACTTACCGTTATTAAGATATTAACTAATCAAGATGAAGCGTACGTATCGAGAGTCAAGAGTCATAAAGCGAGAGCTGAGTATGTCACTCCAAAATATTAGAGCATTGAAAGAGAATGAAGAAAGGCATAACATCATCATAGCAGAACAAAAAAGCAACTTGAACATAAAAAATAACAAGAATACCAATATATAACGCCAGCGACTAGGACAGGCCCTGAAAAAAAAAGCCAGTATGTTGTCTTTGATATGTACCTCGAAGAAGGGAATGTGGAGGATTATCACGCCAAAAGAAAATAACCAGACGCTCCAACCTGTGTAGGTGCAAAATCAATCAGACAACAGACCCAAAAACCTCAAGAAACAAAAACAAAAGAGAAATTAATCTGATTCCTCCGTCGCCATGGCACTTGCATAAAGTTTGCTGAAGTGCGACTTGGGCTCACAAAGAAGCACGTGAGGTGCCCCATTCTCAACGATGCGACCGGCGTCTAAGACGATGATACGGTCAAAGTCGAGAATTGTGTCAAGTTTGTGGGCCACTGCGATAATGGTGTGGTTGCAGAATTTCTCTCTGATAACGCGCTGCATAATTTCATCTGTTTTTGTGTCGATGCTGTTTCAAAAGTGGGTTAGTCCTAGTTCGCAGCAAGGGGTATATCGGTGTGTGGCTGAGTTCTATAGATCGCAAAAAAAATAAAGTGGTCGTGCTCGGATGAATTTCATGCAGGGGATTGTGACCAATAATTTTGGAGAGGGGAGGTGGGTCGACGCGAGGAGAGTAAAAGTGACTAGTAACTTACTTGCTAGTTGCTTCATCCAAAATGAGGATGTTGCCCGGGCGGAGGAGCGCGCGCGCAAGGCAGAAGAGTTGTTTTTGGCCGTGAGACAGGTGGATCTCATCGATGTCCGTGTCTAGATTGCCCTTTTCTTGGATCGCAGGGAGAAGCTGAACGCTCTTCAGAGCTGCCAAGATGTCTTGGTCGGTACGGCTGCCAGTTGGATCTGCGTTCAACCGGACGCTGCCTTGGAATAGGAGGGAGTCTTGTGATACACCGTTGATGCGCGAGCGGATTTCTCGTCGCGGGAGTCGAGTGATGTCAACTCCGTCCACGGTGATGGTGCCGCTAGTTAGTTCCATCATTCGGAAGATACTCATGATCATGGATGTTTTTCCACTGTTGGTTTTTGTTAGAATAGAGTTCATAGGAGATTGAATTGGAGATTGCTTTTCTTACCTTCCGGTGCGTCCGCAGATGCCAATTTTCTCACCTGCCTGAACAGTGAGAGAGACATTGTTGAGAACTGGCTCGGAGGGCCTGTAGGCTGCAGAGACGGAATTGAAGGCGACTGCACCCTTTGAGGGCCAGTTAGGGGGCACGTCTTGGTCTTCACCAGGCTTGTCTTCCGACTCGACAGTTGACGTAAAGTCCTTGATGCGCTGGATGGAACCGATATGTGTCTCCAAGTTGGTCCAGAAGGTAACCAGAAGCTTGATGCTCTGACTGAACTGGATAACATTCAATAGCGCAACACCAACGTAGCCTGCACTGAGGTCTGATCCACGCATAGCGACGACAAGCACGATAAGAAGAACAGCTATTCCTGCTACAACCATGTCCAGAGACAGAGTGAGCCAGCGCTGGATAGCAAACATGAAGTAAAACGGTCGTTGGGAGTGGTCTAGGAGAGCGATGTTCTTCTTCTCCATTTCATGTTGCCACCCAAAGGCCCGCAGAGTCACGAGTCCTTGAAGACAGTCGGTGAAGTTAGAGTACAGCGGAGCCTTGGCCTCGATATCCAAGTAACGGAGCTGGCGGGAGGTGCGCAGGTACATCTTCTGAATGAGGAACAAGATACCGAGCACGATCGGGAAGGAGATAGCTGCGTATTTTGAGGAGACCCCAATAAGAGCCATCTGTGCCAGACAGAGGAAGAATGTAGCAACAGTGTTGATCGCGGCGATAGGAAGCTCCATGTCGATGAGTTGCAAGTCTTGACTGAACCTGTTGAGGATGGAACCGCTGTCGGTAGAGGAAAAGAAAAGCATCGGAGCGGCAAGCACAGTCGTAAGCAGCTTGCGGTGGAAACTCTCGCCAGATTTTGGGACCATGGTGATGATCATTTGCCAGCAGCCGACAATCAGTGCCAGCATGGCGATACAGCCAAGCATCGCGTAGATACCGAGATAGTGGCCGAACTCCTGTTTGTGATGTTCGGTGTCGGACTGGGCCCACCATTTTACCCAGATGCTGGGGAATGAGATGCAGAACACGAAACCGGCCATAGCGACCATGAAGATAATCGCGGGGACCCATCCGATGGCGTCAATGTAGTATGTGTAAATTCCGAGATCGCCACCGCGATCGATATGTTGCGCTGGCTCTTCGATCACTGTCTCCTTTTCTTTCTGGATAGTGTCGATACTGCTGTAACTAGGAGAGTCGGAGAATCGCTTAGGCCTGTACTCCCAATCGGGAAAACCTAGTCCGAAGCTTGACACATATCCACCAGTCTTGTTCAGAGAAGCAAAGCTTCCCTGTTCAGAAATACGACCACCTGCCTCCAAGACAACGATGTGATCAGAGTAGGGAAGCCGTTTGACAGAAGATGAAGCGACGATCACTGAACATTCAATCTCTTTGAGGAGACCTCTGGGTCCGAAAAGACTATGGAAGATGTGATTCTCTGTTGTAGCGTCGAGACCGCTGAGAGCATCATCGAGGATCATGATCTTTCTCCGGGCATACACAGCTCGTGCAAGTGCAATACGTTGACTTTGGCCCCCACTGAGGGCGATCCCTTTGCTCCCAATAACAGCAGAATCTCCACGAGGGAACTGTGCGAGATCTTCTTGAAGAGCGCAAGCCTGAATCACTGAGGCATACCATTGAGGATCATAGTCAGACATTGCAACAATGCTGTCTTTAATGGTGCCATTCATGTGCCACGGGGTTTGATCACAGTATGCAACGCTGGGAGACGAGAGAGCAACCTTGCCGTCAGAACAGGTGATTTCTCCAAGGAGAGCCTTCAGCAAAGTAGACTTGCCGCATCCAGATGGCCCAATTATAACAGTGAAGCTGCCTTGAGGGATGGTGAGGGTAATGTCCTTAAGGATTGGATCCTTACCGGCTTCCCACCCAAAGCTTCCACTTTGGACAACGACAGCATTCGTAGAAGACAGAGCGCTAGAGCGCTTGAGCGACTCGACAGAGTCTGAGTTGATGGAAGAGGAAGACAGGTCAAGGTCTTTAGCTTTCGACAACGGACGCTTTTCAGCGAGATCATCGAGGGACAAAGTCTTCGAGGAACCATTTCTACGATCGGCGTGGTCTTCTTTGTCCAAGAACTGTTGAATACGCTGGAACGATCCAACCGAGCCAGCGAAAGACATGAGTGCCATAACCAGAGTCAAGAGAGGGTCTGCCAGAAGTGAGAATAGGGATAGAGATGTGAAAGCCCGAGAGACGCTCAAAGGCTCGCTTGAGGTACCGACATAAATACCGAAGGTAAAGATCGGGGCAAAAATCCGAGTCAACCAACCAAATGCCATGTTGTACACCAGAAGAGTACGGAACTTCTTGGAGATATCCAGCTCGCTGATCCGAAGACCATGAATGAAGCTCATGAAGGAATTCTGCAGGCCAAGCATTTTGACCCCCTTGATTGACCCAAGCATCCCAGAAGTGGAGGAAATGCGCTTCTCGATAGCTTCCAGCCACTGCGCCTGCCGTGCAACCACAAAGGACATGCCGACCAACGATCCAATCAAAGCAAACAGAGCGACGCAAACAGGGACGACACAGGAAATCCCAAGCTGAGTCTTCAGAAGGTAGATAGCTAAGGCAATCTCAACCGAGTTCGCCCAAATCTCATGCATGGTCTGCCATCCCTGTGTGATTCGTTCGACATCTGCGCTCATCAAAGTGAGCGAATTGGCGGGGTCGGTCTCGCCTAGGCTCAGACAGCTGGCTTTCTTGTATAGCATTGTCACAAGAACACCACGGACCATGGTAATCCCGCGGTATGTGAGATGTTGATATTGGCCCATTGAAACGGCCAGGCCGCCGTAAACCAGGATATAGGCGCCAATGAGTCCATATCCGATGTTTTGGGTACTCTTGTTGACCGGGGAATTGAAGAATGAGAGCGATCGCTCCAATAGCAAAGGCTGGCAGAAATTGAAGGCTACAACGCAAGCTCTAGCAGGAATACCTGCAAGAAGAGGCCATTTGACAACCTTCATTGACTCCCATTGGAGAGTGTTGGGCGACTTGGTTGTGACTACATAAATATTAGTAACGAGACACAAAAACTGCATATAGCTGCGAGAGAAAATTACCTTTGCTCCATTTTCCTTCAAATCGAGCCAGTAGGCGCTCAGAGCTCAGTTCTTTATCCAATAAAGAGAGATCATCTACACGCAGGATGCTGGTAAACCCGATCTTGAAAAGTGGGTTCAGCCACCAGAACACTGCACGGTTGTAGAAACCTGCAGTCGCTTCTGGCGGATACCCCGCGTATTCCACTTTGAGAATGTGTCTCTTCTCCACAGCCTCCAGGACGAATAGAACCAATTTCACACCCACCGCTACTGTAGCAACAATGGCAAGGGTGTCATTGAAGGTATCCACACTGCGTAGCCATAGCGTTCTCGCACGAGCGACATCGAAGAGCAAGCTGCAGGAGAGGTAGGCATTCAAAACAAAGGAGGGTCGCACAGAGCGCGTGTGCTCTGCATAAGAAAGCAGAGCGAGTGTGAGTGCGCCGATTGTGAGGAGCACATTAGCTGGAAGCGATGCCTTGGTACTGTCGGCTGCCGGAAGTGCCCATAAGGCTGTTTGTGCAATTTGAAGACCCAGTAGTGCAAACCAAGCTGCCTATTCAGAGACACCTATTAGATAACAGTATTCCAAAATTGAATGGCCCACCGATTGCGAAGAACAGGAGGGTTGGCGAGTTGCATCCCAAGTATAGAGAGTGAAATTATAGCAACATGGTCAACTTACAAGCTTGATGAAGACCAACCATGACCCCACAACTTTGGTTCGTTTTGGCAAGAGAGTCCATAGGCGGACAGGAATAATGATTAGCATTAATATAGTAGGTAAAATCTGGAGGATTGTCTCCTCAAACAAAAAAGAGAAGTCGAATCCTCCGCGACACGATCCAGCATCAATACGTAGAGTATTATCCAGATCGTGGCACGAAGACCCTGAATAGCGAGAGGATGTCATGTCTATCCTTGAACCACCTAGCGACACTAGCGACAGAAGATGGTTGAAGAAAAGAAAGACGCAAAACGAGCGGCACGGGGAATTAAGATTCAAAAGAGTGTATAGTTGAAAGAACGTGCATAACTTAGGGGAACTTGCGGCTTTTGGTCTAGATCATATGAATCAGAAGGTAACGTAAAAAAAGTCAGATTTACTACAACAACATAGATCATCACAGTAAAAGCTACATAGGGCTAAACAAAGTCCGTATCCATCTAGGCAGGAGTTCACCACATCTAGGAGAACTACAACACCGAGCTAACCCTTATTACGCTGTTACTGGCTGGCTGCATAAGAGTGGAACTGGCATATAACACTTGATGCAACCATTTTACAATGATATTACTGGCAATGCCCTGTGAGCTGAGCTAGACTCGGACTAGGTACTCCGTACGTATGGATCCATTCAGCTGCATCTATTTTGGTTTTCTGGTTATCATGTTATTTTTTTTCCATTTCTTTTTCCATTTTCTTATTACTATAAGACTCGCGAGATTGCACTGTGTTTTCATGACTCCACTTCAGTTATCAATATTGGTCCTGATTCTCAAGGTAAAATTGCGCATAGGTTAATCTTCCTCCCTTGGGGACGTGGGGAGGGGGTACAATCGGCATCAGATCTATTCGCCTTCGGAGGCAAGGAAACCTTGAGTAAGCCCCGAGCAACACGAGGGAGTTGTGTTACCTTGCAGGAATTTAATAATTAGAGTCCACTGACCTCCATTGAGTTGCGATCTCGGAACTTTTAGCGTGTATAGGCTATGTCCCGTGTTGAGTTAGGGCAAAGGAATAGCCTTCCCCTCATGTGAGGGTGAAAAAGCCTCGATCTGTATGATGGCAGATCAGCCGCTTTGGGTTTGAGACATTGTTTGTTGCTAATATATTTTAATTAATTTTAATTAATTTCTATTCTTATTCCCACTTTACTACAAAACTTACAATATAGTATATATATATATGGAGTACATATATACACACATATATATCAAACTCTGCTTGACCGCAGAAGCTGAAGTCAGACACGGTGAAGCATATCGGTTGAATCTTCTACATTCGGAGAGAAAAAAAAAAACACGAGATATAGATCCCAACCGGTTTTTGCGAATGCTCGTCATGATTATAATTGTTCCAAAACCGGATCTCCAACTCCATAAGCCCTGCCATGGCGTTTTTTTCTTTTTTTCTTTTTTTCTGCTTCTACTGACTCGGTAGTGGCGGCAGGGTAGAACTTCGACTCGTCCGGGCCAATCGTTCTTTTTTCCTCAACTATGTACTAAAGTTGGGCCCATGGCCCACATTGAATCCTTCCGGAGTTTCGGCTGTCATTGACATTCCAGATTTTGATTCAGCCTGACTAACCTGAAATGCTGCATATCCTAGGAGACGTGGTGGTTCGCGTGGCGCTGGGGGCAATGCGCATCGGGATCTGTACCTACAGCTGCAGTGCCTGATGAACAAACGTCCCCGATATACCGAACTGACCAGGGTAGGCCGGGTTTTGCTTTTCCCCTTGTCGAAGCGTGGTTGATGGGTGGCAAAGCCCGTGCCTAGTACTTCCCCACTGATGTACATTGGTGCTCACATGTGCAGTAGATTCCAAATAATCCTGCGACGGAGAGACATTTCCGTATTTGTACCCCCCACGTATGTTAAGACTTATGTTTACGTATGTATATAAAAGTTATTTTTCGAGGTATTCTTCTTCCCCTTTATAATTTTGGGGCTCAAAGCGTGCAGGAATTCATAAGATCTATCTGACAATGAGATTCACCTGTCAAAACTTTCCTTTGTCTAGTTCACAATCGACGCGGGAGCTAGGGTTGGCCCGCCATAAGCAACTAGTCTACGTAGCTTTTACTCCTTTCGATTCCCAACACTAATTTCGGCCCTCTCCCGTGTAGATCTTCGGACAAACCCGTTCTTATTGGTACATTGTACGTGTAGTTCGCTTCGTGTCTTGACTAGTGAGAATAGTGGCAACACAAATGTACGGTCCAGATCATCTTGCTTATACGAGAACGGTAAGTTCAAGAAGAATGAAAAAAAAAGGAAAGGAAAGGAAAACGTGATGAAGCAGAGGGGGAAAAAAAAGCAAATGCATATTATGCACACCACATGAATCTATGTTTTTGACGGATAATATACAGTGCGATCGGGGGAACTCGCTTATTTCCCCTTTTCGTCGCTTTTTGTTTCTTTTTGCTTTTTTTTAATTTATACTCATATTCCTCTTGATTGGGTTACTCAGGTATTGAATGTGTTGTGAATGTTACTAGTGAATATAAAAATACACGCCAAGTCGACAGGTCGCGGGATTCGGTTACGCCCGCATCTACGCCCACATCCACGCCCATATCCCTTGAAGACCCTTGCAGAAGCCATCATTAGTGGCTGATTTCATGACTTACACATCAGGAACACATCAGATTACGTCAATTTTCTCCGTATGTCTTGGAAAATTTCCAGGGACTGGCTCAAATTTCAGTCTGGGATCGAGGCGCCGGTGGCTTACAGCATCAAGTAATATTTCACTTCAAACCAAGTATTCCTGCGATGCTAGTCATATCTACCCTTGTATATTCGCATTTATAGACCGGAAGATCCGAAATACTAAGAGGATCACCTCAGCTCGGGCATTGCCCCCAAATAATCAGGTTTTCGATGTTTTTTTTTTCTTGATTCCCATCACGGCACAGAAACTTCAAACTTTCTCAAAAGGCACTCGAGACACGAGGGTATCTGACTCTGGTAAGTTGACTTTATGATCATGATCACTGATCACTGGGAAAAGGATCGACACATCCGATGACACCCTCGCTGCGGTAGTGCCTGAACTGCGCGGCAAATATTTGACCCGTTCTCGCTCGCCACACCTTACTCATGCAAGACCTAGTTCAAGGTTGGATAACCGTGCCACGCGCATCTACCGTCAGAACCCCCAGAGTAGAGGTGAACATGGAGCAAGTAGTCTGGGGTCGGCGCCATGTGCGCATCAGTCGGTGTGCATCGTAAACGATAACCGCCTCACGAGGCTCGTATGCCTGCGCCCCAGATGCGTTGGAAAAGCAAGAGCATATATCCGCAGGATGAGGTGAGGGTATTGGGTATGTCCGATTTGGGAATATGTACCTGTTCTCCAGCTCTAAGCGAGCTTGACACGGACAACACCGCTAGTAACGTCAGCATTGAAACCCCGTAAGCCTGAGGGGGAAAAAAACAATCCCGTACGGAGTAGACGATAACGCCATCTAATTTCAATATGACTCGGGGGGAAAACGCCACACTACCCCGACGCCTTGCTGCAAATCTCTACACCCACGTTCCAGAATGCAAGGGTTCCTGATCGGAAGAACTGCAGGTTCTCGCTTGGAACAGCTATATGGAGTACAGAGGGGGGGAAAGAGAGAGTAGTGACCATTCCCCTGCATGGTTACCTTCTAGTGTTAGTTCAAGTTGGTCATTTTTCAAAGGGTTACATTGGTTGAAAGTAGATATAGAAATTCTCTCTCGGAAAAAAAAAAAAAAGAAAAGAAAAAGACTGACAAGTGTATAACCCGGTTCCACAGAGGGGCCAGGTAAAAGTACACCTGATCCACATAGTGTCTCTCTCTCTCCCTTTCATCTAGATCCCATGCAAGGAAGATGAGCATTTGCCATCTAAGCCCATTGGCGTCCTATTACTGGATATGCTGGAGAGCGTGGCCATGCAGTCTTAGGCCGACGGACATAGCTCTTTTCGAAGTCTCAAGAAAATAATACTCAATACTTTTTTTTAGAATAAAAAAAAAATAATTAATTGTACCTAGTTCTTTCAAATAACCGAGACTATCCCAGTTCGCGAGCGCTCAAGTGAAGTCACTGCTGAATTAATATTGTCGTTCATTTTCCATACCCCAGGCTCACATACATACCATTCTCTCTCCATCGACCGGAAAATCGAAACGAACACCAAATAGAAGACAGCACGGAAATATCCGGTCATTAGACGCCATGGCTCAATCCACCAAGTGCTATCTCCCACGGTTCGCTTCCACGGTTGACGGGCCTAAACGCCCGGTTTCAATGAAGACGAGACCGACGCCTGCTCAGCATGCGCAGTTATTAACCGCATGGAACGAAGGCCGTTTGGACCCAATCCTACGAGCGACTTGGGCTCTCTTGTTGCATTACTACATCCGCTCCGAGGATATATGCTTCGGTTACCAACATCTCGAGGGCGAATCCCGCTCCTCTGAGCCATCTGTACAGCGTTTTACGGGCGTCAACATTTCGACGATCCGCATATCCATCAACGAAAATGACTCTCTCACAGCAATTGTAGATAAAATGCGGGCAAATAGTGTGAATCACCAGCTCAATGGAAGCTCGGACACTTCTCAGGCATATCTGCCTTTCAACACCATCTTCATGCTGCGCACATACGGCCCGCCTGCTTCTTCAAAACCTATCCTGACGACAGCTCTTCCAGATGAGGTGAGTTTATTCAAGCACAGATAGCCAATGGGTTTTCCTTCAGACAAGAACGAAGTTCACTAACAATGCGCAGTGTCAAGTCCGTCTTCATGTGAAGGTCCTGCGTGGAGACATCAGCATCTTCCTTGAATGGCGCAAGGGTGACATGTCTGGGGAACATATGAAGGGCGTCGCAAACATTTTCGAGCAATTGCTTGCCAAAGTCCTTTCTGCTGAGAACACCGCTATTAGCCAGCTTAATTTGTTCTCAGAGAACGACTGGCAACGCATCCGCAAGTGGAACATCACTGTTCCGAAGCTTCACGATCGTTGCATTCACGAAGCCATTCACGATCAGATGTTGGCCGGACCTGATCGTGAGGCTGTGTGTGCTTGGGATGGAAGTTTGACCTTCGCTGAGTTGGACCACCAAGCATCGAAGCTTGCATGCTATCTTCGCATGCAGGGAGTCGGGCCAGAAATACGCGTGGCTTTGTGTTTCGATAAATCTGTGAGTGAAACTATTATTATGAGTGATTTTCTAGAATTAAGTTGTGTATACTGACTTTACAGAAATGGAACATCGTTGCAATGCTTGGCGTGATGAAAGCCGGGGGAGCCTTCGTCCCATTGGACCCGACTCACCCAACCTCCCGACTACAATCTCTAATCCAATCGGTTCAGGCACCGATTGTGTTGTGCTCCCAGCATCTTGCCGAAAAATTACGCCCTATCGTGAAGACTTTAATACCCCTCTGTGATAGTACTTTGGATCCTCTGTCTGACCCCGCGGACAGTGTCAATCTTGCATCGGGTGTGACAAGTCAGAATGCGGCATATGTTCTATTTACATCGGGATCAACAGGAGAACCTAAGGTTAGTATTTTCTAATTAAGATGATGCATATTTTGCTGCAGTAATATCTGACTTAAGCTGACTCGTATTTTGCAGGGAACCCTGCTGGAACACCGCGCGTTTCTTTCCGGGGCTATGGCGCATGGTCCCGGTCTGCATATTGACCGCGAGTCGCGATGCCTCCAATTTGCCGCCCACACATTCGACGCCAGCTTGGCTGAATCGTTGACGCCACTCATACATGGTGCATGTGTGTGTATTCCTAGCGAAGAGGCTCGCCTGAACGATATTGTGACCACAATCAACGAGATGCGAGTCACGCAAGCCTGCTTCACGCCATCATTCGTCGGCTTTATTGAAATTGAGAGTGTCCCAGGACTGGAGAGTTTGGTCCTGGCCGGGGAGGCAATGTCGCAATCGCAGCTAGCCACTTGGTCCAAAATCAAACTGGTCAATGGTTACGGACCTACCGAGGCCAGTGTGGCCTCCGTGCTCAATTCTAATGTCACACCTGACACCGATTGTAAAGATATCGGACTGCCTATTGGTGTGAGAACTTGGATTGTGAACCCTGATAATCACGATGAACTGGTTCCCGTGGGCTGCCCTGGAGAATTACTTTTGGAAGGTCCACCCCTGGCCCGGTGCTACGTGAATAATCCCCAAAAGACAAACGAATCGTTCATCTTCGACCCTGCTTGGACTACATTGGACCCTGAAAACCGCCAGAATCGTAGATTTTACAAGACAGGTGATCTGGTCAGGTACAACTCCGACACGGGTGCCCTGAATTACATCGGTCGGAAAGATACGCAGGTCAAGGTTCACGGACAACGAATCGAGCTCGGCGAGATCGAGAACCAGCTCAGCAAAGATTTGAACGTCACTCATTGTTCTGTGCTCTTCCCCAAGATTGGATTTTCCAAGGGAAGGCTAGCGGCAATTGTTTCTTCCACCGGATTGCTTGCAGAACAGTCCGATTCGGACTTGGAGCCTCTACGACTCATCTCCGCCTCGAAAAAGGCTGAGCTTGTGCCAGGCATCCGAGAGCGCCTGTCGGCTCGTCTCCCCACTTACATGGTCCCTGCGGTTTGGTTGTGTGTTGAAGCTCTGCCACTTCTGCCATCAGGGAAACTAGACCGCAAGGGCATTTCCATTTGGGTCGCAAATATGGAAAGTGATCCAGATCTTCAGAACAATGCCTCTGTTGCAATCGCTGGCACAGAGGCCACGCAGCCTGCCAATGACAGAGAAGAAGCTTTAGCTGCTGTATATAGCCGTGTGCTCAACATCCCCCTGAACCAGCTCAATTTGAACGAGAGCTTCCTCGCCCTGGGCGGAGATTCGATTGCAGCTATGACATGTATCGGTCTCTGCAAGAAGCGAGGGTTTTCCCTTTCTGTACAGGAGCTGCTGCGCAGCAAATCAATCCGGGAGCTTGCAACTCGCGCAAAGACAATTGATCACCTCACGACTTACGAAGAAGCTATTGATGAACCATTTAGCCTGTCGCCAATTCAGATCCTTCACTTTGGTGTACGCAAGGAAGGCCAGGGTCACTTCAACCAAGGAATCCTCACCCGCTTGAACAAACCCCTGGATGAACGAGGCCTCCGCAGCGCCGTCAAAATCTTGGTATCTCGGCACTCCATGCTCCGCGCGCGATTTACCGACACTGGATTCGGGACTGCATCAAGTCAACATATCACTCGCGATATAAAAGGGTCCTACAGATGGCGGATGCATACTGTTAGAAGCATGGACGAGGTCAAGTCTCATGTTGCCGACAGCCAATCTTCAATCAACTGCTTCTCTGGGCCGTTGCTTGCGGTCGATTATTTCCTGGTGAAGGGCCAGCCTAATGTCTTGTCAATGACAGCTCACCACTTGGTTGTTGACATTGTCTCGTGGAGAATTATTCTGGAAGATTTGGAAGATATTATCTTAAACCCTGAGAAGACGACAGCAAGTGATGGCTCCTTGCCTTTCCAGACTTGGTGCCGCCTTCAGAATGAGCACTGTGACACCCTCCGGGCCGAACAAAAAGTTGCAACCGATGCTCTCGCTGCGCCCGATTTTGAGTACTGGGGCCTCAAAGATACTCAGACCACATATGGTGATGTGGATTGTGCCTCGTTTGAGCTTGACCCAGCCCACACGAATGCCATTCTTCTGGAATGTCACAAAGCTCTTAGCACCGAGCCAATTGACCTCTTTTTAGCAGCAATGCTCCACTCATTTGGCCGAGCCTTTCCCGATCGTTCTCTTCCAACGATCTACAATGAAGGCCATGGACGAGAAGTCTGGGACCCGTCCATTGATATTTCGCATACGGTCGGCTGGTTCACCATTCTGCACCCAATATTCGTCTCCGCATACAAGTTAGACAATCCTATCGATACCCTCATCCAAGTGAAGGATCTTCGCCGCCGTGTCTCGGACAATGGTCGCGCAGATTTTACCAGTCGCGTTCTACCAGCCCAGGGCAATCAAGGATCCGCGCACCCGCATCCCTTTGAGATGTCATTCAACTATGTTGGTCAGCATCGAGATCTACAAAGGAAGGATGGTCTCTTCCAGCTTGTTGATCAGATGGCCGGAGAAGCTGGCCAAGGAGGCGGTGCGGCTGACTTTGGAACCGATACTCCCCGCTTCGGTCTGTTCGAGATCTCTGCAATGGTGGTAGCTGGAAAGGTTAGGTTCAATTTCTCCTTCAACAAATTCATGCAGCACCAGAATCGTATTCACCGATGGGTTTCTGAATGCCAAGGGCTGCTTGTATCTCTCGCTGAGCAGCTTCCTACCCTCGCACCGCGTTTGACTCTGAGCTCATTCCCCATGCTGTCATTGACCTACGCTTCCCTGGACAAGTTGCTCAATGAGAAGCTCCCTGCCATGGGAATCGAGTCCTCAGACCTTGTCGAGGATATCTACCCTTGCTCTCGTATGCAGCAGGGTATCCTCCTTGGTCGTAAGAGAGATAGCTCCTACTATGCTGTCCATGACACTTTTGAAATTCAGGCCACGGGGTCTAGCAAGCCAAACCTTGATCGTTTGATTAATGCATGGCAGTCGCTAGTTTCTCATCATGCGATGTTCCGCACGATATTTGTTGAGAATCTCACTCCTAGGGACCCCTTCTGCCAGGTCGTTCTCAAGACTTATGATGCTACTCCTATCACCTTGCAGTCTCCATCTGACCGCGATGTGCTTGCCACCTTTGACAAGCAAGAACCCAAGGACTACAGCAAGCTTGAACCAGCGTATCGCTTCACTATTTGCCAGACACCGACCGGCAGACTGTTCGCCCGTATTGAGCTCAGTCACGCGGCGATGGACGGTAACTCGATCTCAATCATTTTCCGTGACCTACAGCTCGCATACGCTGGCAGACTCGAGGAAATCCCCCAGCCTCTGTTCAAGGATTATATGCAGTACCTGGAGAATTCGCCGAAGGAAGCCAGCATTCGTTACTGGCGTTCGTACTTGGATCAAGCTAAGCCGTGCCACTTCCCAGCCCTCACTGACGGCCAACAATCCCCCAAGGAGCTTCGATCCATTCCGGTCAACTTTGAAGCCCTCAACGAACTCCAAAGTGTTTGTGAGAACCGAGGAATCACTCTAGCAAATGTCTTCAACGCCGCGTGGGGGCTCACCCTCCGCGCCTTTTGTGGATCCGACGATGTGTCTTTCAGCTATATGGCATCTTTGCGTGACGTATCGGCTGATGGAGTCCAATGGGTTATCGGACCGGTCATCAACCTTCTAATTTGCCGCATGAGGATTGCTGATCATGCGACACTTAGTGATGTGCTGCATCAAATCCAGAACGACTACATGGAAAGCCTTCCTTATCGTCACACTTCGCTCATTGACATTCAGCATGCTTTGAAGCTGTCCGACACTAATCTGTTCAATTCTGGTGTCTCCTATCGTCGGCTTCCCAGTTCCAAGGATGCTGTCCGCAGTGACATCGAGTGCGTCGAGGTTGGTTCAATCCACGATCCAGCTGAGTTCCCTGTTTTTATCAACATCGAGGCCATGGATACTACTGCTCGAATTGACCTCAATTACTGGACGACAAACATCTCTGATTCACAGGCTGTTAACGTGGCTAATACGTATTTGCGTTGCCTCGAGAACATTGTGTCAAACATCGACGGTGAAATCCGCCAGCTAGACAGCTTAAGCGATGATAACCGGGCGCAGATCATGGCGTGGAATAGCAAGTCCCCCAAGCCATTTGAGAAGTGCGCTCATCGTGTTGTCCAAGAGATGGCCAAGAAGCGCCCCGATGCGTTGGCTGTCACTGCTTGGGATGGAAGCTTGACTTACTCCAAGTTGGATCAGCTCTCCTCTCGCTTGGCAAGCTATCTTGTTACCTTCGGTGTTGGTCCTGGAACCCTTGTCCCGATCTGCTTCGAGAAGTCTGTGTGGAACATGGTGTCCACACTCGCAATCATGAAAGCAGGTGGTGGCTGTATTCCAGTCGACACACCTCAGAGCGTAGCTCTGGTTGAGAAATGGATTGTTGATAATGCCGTGCAAGTTGCCCTGGCCTCCCCAGAGAAGACTCAGTCCCTCGAGGATGCCGTACCATACGTCATCCCTGTCAGCGAGTCTCTTTTGGAGTACCTCGCAGACGAGACTCTCAACCCACTGGCACAACCATCCGACATTGCATACGTCGCGATGACTGCCGGTACCTCCGGCGCCGCGAAAAGTGTTGTCCTTGACCATTCAACTCTTATGACCCGAGCCGAGGCATTCGCTACCACTATGGCAATTGCCGAAGTCTCCAGGACTCTGCAGTTCGCACCTCACACATCCGATGCATTTATCCTCGAGGCATTTGGCACTTTCATGTGGGGCGGTTGTCTTTGTATCCCGGCTGATATAGACCCTGTCAACTTGGCAACCTCTATCGCTTCGCTGCATGTCAATGTTGCTAGCATCACCCCGACAGCCGCAAGCTTCTTCTCCCCCAAGGATGTCCCGGGATTACGATCAATTGCCCTTGGAGGTGAGGTAGTTTCTCAGAGCGTTCTCGACCACTGGCAGACCGACGATCTCCAACTGCAGGTTCTGTATGGGACATCCGAGAGCTCAGCTGCTTGCTTCCACGTGTTCTGTTCTCAGGATGGAAACAAGGCTGCCCTCATTGGGAAGAGCACAACTTGTGTCCCATGGGTTGTTGATCCCTCCAACCACGATTGTCTTGTTCCGATCGGCAGTGTTGGAGAATTGGCACTCGAGGGGCCTGTTATTGCTCGGGGCTACCTCGACAACGAGTCCTTAGAGAGCCGCAAATTTTTCGATAAAGCTTCCTGGCTTTCTGACCAACCAGAGGGGCATAAGCGCTGCCTATTCAAGACTGGAGATCTCGTTCGATACAACTCCGATGGCTCCCTCGTTTTTATCGGCCGGAAGAATGATGAGAATGCATCCACCTGGGCCAGCGAGCTGATTCAGACTCAGGCGTGGGTTGATTCCTTCTTAGGTAACGAGAAGAAGTGTGTTGTGGAGAGCATCCAGGTGAAACATAACAATATGGAGACCAGTGCTCTTGTTGCTTTCGTGGTTTCTTCGGACACCAACCCAGTCACCTTTGAGGATCGGGTGCTCCAACCCGCCACTCCCGAGTTGAAGAAAGCTATCTCTAGCCTGCACGCTAGTTCGAGTACCGGTCTTCCTAGTAGCAAGGTTCCGAGTTTCTACATCCCCATCACCTCCCTCCCCTTAACAATTTCCGGAAAGCTAAACCGCCAGGCCCTTATAACCGAAACAAAAGCGCTTTCGAGCAGTGCCCTCGAAACGTATGATATTAAGCGTTGGAACGGATCCAAGGCTGGTAACCGAATCTCAAGGCACACCAGCCTCTCCGAAGCGAACGTCGCTTTCTGGAGGGAATATCTCACCGACGTTGAGCCCTGCATTTTCCCGGCGCTCTCTCATGAGGGAGCCGACAATGGCTGCTCCACCCGCACTCTCAACAAGCAGACAGCCAACATCCATGCTTTCGGCAGATTGTCTGGCATCCCGGTGGAAACGCTCTTCCAGTTTGCTTGGGCTGTTGTCCTCCGGTGGTACACTGGCTCAGACGATGTGTGCTTTGGGTATTTAACCTCGGCCTCGGACACGAAATTGGAGCCCGAAGGTATTGCCACACGCCGCTTCCTCGTGCAGAACGAGCAAAAGCTGCAAGAAACTCTCCATAAATCAAAGAAGGACTCCGAGAACAGTGCATTGAATTTTGCTGCCTTGGACGCAGTCAAACACCAGCTTGGACTCGATGATACAATACTTTTCAATACCTCGCTCAGTTATTATACGGCTTCCAACCTCCCCAAAGGAAGCACCCGTGAACCAACAAGCTCTAGTCCTTACAAGATTTTGGTTGAAGCTGAAGTCTCGCATTCATACGCCGAGGTCCATTTCCACTACTCCTCCGAAACCCTCTCCTCCTTCCAGGTCAATCATGTCATGGATATGTTCGATCATGTTTTGGACGATCTGGTAGCTCACAATCTCCATGATCGCACAGTTGGCGACATTGACATATTCCCCCAACGCTCAGTTCACCAAATCCGCGATTGGAATGCCACATCCCCCCCTAGAGTGGAGAAGTGTGCTGATGAGCTCATTCAGCAGCAGGCGCTGCTTCACCCTCGTGCAGAAGCCATTTGCTCTTGGGACAACAATTTCACTTATGGGCAGCTCGAGATTATCTCCAGTCGCCTAGCTCGCCATCTGTCTGGTATTGGAATCAAGCCTGAAGTCTTCGTCGTTTTGTGCTTCGAGAAGTCAGCTTGGGCTGTAGTTTCCCAGTTGGCTGTTCTCAAGGCGGGTGGAGCTTTCGTCTCCATTGACCCATCCCACCCCGATTCTCGACTGAAGATGCTCATCGATGAAATCGGCCCGAAGATTGTCTTGTGCTCATCTTCACTCCATTCCAAAGTTTCGCAACTCTGCGCAAAATCGTTCGCTGTTTGTCAGACTTCCATCTCTCAAATTACTGACTCGCCTTTGGCTTTGCCCGGTGTTCGTCCTACCCCGAACAATGCTGCATATGCTATCTTTACTTCTGGTACTACTGGAAAGCCGAAGGCGACTGTTGTCGAGCATACTGGTCTCAGCACCACTGCAATCGCCATGATTGATGCCCTGCACATGAACTCGGCAACACGTGCTTTGCAGTTCTCTAACTACACATTTGACGTCAGTATTCTCGAGATTATGATGGTTCTCATGACTGGTGGCTGCGTCTGTATCCCCAGCGAGGAGGAACGTATGAACAACATGGGTGGTGCTATCCGCCGTATGGAAGCCACCTCCATCACAGCACCTCCCGCAATTGTCAATACTCTAGAACCGAAGAATGTTCCCACCCTCAAGGTAATTATTACGGGCGGCGAGAAGATGCCCGCCAACCACATCGACCGCTGGGCAGACCGGTGCGTCATAAATGCCTATGGTCCCTCCGAGGCCACTGTCATTGCCACCATTGGTGTCAAGGTTGATTGGGATGGCAATCGTGTCAACGACGATCCCACATCCATTGGAACAGCTCCAAACTGCAGAGTCTGGATTGCTGATCCAAGCAACTCCGACCGTCTGCTGCCCATTGGCGCTGTCGGCGAATTGATCATTGAAGGAAGCAATATTGCCCGTGGATACCTTGCGAACGAGCAAAAGACGAAGGACTCTTTCTTCGAGAATCCTGCTTGGAACCATCACCCAAGCTTGCAGGGCGTGTTCAAGCGGAATGATCGCATGTACCGTACTGGTGACCTTGTTCGCTACAACAGCGATGGCAGTCTGGCCTTCATATCCCGCAAAGACACCCAGATCAAGTTCAATGGCCAGCGGATTGAGCTCGAGGAGATCGAACAACAATGTCTCCGCTGCCTACCCGAGGACTATCGGGTCGCTGTCGATGTCGTTGTGCCTGAGGAACGCACCATCGCCAAGGGCCTCGCTGCATTCTTCACCGTCCATGACCCAAATTCCGATGGGGGCAGCAGTGATCAATTCGCCCCCACCATCCCAGGAGCCGATCCACTGCTCCTACCCATCTCTATTTCTAATATGGATGCTATTCAAAAGTTGAAGGGCTCTCTCCCTGAGCTTCTGCCTCAAAGCATGATGCCCAGACTCTTTTTCCCTATCCGTAACTTACCCTTCACTTCCTCCGGGAAGATTGACCGCCGAAGACTGCGGGCCATGGTTCAGAGCTTGTCCAAGGAGACTCTCAAGTCCTACATTACCTTCGAAACCTCGGACAGAAAGGAGGCTTCCTCAGCTACTGACCTAGAGACCAAGCTTGTGACCCTGGTGGAAAAGACCCTCGAGCTCGAAGCCGGCTCTGTGACCGCTGATGATAGCTTCTTCGGTCTTGGTGGTGATTCATTGTCTGCCATGAACCTCGTCGGCGCTGCTCAGGCAGAAGGCATCGCACTTACCGTCTCGAGTATCTTCAACTCCCCAATCTTGATCGACATGGCCAAGAGCTGCGTCGTGTCTGATGGAGCCCCTGAAGTCAATAAAGAAAATGTGGAGGCGTTCTCCCTGCTGCCCTCTGGAGTTGATCTCGAAAGCCTGATAGATGAAGTAACCGACGACTGCGAAGTGTCCAAGGACCTTGTCGAGGATATCTATCCCTGCAGCGCTGTGCAGGAAGGTCTCCTGACCCTCTCGATTAAGCACCATGGTGCTTATGTTGCTCAGCCCTCGTTCCGACTTGCTGCTGGCATTGATGTCGCTAAATTCAAGCAAGCGTGGCAAGAAACCGTAGAAGACTTGGAAATTCTCCGCACTCGCATCGTCCACACCGAAGCTATGAATTTTGCTCAAGTTGTGGTGAAGGCTTCCCCAATCTCCTGGGTCGAAGTAGAGTCGTTCGATTCCCTGCCCAATGATACCCTTCACCTACCCAAGCAAAATGGAGCACCCCTGACTAGTTATGCAATTGTGCAGCCTCACGGGTCCTCTTCTAGCTATTTTGTGTGGTCCGTTCATCACGCCCTTTATGATGGCTGGAGTATTCCTTTGGTATTCCGCAAGGTTGAAGAGAACTACTTTGCTTCGCAGAACAAGCGCGCTGGAACCCCTTACAGCCTGTTCATCGACTACCTGGTCAAGAAGGATATGGATCAGTCTGACGCTTTCTGGAAGTCTTATCTCACTGACCTAGCGAGTACTCCTTTCCCGCATAACAAGAATACGGTACCCGATGCCATGCGTGCTGGCAACACCCAGCATCACAGTATGAAGATTTCCCGCACTCAAGACAGCGTCGACTTCACAATCGCCGTCCTCATGCGCGCTGCATGGGCAATTGTCATTGCGACTCACACTGCCTCTGGTGATGTATGTTTCGGCGAGACTTTGTCGGGCAGAAATATCGATCTTCCCGGTGTTGCAGATATTGCAGGTCCTGTTCTTACCACTGTCCCCACCCGAGTTCGGGTTGACAATGCCATGTCGACCATGGAGTACTTGCAGAAGATCCACCAGTCGACCACTGAGATGATCCCACACTTGCACTCTGGTCTTCAACGTATTCGACAGCTGAACAAGGATACCTCTACTGGCTGCGACTTCAAGAACTTGCTTGTAATCCAGCCAGGTGATGGCGAGCTCGATAACAAGATCTGGATTGACGAGAAACGTGGAACGAGCGAAGACTTCTTCACTCACCCCCTCGTCGTGGAATGTGGTGTCACCAAGACGAGCATCACTTTCACTGTTCACCACGATGAACTTGTCATCAATGGATGGCAGACCAAGCGCATTACCGAGCAATTTGCACATGTTCTCCAGCAGTTGATAACTATGCCTAAGAACAGTACGAGCAAGGTCGGAGATATGGAGGTGATCAGCCCAGAAGACAAAGCTGAAATCGGTTTATGGAACCAACGCACTCCGCTCACAGTGGAACGGACCGTTCAAGATTTCATTCGTGAGAAGTGCGAACAAACTCCGAACGCCCAGGCTGTGTGTGCCTGGGACGGTGACCTTACCTACAGAGAATTCTGGAAACTCGCATCGGACTTCGCCAACTACTTGGTCTCCCGCGGAGTTGGGCCAGAAGTATTCGTTCCAGTCTGTCTGGACAAGTCGGCTTGGGCTATGGTCACCCTCATCAGTGTTCTCATCGCCGGTGGTGGGTATGTACCTTTGGATCCCTCACACCCTACCTCCCGACATGAGGAGATTCTGGCAGACGTCGGTGCCAACATGATATTGTGCACTCCCAACTATACAAACCGCTACAGCCGAGTTGTGAAGACTGTGATCCCTATCAGCAAAGAGACCATCAAGGCCTATGGCTGCCTCAAGTCATCTGCTCGTCGCCGCACCGAAGTCAAACCCTCCAACATGGCCTATGCTCTATTCACATCCGGCAGCACTGGTCGAGCCAAGGGAATCATTGTTGAGCACCGCAACGTGGTCAGCAGTATCATGGCATTCGCACCGTGGGTCCGTATGGATGAAACATCGCGCGTATTCCAATTCGCCTCCCTCACTTTTGATGCTGCTGTTATGGAGACCCTCGCAATTCTCATGGTGGGAGGTACAATCTGTGTGCCCAGCGAGGACGACCGTCTAAACGATGTTGCTGGCGCAATCCGTCGGCTCAATGTTACTTGGACTTTCCTCACCCCCTCGATTGCAAGCATCATTGAGCCCACCTCTGTGCCTTCTCTGAAGCACCTTGTTTGTGGTGGAGAGAAGATGTCGAATGAAGTCATCACCAAGTGGGCCAATTCCGTTCACCTCATGAACGGGTACGGACCAACCGAAACCTGTGTCTTTGCTGTGGTCGATACTGCAGTGGCCACCAATCGTGATCCCGGGCGTATTGGTTACGGCATTCCCAGCACTCTGACCTGGATTGTTGACCCCGACAACCACGATCAGCTGACTCCCCTGGGCGCAGTCGGCGAGCTTGCACTTGAAGGTGCTCCTTTGGCCCGGGAATACCTTAAGAACCCTGAGAAAAATGCTGAAGCATTCACAACGGACCCTGCCTGGATAAAGGACTTCACGCCTGCGGTCCCGGGTCCCCGTCGAATCTACAAGACTGGCGATCTTTGCTACTACAACCCGGATGGTTCTATTCAGTACATCAGTCGCAAGGATCACCAGGTCAAGCTGCATGGCCAGCGAATGGAGCTTGGTGAGATTGAGCACCGCCTTTCTGAGGATACTCGTACCCGGCACGCTGTCGTGGTGCTCCCCAAGAATGGCCCGCTCAAGCAGCGCCTGGTCACTGTAATGTCTTTGAACAGTGTCGCAGCCGATACCAAGCTAATTTCCGACAAGCCTTGCGAGCTTGTTGATGAGGAAGAGCTTGAGCGTCATGCTTACAATGAGCTTGTCGAAGTCCAGAAGAATCTTGAGAACCAACTTCCCATTTATATGGTCCCCCAGACTTGGGCTCTCATCAAGAAACTTCCCATGCTCGTTTCTGGAAAGCTAGACCGGAAGAAGATCACCGCTTGGGTTGAAGATATTGATGATCTATCCTATGAGCGTATCATGGCGGACTATGATCGCATCAAGCGTGGTAAGACCGAAGAGAAGCCGCAAGAAAAGGAAGAGAAGAACGGATCGCTCACCATTGTCCGCGAAATCTTTGCGCAAGTGTTGAATATCCCCCAGCAGAAGGTCAATGTCGACCGCTCTTTTGTCAGCTTGGGTAAGTATCCCATCATCTCGAAATAGTGAGCGTACTAACCAGTTCTTACAGGCGGCGACAGCATTACTGGAATGGCTGTCATTTCTCGCGCTCGCAAGCAGGGACTTGTTCTAACACTACACGACATTTTGCAGAGCAGATCGGTGAAGGAACTTGCCCAGACTGCCAGTTCTAAGGCACCTGTCTCTCAGCGCGAAGAGAAGTCTGGTCAAGGCTTTGCGCTTTCGCCTGTCCAGAGACTCTACTTCCAGAGCTCCCAGTCCTTCAAGGGCGCCGCTCGCTTCAACCAGAGCATCACTGTTCGCATCGCCCGCCGCTGCGAGGGCGAGGTCCTCAAGCGCGCCCTCAAAGCCGTTATCAGCCAGCATGCCATGTTCCGCGCACGCTTCAGCAAAACTAGCGACGGCGCTTGGCAACAAAAAACCACAGCGGTAAGCTCACTACAAAATCCTAATCTAACATTTGCTCACTCGACCTCACAGGAGGTCGATGAATCATTCCGATTCCGCGTTCATTCTGTCTATGATACCCGGGCGATGATTCCAAAGGTTGCTGAGAGTCAAACTTGTCTGGATCCTCTGGATGGACCTATTCTGGCAGCCGACCTGTTCAATCTTCGCACCGGTGGTCAGGTCTTATTCCTAGTAGCTCACCATCTCTGCATTGACATGGTATCGTGGCGAATTGTGCTTCAAGACCTCGAAGAGCTCGTTGTTTCTGGATCTCTTTCACTCGAAAAGGCATTGTCCTTCCAAAGCTGGTGTGCTATGCAGACCGAAAGAACCAAGACGCATGATGCGACTATTACTCTGCCTTTCATCCCCGAGAAGCCGGACTTGCTGTACTGGGGCATGCAAGACTCGCCCAATGTGTATAGAGATATCAAGATGGAGTCCTTCACGTTGAGTGAAGGTACTACCAAGTTTATCCTTGAAGGCTGTCACAATGTCTTCCGAACTGACACCGTTGACATCTTGCTGTCTGCCATTATTCATTCCTTCGGTCGCACCTTCACTGATCGGAAGGTGCCGACTATTTACAACGAAGGACATGGTAGAGAACCTTGGGAAGCCGATATTGATCTTTCCAGAACAGTCGGCTGGTTTACTACCATGGCACCTTTGCTAGTGGATTCGGAGGCTCGTAAGTTTTCCAAGCCTTCACATCTTGCCGAAAGAAAACTAACGCAAGAAGGTGCCCTCAACGACATTATAAAGCGCGTCAAGGATACCAGACGCAAGATCGCAGACAATGGACGTCCATACTTTGCCAAAAGCCTACTCCAGAATCAGGCTGCTGATTTCCCTGTTCCGTTGGAAATCCTTTTCAACTATCTAGGTAAAATGCAGCAACTCGAGCGAGACGATTCGCTATTCCATCACTATGGTAGCGTGTTTGACAGCTCAGACTTCGCTGTCGCAGGTGACATGGGCCCTCAAACCGCTCGTTTCGCCCTCTTCGAAGTATCTGCCATTGTCATCAAAGACTGCCTCAATGTTGCCTTCACCTACAACCACAAAATGCAGCATGAGGGTTCAATCCGCCGCTGGATTCTCCAGTGCAAGCAGACTCTCGAGAAGGATATCCTCACACTGAAAACCGCTACCCCCGAGCCCACCCTCAGTGACTACCCTCTTCTCCCAATCAACTATCATGGTCTCCAGATCCTCACCAGTAATACATTCCGCAAAGCTGGTATTCGAAATAAGGAGGATGTCGAGGACATATATCCCTGCTCTCCGATGCAGGAGGGTCTCTTGCTCAGCCAGCTCCGCGATCCCAATGCTTATATGTTCCATACAGTTTTTGAGATCAAGGATGGCCAGTCTAGAAAGGTGGATGCCGAAGGAGTTGCTCGCGCCTGGCAAACTCTCGTCGACCGTCATCCTGTGCTGCGAACCATTTTCATCGACAGCAACTACACTGGAGGATCCTTCGATCAACTGGTGCTCAAGAATCTTTCTGGTAATATCCTCCGCGTGGAATGTCGCGACTCACAGGTCGAGGAGAAGCTAGCTGCTATCTCTCTTCGGGACCTGAACGCGATGCGTCAATCGAAGCTTTCTCACCAGATGACTGTCTGCAAAACAAACACCGGACGTGTGATATTGAAACTGGAGATCAACCATGCCATTATCGATGGTGGCTCGGTAGATGTACTCCTTCGCGACCTGACTCTCGCCTACGAGCGAAAGATTTCTGAGGGTTCAGGACCACGCTTCAGCGACTACATCAAGTTTATCAGAACCCAGAGCCAGAGTGATGCGCTCAGCCACTGGAAGCAATACCTGGGTGGAGTTCACCCATGTCACCTCGCTCCATCGGCTGTGTTCGGAGCAAAGAGAGAACTAAAGGGTGTAATGATGAACTTCCAGCGGTTCCCTGAACTGCTCAGGTTCTGCGAGCGCAGCTCTGTCACTCTCGCCAACCTGACCCTGTCCGCCTGGGCCATCGTCCTGCGACAATTTACTGGATCCGATGATGTTTGCTTTGGATATCTTTCTGCCGGTCGCGATGCCCCTGTCAATGGCATTCAGGATATGGTCGGAATCTTTATTAACATGCTTTGCTGTCGGGTCCAGTTCTCCGACCAGCAGACTTTGAAGGTCGTGTCCAAGAATGTTCAAGATGATTATATTCGATGCATTCCCCATCAAAGCTGCTCTCTGGCCAGCATCCAGCATGAGCTTGGTTGGCAGGGACAGTCCCTCTTCAACACTACCTTGTCAATCCAGAACCACTCCGTTGCGGGCGGCACCGAGGACAAGGGATTGTCCTTCAATCTTCAGCACGCACATGATCCGAGCGAGGTGAGTACCAGTTCTATCAATAATCCTTTCAACTGCTAACTAAATTCAGTATGCGGTCACTGTGAACGTTGAGATTGCCCGAGGTCAGGAGGGTGTTCTTTTGAGATATTGGAATGACATTGTGTCCGATGATGAGGCACAGGCTTTGGCTGACACTATTGCCAAAGTGTTTACTGGCTTTATTGAATCCCCGAGTGCGACTCTGTCACAGTCCACATTCATCGCTGAGGCAGAACCCGAGTCGGTCGATTGGGACAACTCCCAAACCACACTAGCTGAAAAGGCAAAGTCCACCGGCGATGCGATTGATAGCGCTGCTATTCAGAAAATTATTGATGATCGTGTTCATGAGATTATCGGCCGGATGTTGAGAGAAGGCAAACTGACGGTACCTCCCATCCGTACGGAAGGGCTGTCAAGCTTTGGCGGTCATATCGATGCCATAGCTGAATCACCGTACCAGTTAGGTATACAAGGAGGAGGTAATTTGGATATCCGTTCAGAGACTTCCCTTTCGAGTGAGGATGGGGTGTCGACCGAGGTGGAAAGGAAATTGTGGAATCTTTGGAGCACAGCTCTTGGGCTCTCACCAAACGCAGTGAGACACCAGGACAGCTTCTTCAAGTTGGGTGGTGACAGCATCACCGCTATGAAGATGGTCAGTGCCGCTCGCGAAGAGGGCCTGGTACTTACTGTTGCAGATGTCTTCAACAATCCTGTCTTTGAAGACATGCTGACTACTGTGCAAGCCGCGAATGTCACTCAGCAGATGCTGAACGTAGATCTCAAGTCTGGCGGCCACAAGGAGGTTGATAGTGATTTACTCAATATCACGTCCACGACATTGGGACTCAGCCCCTCTTCTGAGAGCCTCGAGATCCTTAAACCATCGTGCGTCGACGATGCCGCAGTGCAGAGCGGTATCTGTCCCAAAATTGGAGTCTTCAAGGGTGGCATCGCTGATGTTCTTCCTGTCACTGACTTCCAAGCAATGTCCCTGACGGCAACTCTCTTCAAGTCTCGATGGATGCTTAACTACTTCTATCTTGAGGGTAATGGTCCCCTGGACCTGAGACGCCTTCGCGAGAGTTGCTTGAAGGTTGTCGCTGCCTATGATATTTTGCGCACAGTCTTTGTGTGCTTCCATGACCAGTTCTTCCAGGTCGTGCTGCGCAAAATCCGTCCCAGCATCTTCGTTTACGAGACCGACCGAGCACTTGATGAATTCACTATGACCCTTCAACAGAGAGATCGCGAGTATGGGCCACGCGAAGGCGAGCAATACGTGCAGTTCTACGTTGTCAAGAAGAAGGGCAGCGACCAGCACCGCATCTTAGTCCGCCTTTCTCACACCCAGTACGATGGAGTGTGCCTACCCAAGATTATGGCTGCCATTAAGCACGGATATGAAGGCACCCCGCTCCCCCCAGTAACTCCATTCGCCGGCTACTTGCGACAGTTGCCAGGAACAATCACCCCAGACCATTACCGTCACTGGACCAATCTTCTCAAGGGCTCTCGCATGACCCAAGTCGTCCACAGAAAGGGCACTAGTATGTTCCAGAACGTTGGAGCATTCACCGAGATTCACAGAAAAATCGAGATCTCACCCACTGCCCTTGGAAATGTCACTATTGCAACTGTCATGCAAGCTGCCTGGGCTTTGGCCCTTGCCAAGATATCTGCTCAGTCCGATGTTGTCTTTGGTCTAACCATCAGTGGTCGCAACGCCACAGTGCCCGGTATTGAGAGCACTGTTGGCCCCTGCGTCAATGTCATCCCGGTGCGCGTGAAGCTCAACGAGAACTGGACCGGTGTCGATCTCTTCCGCTACCTCCAAGATCAGCAGATTTCCAACATGCCTTTCGAGTCTCTTGGCTTCCGCGAGATCATCAAGCAATGTACCGAGTGGCCCGACTGGACCTACTTTACTACCTCAGTCTTCCACCAGAACGTCGACTACGAGGGAACCATGGAGCTGGACAACAACAAGTACCGCATGGGTGGTGTTGGCGTCAATGATAACCTAGCCGATCTAACTATGGTCTCCCGTCCCTCCGGCGAACGTGACCTTGATGTCACTCTGGGCTACTCCGAAAAGGGACCTGTGATGCCATACTTCGCAACCAAGGTTCTCGACATGGCCTGTGAAATTGCACAGTCCCTCGTTGCCAACCCAACCGCCTCGCTGCCCTCCGCGAGCATGCTCCGCTCTCTGCCACCCCAGACAATCGATGACCTGCCCCGACCAACAGATGAGCACTTCCTCAGCGCCCACCTCAAATCGCGCTCCATTGCAGAGCTTCTTGTGCACTCGGACATTCTGTCTCGCTCGTGGCACCAGGTCCTGCCCAGCCGCACCACCACAGTCCGCGTCGACCCAGAAGCTGACAAGCCAGCCCACGAATCCACCTTCCAGTTGGACTCGTCCTTCTATGATCTTGGCGGCGACGTCTTCAACCTGGCCCAACTCACCTGGATTCTTGAACAAGAGGGTCTCAAGGTTCGTCTCGAGGATCTTATTGAACATCCCTCTTTCCTGGGACAAATGGCCGTTCTAGCTTTGCATAACGCCAAGCACCAGGACGATCTGCCAACAGAGCTTCTTGCTACCGGGGCTGCAGCGCCTAACTCTGTCTCCCGTGTTGAAAAGAAAAAGAGATGGGAGAAGGCGATGACCATAGCGCGAAGACTGACTGGGCGAAACAACGTAATCTCCAGTCGAGCTTGATACATTTCCAATGATGATCAAGCTTGAATCCGCGACGAAAAACAAAACAAGGCAAAAAAGGCAAAAACTGGTGTTGATCTCAAGAGGGAAAAAAAAAACGAAAATCCTCAAAAAAAAAAAAGTTCCCCTCCTTGGTCATTTCTTATGTCAGGATGTTTGGTTTTACGGGTTTGGCTTTTGGGCTTCATTGGATACATATGGCATACTCACTATATTCTCTCTTTACATCTTTCTTCCTGTCTACCCTGTTATTTTTGTGCTTGCTGCATCTTTGTTATACTCTAATACGCGGAAATTTGTCTATTGAATATTCTCCCCGTAGAAAAGTAGTGAAGTAGAACTTTTAGACTAGGTTCCAACACTTAGGCTAGGAAATAATGTGAGTCAATCTGAAATGCCTGAAATTCGGAGGGTATCATCAATGCAAGGGGTGGGCATGTGCGCATAACCCAGCTATTAGAAAAATGTATAAGAAAGTCGTAGAGAACAATTATTTCGCAGAACGTTAAACAGAGTCTCGCGACCACGTTCCACGCGCTCGGATCCGTTTCCCGTACTTGTAGAAAAGATATGGAATGGGGATGAGAGCAACAGAGATGAAGCCCAGTAAGCTAGCAGCCCAAGGAACACCAAGGTTATGGAACATGGCAGCAGTGAAGAGGGGGAAACAGCCGGCGAACATAGAGCGCAGGAAAGTGTTCGCAGCGATTGCGCTGGCGGAGTATCTTTGGAATGTATCGATGAGGTAGTTGAGGGCGGCCTGGAAGATCGTGAAAAAGCCGAAGCCCATCATGACAGCACCGATATTCGGGCAGATCCAGTGGATGTGTTTTGGGCTTGTCCAACCGAAGACAAACATACCGGCAGCAAAGAGTACAGAACCGATCATCATGGGTGGGAGACGAGCTTCAGGGACAGGGCGGTTGTTATTCGCTTTGAAGCGTTTTATGTAGAACTTCTGGTTCGCGAGGTTGATACCTCCGCCCATAAGAATGCCCACTAGATATGCGAGGAAAGGGAGGGCGCCGACGACTTGGTTCCAGCCGCGAATCTCCTGGAAGACGATTGGGAATGATGCTAGACTGAGATAGAGGATACCGTAGACGAATGATGCGTAGAGGGCGACGAGGAAGCAGATTGGAGTTGCGAGGAGTTGGAAGGGACGGACGAGGTACTTGTTTCCTATTTCTTTGAGGGTCACATCCCACTCTTCGTGGCGTGCATGGAGAGCCCAGTTGCCGCTTTCGAAGCGGAGGCGTTGCGCCTTGTAGACCAGCAGGACTGGTGGGTAACTCTCGTCGACGAAGAGGAGGTCCATGGTTAGGAAGAACATCATCATGATACCGGTGATCTATTAGATATTAGCATGCTTTCAACTTCAATCTCCGAGCATGGAAGACTCACGTATTCAGTCCAGCGCCATCCCAGATTGCTCTGGACGATGGCACCACCCGCGATAGGCCCGATGACAGGCCCGCCCACCACGGCCATGGCATAGCCGACAATGGCAGCTCCGCGCTCTTCGGCGGTCCAGATATCACTCAGGACTCCACCGGTGTTTGTAACAGGGGCAGAACCGAAAAAGCCCGTGAAGAATCTGGTGATCATAATAGTCTGGACATCTTTCGCTGTGGCTGTCGCGAATGAAAAGATTGCAGCGAGAAAGTATGGTGGTAAGACTGCTGTTTTGCGTCCATATAGTTCAGACAGAGGCGCCCAGATCAATGGGCCCAATCCCAAGCCAAATAAAAGTAATGAAGTGCCGAGTGTAGCGACCTCACTCGAGATGCCGAACTCCTCGCTAATCTCTGCCTGGCCCGTCGAGTAGCTAGCATTGGAATTAGTTTAATAATATTAATAAAACGTGCAGTTAGAAAATGGACTTACATTGAACTCGCCCACGTCGAACCTGCAATTGATAACAATTAGCGTCATTCCCTATATAATTCACCATTTCGCCGAAATCCCCCCGATTTTAACATACCCATAGTAGTTAATCCATACAGCACTGTCGTGATAGCCTTCTTCCTGAAACTCCAGTTCAACGGTCTATAAGGATCATCCGGCCCGTCAAAATCGACGATAACATCGGGGCTTGTCTTGGTATGAGTGAGTGGATGACTGAATTGTGCCGTCTGGCCAGGCTCTCGACTCCGAATGCGGGAGACTATTGACTGCGTGCGCTGTTGAAAGGCCGAATAACCCGACGCTGTAGTGCTTTTTTTTTCTAATACGATTCCATCCGCACCATCTTCACTGCGATGCGGTTCGATATCTTCGCTAGATATGCTAGTAGAATAGTCATGTTCTGTCCGTTCGACCATTATCTCGGGTCATTGGCTGAAATACTGCAGGAGCAGGTAGCAGGTAGTAGACCAAGTTACAGGAAAGTTGGAAGTGGAAAAATGAGTCTCAAATATAGAAGATGGATATGACGGAATCTCAAAAATATGTTAACTGTAAGGCTGAGAGATCTCTGGGGATTGGAATTCGTTTTATTTCGTTTTCAAGCTTTCGGACCTCCGATGACAAAAGCCGTGTTATCCGACAACGGTGCGAAATCTTTTACCTTGCCGATCTCGGTGCCCAATAAGTTTTCTTTTAGGATAGCTCAATGGCTTTCTCTCGGCGTCACTATTTAAGCACTGAGGCTTATCATTCCGGTTCGGGACTACACAGGGATGTGGGAGCTCGGCCTTGGTGCGCATGGCGCCGAAGTACCAACTGTCACATAAGTGGAATGGCTCTGGGTCCGACGGAGCCGATGAAATTCAAGCTGAAGCATTGTCATATCATGCCAAGGTTGTCAACCAGGTGAACTAAATTGTATGATGTATGCAGGTACAATTGGGGTTGAGGTTGAGATATGCATTTATCCTCGTTCGTTTTATATATCACGTGCGAATCTGTAAGGGGAAAAGGAGACATGAAAGAAACTTCGTTAAAAATCTAACCCTAACATCTACTTGTACTCTATGTGTAGTCATATGCTACACAAGGTATCCAGGGTAGCTATGACTAGTGATGTGCCCAGGGATTTAGAAAAGACACAATAATCGTCATTAGACTGTCGGGTGCATGCTCTCCCATTTGTTGACTGCTTCCATCGCCGCAGTAACCTTGAGTCCAATACGAGCGTCGAGCTCGTAGGCCTCCCAGCGAGCAGCATGACCAAGATATTCCTTGCACTCGCGTACCTGCTTTCTCTCGGCCTCTGTGCTCGCCTTCTCAGATTCCGCAGAAACTTCGTCCGACGGCTTAGAGGAAGCAGTAATCCCATGCAGGGCATGGTATGTAGGACGCTCCATCCAAAAGTTGGCAGCCATCTCGAAATGCGCCACTGGGTGGACCCAGTCATCCTTCAGATGGCCCTTGAATAGAGACCTGTCGTGCTTCAAGACACGGGTCTGCAAGATCTTTTTCGCCTCATCGTGTCTGTACAGGGACCGCAAAACGGCAGCCCGGAGAAGCTCTAGGATCGCCTTTTCTTCGGCCCCCTCGCGGGACCATGTCTTGTTGTTTTCGCCTTCGCACCATGCCAGCCGGGCCAGAGACTCTTCTAGCTGCTCGTTCGTCATGCGACTGTGTCCGTTCCAGAAGAAGATCATTTCTTCGACGGGGTCAACCCCAATCGCATCCACCAGAGACACGTTCCATTCTTTGGCGCGTCCCTCCCACTTGGCAACCTTCCGAGTCACAAAGACATCAAATGGCAGTTGTCGAGCCAAAAACTTCTTTTTCCCGGCAAATTCAGGTGCCTTCCGCATGTACAAGGTAGCTTTCTTGGCATGTTCCTCTGCAACCTTTGGGTCGTTGAGTGATTTCCGGTACAGGGCAACATGGCACGATCCGGCAATGTAGTAATATAATGAACGAGACCACGAGTTAAGTTCCACGCACTGAAAAAATTAGCATGATCGTTCAAAAATCTCCAAAAGAAAAGTCTTACCTCGAGGAATGATTCGGCGCAGACATCATATCTATGGAGGAACAGTGCGTTCAAGCTCTTTTCGAACACGCACAACCCCTCAACCTGCTTGAGCGGGCTCTTGATGTCCGAGGACAATAGTTCCAGAGCGCTGTCTAGCTTCTTATTGGCACCTAACATCCGCGATTGTTCGAGCATCCAAAGTCGGCTATTAGGGAACCGAGATCGCATCTCCCCTAGCAACGCAGCCAGTCTCTCCTGCGGGTATCCCTCGACGTCGGTCTCGCCAGGAGTTGGATCAGGCATGATATCACAGTAGCGGACAAAGCCATTGTAGTATCCTAACAGTGCCAAAGCCGCCATGGCACCGATAAGGTTGTGGAACTTGCTAGCTTGCCAGAGCATCCTCAGTCCTCGTTGCTTGTCGCCGTAGAAGCCAATAATGGAAAGAAGCTTGCTGAATGCTGGTGGGACCATAGAGATTAGTAGAAGAAGAATACCAAAGCAGAAATTGGCACCGGAGTGTACAAAAACATCGATTTCGTTTTTGAAGATGTCCGAGTCGGGATCGTGGTGGATATGCTTTACAGGTGTGGAAGTACCTGTGGAGGCGTCTGGAGACACCCCTCGGGGAGAGATCGCCAATCCATTCATTGCTGAGGTGATCTCGGTTTGATCGGCAGTACCTGAGTTTGCACCTTTTTTCGATGAAAGACTGGACGGGTACGACTTCGTGTCTTGGCATGCAGCGCTCGAGCTTGAGAGGTCACTCGCAGTGGGCAGTAGAACTTTGTGTATATCCCTCTGCTCCATAAACTTTTCTTCCATCTTCATGATAGCGTCTAGTGCGATATATGCTTTTCTCAGCCGATAAAACGCTTTGATGCTTTCTGTTAGACTTTCGTTCAATACTCCAACAACCGCGCTCATCAGTTGGGCGATTGCTTGGCACAACGCGTACTCGGTGCCGGCAGCATAGATATCGGAGTGAAAGGCGCTGGGTGCTTGAGCGTTTTGCTGGGACCGGCTTTGGTCGGTAGCCGCGCTGGTTTCTGCTTCATAAAGGCGTTCGGATGCTGCGGGATTGTCAGAAACAGTGGATTTAGAAGATAAAAAAAACATGGACCTTGTCGCATAACCTCCTGCTCGAAGCCTAGTGTCGCCCGGACGAATGCGACCACACCTCTGCCCAACTACTCAATCGAGAGTCAGCATATGTCCTCAAGGTCTGTCCTACGTCATAGCTCATAGTGGTGATCACCCACGTCGTGAAAAGACGAAGTGCCTGTGGAGAGACCAGCCTCCGCGCCATCAACATCATCATTGAGAATAAGCGTTGCCGCTAGTTGGACATTAGCATTACTCGGTGGCTAAAGGTTGGACATTTCTCATAAAACATACCTGTCAGCGCATCATGCACTAGCTCGAATACCACGGTCAGCATGCAATCAAAATATCACGATGGGCTTTCCTAGAGTATATCACCACTCACAGTCTTTTAACTCAACATGCGAGTCCACAGACTGCCCCGCCTTCTTGCCGTACAGCCAGGACCCGACTCGCAACATAGCGAAAATCACTCGTGGTGAGTATGAAGAATGGGGATTTCAATGGGGACACAATCCGCGATTGTCTCAGTTTAGGGTTAGGACAACCTGATCAAGCCGAAGAGAGAGAGCACCGGATCGGGAAGAATGTCAACGGTGCGATAGCGGAAACGCGATGGCCGGGTACATCACTCATGGGAGAGAAAAAGAAAGCGGAAAGGGGAAAACACAGAGGAAGGAGTAGAGAAGGGGAGGAGGAGGAGGAGGAGGGGGAGAGAGAGGAAAGGAAAATGGGGGAGGGGAACCTGGGGAGTAATATAACAACACGTCTGAGGCTCTACCTTTTGGTTTCTTTTCGCCGGTAGCTCCGAGCGCAATTTTTTTTATTTTGTAGGTCGATTCCACATCGATCTAGTTACTTTGGGTTATTTTATTACATATCACTCTCATATATTCTCTTCTCCAGTACCACAATTCATTTTACCATTCTTTCCTTTAAATCCCAACAACTGTGCTGTCTTCTGACGTTGTCTCCCAACTACATCATCGTTATCGCCTTATCGCGGTCTTACTAAGTAAAACCTCCGACCTCCGACCTCAAAGCTGCCACATCCACGTCCACATCTCCAACTATCTACCTTTGATCCTCCCGGTCAATCATTTTTTTCCACAATGTCAAACCCAACTACCCAGAAGGCTGATGCCACAGAGCAGGCCCCGCCTCAAGCGAAGCCCCAAGTCCTGGAGGAAGACGACGAGTTCGAGGATTTCCCCGTTGAAGGTGACCAGACATTCAAGTGTTCTCCTGGCGCAACGAAGCTAACCTAACGACATCCAGACTGGCCCCAAGAAGAAGCCGAGCAGACCACTGGCTCGACAGCAAATGGCGGTAGCGAGCACTTGTGGGAAGAGAGCTGGGATGACGATGATGCGGCAGAGGACTTCTCAAAGCAGCTCCAGTGAGTTCGCCGTTTCATACACTTACTTCCCTATGTTTCAAACACCCTTTACGTTATGTTTCTCGTGTGGAAATTCTCTTTCATCTCCATATCTAAACTGCCACTGACGCTCATACCCCCTCCTCCCGCTTCTCCACCAAAGCTGTCAGCTTCCCCTCCTTCACCGCGCCTGCTAACATCCACCACCTCATCCAGGGAAGAATTGAAAAAAGTCGAAGCATCAGCTTAAAGTAGACGAGCCCGGACAAGCGCACCAAGAAGAGATAACCCTCGCCTCGGGTTTCGGGATGGATTCATTATCGAGTTGGCTGGCCATTTCATCTCGCACACTATACCCCCCTGTCCCTGTATTTGGAACCAATGGGAGGATTCAGAAACCATAATTGCCACATGCATTTTTTGGGAGCTTGTCGGGGAGGAAATGAGACACGGTCCTTTTGAACTTTTTTTTTTACGATTCATTACTCGGAGCGCAGACCTTGCTTTCGGGATTACTATCAAGATCATCCTTTTGATATTCCACCAATATCAAAACTTCCCTATGCAAACCTAAAAGAGTGTTTTGTAGGATGATAAACGGAAGTATCAGTCGGAGTTGCAAGATAGAGTTGTGAATGGGATTGACACAATTCGATCCCATCTAAATTCACATGTGGCGTTACTGTCCTATTTATTCACTGTGGGGATTATTTTTTCTCGTCTATATATATGAGAAATGACCACGGGAGATCTCTTGATGTCCCAACTAAAGCTTCGGTTTTGTACCTAGGCACAACACTTAGTTATCCAGTCTAGGAGCACAATGGGGGGCTTTCTTTTTTTTTTAAAAAAAAAAGAAACGTGTTTGTAATTAAAGGAAATTCATTGGCTGTGTACATTACAGTTTCATAAACATGCGGGATGAAAATATAGACTCTTCCCTCGCTATCAACTTTTCATTTACTTACTGGACAGAGCAGCAACACCGGGAAGCTCCTTGCCCTCGAGAAGCTCGAGCGAAGCACCACCACCAGTCGAGACGTGGGAGATCTTGTCCTCGACCTTGTACTTGGCGGCGACGGTAGCGGTATCACCACCGCCAATGATGACGATAGAGCCGGACTGGGCAGCCTTGACAGCGGCATCGAGGGTAGCCTCGGTAGCCTTGGCGAAGGGCTTAAGCTCGAAGACACCGGGGGGACCGTTCCAGAGGATGGTCTTGGCCTCGCCAATGGTCTTCTCGTAGGACTTGACACTCTCAGGGCCGACATCCAGACCCATGAAACCGTCGGGGATACCGGTGGCATCGGTAGCGGCACCAACGGTGGCATCAGCGGAGAACTTATCGGCGGTGACGTAATCAACGGGGAGGACAATCTCGACATTGTACTTCTTGGCCTTCTCGACGATCTCACCGACAATCTTGCTACCGGCCTCATCGAAGAGACTGTTGCCGATCTTGACGTTCTCAAGGGTCTTCTTGAAGGTGAAGGCCATTCCACCGGTGATGATGAGGCTGTTAACCTTAGGCAGAAGGTTGTCGATCAGCTGGATCTTGTCAGAGACCTTGGCACCTCCGAGGATGGCGAGGAAGGGACGAGCAGGGTTCTCGAGAGCCTTGGCGAAGTACTCCAGCTCCTTCTTCACAAGGAAACCGGCAGCCTTCTGGGGGAGATCCACGCCAACCATGGAGCTGTGAGCGCGGTGAGCGGTACCGAAAGCATCGTCTGAGTTGAGGTTAGAAATGAAAGAACAACAGGAAATCGGAATATAATCGTGGGGTTACATACTGACGTAAACGTCACCAAGGGCAGTAAGGCCCTTGCGGAAGGCCTCAACATCAGCCTTGTCAGCCTTGACCTTCTTGCCCTCAGCATCCTTGGAGCTGCCCTCCTCCTCGGCGTGGAAGCGCAGGTTCTCAAGCAGAATGACCTGACCATCGGAAGCGCTGTTCACGATCTCCTCGGTCTTGGGGCCAACGCAGTCCTCTGTGAAAGTGACGCTCTTGCCGAGAAGCTTCTCAAGGACGGGAACAACGGGCTTCAAGCTGTACTTGGGGTTGACCTTGCCATCGGGACGGCCCAGGTGGGACATGAGCACAACGGCCTTGGCACCATTCTCGATGGCATACTTTATGGTGGGCAGAGCACCGACAATACGCTGGGGGTTGGTAACGTTCTTGTTCTCATCGAGAGGGACATTGAAGTCAACCTGTTCCAGTCAGCGGTTAAGGATTGCGAATGACGAAGCTCAATTAGCTGGGAGCTTACCCGGATCAAGACACGCTTGCCCTTGAGGTCGACATCAGTAACGGGGAGCTTGTTGGAGAGAGACATTGTAGGTGGCTAATAGTATGACAATGGTGGAAGAAGCAAGAAAAGGGAGAGAAGAAGAAAAAGGAACTAATCAGGCCACGGTGAGTCGTGATCAGTAAAGAGTGGAGGGGTTAGTTTTGGTGGGGCAGGCCGGTGAAGACGTCGCATCCGTAGCAACGGGGGTACCTACCGATGATGTATTTGTCTCAGTAAGGTACTTCCTAGAAATAGGATTCACTTAGTATTTTCTGGGTATTTCTAGAAAATCGGTACTTCATGTATTTGTACCCGACTACCCCCCGGAGAACTGATCGGGCGGGCTGATGCGGGACTGATGTCAGAGCTGTCATCGATACGGGGAAGGCCGGGCCATAAAGGTCTTCTTTAGCCTCGGAATCGGAAGATTCTGGGGACATCGGCTCTACTGATGGAAATTCCCATAGTCGCTACATGTCTTGAATGTTTTCCGAGTCCAGCGAAATCATGTGAAGCTTAAATGGGGTTGAAAAGGCGAAAAGTGTAGTTTTCCTAAAGCGTCCAAGTCAAATCGCAAAAATACATAGTTAATAGCAAAACCCCAAGTTGATCTACCCAGATGCAAAATCCAACCTTTTAAAATGCGAACCCTGTCCGTGAGCAAATACCATAATCATGTACATGAAAGCCAGACCGATCAACCAAAACGCCAGAACAATAAAAGTAAAAGTGCAATTTATAGCTCGTTATCATGATGTTCACTTTGAATGACGTCTAATTAAGACTCCTCGGAGGAATTAGTTAGAGAAAGGTATGCGGTCCACGCAATACCAATAGTTGAGACAAATGGCTAGGTTAGAAAGTCAATATGGGTCCCATCTCAACAAAGAGAACCTAGGAGACTCACAATCTGGAACTGAATGGGAATCACACGGAAGTTGAGGATCTGAACTGCTGGCCAGAGCACAAAGTTGGCCTTTAGGGTTGGCAGGTAAACATCGCGGAACTTGTGTGTCAATGCCCTTCTGCCACCACCCTCTGCGATCGTCATGTAGGTGAAAAAGCACGCCAGACCTAGATAAATCAGCCCAGTCCAAAAATATCCCGAATCAGCTAGAGGCAAGTCATACCGAATGGCGCAAAAATAAGCTGGTCAAAGGCAACACGCTTGAACGCTGGAGCCGTCGGGTTCTTCTTAGTGAGCGGGAACGCTCTGGACAAGAACCCGAACCACTGGAACTGCACCGGTGCCATGAAGAAGCCATAAGCCATGAATCTTGTCAGGCGCTCAAAATCAAACGGCGGCGACGAGCTACGGACATATCCCAGTTCCCCTGCAGCAGGAGGCTTGTTCTTGTCCAAGTCAGGGATCTCTATTGAAATGAAATCGTCACTGCTTGTCTGAGGTCGGCGGGTCCGGAAGGCCGTAATCAGCTGTGCAACGGTATCGGCAACGCCACCAAGCACCTATAATATACATTTTGTCAATTGGAGTTCATACTTTGATGTTCAATATCGTGGAAAGCTTACAGCATTGGTGACCATCGTCGTGAGCACTATGCATAGCAGTGATATTAGTCTATGATCCCGCGGGAACCGGCGGCAAGATGCTTACCTGGCCTTTCAGCATAGTAGGTGTTGAATTTGGCAGCAAGACGTGCTGCTACTGCCATCTCGACGAGGAAAATGATCGTGTGCAATAAAGGCTAGAGGATAAATGATGACAGGGTTAGCTGTAAACAGGGAGGTGATAACATGCCAGGCGCCAGCAAGGGGCATCCAACATACCACGCGACCGTAAATATATCTCTTATTCAATCCATCCAGGAGTTTCCGTTTCGCAGAGCAGATCATGTTGAACGATGACGACTGGAGCAGGGTAATAGGCAAGATTTCTGGGAAGGGACCAGGTGCGCCAGTATGACGCAAAGTTCAATGACACTGGTGGAGTTGAAAAGTAAGTCTAAAAAGTTGGATATTAAACCTAATCCCCCAATGTTCATGAGGTCCTAGATAAGATGATATCAAGAAAAGAAGATAGCGCTGTCTCCGAATTCCCCTCCGTCTCCGCCTTTGTGACTAACAAAGTCACCTGGCCAACTACGACGCTGAGTCCATTACCCCGTGATCTCCTTCCACCAATCACGTTCGCTGAACTATACTATCTTTCTATGAGGTACATATATCCACTCTAAAATCTTTCCTACAATAATTACCTTGATTTGTCTATATAAATTATATAATTACTACATTTCAGCCATATTTGAAATAATTTAAACAGTTGTAAACATCTTTCTTTGTCAACGCCACCTCCTTGGGGCCCCGGGGGCCAGTCTTGGCGTACATCGGTTTCCACCTTCCGAGTGTCGATCATTATAGATTGCTGTATAAATGTTAGCTAGAATACGTCATTTATTACAACTCAATGTTTACTTAGGCTAGACTTACATAGAAAGTTAGTTAGCAGCCCTAGAGCCACCTGCAGGCCCCGTATAGTGACTATATAAATCTACAGAGGATAGAGAGATTAGTTTTGCCAAAGTGGCTTGATATCAGTTATGTCTTTCTCTACATACAATATGCATCATGTTATATCGCAGGCAAACATCTCAGTTCGGGCTATCTGGTCACTCGAAATCGACGGAATTTGATGTTGTTGTCCTCTCTGTTTCCATTACCTGCTCAAAAAGCCTAGTGATTATCTATCAGGGTGGAAGAAAATTCTCAAAAATAA